AGCAAGCACTAGCTGACAATGTGATTTTGTTTGTGTTCTTGTTGGTGGCAAACACTGCCCCACTCTAGTTGCATTCAGCTATTGCTTAGGTGCCAAAAATCAGAACTCTTTAGCTGCTCAAAAAAGGATGGGTAAAACAGCCAGTTTTGTTTTTTTCTATGTTTCTCTTCTTCTTTCTTTCTTAAATTCAGTTCTTCACATTTCCACATCAGTTTGTGATTATTATTATTATTATTATTTAAAAATGTCAAAAGAAAATCCATCAGTATTTTAGTGCCAGTGCACCCAACCAACATTGTACACTATTTCTACCATCAAGTGAGAGATGGGCACCTCCTTCCTGCCCTGGTTGTATCTTCTTTTTCAGGCAGGCAGCAAACCCAGTAAACCTGTCCATACTTTTCACTTCGCTGGCCTATTGATCTGGAATCTTCCTTTCCATCTCAGTTCACCAGGAATAGGTGGGTTAGGAGAGAAGGATTCTTGGCATGCAGGCATGCTTACACCTGAAAACCGGGTGACAGCATCAAAATACATGAATATTCTTCATTGTGACATAGTGCGTTTTAAAGGCATGAGTACAAAAGATAGTTGTAGCAGTTCTTCTGTTACGAAGTGCAAAAACTGTGCAGGATGAAAGTTGATTGTCCTCTCTGTCCCAAACAAACATTTTGAAGAGTTTATGTGGTAATGATCTAACCTCCTCTCTTCCATTCTTCTCTCTACAAATACAAATGAGCAGGCACTATTTCAGACATCAATAGTATTGCTTCTCAGGAAGAAAAAAAGCATTTAGCTATGAAATTTACTTCAAAATCCACACAAAATCACAGCAGAAAAATAAGACATATAATAATTGACGCCTATTCTGTGCCCTTTTAGCCATATACTCACTATGTTATGGTAGTTTTTTAAAGTCAGTATTTAGGATAGGATGGGAGCTGGAAATGGGCAAATAGTTCTTACTAATCGAACTTGTATTCTCATTCACAGATGGTGACTGACAAATGTTAATAATGTCCTAGATATGTGATTCCGATATGGTTTTATTTTATTTTATTTTATTTTACCATAAAGGAATGCTGCTTTTTAATTGGACAGACTATTCTTCTGCTTCCTTCACTGCAATACCAGTCTGTTTCATAGCCTCCAAGCACTTCAAAATATACTACTCTGCACTCCCTCACCATGTGAAATGTCACAGTTAAAAGAGCATTACGTAATACCTGCTGTTCTCTGTGCAATCTGTGTTCCTGCTTCAGAAAGGGTTGCTATGCAAAACCCAGCAGGAATTGCTTAAACACAGCCCTGCAACTCTTACCCAGTTTTCTATCTTATCTATGGGCAAACAGAAGAAACTTAGGGTGTGACCAAGCTATCACTCCTATCAGGGTTGGTGCTCAAGTCTCCTGGGCTGGCCCAAATCTCTGTATATTTCCCATACTTAACCACCCTGCCCTGCCCCACCCCACCCCCAGTTTAGGACTGAGGGTCCAGGATCCCACCCCCCCTTAATGAACAGTGAATTTTAACAATTGCTCCTACAACCAACATAATACATGAAAGGAGTGAAAATCGCCTCCCCTTGCTCCATTCACTTGTATGGAACAGGGGGAAGAAGTTGCAATTAAGGAAACCATTGATAAGGTAGAAGCATAACAGCCCCTTGACCCCACTATTAAGGTTAGGCTGGGGAGAAGAAACTATTGGAAAGTAAACCTCCATTTGTTCATGTATCCAATCCAGAAATGAGGTGATGCGACTGTAGACCCCTGGTTTATTTTCTTCCGCACAGCCCACCCCAAAGCTGGTTGTTCCTACCAGCTTCCAAGTATTCCGATCTTCACATACCAATGGTCCCCCACTGTCTCCCTGAAAGAGACAGGAAAACAAGCTTTTGTCTGGCTCTCAAAAAGAAACAGTAGGTAGAGCTGCTAATAATGTTTAAGCTAGCAGAAGTTAGTCATTCAAAAACCAATTAATAGAACCATGGAGAAAGGCTGCAAATGTCTTGACTTGCTTTGAGGGTTGTCATTCAGCAAACCAGTGTACGTACCTGGATTTAAGTTTAGGATTTTATTTAAATCACTCAGCAAGTACAAATGAATGCCCATCTCTCCTTCTCATTGACTCCCTCAAATGGATTATATTTTATTGAATGCATGAAAAGATTTTTAACCTGCCCTTCATTGTATGATACCCACAAGCAAGCTACTCCCTTCCTCATTCCAGTTTTTCTAATAACTGGGATTGGGCATTATAAACATATTGTGCCAGTACTTCGTTATCTTCATTGGCTCCCAGTCTGCTCCTGGGCCCGATTTAAAGTGCTGCTTTTTCCTCTAAGGCCCTTTACATCTTGGGATATTGGTAGTATCTTCACCACCACCAGATTGTTCAGTTAAGACAGTCACCTTTAAGAAATGCCCCTACCTGACATGTGTCTATGCCTCCTTGTAAATAACCTGCGCAGAGCATTGATGAAGCCACGATTCCCCCATAGACCTCTCTGTGGTTGCACACTTTGTTAGAAATCAAAGGGACACCAGCATAATTCAGAATCTCTGATGTATCACCTGTTCCAAGACAGAAGTTAAATTCTCCATTTCAGGGATAGCGAAGATATGGCATCTTAAAAAGTAATTAGCTATTACTTTTTAAATTCATAAAAAACTTTCCTATAATTTCATATATTTTATTAATGCCAGACAACCAATGCTACATTCAGTTTTCTTTAGAAATACAGTGGAACCTCGGTTTTCTAGCGTCTTGGAAGTTGAACGTTTCGGCTTTCGAACACCAAAAGCTCAGAAGTAACTGCTTCGGTTTTCAAATGCTTTTCAGAAGCCGAACATGCCACGAGGCTTCCATTTTGAGTTTCCCTATTGTATTGAGGCTTCCATATTGAGTTTTCGGTTTTTCAACATTTCGGAAGTTGAACGGTCTTCAAGAACGGATTCCGTTCGAAAACCAAGATTCCACTGTAGTTGAAACATTTGTTCAATCCTATACATTTTTTTTAATATTAAGAAGGAATTCCCAAATCTACCCATAAATTCTTTAAGAATTTGTGGAGATCTTAGCTGGGCTTAAGTCTCACTGAAAGCAATCAAGCCAATATTATTGGATAATATCCAATTTTAGTCCAATTCAGAGTAGACCCATTATTCTGACTATTATTGGATATCAACCACTGTGTCTCATGGAGACCTGGGGCTCCTTCTCACCCCTAGCTGATGAATGTGAAGAAGAGAAGTCTCTGTACATGACACTTTACTTCACATCTGTTAGTACCTCCATTTCCATATTTTGGTCAGACTGGAATTTTTCTGCTTATGGGAAAGTATTTATTAAGTGTATCTCTTGAATTCATTGTTCACACATAGCAAATTTTCAGTTATCAAAAAATACATTGTTAGATTCAAATGCTAAAATACTCGCCTCCTTCTTCTGCAGCTCCCCATCCTGATATCCAACACATTTTCCCCTCTGGAAAATGTTCTCCAAAATTAGGAAGACAAATTGGCTCTATATTACCTGTGTAAAAAGAAATACCTGCTCTCCAAACTAGCAGTTTCATAATACATATTTTTGATAGTCATGTGAGCATGTTTATATATCTCAGTTTTCCTTCAGATATTTCAGAGCAACTTCAATATGGTCTCCACGTGGCCTCCAATATAGGCAGTGTCAGGTCCAGACAAAGTCTGAATACACACTACACCTTTAAAGCACATCTAAAGCACATTCTCTTCCTCAAAGGATTTTGGACCTCGTAGTTTAGCCCACACAGGCTATCAATTCCCAGCAACCCTTAATGAATTATAGTACCCAGAATTCATTGAGGGGGGAAATATGTTTTGTATGTGCTTTAAAGATATAGTGTGTACTCAGCCTGACATGCCTTCAGCAGTAGAATTGCGTAATGTGCCTTGACTCCCATCATCTATAATGTATTGCACTTATGGAGGTCAAGCCTTTGACATTCAGCCAAAGCCTGAACTGATGACTGTTCAGAAGATTCATTGTGGCCAACAAGCAACTCTAAAGAGGCAACAAGGAGTGGGAGAGAGGAAGTTTCATGTATTGATCTGAACTAACCATCCAGTTAATTTGCTACTGTATAGACTTGAGGGGTGATAGAGCATATAGACTAGCACTGTAGTTCTCCATTTCCATGAAAATGTACCTCAGATAAAAACTGGAAATGTGTGCATTCAAGCTTGCTCCTCCCCCCCTATTTTGGGTTATTCACTCTACCTCATTATATAAATAATGAGTCTGTTTGTGGTGCATTAGCTTATGCCAGATATATTCCTCAGCATTTTAAATAAATATACTGTGTTTTTTTCTATTTGTGGAAACAAACCCATGGGTCAAAATAAGCACTCTCCATTCCAGTATTCTTTCAGACGTTCAGGCCATCCTCATGAAAGGGACTCCCAAGTACATGGATGAATTACCAGTGATTGCAAATACAAATTTGGGGGAAAGAGCTGTAGCTCAATGCAGAGCACATACTTTGCATGTGGAAAGTTAAGCCACAACATATCTCTGAATACCAGTTGTGGGGAAACACCAGCAGAAGAGGGTTATGGCCTTCATGCTGTATTTACGGGCTTCCCAGAGGCTGCTGTGGGTAGCAGAATATTAGCCTTGATGGACCTTTAGTCTGGTCCAGCTGGATTGTTCTTACAGGGCCTTTCTCTTAACTCTGTTGGTACTTAGGACCAAACTAGACATGACATTGTTTACACAATTTATTTCCCTTATAAACAAAATTATGGGCAGCCTTTTGAGGACACCCCTGTGGGTATGATAAAACTGCTGTGGTCCATGGACCACCAACTGGTCACTCTTCATTGAGGTAACCAGATGCATTCTTTATGCTTGCAGTCCTCACTATCCACATGCAGAGTGCTTTTTTTTAACTTGCAAGGGTTCCACATTCCTTCATACGAATGGAAGGATGACTTCACAATCAGCACAGATCCTGAAGTCTTTGTTATTCTGAGAGCAAGAGGATTCACGCTCCAAGAAACCTGGGTGTGTATTTTAGAGTGTTGCTGACATGCCAAGAAAATGAGTAAATCAGGTTGCTATGTGGAATTGCTCATATTGCCGGATCATTTACTTATTCATTAAAAAAAATGTACACAGCAATTTTTTTTAAAATGATGCAGTTTACAACTATACAAACATAATAAAAGACACATAAAAATTAAAATCAGAAATCATTGTTATCTCCATTAGGCATCATTGTGGGACTGGTAGTTCTTGATTCAATTACCACATATTAATATTATATTTTTAGTGACAGCAGTAATCAATTCTAAGTTTAAATGTGGAACAAGAGGGGAAAGAGAAAGAAATAGCAACAGATGGAAAATTACCATTTAGTGCAAGTGGTTTGGCCAGCCTAATCAATGCTATATCATTCTTCATTGTTTTGGGTTTATAATTTTTATGGTATATAATTTTGTCCACTAAATATGGATTAGCAGGGCCTTCTTCCAGTATTACAAAGCCCGCATACACACTCCAAGCTCTTGGGAAGTACAAACTGAAACAAAGACATTAGAAAAAGAAAGGGTTAGTGGCTTCCAACATTTAAAATCATTTGCCAAACCTGTGTGACACATTTTTGGCCTCAGTGTTAAATCCATTCTGGCACAAGAAGTCATTTCCAGCAATGACAGAATTACACTAAGATTCACATTTCTAGAAATCGTGTTTAATTATAGCAGCTTGTTAGGATTTTTTTATATACTCATCAGTGCTCAGCCATGATTAATTTCAGATCTGAAACCAATGCTTATTAGTATCAAATATTTGATAAATCAATTTCTAATGCCCAGCTTGCCAGTAAAACATTTATTCTTATTTTTATCTGTAAGATGCCTTGAGTCCATGTCAGGGAAAAAGGCAGGGTATAAAATAGTAGTAGTAGTCATACAGTAGTAGTAGTACCCTGCTGATTTCATTTTTTTCCTTCTGATGATGCATCCCTCCACCTATTGACATTAATTTGGTCAATGCTACATTAAATTATCTGTAATCCTCTACAGTCTGCTTCCTGGGGAATTTGTTGTTGCAATCCAGCAATGCTCCTGTTCTTGGCTATTCTATCGCAACACCCTGCTCCTTCACTGATAGTGCTTTTTTTATTATTATTATTATTTTTTTTGGTCTTTTTAAAGGTGTTCCTCAGTGTGTACCATTACTAGGATGGAAGGATCTGACCATTTCAGTGCTCTCAGTTTCTCATTTTTCCAATCTTGAATTCAGTTCTCCACATTTCTGCAGCAATTTGTGAACCTTGCTGTAAAAAACGTCATGAAAATGTGAACTGAAATTAAATTCTCCCCAGGCCCTAACATCTGTACCTGTTCATATTTAACCACATCTCTTATTGCAGAAGCTAAAACTGATTTGTCATGACCTTCCTGTGTCAAGAAATTGCCCTTCTTTTCCCTAGCATAGTATTGTGCCCTTTACACATCTCAATAGTGACTAATAATAATAATAATAATAAATTATTTATACCCCAGCCATCTGTTTGGGTTTCCCTAGACACTCTGGGCAGCTCCCAACTGAACATTAAAAGCACAATAAAATATCAAACATTAAAAACTTCCCGAAACAGAGCTGCCTTCAGATGTCTTCTAAAAGCCAGATAGTTGTTTATTTCCTTGACATCTGACAGGAGGGCGTTCCACAGGGCAGGCGCCATCACCAAAAAGGCCCTCTGCCTGATTCCCTGTAACCTCACATCTCACTGCGAGAAGGCCCTCAGCGCTAGACCTCAGTGTCCAGGCAGAACAATGGGGGTAGAGACACTCCTTCAGGTATACTGGGCCAAGGCCATTTAGGGCATTAAAGGTCAGCACCAACACTTTGAATTGTGCTCGGAAACGTACTGGGAGCCAATGTAGGTCTTTCAGGACCAGTGTTATATGGTCTCAGTGGCCACTCCCAGTCACCAGTCTAGCTGCCACATGTGAGAAACGTTACTACGGCTTTGCTCCCTGGCACTGCTGCGTCATTTAAAAACCTGGCCACTATGTGAGCAGGACACTTACTTCACAACTGTGGCCCAGCTAGGATTGGAGTCAACAACTGGTTGGGAACAACCCACGCAATAGGTGTCTGCTGCGCAAAAACATGGCAAACGAGACAAGGCACTTACTCATAAACACAGTGGGCTGCTGTTACAATCCACCAAGGGGTGATGATAGATCCACCACACAAATGATATCCTTGGAACTGAAGGCTGGCTTGCCATGGCCATTGCTGGGGCATCGACGCATTTCCTCCCACTATACGGGGGGCATACCTGGACCGAGCGCCACACGCTGTAGAAAAGGGAAAGTAGCGTCACTGGAATCACTAGTGAGGAATCCTTATCTGGACGAGCTGTACATACAGAGATGTACCTAGGGTCCCTTGTGCAAGGAGCTGTATTAGTGCCCCTCCTGGGGAAAAGGCCCTTTAGCACAACAGCCACGTTAGAAAGTACTATATTTTACACAAGTACTTGAAGTGTCCGGAGTGAGGATGAGGTGAGGAGGAAGGGCAAAAAGTTCACACACCTTTGTGCTGCAGTGTGAGGAGGATGGGAAACTTCTCCTGTGTTTGATCTCACTGTGACAGTGTTGGTGCATCACTACACACAAATACTTCATACACTCTATAGTCCAATAGGTGATTTTTTGTGATAAAAAATAAACAAACCCAGGCCTGAGCCTCTAGCAGGGTCTGTTCTCGCTAACTCCTAGCTATGTCTCTGTGCACATATATTTTAAAGACCCAGTTCTTGAATCTAAGTCATGCTTAGAGAGACACATAAGAATATTCATGAGAAATATATTGTCTTACTTTGGGGGTGTTCCCAAATCACTCTCTCTTTTTCTCTAACTCATCTGCCAGTTCTCGCTTGTATAAGTTTTCTCTCCTAGTTGCTAAATTTTTATTTACAGAAAGGAGATATTTCTTAGAATTGCTGTCAATTTTCACTCACTGAAAGGTCTCCTGTACGTGATTTGACCCCGGAAATGAATTAGAGCCACTACCATGCTCTCAACTTGCATATTTCAACTTGCACAAACGAACTTTTAGCTTGCACATTCTCCCACAATACTTGTTGTGAAACTGATGTTACATTCTGCTGTTTTTCAAAGCGCTTACCCAAACATTTTAGGATGATCACATAGCCTGAGGCACACTCTTCTCTGAAATGAAAAGAAGACAAAGTGATAGACCTGAATGCTTGCTACCTCTCTTTCCACTTCATCCATCAAATTAAATTGAGGTTCAATGTGTTAAGTCTAAAAGAAAGAAAAAAGGAGCCCCTTCTTAAAAGTATTCTTCCAGCTTCTGTTGCCTTTTCATTTTTATTTAAACTGTTCTAAATGTTTTCATATATGACATAGTATCATTGGTGGTATCTTTTGCTGATATTTAAAGATATGAAATTGCTTTGATTTATTTTATAAGAAGCGATTTGTAAACAGAATTAAATAAATAAACAAAGCACCCTTCCTTTGTATTGCTATGAGGCAATGGTTTTGAGGGAGGGGCTCCAGGGGTCCTGTGCACTTTTCTTTCCCTTCCCACCCTCCCCCATTGCTGCACTGGTTGTTCACTCTTATACACACACACACACACACACACACACACACACACACGCCAGATGGTGGTGGGAAGGGGTAAAATGGATCCCCATTTCTTTCTTTTGCGACACGGCGCTGTCACGCAAGCCGACAACATGGCAGCTCCTCCTTCTCCTGCTGCAGAGGGAAAGCAGCCCCTGGCCTATGGGGGTGGCAGGAAGCCAAGAAACCCCTGGCCATGGAAGCCGGGCTGCTGCGTGACACCTAGACATGATGTCAGCTCCCCCCCCCCAGTCACTTTCCCAAGTCAGTGTGCCTGCCTGGTAAGCTGGGGTGGGGAGGAACAAACAGACCCCCTTTTCCTTTCCACCACCCCCAAACAAAAGAAAGAAAAAGGGACCCATTTCCCCTCCTATTGGCAAGGTGGTAAGATCGGAACAGTATTCTTCAGTCACCAAATGCCTGAGTAAACACGGATGTTTTCCAATACTTCCTGAATAATTACGGAGACAGATGCACCTCAAAAGGGAGGGCATTTCACCACTGGGGAATCACCACTGAAAAGGCTCTCCCATGGGTCTAAGGGTATAAGATGGTGTGTACTGCATGGGTCTAAGGGTATAAGATGTTGTGTACTGCAGTCCAGCCCTACCAGCAGGACTGGGTTGGAAGAGTTTATATTTTAAAATTCATGTACGTATCTTTCTGTAATTTAGCATCTGAGACATACCGCAAGGACGTGGTGTTCTGTGGAGATGTCAGCTGATCGGCTGACAACCAATGATCTGCAGCAACAAAATGCCTCTGAAATGCTTCTTCAATAGCGGTCACTGGGTAGGCCCTCGAACTCACAAAGCTGTAAATAACAGGAATTGCCTTGAAAATTCAGCAACATTCTGAACATTTACTTCTTCTATCACATGGCTAGCCTACCTGGCTTGCAAATGTTAGGTGGCTTGCTATAAAGTTTTTTATGGAAATATTGCAAATAGTTTTAAGGAAACCCTGTATTAAACTAATGGATAATCAATGAACACACACTAAAATCCCACTGTGGCTTCTGATGGATCATCCTGCTGTTGTTTTACTTATCCATTCACATTTATATCCTGCCTTTCTCTCATCATGGAACCCAAAGCAACATACACGTGGTTCCCTGGTGGTATCCTATCCAGCCGCTGACTGTCGTCAGAACATGCCAACCTGAGGCCAACCTTCTTGCTCATATTGCTTGAGTATAGCCCAGAATTAGAGTTTGGCATTTCCTCAAGAGGGAGTTAATGTTTTGGAGATAATTGGGGATCTCTGTATCTGAATGAGATATCAGTCAACCAGGAGTGAACAACATGTTGCCCTCCAGATATTATTGGACTATAGCACCCATCATCTCTGACCATTCACCATGCTAACTAGAGTCCAACAATATCTGGAGAACTGCAGGTTGCCCATCTCTGCTTTGTTGCTTACCACCCTCCAGCCGGGGTGTTTGTGTGCGTGAATGAAAAAATAGTTTGCACTATCTGAAGGGATGGAATCAGAGAGCGAGCTCAAAGTTGGCTGAAGGCCCCTTGTGTTGGAAATGTGGAACTGACATAGGGTAGCAGGCCTGCTGGTTTTAGGGCTGTTTGCTACTTGCCTCCCCTTTGACTCTACCCTTACATTTGTAAATGAAACATAGAGTCGCAATAAGTCTCCTGTGCCATCCTGTGTCAAAAGCAGGTGACACAGAGACAGCAACAAAAAGCCCCTGTCAGTTTCTTGGCGAAGTACTGTTAATCCAATTTGTTTGTTTGTTTACAACATTTGTATGCTAATCACATAACACAAAGTTATATTTCCAGGGGCTTTACTGATTAATAGTGTTTTGTAGTAAATATGCACTTTCTGCAAAAATAAAAAATAATCAGCACTTTGCTGCAGAAACCACCTTGGTTTTTAGCACCTGGGTTGTATTTCAGAAAGCCAGGTATAATGAGAGGGACTTCCCTTTTAAAGCAAGCAACAGTTTGACATACAAATCCTTCATTTCCATGTTCATTTCCTATGCAGTACCTTGAGATACCTAAGTATTTACATGTAACTCTTCCATAGGTTTCTTGCCAGTTTTCTGAACACACAGTCCTCCAGGCTCCGTAAGCAAACACTTGCAACACAGCCTTCTTGCCACTCAGTCTGACTGTGAGATACAGAGAGAAAGGCCGTAAATAGCTAATAAGCAAATGCTGTGACTGAATCAGTGTACTAATGTACTGTATCTCTCGAGATCCGATGAATTTTGGCATTGGTTTTTGTGCATTTGTTCCTATTTCATGCAATAAAGGTATTATTATTATTATTATTTATTACTTATACTCCACCCATCTGGCTGGGTTTCCCCAGCCACTCTGGGTGGCTTCCAACAGGAGATTAAACATACATTAAAACATCAGTCATTAAAAACTTCCCTAAACAGGGCTTTATAACAAAATAGGTTATGAATGTAAAATAAAAAAATGCTATCTTGAAAACCCATGAAGGTTGAGATCTCCCCCCCCCCCCTACTCTGTTCCATAGAAGCCAAATCCTAGGGGTCAAGGTCCCTTCACACACACCCCAAAAATTTTTTTGATGGGCATTGCCATTTAAATGGTATGTGCACGCCACATCATGTGATCGATTATGGGGGACAGGCCTTACCTGGCTCTCCCAATATTTATTCAAGTTGGAACGCCTGCTCTGCTCATACTCTGCACTTGGTAATCTTCTAGAGCAGTGCTTTCCAAAATATGGTACATGTGCCCTCAGGAGCAGGCAAAGAGTTTTTGAAGGGTAAACAGCAGAATTTGCTCTAGTTTACAAAAAACAATACTATTAAAACTACTCTCAAAGTATCTTCACCTGAGAATGGATATGGTTGTAAGACTAAACTCTCAAAAGCTTATGCAATTATGGTAAGTTTGGGAAACATTGTTCTAGAGAGGTAGCCATGTCAGCCTCTCGCAGCCAAAAAAAAAAATGTACCGTATTGTGGTGCCTTAAAGGTTGCCTCCAGAATTTGTCGATGGGATTCAATCACATACTGGGGTATAAGTCTGTGTCATTAAAATGGATTTAAGTTCACTGTCAAAACAAATCTGATTTTTTTAAAAAGCACAAAGGACTTTTGTGGCTGGGAAACTGATAAGGAGCCACACTAAAAAGTTTGGGATAAATGACTGGTTGAAAGGAAACGATTTAACCGCAAGGAAATCAGGATGGATGCTTATTGTAGTATAACTTCCCCTCAAGCAATTCAGCATGAATGTTCAATAAAGCACAGTCATCATATGACTTCTGCGTAATCTTTGTGCGAGCAAATCTTTGTGTGCTCAATAATCTGGAGAAGCCCAAAGATAGAGATGGGAGATAAATTCAAGTTTCTTTACTTTTTCATAGAATCATATCATACAACCATAGACTTGTAAAGTTGGAAAGGACCCCAAAGTTCATCAAGTCCACCCCCTGTGATTTTTAATAAGAAAATACATAACTCGCACTTCTTGAACCAATATGTGAACCAAAACACAGCCATTCCTCTAAATTTGCACCTCTCCCAATTTTGCAATGCTGTTCTCCAAATGATGTGTATACAACTGCCTATATTATGGAAAACTGCATATAAAAATGCATTAGTGAAAATAACATGCAAAAATACATTTTAATAGGGGAAACTACATACAAAAATGTATTAGGAGAAATGTGCACTGAAATGCTGACAAATTTCAATGATTATTTTTTTAAAATCTGCAAATTGCTGTGGAAGTGTGGAGAATTGGATTTAAGATTGGGGAAAAATGAGAAAAGTAAGAGAAACAAAAATTGTCAGATTCATCCATCCCTACCCAAGGAATAACACATTTATTTGTGGCACAGCCATTCTGCCATTCCGCATAATTTCTGTTTCTCTACATGTGATCATGAGCGCTCTTGACCTAGAAATTGCCCTCAGTGTCCTGCCATATTGAAAGGTAACAATAGTAACTTCAGTTCATGCAAAAAGAATGCAGCAAACAATGGTCAACCATGTTTCGTTTGGGAATATTGAATGGAATGTTTCAAACAGAGCTTGGATTTGGTTTTTAACAAAAAATATCAAAACTAAGTTTTGAGGGGAAGTAGCATGTGTAATCCAGAATCAAATCAAAGTTACCACATCTATACTCATCCTCTCCATCTCTACAGTTGAAGACTCCATCACATCTTGCTGTTTGGTCAATACATCTGAAGGACGACCTGCACCGAAATCCCCCAATGCAGTTGAAGTAAACTGACAGGATGAAAGGAAATCATATCAAGTTAATACGGCATATCCTTGGCTTGGCAGCAATATTATGATTATGATAATTATTAATTTATATACCACTTAATTGTAGCAAAGCCTCAAAGCGGTTAAGATATATTCCTTTAGATAAACATGCTGAAAGAAGGTTTGAAAGGGAATTTGTGAATTACAGACCTAAGATAGGGTTGCCATATTTCCAAAAGTAACATTCCGGACACAAAAGTTGTTAGTTTTGCTCAGAGTTGTTGACCTTTTTTGGCTAAATCTTTAAAAAGTGAAGTTTTTGAGCTATTTTAAAGAAAATTCACCAATATTTTGACTTCTGACATGGGTTGCCATATGCCCGGGTTTCCCCAGACATTTCAGTGATTTCTGCCTGGGCACTCTTTCTGAATGCCGTAACCCTGTATGGCAACCCTACCTAAGACAAGATAGCATTGTCATACTGCCCCAAATACAGAAGCCAGCCTGACTGGCAGCTGAAATTTACATCAACGTTAGTGATTGAACAGTTTCCTCACCTGATCACTGCACTTGAGAGTGACAGTTTAGTTTAGAAGGCCCAGGGCAAGCTGTGAGGGATGTATTGGGGGGGGGGGGGCTCAGGAGTAATGGTGGAGACACCTCCATCATTTGTGGCATGAGATGAAACTTAGCCATGCTCATTCATTTCTATGGCTCTGCTTTGAATACCACCCCATATTTCTCAGACTTGGTTGAACAGCAGATAATGGCACGTGATTGGCTGTGCTGGACCACCTGATTTCCAAGACCAAGAGGATTCTGGTCTGAAATGTTAAAAGTGTCCAGGCTCAAATTGCCATCACATTCATGCAGTTGTCCTGATGATGCAAACAGAAAGGAATTGATGCCTGGTCTGCAGAGCTCCATGCACCACATGAGCCTCTTGGGCTTGCCAACTGGAAGGTCAGTGGTTCAAATCCCCGCGATGGGGTGAGCTCCCGTTCCTCTGTCCCAGCTCCTGCCAACCTAGCAGTTCGAAAGCACGCCAGTAGATAAATCGGTACTGCTGCGGCAGGAAGGTAAATGGCATTTCCATGCACTCTGGCTTCTATCACAGTGTTTCATTGCGCCAGAAGCAGTTTAGTCATGCTGGCCGCATGACCTGGAAAGCTGTCTGTGGACAAATGCTGGCTCCCTCAACCTGAAAGCGAGATGAGTGCTGCAACCCCATAGTTGCCTTTGACTGGACGTAACTGTCCAGGGGTCCTTTACCTTTACCACATGAATGCTGCATCCCAGAGTTCCACATGTGCCACAGGTCTGAACCCAGTCACCATGTTGCACAGGCAGCTAGAAGTCAATCTCAGTACACTGGAAGTAATCATGTGAGTTGGTCCTAACTGATATGTTCTGGCAGCGTGCATTCTGTTGATTATGGCAATGACTTTATTAAATACCAGCTCTGTTTTATAGATCTCATGCTGAGGAGTTAAAGTGTATGTGTGTGTGTGTGTGTTTAAAATCAATAGGCAACCTTTGGCAGCATCCTATTCTCAGCAGGAGACTCATAAAAAATGCAGACTCTTGAATGGTTAGTTGAGAACCTAATAAATAAGTTATTTGGTACTCACCTCCCAGGCCAATGGCAACTGCTATGATTACAGTGAGTAATAAGGCAAGGATAAGTGGAAGCTGCCCTAGTGAAATTAAACCATGGCACGGAGGTGTTGAGATCTCTCCTGGAGTAATAAAAAAGCAAGAAACAACAACCTCTGAACAGGACATACAACATTACGTTTTGCACTAATTATATTTAATAAAAATAGCATCAGCTGCATTCATTCTTTGATGTGCTATTTGATATTCTGATGCCCTGCATTATATATACAGGCAGCAACCATTTTAGGTGTGTCCAATTGATGTGCGATTACTGACACACAGGTCCTTTTGGACCCAGAAAAGGGCAACATGGGGGCAGATTTCCGTACCGCTGTCATACCTTCCAGAATAAATATGGATCTGGGCATGTTTTCTTGGATTCCAACTCCCACCATTAATCATGTTAGCCAGGGCTGATGGAAGCTGGAACTCAATAACATCTGAGGTTCCCCATCTCTGGTCTAAGTCATTTAAGATTTCCCTAAATCTGGGGGGTTAAAATGAGGTTTGGGAAGAAAGGGCCCGTAATTTCCATCCCAGAACTTCTTCCATTCCTACCATTTTCATTTTCACCGGGATCTATTTTTGCTTGTTGCAGGCAGAACAATCTTTTGTAGAAAAAGCAGAGCTCAGATCCTGGCAGTTCATCTTCTACAACGGAGACAATTTCAACGGATCCAGGACTGGAATCTATTTCTTCAACCTTAACCAACAGAAAGAGAGAGAGAGAGCACAAACACACACACTGTTAGACAATGCAAATTCAGGTCAAGTCAATTACCAAAAGAAGACTTTTGAAGTTTTTTCTTCTTGATGCAAGTACTCACACTGCTCCAGGAAAATACTGAGGGTCAATTGAAAACCCATTTTGCTTTTATTGCATGTGACCATTAAGTAAATTTCCAATTGCACTGGGAAGGAGTAAGAGATAAGCCTCCACACTTCCACACAATCTACTTTCCTGGTGCCTGTAATTTAGTAAGAAAAAACTTGATACATAGCTTCACGCCACATATCTAGCTAATGTCTAGTTTTGCCCTAAACTGTGAATCATCAAGGTCAGAATCTCGCCTCTGCCATGAATGAACTCACTGGGTGATGCTTGGTGAGCCACACTCACTCAACCTTAGCCCCCACCCACAATCTGTAATATGGGGGATAAAAATACTGATTATGAAAAGCGGTGCATGCTATTAGATACAATGCGATGCATTGCCAACATCTTACAGAATCTTTCCAAATCCCAGCTGTCTTGATTTTAGAGTTCAGAACATCAGTCAAGTTTGGCCCTTAGCTAGAAAACATTGGTCGATGAACTTCAAGGACTTAAAGTGTTGCTCAACTCTGTCTTTCGCTATTGCTACACTGTCATTAATTTGGCTCCCAAAAGGAGTCACACAAATTACCGTACTCCATTAAAAGCCAAAGATCTTTCCTCGTGCCTTAATGCATCTGTAAACAACCCATTTAAATTAGGAATGCACACAGAATCCTCTCATCTGACTCACTGAGCCTTTTAAATTCAACAAAAGAACCTTTCATCCTGGCATTCCTGGTAGACATTATAGTGGAAGGAAGAGTGAAGTGTTCGTTGTAACAACTATTTATGGTCTAATTTGGTGGTGATTGTTTTTTCTCTTCCATAGGAAGGCTTTGGAATGATTCCCAATGAGAGGCATACATAGAAAGCACAGCTTGCATCAAACTGGAAAGCCCACCCCAGAAAGATTCAGGAGCAAACTATAGCCCTGTCAGCTGTTGCTCATAGATATTTCCTGCGGCACATATCCATACACTAGTAATTAAGATTTTCCTGGCCTTAACTCAAACCAAATGCTCAACAAGTAGAACTTAGTCTCATGTGCAGCTCTGGACAATGTGTCTTGATAACAGAGAACAGTCACAGGGATCCAACATAGAATCAGATGTGCTTTGTGACTCCACACAGGCCTAACTTCAGCCTATGTGGCCTATATCAAGTTTAGCCAATATGGTGCCTTCCAGAAGTACATGGACTGCTGTTTTCATCATCCCTGATCAGTGGCCATGCTAGCTGGACCTAATGAGAGCTAGAGTCATCTTGAGGGCACTGCATTGGCTACCCCTGGGCTAAATGAATGCAAATGGGAGGCGAGAGGCACTATGGTAGCAGAGTCTTCCCTGGGCTGAGCCCATTCATTCAAACATGTGCAGGAAGCCTCATGCATACACTGGTCATGCACCCAGAAAGCTCTCTACAAGCAGTCTGATGGTGGGATGTAAGCTGGAGGGTGGGAGAACCTGATACCACAATGCCAATCCATCTAAGTATATTCATATAGTCCTGTTGGATGGAACATTAGGAAAAGATGTTGCATTGTGGCCTGTGCCTTTTGGCATCTCTCAAATGCCCTTCCCCTACCAGTGACTATCTATAATCACCTCCCCTATTTTTGGAACTGTAGAGAAGAGTTTCCAGGATGAATTGTCCTAAAATCCTTATGAATTTCCACTAGGACTTTAAAAAATAAATAAATTCACAAACCGCTGTGGCAATGTGGAGAACTGTTAGATGTCAGGGACTCGGCAGAGGAGGAGTGGTAGAGACCCCCCCAGCCTGACCCTTCCAGAGAAGGAGACAGTTCAGAATTACAACAGGGGTTTGATGAAGGGAAAAGCTGGTAAATAATGGGAGAGGAGGAGGAGGAGAAGGAGGAGGAGGAGGAGGAGGAGGAGGAGAAGAAGGGGAGAAACAGCTTTTGGACTCAGTGTCTTTAGAAAGCATTCCAGACCTCCCCCTCCTAGAACACAGTGGGCCTTGAAAGTAGGAGAGCAAAGAGCTCAAAGGCAAAAGGCCCTTTTCAGCACCAGTAGCGATGACTCATGAGGAAGTGGGAGTGATGGAGGGGATGGGGTTTCACTCGGAGCAACACCATTACTCCAAGAGACTGCAATTCTAAGCCTCTCTGTGAACATTGAATAAAAAGCATTGGTAAGAACTTCCCTTGTCTTATCAATTCCTGGCAACCTGCTGGGTGGGATGGGGTTGGATCCTCTGACACCTGGCAAAATGATTGGGGGAAAGGGAGAACTGAGAGAAGTCAAAATTGGCATATTTGCCCATCCCTAACTATAACTCGCATCATCGCTGACCAGTAGCTATGATGACCTGGGCTGATGGGTGGCTACTGGCTCCTCACCCATGGAGCGCAGGATGTAGTTTAACGATTGCACCAACACGGTACAGTCACTAGGAACCGCTCCTGTGCATGAGCACTTGAGATGGATGAGTTCTTACACCCCTACAATTCCCATTACAGCTTCGCTCCTGCCTCGTTCTTGAGAACCAACAACTCTAAAAGAAACAGCTCTTCAAAGTATGGGATGTGATAGAGAAAGAGGAGAGAAATGTTTGCCCTCCGCTAGGGATCCACTTACCATTGTTGCAAGCCCAACTGCTTTCTCCTTTCATTATAAAGCTTAGCCAGCTAGAAAGCCTGCCATCCTCTCTGCAGATATTTTCATCCGGAATCGCTAGCTGATTCATTGTAGCAGATGACATTATTACTGGCGTCAGTGTAATTCAACCTGTCCAAAAGTATCAGGTAGCCTAGAATGGCATCGTTCCAAGGACCAGGGAGGTAAAAAGGCAGCAATCATTTTAATTAACTGTAATCAGTAACGTGGAAGTATTTGCAAACATAAGGCAATAATCTCTGACCATGTATGCTTGCCTTTTCTTTTCAGGCAAAACAGAAGAAACTGGTTATTTGGCTGGGACAGGTTGTCTTCATTAATTCAAAGGATCCTGCTTGTGGTGGAGCAAAATAAAATAACATTTCGGTAACAGAGAAGAGATGTGCTTCCAGGAATACTGGAAAGATAGCAGTGGCAGTTATTTAATCTGTCATACGCATTGAACCAACAGATATTTTCGAGATATGGCATGACAAGTGAAAACAGTTTTCTGCTACTTGAAGACTTGATGCTCCTTGCTACTTCAGTACTTTGATGATACTTCTAGATAATCGGATGATGGAAAAAAAATTGAGTGTTTTTCACCATCTGGGGCTGGTACTCCAACTGTATACTTTCCTAGAGACATTAGAGATGGTTGTGGCCATCCCTGCCTTAATAACCTCAATAGCTGAGTTACGGTAACACACAGGTGCTCTTGAAAAGGCTTTGGAAACTTTAACTGGTGCAAAATGCTGCTGTCATGTTGTTAGCCGGCACTAGGTGTGCAGTACAGAGCATATTATTCTGATTTTGTATGGTCTATGCTGACTGCCCATCTGTTTCCTGGTTCAGTTCAAGAAATTGGCCTGATTTGTACCTTTCAACCCCTAAATCTTGTGGCTCTAAGTGCCTTAAGAACCATTTCCCCCATATGTAACCTTTTGCATGGTCCACTACATATCTGAGACTGTGCTCCATTTGACCCTCCTAAATGAAATTATTTGGGTAGGCATCTTTTGGTTCTCTTTTGTGGCACAGGTCTATAGAATGTGCCTCCCCATCCTGTCCCAAAGGAAGACCTATATGCATCAGGCTTAGCATAGAAGGCTTTGGGCCTAATAAACCTCTTATTATTTGTTTTTCTTTATTTGTTTTCTTGCTCTATGGCTTGGAGAATCGCTTTTTTTAAAAAAATGTGTGGTTTTGAAGTGTGTTTTGCTTATCTTTGGTTAATTGCTTTGTGTTTTTATTGTTTAATTTGGTTGTTGCTAAGGCTGCTTTGTTTCCACCTTTGACAAAAGTGGGATACAAATTTGGGTAGGTATTCAACTAAATTTAACTCATAGTAGACCCATATAACTTAGTAATTAATTTCAATAGGTCTATTCTAAATAAAAAGTATTGGAATACCACCCATATAAAATAAAACAAGCAGTTAATATCTCATTAGGCCTCCAAACAAACATCCAGCACTAGAATACCATTACTGTTGACTCAGTATTCCTTTGGAGTAAAAATAAATTATGACCCAAGAAATGTTGATATAGTTAGTTTATATATGTCACAGAATTACATATAGCACTGCAGTATATAGACATTTGCAGCTCACATGGGACCTGTCCAGTGTGTTGTATTCAGTTTTTCCCTTCCAGCCTACTTACAGTAGTAATTGTAAGAGCCACAACACGCTGCAAAAACAGGATATCAGCTTGTGTCAAAAAGATCGGAGGAGGTTTTGAGGTTTTGATTTTTATCTTCACAGACTCTGCCTCCCCACTTTTTCTCTGTGTGTTTGTCTTACATGCATTCCCCAAAGAGAAAGAGAAGAGATGGCAGAGGCCGAGACACCGCTCTACGCCAAGATCTTGAACAAGTACAAAAACAGAACGACCCAGTCCTTACTGGAGCCTCTTTTGGCCGCTGAGTTCCCTGTACACACAGCGTGAGTATCTCTGGAGTTAAATTGCCATAAAGCCGTCTCTGATCTGTTTGCAAAGTTTAATCTGTAAACTAAAAGGCTGTGTGGAGCCATCAACATCACGGAACATCCCCTTCTGTATTGCAGCAAGCTCGGCCCTTGGGTTGGGTATCACAAGAGACTTATGGGTATGCTTAGATTTTCTTCGGCCAAACCTGTTGAAGGAGATTATTTGACATAGTTTTACCATAAAGTCATGATGTATTGTATTGACCAGTACGTTGCCGCTGCATATTGTTTCAGATTTGCCACAGCAAGAGCTGTAAGGGAGCCTGAAACCCCAGAATAGTTGGGGGTGTTTTTGTTTTTGTTTTTATATTGTGATTTTATGTTGTGAACTGCCCTGAGACCTGCACCTGCAGCTAAGCTCTCGACACAATGTTTTAAAAAGATAGGCCTTCCCTAGTGCCTTGCAATGAGCTCCCTAATCTAACTCATGGTGCTTAGTCACATCTCGTGGTGGCATTTTGAGGGAGGCCTAGCTGGAGATAACTTCCTCATAAGCTGGAGCAGTAACCATTTTTGACGTGACATTGGAACATTGAGATGGATGGAACAGCAGAAAGCATAGAGCACCTTGCTAATGACTATGGTGGGCATGTGATGCACATACAGTGGTACCTCGGGTGACAAACACTTCGGGTTACCAATGCTTCAGGTTACAAACTCCGCTAACCCAGATGTAGTACCTCGGGTTACAAACTTTGCCCCAGGAGGAGAACAGAAATCACGTGCCGGTGGCGCAGTGGCAGCAGGAGGCCCCATTAGCGAAAGCGCGCCTCAGGTTAAGAACCATTTCGGGTTAAGAACGGACCTCCAGAGCGAATTAAGTTTGTAACCCGAAGTACCATTGTAAGTCCATGCTGCTCACTTGAGAGAGGATAGAAATGTTTAGGGGAGTATACCATGCAATTCACTTTTTTTTTTTATGATAGCGGCAGCCGTGCAATATGTTTCCGAATTCTGGTTCCCAAATGAGCTCTGTGTGTCAGAGTAGCTCAGATTGAATGCCCCATTTGCTTGCTTTTATTCTTTCCTACTGTACTGCCTATATTTATATGCTGTCAAAGCACTCAAGATGGCTTACAGTTTAAAACAATGGCTTGTGATTTGAAAGACGTGAGAAAAAGGAACAGGAAAAGAAGTTACACACGTTCTGAAGTTACACAGTCAGGATTTTCTTCTGATCTCTTTTGAAACTTTGTGTCTCTAGTACTTGTGTTGCTGTGCTTATTTCTCGTATGAATGGAGCTGTATGATCACACATGAGCAGTGTTTTGCATACACAACATTCAACATGGAAACATTTTGCAGGCTTGCCACTTTTCAGTGATCCTGGTATGGTGTCTGTAATGGTCATCTGGCACGTAGAAATTAATCAGGTTAAATATTTCAGAGAGGTAAAGTGATGGAGAAAGCTTCACCAGTTTAATGTATTCATGTCAGGCTGCTTTTAAAGTCACAGGAACAAAACCATGAAGAGAGGGAAGAGGATGAGACCCAAAAAAGTGGGTGTAACATTTAAGCATATAAGGCTGCAACATTTAGTTGATTAAAAAATCTTCACATAGATTTAAAAGTTTCCCCAGTTAAACAGGAAATAGATTTTTAAACTTGAACTATTTTTAACATCATTGCTTACCAAAGTAAACCACAACAGCACAGGAGATGGAGAGTGTACCTGAGAAGAGGCACTGTCATGTATGCCTCTTTTAACCAAAACAATGGGTGCTTCTTTCTTCATAATGATAGTTGAGTCATTGACAGATTTGAGAGAATGAAAGTATTATCGACTAGGGGCGAATGAACTTGTTAATTTTGATTTTCTAAGTTTCTCATTTTTCCAATCTTATATTCAGTTCTCCACATTTCTGCTGCAATCTGCAATTATTATTATTATCATTTGCCAAAAAAGCCTAATGAATATTCTTTAGCATTTTACGGTGGTTTTCTAATAAACCCATGTTTGTATATAGTTTTGATTAATATATACATTTTTGCAAGCCATTTTCCCGAATAGAAAGCATTTTTGTTATTTTTCACTAATGTATGTGGGTTGGTTGGTTGGTTGGTTGGTTGGTTGGTTGGTTTTTTCACATTCCTCCCTATTGTATGCATTTTAGTACATATTATTTAGCTGGAGAACTTAATCGTAACATTCTGGGAACTATGAATTTTGAGAGATACCTGTGTTTCAGATTCTGTATTGGTTCAAAAAGTGCAAATTAGATCGTCTCTTATTAAAACATGGAATAAATTGGATTTCTCATCCATCTCTATTATCAATTCACGAGACTGTTCCAACCTCCTGTCAGTGCAGCTGCCAAAGCCACATACACACAACTTCACTGTCTCAGCAAAAGCCACATTTATCCATTGTCAGCTTCTCTGTGGACTAGGGATGGGGAATATGTGGCTCCCAAGATGTTGTTGGACTACAACTCAATCTTGCTTGACCATTGCCCATACTGGCTGGGGCAGATGGGAGTCAGAGTCCTACAAAATCTGGAGGCCTACAAAAGCACACCTTTCTGCAGCTGTTATCCCATTTGTGCTCATCATGTCTGTTTGGGGGGTTGCTGAATCTCATGGTTCTTTGTGTCTGGCAGGGTTGGAATAGCAAAACTGATCAGTTAATGAATCAAAACCCATTATGCCCAATCAACTACAATTTCTTTATTCAGGTGAAAGTCCTGGTGTTTGGAAAGTGGAAAATCGAACAACTTGTTAAAACACAAGATAGGCAGCCATATTCTTGGTTTCAGAATCTAAATTTAGCCGATGTAGTAAGTCATTACGTTCAGAAAACTTTCCCACAGCCAAATACCAGACGTGCAGCATACTGTTCAAGTGTGATTGTGGCCTTGTTTTCACATAGTGGGTTCTTTGTACTTTCCTCAGGCTAAAAGCTTTGGCAGCTACTGGGCAAAAGTCAGCAGAAGATGCCGCAAAGTGGTGAGTGTGCAAAAGCTGTATTTCTCAATGACATGAATTAGAAGGTATTGTTCCATCTTTTGTGTGTGTGTGGGGGGGGGGGTTTCCCACTAACACTGTATCTGACATTGTAGGAAATGATGCTACAAAATCGCAGCAAACTCAAATATATATTTCAGCAATGGAATGAGAAAATTCAGTATGGCAGCATGTTAGATTTGCTAATAATAATAATAATAATAATAATAATAGTAAATTTTATTTATACCCCGCCCTCCCCGGCCAGAGCCGGGCCCAGGGCGGCTAACACCAGTAAACTTATAGTAAAAACATAATAGGGGAAAAAACCAATTTAAAATACAGGTTAAAATGCAATTTAAAATGCAGCCTCGTTTTAAAAGTAGCCCATAGATCAAAACCATAAGGGGAGGGAAACATAAGGGTCAGACCAAGTCCAAACCAAAGGCAAGGTGGAACAGCTCTGCCTTGCAGGCCCTGTGGAAAGATGTCAAGTCCCGCAGGGCCCTAGTCTCTTGAGACAGAGCGTTCCACCAAGTCGGGGCCAGTACTGAAAAGGCCCTGGCCCTAGTTGAGACCAATCTAACCACCTTAAGACCTGGGACCTCCAAAATGTTGTCATTTGTGGACCTTAATCCCCTGACCCTGAGCCTTCTTCCCTTGGGGATTCCCCAGCTGGTGCCTCCCACCAGTCCTCTGCAACCAGGCAGTGAATGACTATGGTGGCTGGCCTGTTAGGGCAAATGGCGCTCTGCCCCACCAACCTCAATCAGTTCCAGCCAGCAGTACAACCTCTTTTAGGATGGCGGACACCACTCCATCCTGCAATGAAATGTTTACCACACCCTGAGCCCAACTAGCCTTCACCACCTCTGCTGAAAAAAGAAATTGGTGGGGAGTTTCCCCACCACTTTAAGATCACATCCTTCCTTTCTTCTTTGGCGATCGCTCGTAGCTGAGTAAGATTGTCTTCCGTAAACATGGTTTTAAAAGTGAGTCCATAAGTGACTGTGAGGCCAATTCTGGATCCACACGTCCTTCCACAGTGGGGACATAGGTTTCCAGGCGGGAGTTGATCATGGTGAGGGTTTGTCAAGCGTGCATTCCTCTTAGCGCATTTCTCCCTTTCGTCCTGAGTTCGAGCGTCTTCAGAACCCATGATACCTTTGGTAAAGGCTGTTCTCTAACTGGAGCACTCGCAGGCCACTGTTTCCCACTTGTTGATGTTTATACTTCATTTTTTAAGATTTGCATTGAGAGAGTCTTTGAAAGCCACTTCCGAGCTGGAGAGGAGGTGGGGTTGCGGGCCCACCCCCTCCCCATGCACGTGGGGGCTGGCTCACAGCCCCCGCGAGAGCAGGGGAATCCTCGGGCGCGTCACCGCCCCGGCCGGCCAATCGGCGAGCTGGGGAAGCGTGGCCTAGTACATTTTAGGCTGGCGCACCCGGGGACTTTCCTCTCTTCCCCGTTCTAGCTGCTTTGATTTCCCATCCCCCCCCCTTTAGGTTTAGCTAGCCCTGACCTTGCTATGGACTCCGGTTGGTCGCCGCAAGGGGCCTGGTAGGAATTTTTCCACTTGCCAAATTTCTAGGCATTTGGTTTTTTCACCTACCTCGTAGCAAACGTCACAACTACCCGGTATTGGGGGTTAGGCATTGGCAGGGGTAATTGTTATGCAAATGAAGGGGGGAAAGAAGCACCATCACCTTCTCCCAAAGCGAAGGGTAGTCCGGTAAAGGACTCTGGGGGGCGTTGCCCTGTCCAAAGCCTATGGAGGTGTGGGCCTAAGGCACGCCCCCAAGCAGTGACACCTGGGGGATCCTAGTTGGCGTACTTCAGCAGGACTCCCCCGGCTGGTGGTTAACCCTTCCCGGTCTCCATGCCGGGTAGTCGATAGGAACCAATGCCTAAGGCCAATACCTCTCAATTCCTGTAATCAATAAAGTTGTGGCCTTTTTACGCCCATTAACCTTAAATAATGTGTCCTGTGTCTTCATTTCACATGGGGGGAGGGGACTTGCCACGCAACCTCTTTTGTTGAACACCAGCATTACGCTCACCATTTTAAAGTTCGGAATAGAGTAGTTGCTTTGGAAGACGATAATCAGGCATCCGCACAACATGGCCAGTCCTACAAAGTCGATGTTGAAGAATCATTGCTTCAGTACTGGTGATCTTCGCTTCTTCCAGTACACTGGCATTAGTTCGCCTGTCTTCCCAGGTGATGTGTAAAATTTTTCGGAGACACCGTTGATGGGATCTTTCAAGGAGTTGGAGATGTAGTTTACTGCTCACAGAGCTACAGTTCTCAGCAATGTTAAAAAATTATGGTTTCCAGGATTTGGGGGTGGAGAGCCATAGTGTGGGTGCAACCTGTATGTTAAAAATGCCCTGCATCAGGTCCGGCACATACACGAGGAGAGGTGAAGCAGCTGCCTCAGGCAGCAGAAGCCCCCAAGGCAGTGTCCCTGCAATTACTGCCAGAGGAGCAGTGCCAGCATCTGTGCCAGTTTCTGATGAGATCACTTTGTACCACCATTGCAGCCTATGTACATAAAGTGTGAATCAGCTCTTGCAGAAGACCGTCATAAGTTTATCACTTCATCTCTACATTGTAGGTTGCATTCTCACTGCAATGATCCCTCACTGGAAGACCCAATCCCTCAGGAATATGCCCTCTATTTGTGCCCGACGGGTGCTTTGAATGACACACTGATGGAATTTTGGAAAGAAAGCAAAAACCAGTGTGGGAAAAACAAAGCCCATGAAGTTTTCCCACACATCACACTTTCTGAATTCTTTACGGTGAGTGAACAAAGTATTTATTGTGCTGACAATGACTGAAGTCTCTTGATTTAAGTCAAGGGTCAGCCCCAGAACCTATTTGCAGTGCTTGCCATTTTTTAATCCATTTTTACTTGGTTGTGTGCCTTGTTCTCATCATCTTAAGTGTGCCATTTCATCTATTTCCAGTGTTCAGGAATGAGTGTTGTTGCTTGCTTAGCCAAAAAAATACCACTGATTTACAAGAGAAAGGTATCAGACAACCTGGAGAAGCTCCAAAATTTACAGAAGTGCCAAAAGAAAAAGAAAAAACCCTTTGGGTGGGGGACTCTAAAGGGAGGGGGCTAAAACTGGCTCATATGGAATTAGCATACTCAGTGACCCTGAAAGGTCAACTGAACATTTTGAGAGCGTGTGGGAAAGCAGGTGGGTGGGTGACCATAATGGAGTCTTTTGGAAGAGGAAATGGCTGGCTGAAACACTTCACTGCAGAGTTTTGTTGCAGATCTCACTTGTAAATGGTGCCTGTGGCAAGGGGGTCCATTGAAATCCTGTAACTGGTGGGTTTTATTTCAGTGTGAAGACCAAAAAGTTGATGGCTTGTACGAAGCCTTGAAAAGAGCAGGCGACAGGTTTTCTGGTTACTTCCCGGCAATCATTTCCTTATCACTACACTCCTCCAGCACCTACATTGGCTTCTTCGTTAGCGACGGCCCAGCAAATGTCCTCAAGTCGTTTGCTGCAGCTTTTGCTTCAGAGGCTATCGTCTTAGCAGGTAACTACTTTGACAAACCCGTTGTCAAAGTTTTCCCTGTTTCATGTTGGCACACATAAGCAGAGAAGCTGCCCTCTCCATTTCAGTGTCACAAAAAGTTCTGCATGAGTTTGCATATTGTACAGGTTGCCTTTTTTCTGACATCAAGCAGCATCAGGCAGCCCCTTCTTGTGTGTAGCTTTGTGAGTGCACTGGAGCCTGCACGTGTGTGACTGCTTGTGTGTACTAGGGCTGCAATCCTACCCACTTACCTGGAAGTAAATCCCATTGAATTCAGTAGGTAGACACCCATAGGATTGCACCATAAATTGGAGCTATAATGCATTTTTCAAAATGACTTTTTTCAGCATAGTAAAAAAAAATTATAGAATACAACTCTGGAAATAATAGAATGAAAACTAATTTCATCCTTCAATACTATTTGACAGTTGTTGTTGTTGTTGTTGTTGTTGTTGTTGTTGTTGTAGATTGCTGTGTAAAACCTTCAACAAAGCAGCTCCATCTTACATTGGCCAACAAATTTTACCCTCACCATCAAAAGACTTTGGAACAACTGGCGAAATCGGTCAATTCTAAGCAAAGCTGCCAGTGGACAGCAGTTCTGTATTCCAGAGATATGCGCTTTGTACATTACCAGGTGTGTACACTACAAGATACTGAGGATGTGCACTGAACACAAGGTTTTCCTTATATCTGTATCTGTAGTTTTGGAAAGTAGCTTGATCTGTTTTGGATCCTCTCTGTGTCTTTCCAGTTCAATTCATTATTTGGAATCAAATTAGATCTGTTAAAAACAAAGTCCTACTACGACCCCCAATTCAATATTATGGGGTATCTGAAAATGGCTCTACTGCCCATCCCCCAATCACAGAAGTGGGTGAAATTTGCAGGCACAGCAACCGTTTTTGAGTGGGTTAATTGTAGGCAGATACGTTCAGGGGTTTGATTCAAAGCACCTCTAAAGTTTTAACAATAGAAAAGCGTATAACTTTTTTATTTTATTTTTATTTTTTTATTTTATTTTTTTATTTTTATTTATTTTTTTCTGTTAGTAGTGGATGGAATTCCAGCAATGTTGCCCCATCTGAGGAGATGACACTTGCTGAATTTCAGATTAATAGCTGCAGTTGTCCTCCTGCAAGTGCAGGCTTTACTCTTTCAGGTTGGGTACTAAAGGAATAATAGGATGTAGAGATGAGAAAGGGGCATGGATCCCCAGGAAAGACTAGGCTGGGTAAAGTGCAATCCCTCAGGAAGGACTCTGTTATTCCAAGAGGAAGAAAATGTTTTGTTTATTATTATGTTAGGTATTTTGTGTTTTTATACTATAAGCTACCCTGTGGTCCTTGGATGAGGGGCGGTATATAAATTAAGTAAATAAATAAATAAATAAGGCTTGTTGGGGGATGGGCTTCTGACACAAACCCTAGGATTTGGAGGGAGATATCTCTATTTACTTGCACAAATCCACATGAAACACAGACAGTGTTTAATTCCCTCTTCCACATTGCTGTGATTTGAATGTCTGGGGGAAATAATTCACTGTGTTTAAAAGCTAAACCTGTCCATCAAAATGAACTATCTGTCACCTCTCCAACCCATCTCCTCCCCTCTCAAGCTCTGAACATTTCCCTAGTTTTGGTTTTCATATGTGCTTTTGGATAGCTGAAGCCACTTGGAAGCTTAAAGAGTCCCCGAGTTAAAAGTGTGGTTCAACTCAGAAATGTGAGAAGACTCTCTGAATAAATTAACACCCATACTAGATACCTTACTCTTTGAAATTGGAAAAAACTTTCTGTGGGTGTTTAGTTGGTTAGATATAGAGTGCTAACCTTCGTGATAAGCTTTTGGCAATGCATCACTTTATTTTCATTCACGAAACAGAAATATATCCTTTCTTTTAGTCTGGCTATGTGGCATTCTACTCTGAAAAGTCATTTTGCATGCCATGAATTTTCTTGGAGAGCCCCAGATCCCTTGCACAAAAGAGAGGCCTCAGGTTCCGAAATTTCCCTGGTTTTGCTAACAGTGTTTATGCCACGGTTTCTCAGACCACTGATAGATATAGCGCTAGGGGTAGGTGAAAAGTTCAGTTCAGTTCAGTTCACATTTAAGGGAATTTGCACACAATGTGTGAACCACAACACAAATTTGCACTTCTCTGAATTTTGCAATGCAGTTCTCCTGCTAAGTAAAGTGTACAAAATGCATGTGTGTGTGTGTGTGTAAATGTGTATATTACTGAAGGTAACATTAAAAAAAAACCATTGTATTAGGGGAAATTGCTTTTAAAACTGATTTATTAAGCAAATGTGTGCAAATCTATGTATTCTAGGAGAATATTGCACTAAATTGCTGGTGAATTTTCATGAGCACTTTTTAAAAAAAAATGCTAATTGATATTGAAATGTGGGGAATTGAACTTAATATTTGGAAAACTGAGATAAATTAAAAAATGACATATTCACCCATCCCTGGTTTTTTTTTACTCCCACCTGTTTTTCTGAATTAAAGCTGCACTTTAGCCTTATACCAAAAAAGATCTATTTTTAGTGTGCATTGAGTGAATATACAGAGAAGAATATATGAAAGGCAGAAGCAGGTTGCTGTGTGGGGTAGAACCTCTATGTTAGCTTCCTGGCAAATGGACCATTGTAGCTTACCAGGAGGGAAAGGGGTCAGGTGTCGGAGAGGTCAGTACAGTGCAAATGCCCTGACAGAGGAACTGGATTGGTTCTGTCAGTGCATTTGCACTGCACCAACGACCTCAGCCCTCTCCGGTCCGGGAAACAATAGTGACCCACCAGCTAGTGCAGCGGTTTCATCCTTCTTGGTGAGTTGCTCAGCTGAAAAAGGCTTTTAACCTATTTTGTGATAAGCAGCTGTTTTCCATGACACATCATACTAACATAATCAGATAATCGCAGTTATACCATGAACAGTAAACCATGTGAGCTTCTCTTTCATTGAGCCCTAAGGTTTCTCCTGTTACAAATATAAACTGATTCAATGTCTCAAATAAAGTTGAAGCAGATGTCAACAATGTCTTCTTTTCCTGGATCTGACAAAACGTATCTCACATTATTGTTCTCCTCTTTAAAAATAAATAAATAATCAACTTCTCTTAGCTTTTGAGGGCCCTGTTCCAGTATAAGCCTCAGAACATTGATGAACTGATGCTGAATGTTGGGGATCTGGTTTATGTTGACCGGGCACAGCAAACAGAAGTTTGTGAAGGCTGGGTGATTGGCATCTCCCACAGAACTGGGTGCCGGGGATTTGTTCCTGAAAATTACACAGAAAAAGCCAACGAGTCAGATACCTGGGTCAAACACAGGTTAGTATTACTGAGCTTCAGATTTTTTTATGGCATATGTGCAAACTATTCCATATCATTCTCCACTTGTATAAGAGTTGAGTTGTTATTACCCTTCACTTTTAGTTATTAAATCAACCCTGTGCAGATTGATCCCTGTATAATAGACAATAATGTAGTATTCCACCATGCTGCATAAGTGCCAGAAAAGCTGCATAAGTTCAGGAATTATTAGCAAAGCAGCCAATGAATAGAAATGTGTCCAGACTTTGCATCCCTTATCTTTAGCATGTCAGTGCAGATTCATACAGTCATACATCGGGTTGTGAAGCGCCACGTCTGTGCACGCGTGTGACGTGATTCAGTGCTCCTGCGCATGCACGTGACATCATTTTGTGCTTCTGCACATGTGCGAGTGCCAAATCCCGGAAGTAACCTGCTCCGGTACTTCTGTGTTCGGTGCGGTCCCCAACCCGAAAACGCACAACCTGCAGTGTTTGTAACCTGAGGTATGACTGTATAATAGAAATAAGGGCTAGTTCTGGAGTTGTGTTTCTTACCTATTTTGTTATTTTGGAGATTTCCTGCAGCACCAATATCCAAAACAATTGAACTTGGGGGCATTCCCACCACATGTGGAGGTATGTGCCTATGGAGGTGTAGCCTCTCCAACACTTAGATGAGGTTTCTGGGTGTCAACAGTGCCAGCTTCCATAGTGTAAGGTACCATATATAGGTAAGTTTCAGACTGAGTAGTTCTCTTCATTTGGCTAAGATGGATTTAAATGGTGGTTTAGACCACAGTTTAGACCATTGGGTAGGGTTCATTTCGTATCCTATGTCATACATTGTCTTTCTAAGTGCTCTAGAAATTATCAAGTATCATCTCTCAAGGTGCCTTAGAAGCTAGCATTCTTGCAAGTTATTTGGAAGACTAGCTTTGTCTTACTAAGCACTCTAGAGGCTAGCATTATCTTTCTCAGACCTAGACACTAACACAGTTTTTCTAACAAGGTCCTTCTAACTCCCACACTCAGCTTGAATATTTGTAAATAAACAGATGTCACACAACCACCATACATCTCTATAAATCACAAAGAAAGTGGCACTTTAAGAGGCTGCCCTCTTTACCATGTAAGAAAATTGGGAACACAATATAGCAAATACCCCTGGAAATATACATTGGCTATATTCAAAGATTATCTGTTTCTACAATCTGCCATATTGTCATTTAGAGAACCCTTGTGGGCTCAACCTTCTTTGCAGAGATCCGTGGGTTTGGTCAGCCTGGAGGTGGCCTTGATGTCACATAGTGTGGACTTTGTGTTTGGTTTCAAAAAGAAGCAGGAGCCTGGATTTCTCCACTATTTTATTATCCCTCTCAGTCATTGGCATCCAACTTTCTTTTACAGAGAATATATGTTCACTCTGCATTCTAAGAATAAAAATGAGTCTTGCAATAAACTGAAAAACCCAAATCCTTTGCCAAGAAATGCAGGCAAAACACTTCCTCTTCAGGTAACTGGCTTTTGAATGTCTTCATCCTATGGAGTGTGCATGAATGATAGTGTAAGAAAAGCTGCTGTACAAAATAGGTTTGCGCAAGTAACATTTTATACAGTTTTGGGGTTTCACCATCACATGAAGTGTAACATTAAGAAACCTTCCCAGGCAGAAGGATTTCTGTTTTCAGAAGTAAACCAGCTTTCAAAACCTTGGGGAAGAGATAGGGAACCTGTGGCCCTCTGGGCGCTGTTGGACCTCAATTCCCATCACCCCAGACAGCATGGCTGATGGTCAGGGGTGATGGGAGCTGTAGTTCAACATCTGGAGCGTCGCAGGCTTCCTATCCCTGCCTCAGGGCTCTCTTATACATTATATTCAGATCTCCACAAGGCAAGCAGTTATTGTAGTCGGCGTGCGAAAGCATGTTGCTTTAATAGACTGTTTTGTACTCCTAGACTACGTCGTCTTTTGGTGGATTTATCATAAAAGCAACCCCAAATTCAGAATGGAGAAAAATAATCGGCATTGTGAGAATCTCAACTATCCAGCATATCTAGCTATGTTACAACCACTAGCCGTGATAGCTAAATGTGAACATCATGTTCAGAGGCACCATGCATCTCACCCTATTTGTGAGCCTCTTAGAAGCAGCTGGTTAAATTCTGCTGGGGACAAAATGTGGTTCCCCCCAGATGTTGTTGGATTCCAACTACCATCAACCAAAACCAGCATGGCCAATGGCCGGGAATGATGAGAGTTGTATTCCCCAGCAACTAGATGCCCACAGATTCCCCAGTCCTGCTACACTATATAGACCAGACTTTGTTTTGATTTAACATGGAAATTCCTACATTCTTACCACGATCTGAACTTGCACCATTTGTCCTAGTGACAAGAGTGTCAATGTCACTGGTTGATGCACTTAAAACTTATAGAAGTGCCATTTTGTAGAGGCCATGCCAGTGCAGCATGGTGCGAATAATACTTCTGCTCATTTAAACTTCTTGTTATCTAAAAGTTTCTGTCATTTTAATGAGCAGAGTTGTAATGCAATTTCTTCCAGCTCCCTGGGAAAAGCACAGTCCCAAGAGGCCTCTTGATTATTCGCCACGGAGAAAGGGTAGATCAAGTGTTTGGGAAGTCTTGGCTCCAGCAGTGTTTTGATGCAGATGGTAAGTAGAAGGTTGGGGATCTGATACAGCAGATTTGACCTAAAGCAATGTATCATATTAACAGTAATGAACAAACAAAAATGATTAGCCCATCTGCTCCCTGGAAACCCTGTTGAGAATGGAAATGATCTCTCTGTGAGTTCCCAAGTTGCCTTGAGTTTGAAATGGGTTCATCATAAATTAATAAAGCAGCATTTTCAGGGGCTGTGCAACTTATGCATCAGACTCTAAAATCAGTAAAAGTAGGCCAAGATAGGGTCTGGAAATCAAGCCTTATGAGGAACAGTTGAAGGAGCTGGGTATTTTAGCCTGAGGCGATATCCGATAGCCATCTTCAAATATCTAAAGTGTTGTCACATGGAAGATGGAGCAAGCTTGTTTTCTCCTGCTCTGGAGGGTAGGACTTGAACCAATGGATTCAAGTTACAAGAAAGGAGATTCCGACTTAACATCAGGAACATTTTCTGACAGTGAGGGCTTTTCAACAATGGAATGAGCTCCCTCAGAAGGTTGTGGACTCTCCTTCATTGGAGGTTTTTAAGCATAGGTAGCGTGGCCACGTGTCATGGATGCTTTAGTTGAGATTTGTGCATTGCAGGGGGTTAGCCTAGATGACCCTTGGGGTCTCATCCAACTCTACAATTCTATGATTCTATGACTCTATTGGATGGGTGGGGAATTGAGATTGTAATAGTGGTGGCATCCTAAGGACACCTAGGCCATAATGGATTAAAAGCAAACCTAAGCGAAATAAAATTAGATTTGCTGTGGATGTTCTGGCATTAGTTGTAAAAGCATTCTGAATTTGTTCCAGGAAAATATCATCGAGCTGACCTCAATTACCCCACCAGTCTACCAAATCGAAAAGATAGCATCAAGAACTTTGAATATGATCCTCCTTTATCATGTTGTGGTATTTTCCAGTCTAGACTAATAGGTAAGCTAAACAGAAGTTGGGACAACAGAAAGAAGGGCTTGGTGGTTCAGATTTTCCATAGTCAATCAGAGACCATGCTGGAGTAGCTTTCCAGAACTGTAAGCTGGACGTGGTATCTCACGATGAAGGTATCCAGCCACAATGAGCTTGTCCACCATAACAGCATTTAAGTCCAGTTCATATTGGATAACACAGGTGTCCTCAATCCATGATCTCATTCTCATTAATGACAGCAAAGTTTCTCACCAGAAATTAGCATCTCGTTTAACCAGAAGCCTGCATGAACCAAACTTTGGTCAAAACTTAAACAAGCAACTACTTCTTGGCAACACTACCAGATGTATCTGGGTGCCTTTTGCCGAACAGGTGGAAGATCTTGGTCACGGAGAAGGGCGTTGCTCAGGGCTGGCCAAAGATATATTGAGGCAAAGGACAAGATGCCCACCTAAGTTCAGCACTGGTGATGGGAAAGTGTTCTCCACTTTAACTGAAGGCTTCAAGCTAGCTTAGGCAAGCACAGGACCTGGCGTGGTACACACAGCTTTCTCCTCCAACTGAGGGAAATGGCTGGGGGGCTCGGGAGGAATGGCCTGGGGCTGCTGACCAGCTTTTAAGGCTGAGAATGACCACCTCATTCTATGTAATAATGGTAAGGGCAGCAATGAATTACTGGATAATATAGCACTCTATGAAGCGCTTGTGTGGGCCATGGAACTTCCATTTAATTTTACTTTCAGCTTACTTTTGGAAGAGCAAAAACATAGCAGCTCACAAGGGCTGTAATGTGGGGCAACACTAGTAGAAAGACAAACAGTAACTCAGAGTTAAACAGAAATAGGTGTGAATATATTTCAGGCAATAAAATGGCACCCTTTACAGAATTGTTTAATGAGAATCATAAATTTCGACCCAGTTTCCACAAAGACTCTAGTCTTCTTCATTGCTTCTTAATTCAAAAAGTATCCCTTGTGAGTCCATCCATTTCAATTGTATATTAGAACACAAAACAATTTGTGTTTTGGAATGAAAGCCCCCCACCCACAATCCATATAAACATGCTTTGCACCCATATTTTCTTTTTGTGAAGGATTTTTTTGTGCTTCTTTATTCTCAGGAGAAGCCCTGCTTGAGAAGGAAGTGATAGTTAGCTGTGTCTACTCTTCCCCAGCACTACGCTGTATCCAAACTTCTCAATATGTATTAGAAGGTAAGTGACCCTTTCTGAAAGAAAGGATGTATGGAACCAATCAAGGCTGAAGTGGTGTGCTGGCGTCTTAATTATTTTTAAGGAGAAGCATTTTCTCAGGGCCAGTTCTACCACTAGGCAAAGTGAGAAAGCCAGTTCAGGCAGTTGATTTGGTTGTTCTGTTAGGCTATATGCACACCATACATTATGGTTACCAGGCTTCCCTGTTTCACCAGGACAGTCCCCGGATTTACAAATATCTGTCCCCAGACAAAATCCGTCCCCGGAATGTCCCCGGATTTCATTTAATGTCCCCAGATTTATATTTTAAGTGTTGTAGATTTATTAGTAGGGAATGAATGTTGTGTGATTGGTTCAATGGCACAAGACACCTCATATGGGGGCTTCTGGCGAGGCAAAATGGTGGGCACCACGGCAGTGGGCAACTCCTGAAGCCAGCAAGAGCCAACTGCGCTACCATGCTGGCTCCGGGCTGCTGAGACGACTGCCGCCACTGCCGCCACTGCCGAGGGGGACCTGGGATGCCCAGCGTGTCAACTGAGGGAACCACTGACACACACACACACCCCGTGACCCAAATTGAGCTGGGAACAAGAGCGCCTGGCCACCCCAGCCGACTGCCCAGCTGCTCTCCGGGGCTAGGAAAACCCCGGAGCTGATGCAGGGAGAAGGAGGAGAAGAGAAGGAGAAGGAAGAGAGAGAAAGAGGAAGGAGAAAAAAGAGGGGAGCCCCAACCTTGCCACCACTGAAGAGGAGAGGTAGGAGAGCACCGGGAGGGCAAGGACACGTGGCTGATCCCAGCCCGACCTGAGGGAGAGAAACAGACAGACAAACAAAATAATTAACTTCTGGGACATTACTTATTCCAGATCACACCACATAAGACTTTTCCTAAGACTTTTTGAAATGTTTATTGAATGCAAGATTTGGTCTTAAACAGGTTCTATATGCTTTTCTTTGTTATAATATCGGCTTTCATTATTGCAGGGCTTCAAATGGAACAAAAAGCCAAGATTTGTATAGAACCTGGACTCTTTGAATGGACTAAATGGGAGATAAGCACAGTTGTTCCCTCTTTTATGACACAGAGAGAATTGACAGAGGCCAATTACAGTATAGATACCACATACAGGTAAGTGCTACAGTTACAGAAACCCAGTTAGCATATAATACTAAGCCAAACCATGGCTTAGCGCAAATGGGTAAATGTACAGGTTTCACTGTACTACTTCCCCCAGTCCTGTTGCTGCCAAGCTGCTCGTGGCCAAGCCATAGTTTGGCTTAGTGTTCTGCCTGAACCTCCACCAGCCGAACCACAAGTGGGAAACCAAGAACAAACCTTGGTTACAGCTCACGGTTCCTCTGGAGTGAGACAAACCATGAGCATGTTTCCAGAATGGTGCCTAAATGTTATGATGTGAGTGACTACCCAGTGCTGAACAAAACACTTCTCTTTATGGTCATCAGAATTAACATAATGTAGCAAGTGTGTTCTTATTCACTCAGGTAGGATAGTCTCTATTCATTGTCAGATGTAGTATTAATCATTTAATACTACAGTCGGGAATTAGATGGGAGTACTGCAAGCCAACTTCTAAGAAATTCAGCCCAATTCTATTTGCTCCTGTTGTCATTATGGTTTAGTGGCCACTACAACATCCTGTGAAAGGCAGACCTGGAAATGATGATTCACTTATCTCTGCAAGTGTGGAGTAATTCCTTTGCTTGTGTTCCTTGCTAGAGAAAAGGCTGTGCTAGTGCTAGAAGCTGAGGGCCCACATTTGTGTTGTTGGCCTTAGGACTGGAGCAAGAGAAGAAAACCCATTCCTTGCTTCTGCCCAACAGAAAGCCAATTGTTGGCTGATAAACATTAAAGTTGCCTTTATGCCTTGCTTATGTACTTTCCGAATGCATCTAGATGGTAACTGCTGGAAACAGAATTTTAGATGAATAAGATCATTGGTCTGATCCAGCAGGGCTGTTCTTAAATTCTTAAGTCCTATGTGTCTAAGTGATGCCCTTATTTATTTAACTTATTTATTATTTAGCAAAATGTCTACAGAGTATCCCTTAACTGTAAGAAAATCTATAAGCTGCTGCTGAATAGGCAGCACCAGTGGCTGGAACAAGCAAGTGGTATGGTGTAAGGGGAGGTCATTGAATCAAGGAGACAGAGTCTTCTTGGGCTTGGGCACCTAAGGCCAACTCTGTGCTCTGTTACAGTATGCAGACAAGAGCGTAGAAATAAGCTCTTCCAGTGCAATAAACCAATGCCTCTTTTAATGAGCTAGACAGCAGAAGGGAAGTGTAGTCTTGTCTCCATTGCAACTAGGGTTTGGGGGGAGAGGGGCAGGAGAAAACTGAGCTCTCTTAAATCAATGAGGTTGATAATACAGCCGTTATAGTGTATAATGTTGTCATATTATCTATGACTAAGCTTTATTTGCCCAAGGCCCATGTTATCTCTTACGCAGCCAATACTCTCTCATGTATGTACTCTAAGGCAGACACGTAGACACAGGCACACTGTGTCCCCCACCTCCCAGCTGCCCCATGCCCCCTTCCATTCACTGAATGATCAAACTGAAGATCAAGGAGGGGGTGATTTGCATCCCCATCCAAGCACTGGGCCTCACTTATCCTAGCACAGTGTGTACTTTCTATTATTTTCATTTTGCCACTGCTGCTAAAATTGGCAAGGTCTTTAGAGAGGCAAGAAAAAATGGCTCGGGGATCCAGATCAGACCCCCCCCCCAAACTACCCTTGATCTAGGCTAGTTGCAGAATATATCAAAGTAAAGGTAACACATTTTAAAACGAAATACATAACAAGCAAGTGTTGGGGAAGAATCAAGAGCAGTCGCTGCTAGTGCAATGATGGGTGTTGGTGGAGATACTTTAGAAGCAAAGCAGCTTAGATTCTATGATTAATCACATTTCTGAACAATAATACCATATATTATAGGTACAAAAAGTTTGCATACTTTGTAAGAAGTAATTATTCTTGCACTTTCATCAACCGTGCTTAGTCTTCTCTTTCTTAACCCTCTGTGGCAATGGAGTTCTGTGGTTCAGTGCAGTTTGCAAAACCTCAAACAGAACAGGAAACAATAACGAGCACAGGATCGATTGTAGCCTCGTAGCTTCCTCTTGGAGTCCTTTTGGCAAAAGGCTGCGGTGAATGATTCAACTGTGGAAATTGTTCAGCTGATAAAAAAAATGACTTGGGCTGACCATGTGTGTGCTCTGGGAGGGGGTGGGAAAACAACTCTTATCTGTTTGTTGTATGACTCAGCACAGAACAACATCCTCAGCTTTAAAGGGAGTTGTTAGCAAAATCATCCCCCCTCCCCTTTTATCAAAAGTAGTTTTACAACAATGTTACTTTCCAACCCTGGGCACCTTGGAAGGATAGAAAATTAATTAAGAAAACAAAATAATATAAATATTATATATTATATATAAATATATAAATCTTATAGAGGGGTTTTAGGGGGGCACAAATCCAAAACAACTTCTATACTTCAGTGACCTCAGGGCAGCCGGGGCATGTTTTGCTCATCAAATCCCTAAGGCTGCGAGGAAGGCTTGCTGGAAAAATACTTTTCTTTGTTGTTTGTTCCCCTTATCAAATCAATCCATTTATTACCACCAATAGACCAAAACACTGGAACCTCAGAGAAAAACAGATTCAAAAGGGTAACATAAAAACTTTTATATAAAGCTACAATAATTTCAAGCTAGTCCCTGAAGATGCTGTTTCAGATGTTGGGTATTTCTCTTGTTCTCACCACTACTGATAGAAATTTAGGCACTAACAGCAATACTTTGGGGGTTTTTATCTTCCATCAAATCCATTACAAAACAGAAGGACGTGTTCTATAGATTCTACCCCTTGATTATAAAGGGGCTTCCCTTTATAACTGCTGATCAGCTACATCAAGTCTCTTTCAAAGGTGCTGAAAGTGCCTCTTAAAGGAGGTTGCTGTTACTGCCAGTCACCTTAGTAGCTACAGCAAACTCCTTTGACTTTTGGCAGGTATCATTCACCTGACATCATGATGATATCAGGTGAGTGGTTCTGCCTACCTGTCAAAGTTGTCCCATACAGGGTTGGGGGAGATAAGGATCTGGCCCACTGGTGAAATACGGTTCCCCACTCATGCTATAAATGAACAATTTCCTAAAACCATCAAGCAGGTTAAGTGATGGAGCCTGGAATGGCATTCAAATGTTCCAAGCCTAACATTTCCTTTGAGCCAACGAATATTAACCAAGTGGATTTTGTTAACAGGTGTCATTTTCCTCTTTCTTCTCTGATGGCATCCGAAAGCTATGAGGACTACGTGAACAGATGCTCTGCAAGTATAAAACAGATTGTCGGCTCCTGTGCAACCGAAGGTAACTCTATGGTAACTCTTGATTTCATTGCTTTGAATCTTCAAGGACAGAATCACAAGCACAAGTTTGCTATTTAAAAAATGCCTTTATGGCAGCCAAAATATAGGCGGGCTAGAACATATGCAGACTTGAAGGTTCTCAAGCACCACTAGTACTTCTTCAGGGGTGGGAAAACCCTACCAGATGAGCGGGGTATAAATAAATCATCATCATCATCATCATCATCATCATCTCAGTCTAAAGGCCGCATTCCTTTCTCAGCAACCTTCCAGGAGCCACGTGTTGGTTTCTGCTTTCCTTCACTGTGCAGCTCTACTTGTCACGAGACAGGTGTTTACATTCCACAGTCTGTACTGTTGGAGTTTCTCACGGGAAAGGGAGACTGGATGTGACGTACACTGGTTTCCTGTTTTTCACTGTGTGATTCTCTCCGAGCTGTCGAGGAGAGAGGATGCATTTTCTGCTCCTGCAGAGGCAAGATGTCTTTCTGTAATATACCAGCTTTGAACTGTAAATAAAGCAATATAGAGTATGTAGCACGTATTGCTCATCCTTCCGCTGGGCACGACAGACTCTGCTTGGCAATGGTGGGAGGGGCCAGAGGCAAAAATGAGCAGAGCAATGAATGTAAATTTTACCTTTCCACTGTAGGCTAGTTTCTACACACACTCCTCATACAGCCCTCTTTAGCCTTCATCCAGGCAAGCAAGGGCCACTGCTTGAACGCAAGGGCACATTCCAGCCTGGCAAAAGCACACAAAGAGGTGCAAAGTAGTGCAAGTGAGATGGGAGGCTTGGGGAGAGTCCAAAGGGAAATGTGGAAGGCTGCATTTGTCCTCCTGCAGCACTGAAGTCCCGTCCCCCCCGCACTACTTTAATAAACTATTCTAAGGAGATCCCTTTCTAACAATAGGCACCATCCTGGTTGTTGGCCATGGCTCATCTCTAGATTCCCTCACTCGACCATTACTGGGTCTTCCTGCCAGAAAGAGCGGTGACTTTCCCCAGTTCATTCGAAAGGTAAGGCTCTCTCTTATCTATTGCATTTATAGCCCACCTTTTTATCCAAGGAGCTCAAGGTGGCATTTGTGGTTTTCCCTCCCCTCGTTTAATCCCTACAACAACCCTGTGAAGCGGTTAGGTTGAGAGGCAGGGACTTGTCCAAGCTCACCCCGTGAGCTTCAAGGCCAAGTGGGGATCTGAACCCCGGTCTACCAGGTCATTTCCCAACATTCCAACCACACTGGCTTTAAATAACTTGGTTGTTCAGGCTTGTTTGCCCCTATTATGTGCATAATCATCAGAGATTAAGACTTTTCTTGCCATAAGGACCATAGCAGAGAACATCAGTGGCAGAGAACATCCTTTGCAATGCAGGTTGTCCAGGATTCAATCCCTGGCATCTCAGGGAAGGGCTGGGAAACCTACCCCACCCCCCAAGATCCTGGAGAATCATTGCCAGTGAGAGTACTGGGTTAGAAGAACCAGTGGTCGGATTCTGTACAAAGCAGTTTCCTGCCTTTCTGCTCTGCATTCACAATGTTCACAAAATGTTCGCTCTTAGAAACAGAAGAAACTGCCTTGTGCCAAATCAGACTGGTTGCTCGCCTAACAATATTTATTTATTTATTTATTAAAATTTAGACACCGCTTGGTTGTGAAAACAAAACAAAATCTCAAAGGGGTTTACAAAAAGATAAAACAATAAAATGGGGGGGGATTAATAACTGTACCTTAAAACATACAAGTATTAAAACAGATTAAAATTACCTCAGCTTTCTAAGCATTTGTGTGGGCTTGTCTAAAGAAGAATGTTTTTAGCAGGCACCGAAAAGAGTTCAGTGAAGGTGTCTGTTTGATGTCAATAGGCAGGGGGTTCCAAAGGGCAGGTGGTGCAACACTAAACAATAAAGTTCTTACAAATGTGGAATGGGTATTATGTGGCACCTGTAGTGGTGCCAGTTCCGTCGATCGAAGCAGTTGAGTGTACACATGTGGGTAACAAAACAACAGGATTTCAGGCAGAAGTCAGTCATTACCCTCGCTTGATACCTAATCCTTTTAATTTGCAGTCAAGTGAACTATGCTTTCCCCCTTACCCTTGAAAATTACTAGAATTTGGCTGACAATATCCTTTGTGCTGTTAGTGAAGAAAGAGGGACCCACAGCATAATTATCAGCTCCTCTGAGCCACTTTATGCTGCTTAAATAACCTTCACTCCTTCAAGCCCTTGTGAGCTATTATTTGTTGCTTTTAAACGTCTCGAGTGACTTGCCCCTAACACTCTTGGATAATGAAAACTATTCAGTTACCTCATGGTGGTGTTGGCTTATATGGGGTAACTTCCTTTCTTGCCCTAAAAAAACCCCATCTTGAAATCTTTTCTGCTTTACTAGATTCCTTCACTGGGCATGTGTTTCTGTGAAGAGCTTAAAGAAGAGAAGAAATGGCAAATGATGAAGCCACCAGTCAAGATGTTAACCCATGGAGCAAATGCTCCATTCAGTTGGAAGCACAACCTTCCGGATCATTAAGCAATGTTCACTCAAATTGTGGATTTGTATTTTTCTGATTCAACAGAATCTCGCTGTTATTTCAAAACCTTGCTCTGCAGGCTGTTTCTTGGTCACAGCAAAATAATGGAATGGAACTTGGGAACTGGCTTTTACATTTTACGTGAAATGCATTTATGGTTTTTTGGTTTTGTTTCCATCTTTCTTCAACCGAGAAATAAAATCCACACATTTCACTTTTAACTGCATTTCTACTGTAATAAAGAGGCGTGGAATTTCCTCTGATTCCCACACTTGCTTCCATCAAATAACTGCAGCAGTAATTAGATACGGGAACTGTTAAATGCCTTACAGTTCTTTTTATGAAGCAAGAATAAAAGTATTGCTGTTGCTGTTGCAAAAACTGTACATCACTGATAATATCAAGTTCACATTTCAGTTCCATATCTGCCAGTGATTTCCTGAGTTGGCATTTGTGTGATAAAATCATGACGACTACTTTAGATTCTGTCCTCACTTAAATTCTAAGATGAAGCATTCTGCACACAAACACATGCTATAGACAGCATGTCTTCTGCTGACAAAATTCCATCTTCCCCTAGTCTTCCTCTCCCTTTCTTGCTCTATCACAACAGCAGATGGGAGGCGTTCAGGACAGCTCCTGGCTAACAGTCACTTTGGAGTATAGTGTGGATTGGGTCTGGCATATGATTGTTTGCTTTTAAAAGACTTAAGTGCCCTTGATCCACACACCTATTTTATCCACTGTTGCAGGTCCAGACACAATGGAGTCATGGGCAGTGGGGTCAAGGCATAATAAAGTTGCAATAACCACAAAACAACCAACTGGGATTTAAATAGGCCACAAATTTATTGATTACAGATGTCTGCAGGTTTTGGCATAAGCATTGGGTATGTATCCTGAGTCAACCAGCCCAGTTCATTATTTGGTTGTGTTAACCAAGGTTAAGGATTGCCCTATGATGTGCATTAAATCAAGGCAACCCCTCCAAGGTCACCATTTTGGGGGTGCTATGGCCCATCAGCCCCCTGTCTTGGGTATCCAGACAAAAGCACCTCTTCCTGGATCCCTTTAAGGGGATAAGCAGATCCTTTGGAGGCAGGCTATCCCCTGCCACTTAGACTAAGGATCCTGCCCAATGCTGATCTGCAACCTCCATTCTCCCCCAGCTGGCAGTAAGCAGTACTTGCCAATGGTAAAATAAGCTTGTGCAGGTTTTCGAAACACTAAAAAACCCTCCAAAACCAATTTACTGAAGGCAATAGTGGAATGTGTGTACACATTATGGGCAACTGAGCCTCTCTCAAGTTCTTAGACTAGGGTGGAAAACCTGTAAGCCTTCAAATGTTGCTAGACTACAATGCCCATCATCCCAAACCACTGGCCAGGCTGGCTGGGGCTGATGGGAGGTTCCCCATTTTAGTCTTCAACAACACCTTTCTCATGTCACCCTCTGGGGGAAAGCTGTCTAGGGCTGCTCCCAGATGACCTGTTTACTGGGATTCATTCTGATTTGTTTGTAGGAAGGTTATACAATGCTGCATCAAACAATCCCACACTTTTCAGTCCATTCCCCTATTAATTTCCTTTCTGCAAAAAGTCCAATTTTTTAAAGCAGGTTTGCTGCTCAAGAGTTCCAAGTTTACTTTTGTTGCATAACATGAGTTTGCTGATATGCTCTTGAATCCCACTCACAAAATTGTGACTGTCTGGAAGTGCCTTAGAATATCAGTAAAGAGGTTTCTGCTCTGCTGCTGGTTTTTTCAACCCTGGTCAATCAGAGAGAACTGCCAAAATATCTGCACAGTGCCTCCTCTGTAAGGGCCCTGCGCTTTCTCTCAACAAAGCATGCATCTTCTTTGGGGGTTTTATAATCATGTTCTTCTGGAAAACCCTACAAGCGAGTATCTCACATGTGCTTTATACATCATTTCTGAGACGCAGACTATGGCCTCAGGGCTGGCTATGGCCTCATTTGGCTGCCAGAGATAGAACAGAAAATGGCACACACCCAAGGCAGAAAATCCCACAAGTGTCTCTCCCTGGGAGTATAAAGATACAATAATGAATTAAATAACTAACAATTGCCTGCCCTTTCACTACATTCAAACTCAGCTGCCGGAAGTGGCTGCCACACTTGGCCTGAATGAAATCGGGATTTGGAGCCATGAGCCATTGCATGAAAGTAGATTAAAATGCTGAGGACAAGCAGTCTGATCTATAGTCCTGAGGCACCATAAAAGCTTGTGGGTAACTTTGTTGACTTTGGAATGATGACACCAGGTGTTGACAGAAGTTTGAATATTTGTTCTTAAATCTGCAATTTGAGAGTGCTTGTATAGCAAATCTAGGATGACATCTAGTGGACCAAAACAAAAATGAAGGCACTTGACATAACTGTTTGAAAACCTCATTTGGAATACACCTGGCTCACTGCAGCCAATCTGCAGAAATCTATTGGCAGCTCAGCGTAGCATGTTTTGTATCAACATGTTTTTAAAATATATATTTGTATTTATCATGTGTATTTTTTGTAATTTTTATTTTTTTCCCTGATAAAAATGTAGTACATGAGTCAGTCGTCATTTATTTCTGAGTACCCTATTACAGCTAACAGGGCAGTTCCAAAGGAAAACTGTATGTGTTTTTAGTGGAGGAAAAGGGGGGATCGAAGCTTTATTGATTTAGTGGTTGGCATCCAAGTGTCTGGGCATGGCCAAGGTGCTGCCAGGTTTGAGGAGGGACCAGATGATATGTTGTGGCATTTGCCAGTTCGTTTGAAAATGTCTGTACAGGAGGAGAGAAAGAGTTAATAGGTAGACCAATAGAAAAGCCAGAGGCGGAGCCTACCTGTTTATAAAAGGGGCTTAGCCCAATGTTTGGGTGTGAGTTAGTGGGGTTGGTTGGTTGGGAAAGGCAGTTGGGAAAGCAGTTGGCAGACAGCTGGAAACAGAGAGACAGTGCAGTTGGTTCTGGTGTGAGGGGAGGTAGAAGAGTTAGAGACAGGATAAAATAAGACTAAGAAGGTAAAGAGTAACAACGTTTTGAATGCGGTTAAAGTTTATTTGTATTTGCAATAAACTACACTCTTCTTTGTTAACTTAAGAAACTGACTGAGACTAAGTGTTTTACCAGGGAGGACCTGGTTGGTGACAGCAGATTAGTGGTGTACAGGTCAATAGTCCGTGAGACGACCGGGGGCTCCGTACGAACGCCACAGATGTCTTCTGCTCCCTTGGTCCCCCCAATCTAGCCACCTGCACTTCTTCCTCACTGCAGCCTTAAAGCTTCTTATTTCCTCCACAGGGAGGAAGAAATGCACCAGGGAGAAGGAGGTGTCTGAGTGCCAGGGTCACTCAGCATCATTTGTATAGCGCTAAATTGTAGCTTAACATTTACACCACCTATGTGTATGAAAACATCACTGTTGCTAACATAGGATCAAACGTGGAAGAGAACAGTTTTAAGTCAAAAGTACAATCTAGTCAATGCAGGTTTTCTTTTCCATTACAGAAAAGCAAAAGCAAAATGCCCACAGTCTAACTTGGTTCGGCTATATTCTGTATTTAATAATAATTTTAAAAAACCACACCCCAGAAACCATAGATTCAAGAACAACCAAACTTATATTTTATTCAAAGACATTTCAATTTAAAAAGAACATTTCTGCACCACCACCACCTATTTGATGGCAGGGAGACAGGATAGAAGAGGAGGAGCACAAGTGAGTGCTGAAGGAAGGGCAGACTTTTGCCCCTTGCCACAGCAGTGAGACTATTGCTGCCCCTTGAAATATGAAAGAAGCAGTTCAGATAATAAGTGCACTGCCAAAGGAGTATGGGCACAATCCCATCAAAATCAACTACTTTTAAGTCCCACTGGTTTCAATGGGAGAGTTAAGCATGTGAGTATACCTCAATTAAAACCAGCAGGACTTAACCTTGACTGGATTGAGCTTCATTTCTTTGTATGCAACATTTGTCACTTCTTTCCTTTAGTCCTGGGCCTCAAGTTCCTCCTCTTTTTCTTCTGCTATGACTGCAGCTGTGGCAAAAAAAGAAATGGAGGGAAAGAAGTACAACAGGGATGATTATTTATTTCTGAAATATCAGGCTTGTAACTCACACTATAGAAACACAGAATTAAAAAACCACCAGACCAGAATCATAAAGCTGGCCAAGGCGTCTTATGCCCCGTCCTAAGTGCAGCTTTGTGGTTGAACAGGAGCTGATGTAGTGACTTTTCCTCCCATTGATGCCAATGGGACAGAAAAGGATGGGAGCCTCCCTCTACCACCTTCCTGTAGCCTTGGACAGAGGGAGCCAGCTGGGCTTTATAGCTTCTTTTTTATTTTTTTGCAGCACTGTACTGCAGTGGAGCACTGTGGACTAGATTGTGTGACTTTGCAAGCAGGTAACCCTTGCAAAGCCTTGCTGGGTTAGATGTAGCTATGTCTTTACGTTGTTATCCATGTGTCTGTTTCCACAAAGAACATTTTTTGTCAACTTTATTGTCCATGATAACAAAATGGAATCTCTATGTACAAGGGCAGTACACCTCTAGGTACAAGGAAAAAATAGGATGCCAATATCCCGTCTAAGCAAGGGAGCAGCTTAATCACTCACTGCACCTTCTGTCTATCCCATGGGTAGGCAAACTAAGGCCTGGGGGCAGGATCGCCTTCTAAATCCAGCCCGTGGACGGTCTGGGAATCAGCATGTTTTTACATGAGTAGAATGTGTGATTTATTTAAAATGCATCTCTGGGTTATTTGTGGGGCATAGTTATTTGTTCTCCCCCCCCCCTCAAAATAAAGTCCAGCCCTCCCCCCCAGGTCTGCGGGACAGTGGTGAAAAAATGGAGAGTGGACCCTGCTGAAAAAGTTTGCTGACCCCTGCACTAGCCCTCACCTTGCTCTTCTTTAGCTGTCTCATCTTCTTCCTCAGCCTCTTTAGGAGGAGATGTCTCTTCAGTGGGCTCTGTTGCCTCTGCAGGTTGCTCAGTAGTTTCAGAAGGAACTTCAGTTGCAGTGTCATCAGCTGACGTGGAAAACAGAAAGAAAAAATAAAATGTTAGAAGAACAAAAGCATTGCTGCCCTGCTTATTAGCTTCATTTAGGTTACAAGTTATTGAGGCAACATTCTGGTCCTACGATAGTCATCATCAGCTTCCTTCCCATATCAAGCTTTTCTAAATTATTTTTGGTTTTTCTCCACATCAGCCTCATTTTGGGACAAGATAAAAACCCTTCTGTTTACCCAGGCCTTTGGAATTTAACCAACCTTCCCATGGGATAGTTTTTTCCCCCCAAGTGCCATAGTCGCACTATGGGGGAGAGGGAGGGAGATTTTAAGGGGGTGGGGGAGTCACAGCAAGGAACCCTCTCCTCATGTGGCAACCGTCCCCCTTCCTCAAATACCTGCTTCCTGCATGGCAATAAAGCTTGAGAAAGCCAGTCATTGTCACAATGGGAGGCTTTTTTAAAAAGTTTATTTACCAGCAAGTGAATGTGTATATGCATGAATATGTATGTGTGTGACATATATGAATTTTGTGTATGTACATGAATGTATGCTAACAGATGTGTGTGGGCATGTGTGTGCATGAAAGAGAGCGTGTGAGGAACCCCACTTTCCTTTGGGTCCACCCATCACCAGCATATAGCCATAAGAGAATATGGCTCTTGAGCGAAAACATCATTCTGCCTTGGCTATAGAGTTAACGGGGCTTTATTATTGATCCCCCCCCCCCATATTTGAATATACCCTCAATCTGTGTGCATGTTTTGTAAACCTCTGTTGCCATGCCACACAGGAGATCGCATTGACGTCCCCTATATCTAAGAAAGTTCCAATCACCTATGCGGGTCAAACAATCTCTGAATTTCTCCATGCACAGGTATTATCACGCAGCACATTCCAAACTGAGTGGTGGGATATATCCTCCATGCTCCTGGACCTAATTTTATTTAGAAATTCCTGCATAGTGCAGTATCATAAAACATTACATCTCACTAATGTTGCAAAATGTGAGACCCATTGAAATGAATGTAGTAGATGGACCACTTCAGTGAATAAAGGGTTGATCCTGCAGCAAAATACAAACCTGGAGGTGTTGGTTCTTCAACTATTGCAACCTCTACTGCTGGAGGAGGGGGAGGTGGTTCTTCAGGTGCCCAGAGTGTTAGGGCAGTAATTTTTGATGCTTTCCATTTTGGAATAGATGGAGCCATAACTTCTTCTTCCTCTTCTTCCTCTGGTTTTTCCTGAAGATCAGATGAATATCCAGGATACAGATTTGAATGAAAAAGGAAATGACCAGTCCTATAACTCATAACATATTTCTGTTTCATTATAAACACACACACACACACACACACACACACACACACACACCCTTCTTTCAACCTGCAACAATACACAGGCCCACATCAACACCACAGTCTTTGTTAACAGCTTTGGTTGCTCCAATGCCCCATCAAAGTGATCCAGAAGGAATCCTGATCCAGCCTCTGTTATAGACATTCGCTACAACACATGCCAGCTTTTAAACAGCTGTTCTGAGAGGCCCTTCTCTAATTGCTGCCATCTTGCTGCAATGACTAGAAATCAGAGCTTTGTGGCACAGGCACCCTGGTTGCAGGATACACTCCCCAGAGACACTTGTCTGATGCCCACAGTACTACTACTAGTACTACTAATAATTTTATTACAGTCATACCTTGGTTCTCGAATGGAATCCGTTCCGGAAGTCCGCTCGACTTCCAAAAACGTTCGACAACCAAGGTGCGGCTTCTGATTGGCTGCAGGAGCTTCCTGCACTCAAGCGGAAGCCGCCCCTGATATTCGGCTTCCAAAGAACATTCACAAACCGGAACACCCACTTCTGGGTTTGCGGCATTCAGGAGCCAGAATGTTCGAGTCGCAAGGCGTTCGGGATCCAAGATACGACTGTATTTATACCCCACCCATCTGGCCGGGTTGACCAGCATAGGTTTACTTGTTACATGTCAGCTATTTTCCTATGTATGATGGTACAAACTTGTCTTATCGAGGTAAAGACTGAGTGGTATTGTTCCCAAATACACCTGAAACTATGGTTTCTAACAGAACCAAGTTTGGATGTCAGTAGAAGCTGGTGCAGTGGAGAAGAGCTGCCCTTACAACACTGGTGTAGCTGCAGCTTACCTGGACAGTGCTGGGGTGTGGCAGGGCTGCATGGACACACTGGTGGAGCCAATCCAGCACTTCCATCGGTGTGTCTGCATAGCCCCAACCTTGCCGCCACCCCCTCCACCAGCCAGGTAATTTGCTGCAACTCTGGTGCTTGAAGGCAGCTCTGCCACACCATCCGCTACTATTGGATGTAATAGCAAATTGTGATTAGTTTTGAAGTGACAGCTTTTGAGCACATCCTTGTGGCAGGGAGAAGTTTGAGGCTTATGCAGGTGCATATAGAAGGAAGCTATGACTTGCCATTACATCCAAGGCAGCCCTTAAGATTTATCAACATCTTCATTTGTATGATTTGTAAGACTATCTTAGCTGTCTCTTAGTCATTGAGCCTAAGAGCAGCAGCAGCAGATATGTTCTATGCTTATGATAATGTTTTATTCTCTTGTTAATTATACTGTTTCAGATGTGCATTTTATATTTGATTTCATTTAGTAATGCTTTCTTTTGAAATGTTTAAGACAATTTTTGTTTGCTAACTTTACTGTGTTAAATGTGCATTCTGTATTTACCTCCTTTGCAATGTTTTAGTTTGAAATCTTTAAGATAATATTTTAGTCATGTTAATTATGTTCCTTTGAATGTATACTTTATATTAAACTTTCTTCAGTTATGTTTTATTTGATGTTTTGATGTAGGTTGTAAACAGCTTTGATTTTTTTTTCTTGAAACTATAAGGAGGTATAGAAATAAAACGAACGTTAATAATAAGACATAGCAGTACATTTGTAAGTGCTATATGAGAAGTGCAGATAAGAATCCTTTTAACGTCTCTTTATTGCACAGCCTCTCAAACATTCTTCCCAAAGGACCAGTAATATTTAGGTATGCATGCTACTGGCCATCCCAGCAGTGAGCCCACCCAATCAGTCTTCCTTGCCACCATCCTCCCCATGCTACTGCACTGCTCCAGACGTTCACTATAACCTAACAATATATCCATGTTGCTATCTGGAAACTCTAGGGCACAAAGAATTATTTCCCCCAATATTGCAGGGTACACAAACGGAATAGTGCCATTAATAATAAAAGTCTGCAAGAGATTGCAAGAATAAGTAGTTGTATTAAAATATATATATTAAAATGCAAATTATAGGTATATAATATCAACCAATGCTCTAAAGGATTAATTTCTGCCCCCCATACCCTCAAATGCCTTTCTAACTTATGTCACATGCAAGCAAACCATGCAGTAACACTCCATTTCAAAGCCAGAGGGCACCTCTGTTGTACTAGGCTGCTTGAAGATAAAGGCTTCAATGATTGGTTGCTTCTCATAGTTCTGCACAGAAGGCAGTTCTTTGCTGCCTCTTCTCCTGCTTTTGGTTTGCATGAGCTAGGCAAGTTGTGGAAAGGGAATCAAAGTGAACTATGAATTCCACTATACAAAGTCAAAAACTTCCATTTGCAGAAGAAGAAACAAAACACAAATTTGTTGAAAATAATGAAACGCGCATTCATTGAATAAGTGAGGCTTGCAGCACAAGATTCACAAAGCGTAGAATACATTTTTAAAATGAATGTTTCAGTTTTGGAAAACTGGAGCCATAGTTTGTAATATGCTTTGCCAAAGGCCGATTCCTCCCCATAGCCCTGTACAGAAGGCCATTGCCTATTTTGCAGGATAGAAATAAGGGGCAAGAACATTAATATCAGATCTTGAATTCAACAACTTTTGCAGATTTGAATACTAGTAATTCACAGTTCACTACTTAATAAAATATATTAATATTCAGATTTGAGTTACAGATTTTAAAGGCAGTATTTAATCATTTTTTTCAAAAGAATAATACTCTATTCATTGAAAGCTAAACAGCAAGCTTATGAGAGTCATTCATGTCAGGTGCCAATAACAGGAATACACATATCAAGAATCTGGTTCTCATCCTGGAGGCTAAGCATTCACAACACTCACGGAACGAAAGTCCAGTCATGCTGGAAAGTACAGGTGCCAAAGTCTTACTATCATTAGATATTTCTTATGATAACCCCAGTGTTTATGTGAACATAGCAAAAGGAGTTGGGAGGATAGCAAGCAGGTACTGTGTGGAATCCATGGGCGTTTATTCTGATTTCTTTGTGCATCCTAATTTGTGCAGCCGTTATATGCTACCACCATCTAGTGGCTGTTTATCTTACTGCAGAAAGTATGGTAAGAAAATAGATGTGAACAAATCTGAACGAATGCTCAACAAACACCAATTGGAAGCACCCCTGGGATTGCTAACAGCAACTGGCTGAAAGAATAGAGTATCTATCCTTCTCACCTGGTGAATGCAAGTCTATATGAATTAAGCATTGCAAGCAAGTAGAATTGTTACTCTTGCACTTAGATGTACAGCAAAGGTCCTATTTCTCAATCAGGCTATTGTTCAGTCACTCATTAGTTCTAAGATATATAATGAATGGGTTCTCCAGTTGTTACCATTTGTAGTGTTTACCTCGTGGATGTATTCGCCATGTTGTTCACATCCAATATCAAATATATACTTCCCAGCACCCAATGGCTGTAGGAAAAAACAAACAAAAATTAGTATTATTTTGACAATATCAAATCCTAAACTGTATTCTTTAGCATACATGGCTGTGGCGATCACACAGGGCCCCCGGACGTTTCACGGTCTATTGACCCTGTGCCACCACTGCGACTGCTTTCTTCGCTGCCACCACCCCGCTTCTCACGGGGACACACGGAGTCCAGACAGTTGTTAACATAAACAAATAATCAAGTTTATTTTTAAATGCAGGAACAAGCGTATGGTTTCGGTTTATTTTTCTCTTGTCAGTTTCCTAATCTTAGTTCCTAACAACTCCAAACTGAATTATTCCCAACTATCTATCTGACTCAACCTAACAATTCCTCTCACCCTCTCACAATACAACTCTGCCAACCCACACCTAAGCCTCCCTTTTCCTTCTCCAACACCCAAGCCTCAACTCCCAACTCCCAAACCTCAACTGACTTTCAAAACCTCCCACTCTATCTTTTGCTCCCCCCTTGCATTCTCACTGGCCAATCACATCACACCCCTTTTAACCCTTTCCTTGACCCATCCTAGGAGGCAAACGCCACAATGGCATCTATCAGTGATGTCTTTCTGCCGTCTAACATAAGAAAAACAGATCACTCTTCATGTAAAAAAGGGACAGAGATTTAACATCAGAAACCAAATACCCAATATTCAGAAACCAGTGACAGAACATCACAGCCTCCCAAGACTATTGATCTAAAAGTGGCTGTTCTTATTTAGCATAATTATCACAAACAACATTATTTGCATTTCATTTCCATCTGAACCTGTGTTTTTTTACCAGACTCATGTATATAACTCCATTCCTTAATGCTTATGCCATTATCAGTGTGATGGACCATAAGGTTCCATAGGCACTTAGTTGTTCTTGCTGTAGCTGTTCAAAAATGTATATACCATTTACCAAAATAAAAGCACACATTCTCAGAGCAATCCAAGCCTCTTCAGGAGCTGCATGTGGACAGATGGAATCACCTCCAGACAAAAGTAAATGAAACAAACTTGCTTACCTGAGGCTTTGCTTCTGGGTGAACACTGGAGATCCTGGATATCAAGACTATTATGTATGGGTTTGGGGGATTTAAAAAATATACCTTCCAGCCTAATTATTGAGTGATGGTGCAGCGTCTGGTGGGAATATGGCAGGGAGTTATCATAGTACTGCTTCAATTTCAAGGATTGTGCAGATGTATAGTTTTAGTTGAACATCTGGCTACCATCTAGATATTGGGCCTCTGCTTTTCAGCACCTCCAGAAGTTCCTGGTGTCTTATCTGCCTCGGAGGGATCAGGCTGGGTCAGCCCTGGGGCCCCATTCAACACCCATTTCCATAGCGACGATTCCGGCCTCACAGGGGTTGGGCTGGGGCCCCATTGGAAACAGAGGTAACCTAGACTGACCCCTGTGAAGCTGTAAAAATCACTCAGGAAACCGGTTCTGTGATGGGGCCCAGGAGTCACCCAGCCTGATCCCTGGAAGGCCAGAACCGTCACTCAGGAAATGGGTTGTACAACGGGATCCCAGGGGTCACGCACTCTGACCCCTTTGATGCAGGAGGGGTCACTATGGAAATGGCACCATCGCTATGGAAATGGGTTATAGGTTGGGGACCCAAGCATGACCCAGCCTGACCTCAGCGAGCTCAGGACCTTCGCTCAGGAAACGGGTTGTGTGATGGAGTCCCAAGGGTCACCGAGCCTGACCCCTATGAAAAAGAAACTGTCACTATGGAAACAGGGCCGTTGCTATGGAAACGGGTGCTAGGTTGGGGACCCAAGGGTCATCCAGTCTGACACATGCAAGCTCACGACCTCCGCTCGGGAAACAGGTTGTGAGACGGTGCCACAGGAGTCACCCAGCATGACCCCTGTGAGGGAGGAATGATCACTATGGAAACAATACTTTCACTAAGGAAACGGGTTATATGTTAGGGTCCGACAGGTCACCCAGCCAAACCCCTTCGAGCTCAGGACTACCACTCGGGAAACGGGATGTGTGACGGGATACCAAGTGACCCAGTCTGACCCCTACGTGGCAGGAACCGTACTATGGAAACAGGACTGTTACTACGGAAACACGTTATACATTGCGGCCGGACAGGTCACGCAGCCTGACCCATGAGAGCTCAGGACCATCACTCGGGAAACGAGTTGTGCGAAGAGGTCCCAAGTGTCAACCAGCCTGACCCCTGCAAGGCAAGAACTGTTACTATGGAAATGGGACCATCGCTATGGAAATGGGTTGTGTGTTGCGGCTGCACAGGTCACCCAGCCTACGCCTGCGAAGGGTTACTGAGAGGCAGATCACTGAGGCTACTGATCACTGAGAGGCAGAGACCGTCACTATGGAAACAGGACCATTGCTATGTAAACAAGTTGTATGTTGTAAGTTGCATGTTGGGGACCCAAGGGTCAATCAGCCTGACACTTGCGAGCTGAGGACCATCACTGGGGTTTTGTGATGGAGTCCCAAGCATAGAATCATAGAATCATAGAATCACAGAGTTGGAAGAGACCACAAGGGCCATCGAGTCCAACCCCCTGCCAAGCAGGAAACACCATCAGAGCACTCCTGACATATGGTTGTCAAGCCTCTGCTTAAAGACCTCCAAAGAAGGAGACTCCACCACACTCCTTGGCAGCAAATTCCACTGTCGAACAGCTCTTACTGTCAGGAACTTCTTCCTAATGTTTAGGTGGAATCTTCTTTCTTGTAGTTTGGATCCATTGCTCCGTGTCCGCTTCTCTGGAGCAGCAGGAAACAACCTTTCTCCCTCCTCTATGTGACATCCTTTTATATATTTGAACATGGCTATCATATCACCCCTTAACCTCCTCTTCTCCAGGCTAAACATGCCCAGCTCCCTTAGCCGTTCCTCATAAGGCATCGTTCCAGGCCTTTGACCATTTTGGTTGCCCTCCTCTGGACACGTTCCAGTTTGTCAGTGTCCTTCTTGAACTGTGGTGCCCAGAACTGGACACAGTACTCCAGGTGAGGTCTGACCAGAGCAGAATACAGTGGCACTATTACTTCCCTTGATCTAGATGCTATACTCCTATTGATGCAGCACAGAATTGCACTGGCTTTTTTAGCTGCCGCGTCACACTGTTGGCTCATGTCAAGTTTGTGGTCAACCAAGACTCCTAGATCCTTTTCACATGTACTGCTCTCAAGCCAGGTGTCACCCATCTTGTATTTGTGCCTCTCATTTTTTTGCCCAAGTGCAATACTTTACATTTCTCCCTGTTAAAATTCATCTTGTTTGTTTTGGCCCAGTTCTCTAATCTGTCAAGGTCGTTTTGAAGTGTGATCCTGTCCTCTGGGGTGTTAGCCACCCTCCCAGTTTGGTATCATCTGCAAATTTGATCAGGATGCCCTTGAGTCCATCATCCAAGTCGTTGATAAAGATGTTGAATAAGACAGAACCCTGTGGCACCCCACTAGTCACTCTTCTCCAGGATGAAGAGGAACCATTGATGAGCACCCTTTGGGTTCGGTCAGTCAGCCAGTTACAAATCCACTGAGTGGTAGTGTCAGGGCTGCCTCAAGTCTCAGCTCACAAAAGACCAACACCAATTTCTTCTTATATACAAAAGTGTTTATTGGAGTTCATTGTTTGCTTCACATCCGAGGCGCGCAGCCCCACGTCTGTTACCCTTAGACCGTTGAAGTCCCCTCTGAGTCAGTCCCTCCCCTGCACCAGTTTAAGAGGCTTGCGCTGCTCCACCTCTTCCTCTCTTTCCTTTCCGCAGGGTCTTCCTGCCCGCTGGGGTTTCGCCCCTCCTGGATTCCCCTGACGCGGAATCCCCAGATTGCTCTTGCCCCCTCCTGCAGGCTTTGGGACCTGGCTCCTCCTCCGGGCTCCCTGTACTTCCGCGCGCTCCACATTTGAACTATGGCGCGCGCCCAACCTCTAACTTTCCTTTTGACAGTTACACTACTCCCTTCACTACTCCCTCCTTCCGGGAGGGTGGCTTGCTCCGACCTCCCTCCCTTCTCTGCTGCCGGAGCTGCTTCCCCTGATACACTGGAACCTCCACCCCTTCGCTGCACTCTGGCGGGGAGGCTGGTCCTGACGCCCAGCTGCCACTTTGGGATCCCCGCTGGCCCCCTGCTCCTGACACGTCCCCCTGGGGCTCCCTGGCCTTGACCACCGGCGCCCCCCTCTGGGAATCCTCTGATTCGCTGGAAAGACTCATGGAATCTCTTGAGTCATTGTCATCCTCTTCCTCGCTGTCCTGGGATTCATCCCCATCGCTCTCCATCTCCTGCCTACCCTGTGCCTCTGTCCCTGAACCCCTGACAGGTAGCATAGTCAAGACCGCATTTTACCAGCTTCTTTACAAGAATATCATGGGGCACCTTGTCAAATGCCTTGCTGAAATCAAGGTAGGCTACATCCACTGCGTTCCCTTCATCTACCAGGCTTGTAATTCTGTCAAAAAAGGAGATCAGGTTAGTCTGACATGACTTATTTTTCAGAAATCCATGCTGACTATTGGTGATCACAGCATTCCTTTCTAGGTGCTCACAGACTGTTTGCTTAATGATCTGCTCCAGAATCTTCCCTGGTATTGATGTCAGACTGACTGGGCGGTAATTATTTGGGTCCTCTCTTTTCCCCTTTTTGAAAATAGGGACAACATTTGCCCTCCTCCAGTCTGCCGGGACTTCGCCTGTTCTCCAGGAATTCTCAAAGATGACTGCCAGTGGTTCCGAGATCACATCTGCCAGTTCTTTTAATACTCTTGGATGCAGTTCATCTGGCCCTGGAGACTTGAATACATCTAGACTAGCCAAGTATTCTTGTACTATCTCCTTGGTTATTCTGGGCTGTGTTTCCTCTGCTAAATCATTTGCTCCAAATTCTTCAGGTCGGGCATTGTTTTCTTTATCGGAGAAGACTGGAGGCAAAGAAGGCATTGAGGAGTTCAGCCCTTTCTGTGTCCCCTGTTTGCATTTCACCATCTTCTCCTCTGAGTGACCCCACTGTTTCTTTGTTCTTCCTTTTGCTACGAACATACCCATAAAAGCCTTTTTGTTGCTTTTAACCTCTCTAGCAAGCCTGAGTTCATTCTGTGCTTTAGCTTTTCTGACTTTGTGTCTACACGTGCTGGCTATTTGTTTGAATTCCTCTTTGGTGGTTCCCCCCCCTTTCCATTTTTTGTACACATCCTTTTTTAATCTTAACTCAGTTAAAAGTTCTTTAGGTAGCCACCCTGGCTTCTTTAGGCACCTTCCATGTTTCCGTCTCATTGGTATTGCCTGAAGTTGTGCTTTTACTATCTCCCTCTTAACAAACTCCCAGCCATCATGAACTCCCTTTCCTTTTAGTATTACTGTCCATGGGATCTCACCCAGCACTTCCCTAAGTTTTATGAAGTCGGCTTTCTTAAAGTCAAGAAATTGAGTCCTAGTATGCTTGGCTGCTCCTTTCCGCTGTATAGTAAACTTCAGAAGAGCATGATCACTCGCGCCTAATGATCCTTCCACTTCTACCCCACTAACCAGGTCATCAACATGGGTTAGGACCAGATCTAAAATGGCTGTTCCTCTTGTTGCTTCTCCCACTTTCTGGACAATGAAGTTGTCTGCAAGGCCAGTGAGGAATCTGTTTGACCTTATGCTCTTGGCTGAGTTTGACATCCAACAAATATCCGGGTAACTGAAGTCCCCCATTACTACTATCTCCCTTCCTTTTGCATGCTTGGCCATCTGTTCCAGGAACAGATGTCCTCCGTTTGTCTTGGGGATCTATAGTAAACTCCCACAATGAGGTCACTGTTATTCTTCTCTCCCTTAATTTTGACCCAAATGCTCTCACTTTGGCTTTGAGGTTCTAAATCTTGGATCTCTTCACAGGTATACACATCCCTGACATATAACACCACTCCTCCTCCTTTCTTGTCTGGTCTGTTTCTCTGAAATAGATTGTATCCCTCCATTATTACATTCCAATCGTGGGACTTATCCCACCAGGTTTCAGTGATGCCTATTATGTCATATTTAGTTTGCTGTACCAAGAGCTCAAGCTCATCTTGTTTATTTCCCATGCTTTGCACATTAGTGTACAGACATTGAAGTCCATTAATCATTCCCCCATGTCTCTTATTTAAGGATTTTTTCCTCCCACCACGACCCCTGCGAGGTAAGAACCATTGCTATGGAAACCAGACCATCGCTATGGAAACTGGTTGTAGGTTGGGGACCCAAGGGTCACTGAGCCTGATCCTTGTGAGCTCAGGACCACCACTCGGGAAACTGGTGATCAAGACTGATCCCTACTAGGCAGGAACTGTCACTATGGAAACAGGACCGTCCCTATGGAAACAGGATGCAGGTTGGAGCCGCACAGGTCACACAGCCTGAACTCTGCGAGCTCAGGACCTTCACTTGGGAAACGGGTTGTGAGACCTACCCCAGAGGTCACCCAGCTTCACCCCTGCGAGGCAGGAACCGTCACTATGGAAATGGGGTGCACCTTGGGGCCAAAAGTCACCCAGCATATGCCTACAAGGTCTGGACCATCACTCAGGAAATGGGTTGTGTGACGGAGTGCCACGGGTCACCCAGCCTGACCCCTGGGAGGGACCATCACTATGGAAACGGGACAGTCGCTATGGAAACAGGTCGGGACCCAAGGGTCTCCCAGGCTGACCCTTGCGAACTCGGAACCATAACTCAGGGGACGGGTTTTGTGACGGAGTCCCGAAGGTCACCCAGCCTAACCCCTACGAGGCAGGAACCGTTGCTATGGAAACGGGACTGTAGCTATGGAAACGGATGCGAGCCTGACCTTTGCAAGCTGGGGACCATCACTTGCGGAACGAGTTTTGTGACAGAGTCCCGAGGGTCCCCCAGCCCGACCCCTGTGAGGCAGGGACCGTCGCTATGGAAACGGGACTGTCGCTATGGAAACGGGTTCGTCGCTATGGCTTTAAGTTGCTGCCGCACAGGTCACCCAGCCTAAGCTCTGCGAGCTCAGAAACTTCGCTCAGGAAACGGGTTGTCCGACCGGGCCCCTGGTGTTACCCAGCCTCACTCCTGCCAGGCAGGAACCGTTGCTATGGAAACAGGACCATTGCTGTGGGAAAAGGTTTTAGGTTGGGGACCCAAGGGTCTCCAAGCTTGACCTTTGCGAGCTCGGGAACATCACTTGGGGAACGGGTTTTGTGACGGAGTCACAAGGATCACCCAGGCTTATCTCTGTGAGGCAGGGACCGTCGCTAGAGAAAGGGGACAGTCGCTATGGAAACAGATTCGTTGCTATGGAAATGGGTTTTACCTTGGGGACCCAAGGGTCTCCAATCCAGACCCTTGCGAGCTGGGGACCATCACTCAGGAAACGAGTTTTGTGACCCAAGAGTCCCAAGGGTCACGCAGCCTGATCCCTGAGAGGCAAGGGCCGTCGCTATGGAAACGGGATGTCGCTATGGAAACGGGCTTTAATTTGCTGTCCGACAGGTCACCCAGCCTGAGCTCTGCAAGCTCAAGAACTTTTCACAGGAAACGGGTCATCCAACCCTTGGGGTTACCCAGCTTCACCACTGCGAGGCAGGAACAGTCGCTATGGAAACTGGACCGTTGCTATGGAAACGGGTTTTAGTTTGGGGACCCAAGGGTCTCTGAAGCCTTGAGAGCTGGGGACCATCACTCGAGGAACCGGTTTTGTGACGGAGTCCCGAGGGTCTCCCAGCCTGACCCCTGAGAGGCAGGGGCCGTCGCAATGGAAATGGGTTCTAGGTTGGGGACTCAAGAGTCTCTGAGACTGATCCTTGAGAGCTGGGGACCATCACTAGGGGAACAGGATCTGTGATGGAGTCCCGAGCGTCACCCAGCCTGACCCCTGTGAGGCAGGGACTGTCGCTATGGAAATGTGACAGTCGCTATGGAAACAGGTTCATCACTAGATTGGGGACCCAAGGGTCTCTGAACCTGACCCTTGCGAGCTGGGGACCATCACTCTGGGAACGGGCTCTGTGACAGAGTCCTGAGCATCACCCACCCTGACCCCTTGAGGCAGGGACCATCACTATGGAAATGGGTTTGTCGCTATGGAAACGGGTTCTAGGTTGAGGACCCAAGGTTCTCCCAGCCAGACCCTTGCGAGCTCAGGAAAATCACTCACGGAACGGGTTATATGACTGGGCCCCTGGGTCCACCCGCCTGACTGCTGCGAGGCAGGAACCGTCGCTATGGAAACAGGACCGATGCTATGGAAATGGGTTTTAGGTTGGGGACACAAGGTTCTCTGAACCTGACCCTTGCAAGCAGGGGACCATCACTCAGGAAACGGGTCATGCAGCCGGACCCCTGTGAGGTAGGAACCATTGCTATGGAAACATGACTGTTGCTATGGAAACGGTTTCCGAGCCAGACCCTTGCGAGCTGGGGACCATCACTCAGGAAACGGGTTTTGTGACAGAGTCCCAAGGGTCACCCAGCCTGATCCCTGAGAGTCACAAGGAGTCACAAGGATGACCCAGCCTTATCTCTGTGAGGCAGGGACCGTCGCTAGGGAAAGGGGACAGTGGCTATGGAAACAGATTTGTTGCTATGGAAATGGGTTTTAGCTTGGGGACCCAAGGGTCTCCGATCCAGACCCTTGCGAGCTGGGGACCATCACTCAGGAAACGGGTTTTGTGACAGAGTCCCAAGGGTCACGCAGCCTGATCCCTGAAAGGCAAGGGGCCGTCGCTATGGAAACGGGCTTTAAGTTGCTCTTGCACAGGAGAAACCAGAGGCCTTCCTCCTGGGCATAGTCGGCCAAACGGGTGTTCAACAGGGCCCTAGAACTTTCACTTATGTATGCAGCAACCAGCAGGCAAGAATACTCTATCGCAAAGTATTGGAAGACACAAGAACTTCCCACGCTGGAGGAATGGCAGATGAAACTTATGGACTATATGGAATTGGCGGCAATGACTGGTAGAATCCAGTGACCAGGGAGACAGAGTCGATGGAGGAAGATTGCGAAGAAATTTACAAGACTATCTTCAGAAACATTGCAAGATTAGGGAATCGTTAGGAGTGAGTGTTGGACTGGAAACTAAGCGGTCTCCAGCTGTACACGGTTAAAGCTAATGATAGACTAAGATTAAAGACTAGGATTAAAGATGCTTATAGAAATGGAAATTTGATATTAAGAGGAAGAATTTTAACGTTATATGATACTAGAGACTAAAGATCAGGCTTAAAGAAGTTGAAGTTATATAGTTTAATATCTTAGTAAAGCTGAAGATTGGGATTAAAAACGTGGAAAAGAAATTGCTGGACCAACAATTTGGATCTGGAATACCACAAGAGGAGGTAGGAGGAAGTCCAGAAAATCAGTAACTAAAAACGGATATGGAAAAGAGATATTGTTTGGAATTGCTATGTTTCTGGTTCTATCATTGCGAACTTTGACTTCGCTTGTGGTGTGGGTCTTTGCTATATGTATTGTGTATGCGTCTTTTCTCTTGTTGTTTAAACACTTTAATAGAAACTATCTAGAAAAAATAGTAATAAGTTGCTCTTGCACAGGGTCACCCAGCCTGAGCTCTGCAAGCTCAAGGACATCACTCAGGGAATGGGTTTTCCGACTAGGGACCCTGGGGTCACCCAGCTTGCACTACTGCGAGGCAGGAACCGTTGCTATGGAAACATGACTGTCGCTATGGAAACGGGTTCTAGGTTGGGGACCCAATAGTCTCCGAGCCTGACACTTCCGAACTGGAAACCATCACTCGGGGAACGGATTTTGTGACGGAGTCCTGAGCGTCACCCAGCCTGACCCCTTGAGGCAGGGACCATAGCTATGGAAACGGGACTGTCGCTATGAAAACAGGTTCGTCGCTATGGAAATGGGTTTTAGGTTGGGGACTCAAGGGACCCTGAACCTGACCCTTTCGAGCTGGGGACCATCACTCGGGGAACGGGCTCTGTGACGGAGTCCCGAGCGTCACCCAGCCTGACCCCTGTGAGGCAGGGACCATCGCAATGGAAACGGGACAGTCGCTATGGAAACAGGTTCGTCGCTATGGAAACGGGTTCTAGGTTGGGGACACAAGGGTCTCCAAACCTGACCCTTGCGAGCTGGGGACCATCACTCGGGGAACGGGATATGTGACGGAGTCCCGAGCAGCACCCTGCCTGACCCCTTGAGGCAGGGACCCTCTCTATGGAAACGGGACTATCGCTATGGAAATGGGTTTGTCGCTATGGAAACGGGTTCTAGGTTGAGGACCCAAGGGTCTCCCAGCCAGACTCTTGCGAGCTCAGGAAAATCACTCACGGAACGGGTTATACGACTGGGCCCCTGGGTCCACCCAGCCTGACTGCTGCGAGGCAGGAACCGTCGCTATGGAAACAGGACTGATGCTATGGAAATGGGTTTTAGGTTGGGGACACAAGGGTCTCCGAGCCTGACCCTTGCGAGCTGGGGACCATCACTCGGGGAACGGGTTTTGTGACGGAGTCCTGAGCGTCACCCAGCCTGACCCCAGTGAGGCAGGGACCGTCGCTATGGAAACAGGACAGTCGCTATGGAAACGGGACCGTTGCTATGGAAATGCGTTTTAGGTTGGGGACCCAAGGGTCTCCGAGCCTGACCCTTGTGAGCTGGGGACCATCACTCAGGGAACGGGTTATAGGACCGGGCCCCTGGGTCCACCCAGCCTGACTGCTGCGAGGCAGGAACCGTCACTATGGAAACAGGACGGTTGCTATGGAAATGGGTTTTAGGTTGGGGACACAAGGTTCTCCGGACCTGACCCTTGTGAGCAGGGGACCATCACTCGGGGAACGGGTTTTGGGATGGAGTCCTGAGCGTCACCCAGCCTGACCCCTTGAGGCAGGGACCATCGCTATGGAAACAGGACAGTCGCTATGGAAACGGGACCGTTGCTATGGAAATGGGTTTTAGGTTGCGGACCCAAGGGACCATTGCAATGGAAACGGGACAGTCGCTATGGAAACAAGTTCATCGCTATGGAGACGGGTTCTAGGTTGGGGACCCAAGGGTCTCTGAACCTGATCCTTGCGAGCTGGGGACAATCACTCGGGGAACGGGCTCTGTGACGGAGTCCCAAGCATCACCCAGCCTGACCCCTTGAGGCAGGGACCATCGCTATGGAAACGGGACTGTCGCTATGGAAACAGGTTCGTCGCTATGGAAATGGGTTCTAGGTTGGGGACTCAAGGGTCTCTGAACCTGACCCTTGCGAGCTGGGGACCATCACTCGGGGAACGGGCTCTGTGACGGAGTCCCGAACATCACCCAACCTGACCCCTTGAGGCACAGACCATCGCTATGGAAATGGGACTATCACTATGGAAACGGGTTCGTCGCTATGGAAACGGGTTCTAGGTTGAGGACACAAGGGTCTCGCTTGCGAGCCCTTGCGAGCTCAGGACCATCACTCAGGGAAGGGGATATACGACCGGGACCATGGGTACACCCAACCTGACCGCTGAGAGGCAGGAACCGTCGCTATGGAAACAGGACCGTTGCTATGGAAATGGGTTTTAGGTTGGGGACACAAGGGTCTCCAGAACCTGACCCTTGCGAGCTGGGGACCATCACTCGCGGAACAGGTTTTGTGACGGAGTCCCGAGGGTCACCCAGCAAGACCCCTGCAAGGCAGGAACCGCTATGGAAACGGGACTGTCGCTATGGAAACAGGGCAGGTTGGGGACCCAAGAGTCTCCGAGCTAGACCCTTGCGAGCTCGGGACCATCACTCAAAGAATGGGTTTTGTGACAGAGTCCCGAGCGTCACCCAGCCTGAGCCCAGTGAGGCAGGGACCATCGCTATGGAAACAGGACAGTTGCTATGGAAACGGGACCGTCACTATGGAAATGGGTTATAGGTTGGGGACCCAAGGGTCTCCGAGCCTGACCCTTGCGAGCTGGGGACCATCACTCGGGGAACGGGCTCTGTGACGGAGTCCCGAGCGTCACCCAGCCTGACCCCAGTGAGGCAGGGACCGTCGCTATGGAAACGGGACTGTCGCTATGGAAACAGGTTCGTCGCTATGGAAACGGGTTCTAGGTTGGGGACCCAAGGGTCTCCGAGCCTGACCCTTGCGAGCTGGGGACCATCACTCGAGGAACGGGTTTTGTGATGGAGTCCTGAGCGTCATCCAGGCTGACCGCAGTGAGGCAGGGACCGTCGCTATGGAAACAGGGCAGTCGCTATGGAAACGGATTCTAGGTTGGGGACCCAAGTCTCCGAGCCTGACCCTTGCGAGCTGGGGACCATCACTCGGGGAAAGGGTTTTGTGATGGAGCGTCACCCAGAGTGACCCGAGTGAGGCAGGGACCGTCGCTATGGAAACAGGACAGTCGCTATGGAAACAGGTTCATCGCTATGGAAACGGGTTCTAGGTTGGGGACCCAAGGGTCTCTGAACCTGACCCTTGCAAGCTGGGGACCATCACTCGGGGAACGGGCTCTGTGACGGAGTCCCGAGCATCACCCAGCCTGACCCCTTGAGGCACAGACCATCGCTATGGAAACGGGTTCGTCGCTATGATAACGGGTTCTAGGTTGAGGACCAAAGCCAGACGCTTGCGAGCTCAGGACAAACACTCAGGGAACGGGTTATGACGGACCCGAGTCACCCAGCCTGACTGTGAAATGGGACTATCGCTATGGAAACAGGTCCGTAGCTATGCAAATGGGTTATAGGTTGGGGACCCAAGGGTCTCCGAGCCTGACCCTTGCGAGCTGGGGACCATCACTCGAGGAACGGGTTTTGAGATGGAGTCCTGAGCGTCACCCAGCCTGAGCCCAGTGAGGCAGGGACCGTCGCTATGGAAACAGGACAGTCGCTATGGAAACGGAAGCGTTGCTATGGAAATGGGTTTTAGATTGGGGACCCAAGGGTCTCCGAGCCTGACCCTTGCGAGCTGGGGAGTATCACTCGAGAACCGCGTTTTGTGATGGAGTCCCTAGGGTCACCCAGCCTGACCCCTGAGAGGCAGGGGCCGTCGCTATGGAAACAGTACCATCGCTATGGAAACGGGTTCTAGGTTGGGGACCCAAGTCTCCGAGCCTGACTCTTACGAGCTGGGGATCATCATTTGGGAAACGGGTTCAGTGAGGGAGTCCCGAGCGTCACCCAGCCTGACCCCAGTGAGGCAGGGACCGTCGCTAGGGAAACAGGACTGTCGGTATGGAAACAGGTTCATCGCTATGGAAACGTGTTCTAGGTTGGGGACTCAAGGGTCTCTGAACCTGACCCTTGAGAGCTGGGGACCATCACTCGGGCAACGGGTTTTGTGATGGAGTCCTGAGCGTCACCCAGCCTGACCCCAGTGAGGCAGGGACCGTTGCTATGGAAACAGGACAGTCGCTATGGAAACGGATTCTAGGTTGGGGACCCAAGAGTCTCCGAGCCTGACCCTTGCGAGCTGGGGACCATCACTCGGGGAACGGGTTTTGTGATGGAGTCCTGAGCGTCACCCAGCCTGACCCCAGTGAGGCAGGGACCGTCGCTATGGAAACAGGATAGTCGCTATGGAAACGGGACCGTTGCTATGGAAATGCGTTTTAGGTTGGGGACCCAAGGGTCTCCGAGCCTGACCCTTGCGAACTGGGGACCATCACTCAGGGAACGGGTTATACGAATGGGCCCCTGGGTCCACCCAGCCTGACTGCTGCGAGGCAGGAACCGTCGCTATGGAAACAGGACGGTTGCTATGCAAATGGGTTTTAGGTTGGGGACAAAAGGTTCTCCGGACCTGACCCTTGCGAACAGGGGACCATAACTCGGGAAACGGGTTTTGTGACGGAGTCCTGAGCGTCACCCAGCCTGACCCCAGTGAGGCACGGACCGTTGCTATGGAAACAGGACAGTCGCTATGGAAACGGGTTCTAGGTTGGGAACCCAAGAGTCTCCGAGCCTGACCCTTGAGAACTGGGGACCATTACTCAGGGAACAGGTCTTGTGATGGAGTCCTGAGCGTCACCCAGCCTGACCCCTTGAGGCAGGGACCATCGCTATGGAAACAGGACAGTCGCTATGGAAACGGGACCGTTGCTATGGAAATGGGTTTTAGGTTGCGGACCCAAGGGACCATTGCAATGGAAACGGGACAGTCACTATGGAAACAGGTTCGTTGCTATGGAAACGGGTTCAAGGTTGGGGACCCAAGGGTCTCTGAACCTGACCAGTGCGAGCTGGGGACCATCACTCAGGGAACGGGCTCTGTGACGGAGTCCCAAGCATCACCCAGCCTGACCCCTTGAGGCAGGGACCATCGCTATGGAAACGGGACTGTCGCTATGTAAACAGGTTTGTTGCTATGGAAATGGGTTCTAGGTTGGGGACCCAAGGGTCTCCGAGCTGGACCCTTGCGAGCTGGGGACCATCACTCGAGGAACGGGTTTTGTGATGGAGTCCTGAGCGTCATCCAGGCTGACCGCACTGAGGCAGGGACCGTCGCTATGGAAACAGGGCAGTCGCTATGGAAACGGATTTTAGGTTGGGGACCCCAGTCTCCGAGCCTGACCCTTGCGAGCTGGGGACCATCACTCGGGGAACGGGTTTTGAGATGGAGTCCTGAGTGTCACCCAGCCTGAGCCCAGTGAGGCAGGGACCGTCGCTATGGAAACAGGACAGTTGCTATGGAAACAGGTTCATCGCTATGGAAACGGGTTCTAGGTTGGGGACCCAAGGGTCTCTGAACCTGACCCTTGCAAGCTGGGGACCATCACTCGGGGAACCGGCTCTGTGACGGAGTCCCGAGCATCACCCAGCCTGACCCCTTCATGCACGGACCATCGCTATGGAAATGGGACTATCGCTATGGAAACATGACTGTCGCTATGGAAACGGGTTCTAGGTTGGGGACCCCAAGAGTCTCCGATCCTGACCCTTGCGAGCTGGGGACCATCACTCGGGGAAAGGGTTTTGTGATGGAGCGTCACCCAGAGTGACCCGAGTGAGGCAGGGACCGTCGCTATGGAAACAGGACAGTCGCTATGGAAACGGAAGCGTTGCTATGGAAATGGGTTTTAGATTCGGGACCCAAGGGTCTCCGAGCCTGACCCTTGCGAGCTGGGGACCATCACTCGAGAACCGCGTTTTGTGACAAAGTCCCAAGGGTCACCCAGCCTGACCCCTGAGAGACAGGGGCCGTCGCTATGGAAACAGTACCATCGCTATGGAAACGGGTTCTGGGTCGGGGACCCAAGTCTCCGAGCCTGACTCTTACGACCTGGGGATCATCATTTGGGAAACGGGTTCAGTGAGGGAGTCCCGAGCGTCACCCAGCCTGACCCCAGTGAGGCAGGGACCGTCGCTACGGAAACAGGACTGTCGGTATGGAAACTGGTTCATCGCTATGGAAACGTGTTCTAGGTTGGGGACTCAAGGGTCTCTGAACCTGACCCTTGAGAGCTGGGGACCATCACTCGGGCAACGGGTTTTGTGATGGAGTCCTGAGCGTCATCCAGGCTGACCGGAGTGCGGCAGGGACCGTCGCTATGGAAACAGGCCAGTCGCTATGGAAACGGATTCTAGGTTGGGGACCCAAGAGTCTCCGAGCCTGACCCTTGCGAGCTGGGGACCATCACTCGGGGAATGGGTTTTGTGATGGAGTCCTGAGCGTCACCCAGCCTGACCCCAGTGAGGCAGGGACCGTCGCTATGGAAACAGGATAGTCGCTATGGAAACGGGACCGTTGCTATGGAAATGCGTTTTAGGTTGGGGACCCAAGGGTATCCGAACCTGACCCTTGCGAGCTGGGGACCATCACTCAAGGAACGGGTTATACGACCGGGCCCCTGGGTCCACCCAGCCTGACTGCTGGAGGCAGGAACCGTCCCTATGGAAACAGGACCGTTGCTATGGAAACGGGTTCTAGGTTGGGAACCCAAGAGTCTCCGAGCCTGACCCTTGCGAGCTGGGGACCATCACTCAAGGAATGGGTTTTGTGATGGAGTCCTGAGCGTCACCCAGCCTGAGCCCAGTGAGGCAGGGACCGTCGCTATGAAAACAGGACAGTTGCTATGGAAACAGGTTCATCGCTATGGAAACGGGTTCTAGGTTGGGGACCCAAGGGTCTCTGAACCTGACCCTTGCAAGCTGGGGTCCATCACTCGGGGAACGGGCTCTGTGACGGAGTCCCGAGCATCACCCAGCCTGAACCCTTGAGGCACGGACCATCGCTATGGAAATGGGACTATCGCTATGGAAACGGGTTCGTCGCTATGGTAACGGGTTCTAGGTTGAGGACCCAAGACAGACGCTTGCGAGCTCAGGACAAACACTCAGGGAACGGGTTATACGACCATCGCTATGGAAATGGGACTATCGCTATGGAAACATGACTGTCGCTATGGAAACGGGTTCTAGGTTGGGGACCCCAAGAATCTCCGAGCCTGACCCTTGCGAGCTGGGGACCATCACTCGGGGAAAGGGTTTTGTGCTGGAGCGTCACCCAGCGTGACCCGAGTGAGGCAGGGACCATCGCTATGGAAACAGGACAGTCGCTATGGAAACGGAACCGTTGCTATGGAAATGGGTTTTAGATTCGGGACCCAAGGGTCTCCGAGCCTGACCCTTGCGAGCTGGGGACTATCACTCGAGAAACGGGTTTTGTGACGGAGTCCCAAGGATCACCCAGCCTGACCCCTGAGAGACAGGGGCCGTCACTATGGAAACAGTACCATCGCTATGGAAACGGGTTCTAGGTTGGGTACCCAAGTCTCCGAGCCTGACTCTTACGAGCTGGGGATCATCATTTGGGAAACAGGTTCAGTGAGGGAGTCCCGAGCGTCACCCAGCCTGACCCCAGTGAGGAAGGGACCGTCGCTACGGAAACAGGACTGTCGGTATGGAAACTGGATCATCGCTATGGTAACGTGTTCTAGGTTGGGGACTCAAGGGTCTCTGAACCTGACCCTTGAGAGCTGGGGACCATCACTCGGGCAACGGGTTTTGTGATGGAGTCCTGAGCGTCATCCAGGCTGACCGGAGTGCGGCAGGGACCGTCGCTATGGAAACAGGCCAGTCGCTATGGAAACGGATTCTAGGTTGGGGACCCAAGAGTCTCCGAGCCTGACCCTTGCGAGCTGGGGACCATCACTCGGGGAACGGGTTTTGTGATGGAGCGTCACCCAGCGTGACCCGAGTGAGGCAGGGACCATCGCTATGGAAACAGGACAGTCGCTATGGAAACGGAACCGTTGCTATGGAAATGGGTTTTAGATTCGGGACCCAAGGGTCTCCGAGCCTGACCCTTGCAAGCTGGGGACCATCACTCAGGGAACGGGTTATACGACCGGGCCCCTGGGTCCACCCAGCCTGACTGCTGCGAGGCAGGGACCGTCGCTATGGAAACAGGTTCATCGCTATGGAAACGGGTTCTAGGTTGGGAACACAAGAGTCTCCGAGCCCGACCCTTGCGAGCTGGGGACCATTACTCGGGGAACAGGTTTTGTGATGGAGTCCTGAGCGTCACCCAGCCTGACCCATGAGGCAGGGACCATCGCTATGGACAGTCGCTATGGAAACGGGACCGTTGTTATGGAATTGGGTTTTAGGTTGCGGACCCAAGGGACCATTGCAATGGAAACGGGACAGTCGCTATGGAAACAAGTTCGTCGCTATGGAGACGGGTTCTAGGTTGGGGACCCAAGGGTCTCTGAACCTGACCCTTGCGAGCTGGGGACCATCACTCGGGGAACGGGCTCTGTGACGGAGTCCCGAGCATCACCCAGCCTGACCCCTTGAGGCACGGACCATCGCTATGGAAACGGGACTATCACTATGGAAACGGGTTCGTCGCTATGGAAACGGGTTCTAGGTTGAGGACTCAAGGATCTCGCTTGCGAGCCCTTGCGAGCTCAGGACCATCACTCGGGGAACAGGTTAGACAACCGGGCCCCTGGGTCTACCCAGCCTGACTACTGCGAGGCAGGAACCGGCGCTATGGAAACAGGACCGTTGCTATGGAAATGGGTTTTAGGTTGGGGACACAAGGGTCTCCAAACCGGACCCTTGCGAGCTGGGGACCATCACTCGGGGAACGGGTTTTGTGACGGAGTCCCGAGGGTCACCCAGCCTGAACCCAGTGAGGCAGGGACCGTCGCTATGGAAACAAGACAGTCGCTATGGAAACGGGACCGTCACTATGGAAATGGGTTATAGGTTGAGGACCCAAGGGTCTCCGAGCCTGACCCTTGCGAGCTGGGGACCATCACTCGAAGAACGGGTTTTGAGATGGAGTCCTGAGCGTCACCCAGCCTAAGCCCAGTGAGGCAGGGACCGTCGCTATGGAAACAGGTTCATCGCTATGGAAACGGGTTCTAGGTTGGGGACCCAAGGGTCTCTGAACCTGACCCTTGCGAGCTGGGGACCATCACTCGGGGAAAGGGTTTTGTGATGGAGCGTCACCCAACTTGACCCCAGTGAGGCAGGGACCGTCGCTATGGAAAGAAGACAGTCGCTATGGAAACGGAACCGTTGCTATGGAAATGGGTTTTAGGTTGGGGACCCAAGGGTCTCCGAGCCTGACCCTTGCGAGCTGGGGACTATCATTCGAGAAATGGGTTTTGTGACGGAGTCCCAAGGGTCACCCAGCCTGACCCCTGAGAGGCAGGGGGGTCGTTATGGAAACAGTACCATCGCTATGGAAACGGGTTCTAGGTTGGGGACCCAAGGGTCTCTGAACCTGACCCTTGCGAGCTGGGGACCATCACTCGGGGAACGGGCTCTGTGACGGAGTCCCGAGCATCACCCAGCATGACCCCTTGAGGCACGGACCATCGCTATGGAAATGGGACTATCGCTATGGAAACGGGTTCGTCGCTATGGAAACGGGTTCTAGGTTGAGGAGCCAAGCCAGACGCTTGCGAGCTCAGGACAATCACTCAGGGAACGGGTTATACGACCATCGCTATGGAAATGGGACCATCGCTATGGAAACATGACTGTCGCTATGGAAATGGGTTCTAGGTTGGGGATCCCAAGAGTCTCCGAGCCTGACCCTTGCGAGCTGGGGACCATCACTCGGGGAAAGGGTTTTGTGATGGAGCGTCACCCAGCGTGACCCCAGTGAGGCAGGGGCCGTCGCTATGGAAACAGAACCATCGCTATGGAAACGGGTTCTAGGTTGGGGACCCAAGCCTCCGAGCCTGACCCTTACGGGCTGGGGACCATCACTTGGGGAACGGGTTCAGTGAGGGAGTCCCGAGCGTCATCCAGCCTGAGCCCAGTGAGGCAGGGACCATCGCTATGGAAACAAGACAGTCGCTATGGAAACAGGTTCGTCGATATGGAAATGGATTCTAGGTTGGGGACTCAAGGGAACCTGAACCTGACCCATGTGAGCTGGGGACCATCACTCGGGGAACGGGCTCTGTCACGGAGTCCCGAGCGTTACCCAGCCTGACCCCTGTGAGGCAGGGACCATCGCTATGGAAATGGGACTGTCGCTATGGAAACGGGTCGGGGACCGAAGGGTCTCCGAGCCTGACTCTTGCGACCTGGGGACCATCTCTTGGGGAACGGGTTCTGTGACGGGGTCCCGAGCGTCACCCAGCCTGGCCCCTGTGATGCAGGGACCATTGCTATGGAAACGGGACAGTCGCTATGGAAACAGGTTCGTCGCTATGGAAACGGGTTCTAGGTTGGGGACCTAAGAGTCTCCGAGCCTCACCCTTGCGAGCTGGGGCCCATCACTCGAGCTACGGGATTTGTGATGGAGTCATGAGCGTCACCCAGCCTGAGCCCAGTGAAGCAGGGACCGTCGCTATGGAAACAGGACAGTCGCTATGGAAACAGGTTCGTCGCTATGGAAGTGGGTTCTAGGTTGGGGACTCAAGGGACCCTGAACCTGACCCTTGTGAGCTGGTGACCATCACTCGGGGAACGGGCTCTGTGACGGAGTCCCGAGCATCACCCAGCCTGACCCCTTGAGGCACGGACCATCACTATGGAAACGGGACTATCGCTATGGAAATGGGTTCGTCACTATGGAAACCCGTTCTAGGTTGAGGACCCAAGGGTCTCCCAGCCAGACCCTCAGAACAATCACTCAGGGAATGGGTTATATGACTGGGCCCCCGAGTCCACCCAGCCTGACTGCTGCAAGGCAGGAACCGTCGCTATGGAAACAGGACCGTTGCTATGAAATGGGTTTTAGGTTGGGGACACAAGGGTCTCCGAGCCTGACCCTTGCGAGCTGGGGACCATCACTCGGGGAACGGGTTTTGTGATGGAGTCCTGAGCGTCACCCAGCCTGACCCCAGTGAGGCAGGGACCGTCGCTATGGAAACGGGACTATCGCTATGGAAACGGGTTCGTCGCTATGGAAACGGGTTCTAGGTTGAGGACCCAAGGGTCTCCCAGCCAGATCCTTGCGATCTCAGGACAATCACTCAGGGAATGGGTTATACGACCGGGCCCCTGGGTCCACCCAACCTGACTGCTGCGAGGCAGGAACCGTCGCTATGGAAACAGTACCGTTGCTATGGAAATGGGTTTTAGGTTGGGGACACAAGGTTCTCCGAACCTGACCCTTGCGAGCAGGGGACCATCACTCGGGGAACGGGTTTTGTGACGGAGTCCTGAGCGTTACCCAGCCTGACCCCAGTGAGGCAGGGACCGTCGCTATGGAAACAGGACAGTCGCAATGGAAACGGGACCGTTGCTATGGAAATGGGTTTTAGGTTGCGGACCCAAGGGACCATTGCAATGGAAACGGGACAGTCGCTATGGAAACAGGTTTGTTGCTATGGAGACGGGTTCTAGGTTGGGGACCCAAGGGTCTCTGAACCTGACCCTTGCGAGCTGGGGACAATCACTCGGGGAACGGGCTCTGTGACGGAGTCCCAAGCATCACCCAGCCTGACCCCTTGAGGCAGGGACCATCGCTATGGAAACGGGACTGTCGCTATGGAAACAGGTTCGTCGCTATGGAAATGGGTTCTAGGTTGGGGACTCAAGGGTCTCTGAACCTGACCCTTGCGAGCTGGGGACCATCACTCGGGGGGCTCTGTGACGGAGTCCCAAGCGTCACCCAGCCTGACCCCTGTGAGGCAGGGACCATCACAATGGAAACGGGACAGTCGCTATGGAAACAGGTTCGTCGCTATGGAAACGGGTTCTAGGTTGGGCACCCAAGGGTCTCCGAACCTGACCCTTGAGAGCTGGGTACCATCACTCGGGGAACGGGCTCTGTGACGGAGTCCCAAGCATCATCCAGCCTGACCCCTTGAGGTGGGGACCATCACTATGGAAACGGGACTATTGCTATGGAAACGGGTTTGTCGCTATGGAAACGGATTCTAGGTTGAGGACCCAAGGGTCTCCCAGCCAGACCCTTGTGATCTCAGGACAATCACTCAGGGAATGGGTTATACGACTGGGCCCCTGGGTCCACCCAGCCTGACTGCTGCGAGGCAGGAACCATCGCTATGGAAACAGGACCGTTGCTATGGAAACGGGTTTTAGTTTGGGGACCCAAGGGTCTCTGAACCCTTGAGAGCTGGGGACCATCACTCGAGGAACGGGTTTTGTGACGGAGTCCCGAGGGTCTCCCAGCCTGACCCCTGAGAGGCAGGGGCCGTCGCTATGGAAATGGGACTATCGCTATGGAAACGGGTTCTAGGTTGGGGACCCAAGTCTCCGAGCCTGACCCTTGCGAGCTGTGGACCATCACTTGGGGAACGGGTTCAGTGAGGGATTCCGTAGGATCACCCCGCCTGACCCCAGTGAGGCAGGGACTGTCGCTATGGAAACAGGACTGTCGGTATGGAAACAGGTTCATCGCTATGGAAACGGGTTCTAGGTTGGGGACCCAAGGGTCTCTGAACCTGACCCTTGCGAGCTGGGGACCATCACTCGGGGAACAGGCTCTGTCACGGAGTCCCGAGCGTCACCCAGCCTGGCCCCTGTGATGCAGAGACCATTGCTATGCAAACGGGACAGTCGCTATGGAAACAGGTTCATCGCTATGGAAACGGGTTTTAGGTTGGGGACTCAAGGGACCCTGAACCTGACCCATGTGAGCTGGGGACCATCACTTGGGGAACGGGTTCAGTGAGGGAGTCCCGAGCGTCACCCAGTGAGGCAGGGACCGTCGCTATGGAAACAGGACTGTCGGTATGGAAATGGGACGGGGACCCAAGGGTCTCCAAGCCTGACTCTTGCGATCTGGGGACCATCTCTTGGGGAACGGATTCTGTGACAGGGTCCCGAGCGTCACCCAGCCTGGCCCCTGTGATGCAGAGACCATTGCTATGCAAACGGGACAGTCGCTATGGAAACAGGTTCGTCGCTATGGAAACGGGTTCTAGGTTGGGGACCTAAGAGTCTCCGAGCCTCACCCTTGCGAGCTGGGGACCATCACTCGAGGAACGGGTTTTGTGATGGAGTCCTGAGCGTCACCCAGCCTGAGCCCAGTGAGGCAGGGACTGTCGCTATGGAAACAGGACAGTCGCTATGGAAACAGGTTCGTTGCTATGGAAATGGGTTTTAGGTTGGGGACTCAAGGGACCCTGAACCTGACCCTTTCGAGCTGGGGACCATCACTCGGGGAACGGGCTCTGTGACGGAGTCCCGAGCGTCACCCAGCCTGACCCCTGTGAGGCAGGGACCATCGCTATGGAAATGGGACAGTCGCTATGGAAACAGGTTCGTCGCTATGGAAACGGGTTCTGGGTTCGGGACCCAAGGATCTCTGAACCTGACCCTTGCGAGCTGGGGACCATCACTCGGGGAACGGGCTCTGTGACGGAGTCCCGAGCATCACCCAGCCTGACCCCTTGAGGCACGGACCATCGCTATGGAAACGGGACTATCGCTATGGAAACGGGTTCGTCACTATGGAAACCCGTTCTAGGTTGAGGACCCAAGGGTCTCCCAGCCAGACCTTTGCGGGCTCAGGACAATCACTCAGGGAACAGGTTATACGACCGGGCCCCTGAGTCTACTCAGCCTGACTACTGCGAGGCAGGAACCGTCGCTATGGAAACAGGACCGTTGCTATAGAAATGGGTTTTAGGTTGGGGACACAAGGGTCTCCAAACCTGACCCTTGCGAGCTGGGGACCATCAATCACTCAGGGAACGGGATTTGTGATTGAGTCCTGAGCGTCACCCAGCCTGACCCCAGTGAGGCAGGGACCGTCGCTATGGAAACGGGACTATCGCTATGGAAACGGGTTCGTCACTATGGAAACCCGTTCTAGGTTGAGGACCCAAGGGTCTCCCAGCCAGACCTTTGCGGGCTCAGGACAATCACTCAGGGAACAGGTTATACGACCGGGCCCCTGAGTCTACTCAGCCTGACTACTGCGAGGCAGGAACCGTCGCTATGGAAACTGTACCGTCTCTATGGAAATGGGTTATAGGTTGGGGACCCAAGGGTCTCCGAGCCTGACCCTTGCGAGCTGGGGACCATCACTCGAGGAACGGGCTCTGTGACGAAGTCCCGAGCATCACCCAGCCTGACCCCTTGAGGCAGGGACCATCGTTATGGAAATGGGACTATCGCTATGGAAACGGGTTCGTGGCTATGTAATCGGGTTCTAGGTTGAGGACCCAAGGGTCTCCCAGCCAGACCCTTGCGAGCTGGGGACCATCACTCAGGGAACGGGTTTTGTGACGGAGTCCCGCGGATCAACCAGCCTGATCTCTGTGAGGCAGGGGCCATCGCTATGGAAATAGGGCCATTGCTATGGAAATGGGTTTGTCCCTATGGAAACGGGTTTTACATTGTGGCCGCACAGGTCACCCACCCTGACCTTTGCGAGCTCATGACCTTCGCTCGGGAAACGGGCTGCGCACCCAGGCCCTGGGGTTACCAAGCCTGACCCCTGCGAGGCATGAACCGTCACCGTTTTCTGATGGAGTCCCGAGGGTCAGCCTGTCAGGCATGAGCCGTTGCTATGGAAATGGGACTGTCGCTATGGAAATAGGTTGTATGTTGCAGACCCAGGGTTCAAACAGCCTGAACCTTGCGAGCTCATGATCACCGCTCAGGAAACGGGTTGTGCGTCATCGTCCCAGTCTGACCTCTGCAAGGCCGGAATTATTGCTATGGAAATGGGAGCATCGCTCTGGAAACAGGTTGTGCGATGGGGTACCAGGGATCACTCAGTCATACCCCTGCAAGTCCAGAACCTTCGCTATGGAAACGGGGGTGCGATGGGTCCCCAGGGGTCACGACAGCCTGACCCCAGTGAGAGCGCAACCATTGTTATGGAAAGGTGTTGTTTGATCAGGCTCCAGGGGTCCTGCGAGGCTAGGTGATCCCTGGGTCCCCATCGCACAACCCGATTCCATAGTGATGGTTCTGGCATCGCAGTTTGCTGCTGTTGTAACTTAATGCCGCATCACTCTATAATAAAGGGTTGCCATATTTCAAAAAGTGGAGATTGTTAAAACCGATTTCAGCCCGCACACTGCCTACCCCATTTGTTTATATTTATATTATACTTCCATTGGTTTTAACAACTGATTTCATTTGGTATTTTAATGATTAATTTATATTATTCTACACAAAACTTTAAGAGGTTTTTGTCAATTAAGCAGCATATAAATCTTTTCAGTTAATTAAACAATAATAAATAAATAAATAAATAAATGTCCAATATGTTCAATGTTCAAATAAATAAATGTTTTTGAAAGATAATGAAAGATAACATCAAAAATCTCAACAGATCAATACAATACAATAGCATACATACATTTTTATTCACAAACTTCCCCTGGTATCTATGGTTTAGGTGAATAAGTTCAGCAGCTCCTTCTTGTTGTCCATTTGCCCAGGTGCCAACATATTTAGAGCCAGTTAATGCATACAGATATGTACCTTGCCCATGCCTATGGAGAGACAAAGAACAGTTTCACATTAAACAGGTGGAAACCTCACATCTTGATTATGGACACCAAAGTTAGCTTCCTCCGATTGTCACAGGCTGTACTGATTCCAGGGGTGCCCAAACTTTTTTCAAAGAGGGCCGGATTTGATGAAGTGAACATGTGTGAGGGCCAACCAAGGTTGTTGACCTTTTTTAAGGATTGTACATTTGTTGTTGATTGAGGTTTTGGGGGGATTTTACCCCAGGAAATAAACTGCCACAGGGGTCAGATTAGGCCCCCGTAACAGGCTTTGGACATGCCTGGATTAAGTGCTCATCGAAACTTCCGCTTCCATTTTCCGCTTGCCCCATACTTTAAAGGCACAGGTCCCAATGGTTTTGCATTTGCTCTGCAGCTTTCCCCCGGAAAACCCGCTCTGAAAAACCTGCTGAATCGGAACAAACAGCAATCTGCAGACAACTCAGTTGCTGTTTTGTATGATTCAGCAGGACACTGCAAATTTTCTCAGGGAAAAGCAGCAAAGCAAGCCGAGGTGTGGACCTGCCCTCAAATCAAAGTGATTTAAATAACGAATTTAAATTGATTATTCAATTGATTTCTAGGGGAAACAACAAGCTAAAAATTAAAATTGCAGTCCTATATCCAGTTACCTGGGAATAAGCCCCATTGGATTTGGAATACAGTGGTACCTCGGGTTACAGACGCTTCAGGTTACAGACGCTTAAGGTTACAGGCTCCACAGAAATAGTACCTCAGGTTAAGAACTTTGCTTCAGGATGAGAACAGAAATCGTGTGGCAGCAGCGGGAGGCCTCATTAGCTAAAGTGGTACCTCAGGTTAAGAACAGTTTCAGGTTAAGAATGGACCTCCAGAACGAATTAAGTTCTTAACCTGAGGTACCACTGTATTGAAATGTACAAATTGAAAGAAAGGGGGCAGAGTAACCAAAATGACCTAACAAGAAATTTGGAGCTTTCAGGTTTGAGAGAATAAAAAGAAAGAGAAGAAAACACTAGAGCAACTAATCTCATTGTCTGGAGAGAGAACTTGTGTATTCTCCTGTAAGACAGGAACTTGGAGCAGGAAGCTGCCAAATCACAGCTACACTAAAATCCCAAATTCTTCCAGTATTTTGTATGGAACCAATTCTTGGATTCAGCACCAAATTTAAACCCCACTGCCAAGGATGACTGCCAGAAGACTAAAAAACTCTCCTCACTGTACTGTTTGGGGACACTGTGGGAGAAAGAAGAGGGAAAAGGGTACGTTTTCACTTTCACATTCCCCGGAAAGCACACCTGACATACAGCAATAAAATGCTTAGGTTCAGGACTGTCAGTCAGCCCCAAACCTCAGTGCTCTAGCATTATGTAGCACAGCAGAAGATGATCTTGGGATGTGAAGTGGAGGCAGGGACAGAAGTACCCTTTTGTTTCCTGAAAAGCCTAGACAATACTACAAGGCTCCTGTTTGAAGCTGGCTAGAATCCCTGAACAACAGGACTACTAAGAGGTGAGGATACACTACACATTTGTTTCAGATCCCACCAGAATTTATCATTCACTCAAAAATGTAAAAGAAACCTAAAGTTTCAGTCGAACAACCTGTAGTGATTGAACCACTCTCCATCGTATGTGTCTCCATTTACATAGTAGTAAATGCCATTTCCATGTCTTTGGTCCTCCACCCACTCTCCTGCAATGAATACAATAGAAACATATGCACTATTTTGTATCCATTTCTTTATAAACCAGAGTACTTAATATTTGGCTTGATTACAAATAATACATTTGTTATCATGGTGGCAAGTGTTCAATATTTATATAATGATTTTCTTAAAAACACAAATATTACTGAATACAATTGAGAAATGTAAAGCAAACTGAACTAAAATAATCCTGTACTGTGATAAGGCAATATAACTGGAGTAACTGATTACATAAATACAAATGTCCTGCATAAGAGTGTGACCAATATACATTCTACTAGCTAGACACACAATAGTCTGGTGTTATAAAGAAGCTACATATATGTTCATTAGGAGAGATTATTTCAAATATTATGTGTGCAAAGTTGCATCAAAACAGTAAGTTCTCACTCTTCTCACCACAATTTCCATGTTCGCAATGTAGATCTCCTACCTTTTCTATAAAGGGGAGCCTAACCACCACACATTGTGTTTACTCTCCTTATTGTTTACTCGCTCCATAATGATAGAAAGCTTTTAGGGTTCTGAGAAGCTGATTCAGCATCCCCAGTCACTCACTCTACTCATTCTTTGTTTCACATAGCAGCTTTGCCGATTGCACTTGAGCCAGCATCTAATCATAGCAGTTATTGTTGGCACAGCGAGGCAACATCCTGGTTCTGCTAATCTGCATTTGGCACTCACGCAAGACCATACGTTGTGTCGCTGTGCTTTCACACCCACCATTGTGCCCCAGCCAACTCACGTATTGAGTGGACCCACTGTGGCAATTCTCTATTCACCCACTATATCTTTCATGTTATCTTAAGTACATAGGAAGAGCCCTGCTGGATCAGGCCAAAGGCCTATCTAATCCAGCATTCTCACAATAGCCAGCTAGATGCATATGGGAAGCTCACAAGCAGGACCTGATCACGAATGGGTACACTTCACTAGTCATCAAAATCCTCACATTTAAATCCGAACAGAGAAAATACAATTTACCATCATATCGGGATCCATCTGGATAATAAAAGATTCCTTTGCCATGTTTTTTATTATCGAAATATTCTCCTATGTAGCGTGCACCATTCTTGAATCTGTACAATCCCTGAAACATATACATTATAGAAACTTATTGTTCATGCTCTGGTTGTTTTACTAAAGCATATATATTATGAAAATGGCCAATATACACTAAACAAGCAGAAACTGCAACTGCCCTCGTTCCCCCATCGGTCAGCATTACATGTCTACTGAGCATGCTCAGTCCCCATTGGATGGTTTGGGGTCCCTGCTCTACTTAGAACTTTTCCCCCTACTTTTAAAGAAATATTTCTGCAAATATGCTAACATTTCCTTCTTGTGTGTGGATGATGCCACTACATAAGAAGTATAAAATGAGTTTCAAGACAATCCAAACTCCAGCTGGGCAACGACAGAATCACAGGGGCATCTGCAGCCCTGACACTCACAAAAAGGCAGGGGAGCAAACAAACTGTTGTAACAGTCTGGAGCTGGCATAGCAGTTAGGCCTGAATTGGTCTTGATCCTGTCAAATGTTGGTAGTAGGGCCACCTTGAGAAACTAGAGGTCCCTGGACTGGCTGAGTCCAATTCCTGCGCCTGGAATATTCTGTTTTGAGGTGTCACTCCACCCATTTGGTGACTTGAGTGGAGAGCTCCACCATATCAGAGTGATACTGGTGTGACTTCATAGGCGGGAGTCTCTCTCCCCAGTCTAGCCCCACCCCACAGCAAAGTGTGTTTGGGTTATAGGCTAAGATATTAGCATAGAGAATGGGCAAATGCTTTTCAAAATAAGTCATACCTGTCCACTTCTTCTACCATTTGCATATTGTCCTTCATAGGTATCACCATTGGGTAATCTGGCCTTTCCCTGCCCATGCCGTTCACCAGCTTCATTGCGTTCTCCTTCATATTCCTACTTGAATGAGATCAGATAGTTGTCATTCGGCTAAAACACAGGAGTCAGCATGACTTAAGTCTACTTATATCTTTTGTGTATAAAGAGAGGAATAGGGTAGCTGAAAGCAAGAGGAAAGAGCTCCTTCACACTTAGTAGTTGTGTAGGAGAAGAGAGGATTTCAGCAGGTATATGCAGGTTTTGCAGTAGTTTTAACTGTAGCTTGTCATGTAAACTATGCCTGCAGCATTCCCTTCTGCACAATTATTAAAGAGAAAGGACCTCTGTCCTCTTTTGCATCTGGTCATCCAACAAAGCAAGCTGCCTTTTACAAAGTCAGACCATTAATCCAGTATTACCTCAACAATGACTAATATTATGCTATAATAAATTTGTTTGTTTTTAAGCTAGCACAAGACTCTTTCTTGTTTTTATTACAACAGACAAACACATCCACTCATTTGGAAACTGAATAGCAGCAGCTCTCTAGTTTCAAACTGGAGGTGCTGGGGGCCTAAATCCAGGACCTGCTGCATGCACTTAGCTATGGCTTCTCCTCATAAAAAACAAGGTGAATACAAAATATTATATACTGCAAATATCTCTTTCTTTGTCGGTCTGCGCAATCCTATCTATGCATGTGTACTCAGAAGTAAGTCCTATTAAGTTCAACTGCAGGTGAAATGGCGTGTGTCCTTAATAGATACCCTGAAAATAGTTTTCTCTTTTGTTTTAATATGAATAATTTTAAGACGTTGTTGTATAGACTCTTCTGTCGGTGCAGCATTCTATGCATAGTATTTCTTCTAACCATACAATTATTGTTTTTAAATTATTTCTATATTGATTTCTGCCAAGTAAGCACCTTAGGCAAGAGCTTAAAAGTCAACAGCTTTCTCTCTAGAATGCTTTGTAAAATCTCAAATTCCGTAATTCACCATGTCATTTCCTCTATTTTAAATAAATCATGTAAATCAAGCGTTTGCCTAAGGCTCCTTTGCATCCACACAATTTGGATGCTGAGGCTTTCGCAATGGCTGGACAAAGTAAAGGACTAAAAGACAATAATTTCTGAAAACATGGGGTGAGGCACCAGAGTGTGTCTCCATATTGCGGATCAGATTCTGAATCAAACTCCCAGTAATAATAATGATAAAAAGTTCCACTTTTTGCTTCATGGAAACAGGTGTTTTACCTTTCCCAAACTGTTTCTACCATAATGCAAACGTGCATGAAACTCTCTGCAAAAAAAACCCCTCTTTCTTTACTTCACAAGTTCTCCATTCAAGAGGGTGGGGAGTTCATTCAGAAAATGGTCTTACCTGGGCATGTTTACTCAGAAGCAAGTCCCACTGTGCTCAATGGGGCTTACTTCCTAGTAAGTGCGTTTGGGCTTTTTTCTGACCCAAACGATTAACCTGCACACGTATCCCTTCCTACATCTTCCTCCTCCCCTCCCTCCCCGCACACTGACCCCCAAATCATTCTCAGCCTCCTCTTCGATCTCTTCCGAGCCGAGATCCGACATGATTCAGTCCGGGCTTGTCACCATGGAAACGGCTTCGCCCGTTGGACCCCGCCCCCCTCTCACCCGGCCTCCTAGAAGGCGGGGCTCCGAGCGCGCGGTCGCTAATAGCAACCGTGCCTCGCACTCTCTCCCGATTGGCCAGGGAAGCCCCGGCGCTGCGCAGGAGGGACGATGTCTGCCCGTGCGAGCCGGGCTGGACAGAGATGTAGTCCAAGGCGTCTGGAGTGCCACCCACGCTTCCAGAAGATGTGGGACGTGTGTTGATGCTACTGCCTTTGGAAAGGATTTATCAGGGGATGCTGCTTCTTTCACAAGAGGTAGCAGTACAATTTAGCATAGTTTTGCTGTTCGGGATGTAGTCCATGGCATTCCAGTCAATTCATGGTGCATAATAATGGTCTATTTGGGGAAACAGGTCAGCACACGCCCTTCTCATTGAGTGGATACTAGCATTGACATTAGAATGTGTCATCCTGGTCAAGCAAGTGGTATATGCAGCTTTTAAAATTTCAGTTTTAAAGTGAGAGCTGTCTTGTTGAAATCCAAAAGTGGTACTTCATATGTTGATGTTAATTAATTTGATTTCATGTAGAGCCAGTTCTAAAAATACTCCAGTTTTACCTTTGATTGTATTTGTACTTATGTATTCAAAACAACCCTAAACAGTTAAGTCAAAAGTAAAACAAACGTGACTCTGATGTGCAGCTAACCATTTAAAAGCAACATTGGAAAAGATGTTAGGACAGGTTTCTTATGCTTTTAGAAGCAGCAACTTGGGAAAATATAAATTTAGCAGAGTCATGAGAGCAGTTACAGGAAATTGCAGAACACTTTAGTACCGCCAGAACATGCAACTACATGGAAGACTTAATTATTTCAGAAATACATATTTTAGCTCTGAAAGGGAGAAGGGGAATACAGTTTTTTTTTGCTGCAGTCCTCGCTCACTCTGGTTCCCCTGCAGTTGTTTTGGTGCACTACCAGCCCCAACCATAGCTGTCAACTTTTCCCTTTTTTTATGGGAAATTCTCTTATTCCAAATAGGATTCCTCGCAAGAAAAGGGAAAAGTTGACAGCTATGGCCCCAACCCACACTCAGCTGAGAGTAAGTCCTATTCTAAAACAACAGAATTGTGCTGTTGGATATATAAGGGCTCCTTAATGTATCTTGGAGAAAGTGTATATTAGACAAAACTTAAAACGAACAATGTGTAATCACTAGCCAACATAATCTAATGAGAACCACAGGAACATAGTTTAACATATGTATAGTTTAATATATGCATGAAGCACCTCTCCTTTATGGGTATGCCTCTGGCCCCTGCTTCATCACACAGTATACTGTTCAACGTGAGCTGATTTCTGGAATGATCACACCACCAAGTCAGCACTTAATGGTGAATGTGGAATGCATTAATGGCTTGTCCATACTTCAGTTTGTCCCGTGCCTAGAAAGTATAGGCCAGAGTGGTTTTCTGCTTGTACTGTGCTTTCTAGGCACTGGTCCAAGTGGTTTTGCCGTTGCCCTGCTGCTTTCCCCCAGAAAATCCGCTCTTTAGTGCTGAATCAAAAAGCACTTTTCAGGAGCAAAAAGATGTGCAAGAGAACTATATTGTGTGTGTGAACTATGTAGAAAAAACAAGTACTCAAGCTCCGTTGATTCTAGAATAAAATGTGTGCACGTAGCCTCAGGCCCAAACCCTTTTATATCTGCTGTTAGTGAAGCCCACTGCATTTGGTGATACTTACACCCCAATAAGTGTGCATAGGATTTTAGTCTTCAGTTTCATCGAATCCAAATTGTAGAGTTGGAAGGTCCCTGGGGGTCATCTAATCCAACCCCCTGCAATGCAGGAATCTCAACTAAATCATCTATGACAGATGGCCATCCAGCCTCTGCTTAAAAACCTCCTGAGGGACTCCATTTCACTGCTGAACAGCTCTGACTGTTGGAAAGTTCTTCCCGGTGTTTAGTTGGAAATTGGAATCTCCTTTCTTGTAACTTGAAGCCAGTTTGCTTGCTTGTTTATTCATGGACTATAAATACTATTTATGTTCTAGGATTCAATCTGATACATATCTACACAGAAGCCCCTCTATACTTAATAGTACAACTCCAAGGTAATTTGTGCATGAGTACAGCTTTAGGCTGCATTCTTATGCATACTAGGAAGTAATGCCCGTTTAACTAAACAGGACTTATTTCTGAGTAAACATGCGTACAGTTGGGTTCTTGTTCTCTGTCCTGTTTATACTTACACTGTAAAAACAGTATGTATTCTGGGAGCACTGTATCAATAACAACAGCAGCAGTAAGCTAGTATTTTTAGCTTATGAGCTAAAAAGAAACTTACAGGAACACTGAGCTTCAGTCGTTGCGCATCTCACATACTTGGCTTAGAAGATTTAAAAGTCACTGATGCAATCTCATATGTATTTGGGTTGACTTTGTTAGCAGCGAGAGAAAAAGATTGTACGTGTTCAGGAAAACCATCTTTTCAGTTGTCACTGCCGTCCGCACCTCAGAGATGCCCTGCATTTGCAAGCTGATAGGGAAGTTTTGAAGTGCGTGGGCATAATATGCATAACTAAGGTTGCCGTCTGTTTTGCAGACATAAGCTTCGTGGCAGACATTTAACTGGCGTGGTTGGGAAAGCTGCCCCTGTTGGGTTTCTGCCTGCTAGGCAGCTGCCAAGTCGACGCAGCCAGCAATCTCTTTAAAAGAAAATGGCATGGCTATGAGCTCCCCTCGCTAGACCAGCTCCCTGGTGGTGTGGCCAAGACGACGAGGCATATACGGTTTTATGACCAGGAAGCCGGATTCTCTCTCTGGCGGCAGTTTTGAGCCCTGCCGCCTCGGGCCCTGCCTGGGAGCGCCTTTCTTTCTCAGCTGCTGCCGTCAGAGCGAGAGGGAGGCGGCCCTGGCGGCGAGCAGAGCAGGTTCTCCTGTCACTATTTGTAGCAGCAGCGCACCAGAACTGGCTCGGCTTGAATGAAGCGAGACCGCGCCCGGGAGCGGCGCCTCGACCAGGAAGTGGCTGCCGAGGCTGCCAGGAAACGGTGCCTCCGCCTCGGAGCGCCAGAGAGCCGTAGAGGTGAGGAGACGGTCGTCGTCGTCGTCCCTTCAGGTGGGACCCTCCGAGAGGGAACAATGCGGGCAGGGGGAAGGCGGGGGCTTTGGGGCGGGGGCGCGTTCGGCTAGGAAGCAGCTCCTTCCTGCCTGAGCCCTGAGGGGGAGGCAGCTCTGTCGGCGCTGCACCTGCCGCCGATGGAGACGCCTGGAAACGGAGTTCCCCTTTGATGGACATCAATGCGGGGGCGACCAGGAGGAGGCTGGGGCGCGCGAGCGCGTTTGGGCTCGCTTGCTTTGTGTCGTCACTGTCGCACACGCGCGCGCACGCTTTTAGGGCACAGACTCCAGATAACTTAACGCCATTAGCCTCTCCGGCTGCAAGCCTGTGCCCCCTTATAACCTAGGAAGAGAATCGCAGAATTGTAGGGTTGGAAGGAACCCCGATAGTCATCTAGTCCAACGGCTGGACTCCAACCCCCTGCAATGTTGGAATAAATCCCATGTAGTTTCGTGGGACTTGCTTTTGAGTAGACACAGGCATAGAATCCCATGGTGATGCTCTTTAGCTCATTTTGCCCATTAAGTTTGATTAAAAGGAAGGGTGGGTGGGTGTAAGCTTCTGTAGAACCCCTCCCCAGGAACTTCACTTGCCTTCTTGGCAAACAACAAAACCCCAACCTTCCCCCCCCCCCCCAATCCTTTAAAATCTGGTGTTATGACTGCTTTTATTACTGTTGTATATATTTGTGGTTTCCCCTCTATATTATTAGGTTAAGTGTCCCAATATGGTCAAAGTGTTCTATGTACAGTATAGTCTTTTAAATAAATAAGCAAGCCACTTTAGTGAAGTGAACACAGGAAATTGTCTTGTAGTGAGTCAGATCATTAGTCCATCTAGGTCAGTATGTATCGACATGGACTAGCAGTGGCTTTTCAGGATTCCAGGCAGGGGACTTTCCCAGACCTACTTGGAGATGTGGGATTGAACCAGGGACAGTTGCTATATCACTGAGCCCTTTGGGGTTCCATTAAAGAGCACCAAACTGTCATTTAATGTTAGTCTTTTGTCATGGGAGGTGCCATTTTAGGTGCAAAAGTATTTCAAGCAGGGCCAAAAGATTTCACTTCCACCTATTGGTGTACTGCAGGTGGAAGTTGTATTCATGGGGAAATCACCCAGAGGACACTCCCTTGCCAGGAGTCATAGCCCAGAAGAAGCTTGAGGGCAATGGATTTGTTCCTAAACAAATTTGCATAGTTGTGTCTTATGACAGATGACCATACATGTAGAATATTCAAGATATTTTTCTAAAGAATCTTGGCTACACAACTGAGCTTAACAGATCCAATCATCGATGGCACTATTTCCCCATGTCTTGCACATTTATTTGCATGCATCTGCAGTACTATTCTTCAGATATGATACAATCACTTCACCAGCTTGATCCTCCTGAAGAGCTGAGATGAAAACAAAAGGCACTTTTTCAGATGTGTTTAGTTGATCTTGGTGTTTGCAAATCCAAACTCCTGGATTCAGTTTGGTAACAGGTGCTAACCCGAAGGCAGAAGCAGTGAGGCTGTTTACATACATGCCCTGCAGTGTAGACTATCAACTTGCTTAGAATTTACTTACAGGCTATTGTGAGAGAGAAACTGTTCTTCACTTGACTTGTGCTTTGTTTGCCCTTCTGTCTCTTGTAAAGAATTCCATATAGCAGAGTTTATGGCATTTTGCCTCTAAGGCAACTAGATCTGTAAAGTGCAGCCTAGCATGGTCTTAATCTTCAAGCGCTACTACATGTAAACAAATATTTGAAGGAATACCAGGTGCTACTGAACAACTTAGTTTTACCTTGGTATTTTTTCCTCCCGGAAGATGGTTTTGGAGACCTCAGCAACAACAGAATAAAAATAAAAAATTGTTTCTAAACTCTAATCCTGCAGAAACTCCGTTGCTTAGTTTGCAACCCTTCTCAGTGCTTTATAGGGTGGTGCAGTTTGATCTAAAGGTCCAGCTTCAGGAACATACACCCTGTTGTGACAAGTTTGCAAAGTATTTTGAGGGCAGTCTCTTATATACACCCCAACCTTGACACCACTTTTAAGGCAAGTCTGCTAGAGACATCCAGAACACCTGCTCTCTTGCCACTTGACCTCCATAGCTAATAAATGCCAACCTGACTAAATGACTGCATTTCTGCCTCCTCCTGTCCCGGTGTTGTACCATGGGTTCTATTCTTAATTTACTATACATACATTATGGTACCCTTTGGAAGGTTTGTAAGTATTACACACTATGGGGTAAGTGTAAACGTTTAATTCATATGTTGAGATGCATATAGTTGAAATTTTCTAGTGTGGTCTGGCAGCAGGTTTGCAGTTCATAGAAAACAGTTCATAGTGTTTTAGGTGAACATTCTAACAATGAAGCTGGATTGAGGATTGTAGCATGTGTACATGTTGCCTTGAGAAACTGGCTCCAGAATTGTGACGCTCAGGTCGACACAGCTTGGGCATGTTTATCCTGGTTGCATTAACAAGTGGGCAAGATTACTGATTGGTTAAATATTGTCAAGTTGCTTGTATAGATTTTAATACTGGGGTGATCTTTGTTTCTGACGGTCATCTCTTTCAAATCATGTTTTTATTTCCCTCTGTTTTCTTTATTTCTTATATTAGCATGAAAATAGTAAAAAATGCTTTGCATTAAAATTATTGCTTTCAAATTTACTTTTTTTTTTTGTTCTCTTCTCATAACTACCATAGCTGAGAAATATTGTTGTAGCATGATCAGTAACACTTTTCTTTTCTGGTCTGTTTCTTTTTTTATTAAAGATTTTCTTGATTTACAAAACTGTTTGCAGTGTCTCTCTCTCGTATTTGTTTCCCTATGTAACATTTTTACAAAACAGCTTCATTTGCTGAGACATTAGGAAGAAAAGGGGGAAAGAGGTGGGGGGGAGATGGGGTCAGGTGGAGATGTTTCTATTTTACTTACTATATGTAGGGTTTGGTGTCAGCGTTTGTGCAGGTTCTTTGCTGTTCGCTTGTGTTCCTTTGGTGGTGAGAGATGTTGGGGTTGGCCTAGGGTGTGGTTATTCATAGTAACACTTTTCTTATAAAAATATGTACCAGGAAGAAGAATCAGCCACTCATAGTGATGGTCAGTGACACCAAAGGAGAAATGTAAAGGACATTAATCAATGTGACAGTTGGTTCTGTTGAAAACCTGGAACCAATACCTGAAGCACCTGAATAATTAATATCTGAAATTGATACTCAAGTAAATGGCTGAACTTCCACCTGGGATTCGCTTGTTCACTTTATTTACAAGAGACCAGTGGTAAGTTATAGTCTATTGCTTTGGCCTGGTCAGGCTTTGACTTCCTCTTAAATAAATCTCAATTCAAATATTAAGTTCTAATAAGAATGAACAGTGATGCATTTTGCTTAAAGGTGTATTTCTGTATAGACTTTACATTATAATCATCACTATAGTCGTACCTTGGTTGATGTACACCTTGCAACTCGAATGTTTTGGTTCCCGAATGCCACAAACCCAGAAGTGAATGTTCCAGTTTGCAAATGTTCTTTGGAACCCGAATGTCCGACGCGGCTTCCAATTGGCTGCAAGAGCTTCCTGCAGCCAGTCGGAAGCCGCGCCTTGGTTTCCAAATGTTCTGGAAGTCGAACAGACTTCCGGAACGGATTCCGTTCAACTTCCGAGGTACCTCTGTACTATTATGCTTGAAAAATTGAAAAGGATACCTGTGCTTTGTATTGTGTTTGGGAAGAGAAAGGTCCTCTTTTAAACTGAATTGTGAAGTTCCAATTTGGTGTGTGGGTGTGTTTATGCGGGTGTGTGTATATATAGATTATAGATGATAGAGATATAGTTATAGATATAGATATAGATATAGATATAGATTCACACACACACACACACTTATTTCTAACTAATATTGCAGTATAACTATGGGACACGTTTCCACTTTGACAAGCCCCCCTCTTGCTCCTTGAACCCAGGTATACTTAGGGTTAGGGTTGTCATCTGACCAGAAAGAAATTGGCCTTCTCTTACACCTTTAACAATACCATGATGTGCCAGGTGAAGCCAGGTGAAGCTTTCCACAGCATGGAGTTTGGCAGGTGACAACACTTATGTTCTGGTCATCAAGCTTCTGTGAAAGGTGAAAGCTACAGAAGCAGATTGAAGAGCTGGCAGCCGTGCTTATCATCTATCACGCCTCCCAGAACTGCTATGCAGCAATTGCCACCGATTCCTGGAAACTGCTCTGACTCAACCAGCCAAAGCAGCGTTGGTGGCTGCCTCTTGGCACAACCTCTGGACTTGATCCCAGTTGTGTCTGACATTTGCCAGGAATTAACTGCTGGTGGTGGGAGATGTGTCCGTGTAGCAGCTTTGAAAGATCACCCTACCATCCCAGCCCCAGTCATCCCACCTCATCACCCCAACCTCATTAATAATAATTAACATTTTCTGGAAAAGATAGAAAGGCACCACAACTGTTCATCTCAGTACTTTTTTTTGTTTTTTGGCATGGTTAGAGCATTGTGCAATGAAAACGGAAATTGCTTAACCTATTGTAGTTAACCTTTCACTCTTGTTTGATTTAGCTTCCACATCAGTGTAAATATTGGAAATAAATAAGAGAAACTGGATATAACAATGGAACAGCCTAAAAGGATTGCAAGTGTATAGCTGCAAATCATGGAATTATAAATGTTTGTTCTGTTCACAGGTACAGGGCTCTCACATTTGTCCTGACTTTTATGCTGTATGCTAGTTTCCACTTATCAAGGAAACCAATCAGTATAGTCAAGGTAAGTAACAAGGAAATATCTTTCTAACACATCTGACATCACACAAGGAAGTACATTTTAAAGCTACATAAAAGTGTTGTTACCATATGCGTTACAATACAGCAATAAAATGTGACATACTGTACAGTAATAAAAAGACATTAAAATGTTTATAGTGATTGAGAGCCCACATGGAACATCCAGTTCTACAAGGGCTTCTGCACTGTGTGTACTATAAGTAGATGTCTCATTGTCAAGATGCCCATGATCTGTGAAAATATACAAAGGCTATGTGTACAAAGGCAAATCAAAAGTGTCATTTATAGTGTTGTGAAATTGAAAATAAGTATGTACTCAATCTTCAGATTTTGCCAGACTGTCTGCTCATGTTCAAAGCAGGTAATCAAATTCCTACCCAGACCATAATCATGTTGCTAAGGCTCAACATTTCAATCCATGGCAACCAATTCTATTGGGATCCAATTTGTGTCTCATCTTTACTCATCTTTCGCTTTCTCTGTCCCAGCTAATTCACAATCTCTCTGTTTTATTATTTTGCTGTTTACACTCTCACTTCTGCCAAGGAGCTCAGGATGGTATACATAGTTTTTTCAAGCCCCTTCATCATTTTATCCTTACCACTCCCTACCCCTGGTAGCTTGCACTGAGAGAGTGCTATTGGCTCAAGGTCAGCCAATGAGCTTCCTGTCAGAGTGGGGATCTGAACCTGATTTTCCCTGATTCTAGTCTAATATTCTAACCACTACCACACAAGCATGTTTCTGCAGTCGTTCCTCATCCATCCAGAACTATGCATGTTAACTAGGAACAAAATGAATGGATCAAGAATAAGTATACCATGCCCTCCAGATGCTGTTCGACTCCTAATTCCCATCAGCCCCAGCCAGTGTCACCAGTGAAAAAATACTGTAAGAGTTGTAGTTCAGCTACATCTGGAGTGCACTAATATATCATTTTTGCAGACTTGTTCAGCATTCAAATAACGCTTTAGAGAAACACTCACACAACCAAACCTCCAACATGGCAGTTATAGTGTTCCTGGACAACAATATGTGTTGGGTTGAAATCACGACAGACGAGTAGCAAGTGTCATATGGGAGGCATCTCTGGAGCAAGCCCCGAGAAGACTCTTTTATTGAATATTACAACATTGCCACAGGTGCGCTCGTTGCTGATTGGTTGATACAAATACAAAGCAAAGGTTACATATAGGCATTAATCACCAATAGATTAAAGGCTGGGAAAGGGAGCACAGAACTAGACAGGCATGAAACCTCCTAATTAAATTATAACTAATGATTGATATAGCAAGACTAAAACAATTACTAATGATTGATCATAACATGAAAGAATACAATAATCGTGTTCCGTAGATGTGGTCAACGATGCATTAAGAACAGGTCAGGGTATACTGTTTCATGAACTCAATGGGAACTGATCAGAACATTCCCAGACCCATGCACAGAGGCAGAAACTTCCCAGCATCTCCCCCTTTCTTTTTTTGTTTTTTGTGAAATGTTGCTGTGTGATTTCAGGCCTGATGGGACAAAAATACTTCAGGATACGTGGTATGCTAGCGCATGCCCGAAATAAGTCTGCCCACCAATGCTGTTATGTGATTTCAGGGAGAATGGGACAAAAATACTTCGGGATACGTGGTTTGCCAGCGCATGCCCGAAATAAGGTTGCCCACATCTCCCCTAATGTTTACTGTTGGTGCTGCCACTTCGCAAAGTAGGCAGCAATGATTTTATTGGGTGGCTGAGGGGGAGAGAGAAGCCGAGACAAAAAACTTATGAGACCAGGAACGCATTGGATGAAGCAACATAGCAAAATTAATATACATATTATGACAATGGCATATTGAAAGAGATTACGAAGCCAAGTCAGGTTTGGCAACCAAGCGGTAAGCCACTGGGTGAAAGAATCCCAGAGGCCAGAAAATCCAACGTCCTGTTTAATGTGGTGTGTAAGATTTTGCAAATGAGAGATTTGGCTTTGAATGGCTTTAGAATTATCAGTAATATTGAAGCAACACATGTCAGCTACTTGTTCACAGCCATAATGATGAAGCATCAATAAATAATAAATAAATAAAAGAGTCTTCTCGGGGCTTGCTCCAGAGATGCCTCCCATATGACACTTGCTACTCGTCTGTCGTGATTTCAACCCAACAAATATGTAATTATATATAGCCTAGACTATTAAAATAATACATAATTTCAACCTTTGAAATATACCTGTATCACATTTCTTCAAGGCAGTGGAGCAGGGCTGCCATGGATCTGCTGGATCCAAAACAAAACCATTCCAGCTAGACTGGAACTGTTACAGGAAAAAGAATGAAATAGCTTCCCTCTCCACCTTTGGATACAGAGGCCAAGCCACACTGTCTCACTGCTCCTGACTGGAGCTTAGCATGGTTCTGTTGTTCTATTTAAAATCTGCTTATGTTGACAACTTTCTGCCTGTATTTGATTTCTGTTACTAGTCCCACTCTTTACTGTATGGAAAACTGACTCGAGGCATGCAAGTGATTGAGTCATACTCTGTCAAATTTTGTCTCTTATTGCTTATCCATAAGAAGGATGGGGCCTCATGGAAATTTGCAGTCTCTTGACATAACTAAATTTTCTTTTTTAAAAAAAAAAAGCTTGCAAAGCTGGATTTCATTGAGGTTATTATTCAAACCGTTTTAAGGTGGAAAGAAAGCCTTTTGACTGGTAAATGTTTCTAAACAGCAAAACCTATTTTGAACAGGGCCAGCCCAGGATGTTTTGCTGCTGGAGGCAAAACACTCCAATGCAGCCCCTCACAGTTCTGGGCCTGTGCAGCTGCTCTGCCTGTGCCCTCACCTGCACCTCTGCACCCCATGGGCACAGCAGGGAGAACACATGGAAGCACAGAGGAGGTGGCGGCGGCAGTAAGCAGTATGTTCCTCGGGCCCAGATCTGCCGTCTGAGGCATCAGCCTCAACTTGCCTCGTGGGTGGGCTGGCCCTGATTTGAAATATTGGTAAAGTAAAAATAGTTTATTTGGTTCTATGCAATGAGGTGTTCTGTTAGATTAATTGTATTGCTTTAATTTAGGGAGAACTACATAAGCACTGTAATACTCCACAAGTTATTGAGCATAACACCTACAAAGAATATGCCATCCAGATTCAGCCTGTTAAAAAAATTGCTAATGAGTCACGCTGTGGTTGGGAGCCATTTGGTAAGTAGTCTATCCCCCCCACACCATAAACTGGAATATAATCTAAGGGGGAAATTGTATTGTTTTGTTCTGCAATTCCTCACAGTTCTGCTCACTCCTGCACATAGGAACTGGTTTGTGTGGCAGGGTGGCTGGCAATAGGGGGAAGAGAATGCCCAGACTTTGTTATACAGTGCTAGTGGGAGACTCAGGCATGTTTGAAACTTCACCTGTGAAAATAAATCTTGTGCTGTGCAAGATGTTCCACTTTTTAAAGGCCTGGTATAATTCTGGAGCCTATAATGAATGCCCATTATATCAAGCTGATCAATTTATTCATGAATGGTACAAACTGTGCAGGTATATAATTTGATTAAGCAGAATTTGCTTAGGGAGCAAACTATTGTTTTAACCTGCTAGAATCCCTCTTTGAAGTTGCAAAGAGATTGAATATGTATTGTTCAGACTTTTTAATGGCTATTTGTGCCTTAAAAATTCCATCTCATGAACTTTAACAAACGTGTTCCTAGATAAGAGCAACTACAAACAGTTGTTGGGAGCCCTGGATTATTCATTCCTATGTGCTTATGCAGTTGGGATGTATCTGAGGTAAAATTCTTTTACTCTTTTAAAAATCCTTTTTCGTGCTTTCAAGTTGTAAATATATGATTGCTTAATCTCTGATCTTCTACTGTGCTCAGTTGCTTACAAGCTTTTGAGGAGCGGAGGAAGGAATTATTGAAAAGACTAAAATTTAGGAGACTGTGTGCCCTAGGATTTAGGAATGTAGATTCTAGAGTACAGAATATTCCCTATTACAGTAGCTCACCAAAGCTGCTTAAAAAGGAATAAATTCAAATCCTGTCCCTAATGTGGCTGAGAAGAATCGATTGTGATTTCAGATGAGCACTATCAGCTCACGACTTCGATTCTTGTTACTGAATACAAACCAAAAGGTTTTGCTTAAAATATGAAAACTGAATACAAACAACTCACGATAACGCAACTTTGTAAAGTTTCTCAAATTGTTCTTTTTATTATAATGCTACTACAATGTTATTGGTAAACTTTGCATTTTCTGGGTTTTAACCATAGCTTACCATGCAAATGCCCATGTAATAGCTTCAGATTTTTTGGGTTATATATGCTCAGCATGCTTCAAAAATCAATCCCTTTTTATTTTGCCTGAATTCAAAGTGGCATAATAGGTGAACGTTTGCCTATCCGGTATTATCTCACTGGAGGGATGTTTGCCAGTGGACTCTTCACTGCCATGTTTGGATTTGGTTACTTCTATAATATACACAGCCTGTGGTTCTACATTGTGGCTCAGGTAGGCACACCTGTGTTTTTCCTTTCTCACTTGGAATTTTCAGACATGACAAAAAAAGAACTGCCTTTCTGGAACTGCCTCAAAATCCACATAGTTTCCCATGACAACCTGTCCATAGCACCTCCTGTTCCAAAGGATACTGCAGGGGTGCGGAATCTCTGGCCTGCAAGCCAGTCTTGACCTACTAGGGGTTCAGATTTGGCCCATGCAGCTGTCTTCCTTCATCCATGCCCACCTGCCTCACACGTGATGTTAGCTGTGACATCAGGTGTGGGCCTACTAGAAGAGCAGCTGCCAATGCACAATCAGGAACTTTAAAATGTGCTGGCAAGGGAAAGCGCTACTAAGTGTTGACCTCTTAGGAAGTCTATGACTTCCCTTTCATGCTGGCAGCCCACGAGCTGTGGAAGCTGCTCTAGAGGAGCCTTTCCCAATCTGGCACGCTCTAGGTGTGTTGAACTGCAACTCCCAGCAACTCACCATTGTCTGTGCTGGCTAGAGCTGATGGAAGTTGCCATCCAAAACACCTGGAGAACAACAGGTTGGGGAACCGTGCTCTAGAGCATTTGGGAATAAATGGATGGTCATTATCCACTTGCGATCATTGGGACTGTCAAGTTGGGGGGGAGAGTTGACATTGCTGTCTAGGAAACAAATAATATATAACAATGAGGATTGACTAGGCTGTGCAAGCTTTGTGGTCTTTGACTGAAGTTTAACACAACTTTGAATATTATTTGGCTTCTTGGACATACTGCATTATCTGGTGAAACAGATTACTATTGCAAAGTTTTCAAATTTCAGATGGCTAATGGACTGGTGCAAACTACTGGCTGGCCCAGTGTGGTTACCTGCATTGGCAACTGGTTTGGGAAAGGAAGGTAAATCTTTTATAATCTGTTTGTCTTGGGTGGGGTTGGACACATTGCAAACTAAGTGAAATAGTCTGCCTCATAACTCAGTAACTCACAGATTTTAAAAGCTATGTTTTACAGTGAAGTTGTGCCATTTAACATTCCTTGTTAGTGTAATCAAAGACAGTAACATATTAAGCGATTTGAAGTTCCTGAGGGAAAAGTGATAGCATGAGAAGTGTATATGTGGTCTTTGTTGACACATAAGCATAAAGACACAACCTACTTGATACTGAAGCACTTAGCTGAGAATACAGTGGTGCCCCGCAAGACGAATGCCTCGCAAGACGAAAAACTCACTAGACGAAAGAGTTTTCCGTTTTTTGAGTCGTTCCGCAAGACGAATTTCCCTATGGGCTTGCTTCGCAAGATGAAACGTCTTGCGAGTTCTTGCGAGTTTGTTTCCTTTCTCTTAAAGCCGCTAAGCCGTTAATAGCCGCTAAGCCGTTAATAGCCGCTAAGCCACTAAGCCGCTAATAGCCGTGCTTCGCAAGACGAAAAAACCGCAAGACGAAGAGACTCCTGGAACGGATTAATTTCGTCTTGCGAGGCACCACTGTATAGGAAATGTCTTGGAGATTAAGGATGCCATTCTTCAAGACTACTCACAGGTTTTGCCAGCCATACATACTGGTCATGTGCCTGTTCCTGTCTGCTACTTTGGTTTTGAATAGGAGCACTTCAAGTTGAAGAAACCTGCATTTCAGGACTGCAGGGATGAGTAGCCCAGAGCAAGCCCTGAGACTAGACAAACTGAAGTAACTGCTCCCAGATGTTTCTCTGGCTGCTTGCTTGTTGCTGACCTGGGCTGGTCTCACCTACTTGCCTTCTTCCAATATGTCATGGGGAGTGCCGCTTGGAAATGCTCTTCTCTAAGCAAGCAGGCAGAGAGGCAGACAGCATAGGCCACAAATGCTAGCAGGCACTGCTCTGCTCACATGATTCATGCAGGTGCTACTTCTGCTGCACTGCAGTTTTTTGTTTGAGCAGGTAGCAAGCGGGTGCCAGGCAGGGCGGTGAATGAATGATGGCAAGATGTTGGAGGTCACAGCTGTGTTGTGCCACCTAGCCTACCCTGCACCCTCTATCCTAGCCTGCTACTCTCTGGTGTGGTGGAGGACGCTATCCCAACAACAGTGCTAAAGTAAAATTCAGTTGCCATGCTGGTCAACAACATCTGAGTGGGGAATGAGGAGCTTCCATCTTGTCCTTCACCTTGGGCAGGCTAAATTCTTTGGCCAGTCCTGCATACATAGGAAAGCACATCAGAACCCAACACAAAATCTACCCAGACACCCCCCAACTCGAAGTATTTCAAGTACTGAAAACTTAAATGCACTAATGTCTCACCTGGGTAAAATGAATGTTGATGAAAAGTTCTAAAAGAGACCATTTTCCTTTGTTTTTTATAGGAGAGGATTGATCATGGGATTATGGAACTCGCACACTTCAGTGGGGAATATTTTAGGGTCCCTAATAGCTGGCTATTGGGTGTCTACCTCCTGGGGTTTGTCCTTTGTGGTGCCTGGCGTTATAATAGCTTTAATGGGGATTGTCTGCTTCCTGTTTCTTATTGAACGTAAGTACCTGTTCTGAAATGAATTTATGCAAAACTGAGCAGGTTCTGGGTTGCGATAAATGTAATTGATCAATATTGTTCATACACCACACACACACAAAAATGCTCTAGCTTGTGTTGCATTAAAAAAAGAGGTTGAGTGTGCATGCCGGGTAAGTGGATGAATGGAGCAGAAGAATGCGTATGTGATTCTGCAGTCTTATATCCTCACCTCCAGGTTTGGTTGCAAACCAAGATTATGGGTAACTTGGAGTTGACACAATGCAGTTACTAAAATTTGCATCCAGTCAGAAGCCTGCTTTCATGATAATCATGCATTTTTAGATATTGTGTGTTAGCAGCATTTTATAAAACAAACCATAAACATTTCCATGAGCGCTTGGAAGATATCCATGAATTTCTGTGTTTCTGTTGTGTTATTTCAGATCCTAGGGATGCAAACTGTACAAGTTCATCATCCAGTGTAAGTAATGACTTTTAGGGACCTCATTAATTGCATTTTCTCCATTTCCAGTTTCACAATACTAGTTTTCAACCAGCATGTGTGGGGTATGGTGGGTGTACATAAAGGAGAAAGGACCTTTTTCTTGAACCTTCAGCTTGAAAGACTTCTGTACACCTCAAAGGCTTGAAAGCACTACTTTCCCGTAATAAACCGATGTGAACCCCTCCCCCCCAAAAAATCCGGGGTGGAAAATAAGGAAGTGTTCATGAAACACACACACAAAAAACACACGGGCTTGGATGAATGGGCTAAATATGTTTGCCTCATGTGCAGTAATAATAATAATAATAATAATAATAATAATAATTATTATTATTATTATTTGTACCCCGCCCATCTGGCTGGGTTTCCCCAGCCACTCTGGGCGGCTTCCAACAAAGATGAAAAATACACTAAAATGTCACATATTAAAAACTTCCCTGAACCGGGCTGCCTTCAGATGTCTTCTGAATGTCAGGTAGTTGTTTATCGCTTTGACATCTGATGGGAGGGCGTTCCACAGGGCGGGCGCCACTACCGAGAAGGCCGTCTGCCTGGTTCCCTGTAACTTGGCCTCTCGCAGTGAGGGAACCGCCAGAAGGCCCTCGGAGCTGCACCTCAGTATCCGGGCAGAACGATGGGGGTGGAGACGCTCCTTCAGATATACTGGACCGAGGCCGTTTAGGGCTTTAAAGGTCAGCACCAACACTTTGAAAAGTATCTGAAAAGGGAAAGTATCTGAGTTTATGTATTACCAAGCTTTCCAGTTGTCATTGCAGTTAAAAGAGAAAAAAGACTGAAGCCTAATCCGAATGTTTATTTAGATGCCTCATTGATTTTAATAAGGCTTTCCTTCAAGTAGGATTGTAGTAGGATTGTTCTTAATATCTCTTATAAAAATATCTTTCAGAATTCAAAAAGTTACACGAATGGGCCAGATAGATACACCATTCAGAAACCAGAAATAAGCGCTAAGAAAACAAGCTTATCTTGGGTAAATCAAAAATACTTTCATAATTAGATTTTTCAAAGCTTGCATGAATTCATATTTAAGCAAATTACCTTAATGCTTTGAGGGGGGAATGATTGCATGAAGCAACATTTGCTTAATCACATATTTTCCAACTGTCCCTGTTTATGAGAGACAGATGTGACCTTCTGTTATCTGTCCTTGGTAAATCAGTGTTTCTATTTTGTCCCTTCTGCTTTGGGAAGATTTGGAAGTTGTATTTTTAAAAGACTGTTAGTATATATGCACATGTGCATAAGCTTCCCTTCCAGCCCTGTGCAACTGCATATCCTGACAGTTAATTTCAGTGAATGTGTTTCAGTTTCAGCTATTTTATTTAATCAGAACCAAATTCATTGTGTGCTTAAGCAATGCATTCTCAAGTTTTAACAGAGGACACTTGTGGTTTAGAAAGCATTGCAGAGAAATGTAGGTGTGCATGCAGACAGCAGCTTTCAGCAAGGAGTAATAATAGATCATTAGTATGAGAACAGGGATGTTTTGTGTATGCAAGAGTGGCCCTGTCTTATCCTGCGAGATGTTGGAGGGCATGTAAATATGTATTTATTTGCTTGAAGTTAGCAGTGCAATAGGTATGTTTAGCAGTATCTTTCTTTTTGCAAAATTTATTGCCCAGTGGCTTATGCAATATCTTATTGATTGTAAAACTAACAGCACCACCCAAATGTGGATAATGATTTAGCTCTCTGCACACAGAGAACAGGGTACACAGATTCTATGCACAAAAACCTGGAAAAGAAAGTTCATAATAACGTGAGCAGTAGCAACTATCCTTGGCCAAGGTCTTCCACTTCTTCCTACAGACTCAGGGCTCCTCCAAACTGCCTGTTTGTTCAGCATTCATCCTGATTTGCAGGCACAAAGCTTATGGGGTGCTCAGATTGCATCCAGTCTTTACTGGGATTTCTTTCTTTCTGATTTGTTTGTGGATGCTTATATGAAAATGAGCATCCATCCATTCATTCTGATTTGCTCGCGGTGTGCATACATGTCTTCCTATTAATCACCCTACACTTTCAAATACATGAGATGTTGCCTAGATACTTCTTCTCCAAAAACCCATAATCTAATGACCTACCTCCATATGGAGCTGGTATGTCCTATTGTCCAGTTAGTGTGTTTCCTAAGAAAACACCTCTTGGCATGGGGCTAATTCTGTTAATATCCTGAGGAAAGACCTCCCCTAAGAAAGTACTAGCTAATAAGGCCATGTGAAATCCATACATAATGGCATTTTTGTCGAGTTGAATATGTCATATGGGAATAGGTCTTGCGGCAGGTAACATGATTCCATAAGTAAGTTTAAATTGCTTCAGCCATTGGTGTTTCAATATTAGTTTATGGTTCCAATTAACCTATTAAAATGCAAAATTATTTCATGTTAACAGTACATTAATATATGAGTGGCTTGGTTTATTGCTTTCGTTGAACTTGATGGGGTCTTTTGTAGGATCCAGAGAAGCACTGCCTGCTCCCTGACAATGAGAAATGCAACAAGTCACTGAATCATAACAATGGAGGCTGTGAGGAAACTGAAAACAGGAAGTCTGCTATAAGTTTTTCTGGAGCTTTGCGAATACCTGTGAGTATACGTTGCCATCTTCAAATCTGGACTGAGGCTTGGCCCTTATATTTTTCAGAAGATGAAAGTAATAGTAATAGTAACAACTTCTACTATGTCAGCTTCTCCAGTGACAGTAGCCATGCCATGGAAACAAAGCATAATGCATCAATCGGAGGTACCTTTTTCCCTCACTGGTTGTGTGCAATATCTGAACCATGAACCAGCCTGGGCCTCACAGTCTTCAGCAAGGGCTCATGTGTGTCTCATCTAATGGAAATGTGGAGGGCAGCTACACAAGAATCGGCTTTTCCAGCTGTGGCTCCTCATCTGTGGAATGCTCTCCTCACAGAAACACAGGCTAAGACATTTTTATTTACTCAATATTTTGCTGATTGAGTTAACCTGTGGTGCTCGCCTTCTAGTGGAATTTCTCCTGCTTTTTGTATTGCTGGATGAGCATTTTAGTAATTTTGTATGCCTTTCTAAATTTGCCTTTTAATATTTTTTTTCCTGTTTGTATATTATTTTAAGTCATTTTGAGAAATTTCTTTTTTGTATAAAATGACTAAGAAACTCAATGATGAATATTGGCCCGAATATAAGCCGCACCTGAATATGTTGTACCTTTAAAATTGGAGGGGGGGAATAAAAAAAGTATGCTTTTAAAAAAATTAAAATTATTTTATCTTCTGTTCTCTGTAGGGAGTTGTAGAATTCTCTCTCTGCCTGTTATTTGCCAAACTGGTCAGCTACACTTTTCTTTTCTGGCTTCCATTGTACATCACAAATGTAGGTAAGTATCTGTGTTTAAAGAATCATGTATATGTGATCCACATAAAGATAAACATATTCTGAAGTAAGGTAAATGTAAAAAGGTAAAGGACCCTGGACGGTTAAGTCCAGTCAAAGGCGCCTATGGGGTTGCTGTGCTCATCTCACTTTTCAGGCGAGGAGAGCTGGCGTTAGTCCTAAGACAACTTTCCAGGTCATGTGGCCAGCATGACTAAACCACTTCTGGCGCAACGGGACACCATGACGGATGCCAGAGCACACAAAAATGTCGTTTACTTTCCTGCTACAGTGGGAAGTAATGGCTGACAAAAGGGAGGATAGTATTATCAAGGTGGATATTATTATTATAATTTATATCCTGCCCTTCCTCCCAGTGGAGCCCCCCCCCTTCACAGTGATACTCGGAGGTTAAAGCAAGTAATTGGGTCTCTCGCTCACACAAGGAGACCTCTTGTGTACACAAAACCAGTGCTAATGATAATTGCATCCTCCTATCAGCTGATGTAATAGGAGGGCCGTCCTGCTTGATTTTGCAAGGCATCATTACTATACTTTGCAAAATGCTGCTTCTGCAGAGTATAGTAAAGATGCCTTGCAAAATCAAGCAAGATCCCCCCTTCCAACCATGTAATTGCTAATAGCAGCTTTGGAAGTTGGTGAGTTACCCTGGGAAAGATTAAAGCACCCATTTCCAGACCACCATTTTTGCAGCCTTGAAAGATGCCCCATAGGGCTGCTAGTTATCAAAACAAAACACTAGTCATGGATCTCCCACACCACATCTGGGTTTGCCCTGAATAACTTGGAACAGATACCTATTTTGTACGCATTATAATATATAACCTTAATTCTTAGTGCCGCCTGCCAGCTTGTTAAACTTATATCTTGCCTTTCTTCCATCATGAACACAAGACCCCCACATACAGAGGGCAGTCAGCCAGTTTTGTAGCTCCTGAAAAAAATCTAAGCAATTCCTGCTGTATTTTTTTATTTCCTTCACTGACAGAACATATTGATGCTAAACGAGCAGGCGATCTATCCACACTATTTGATGTTGGAGGAATCTTTGGTAAGTTTGCAACTTAGTGTTTGATACTTTAAAACTGCACACACAGAATCTATATGTTTCTGAATTGACTTGATATTCTTAAACACAGAGGCAAGAGCTATGGAGAAAAGCAGGTGGTGGGAACTGGTCAGACAAACTGAGCTGCTCAGCTGAGAGAGTGAGAATATTAAGCAGATGATGGTTTTTGTAGCAGGTGGAGCACAACAAAATGTCATACAATATTTAAACCAATTCACATCTAAATACCTACATAACTAATATAGCAGTAGCATCACACTCAAAACTGACTTCACCCATCACAGATCTCTACCTCTAAAGCCTTATGAAAGAAGTGTGCAAAACAAGTACACCGTCAAGGTACATCTCAGCGGGGAGAGCAATCAAAAAGCCTATTCACAGGCCCTTGTGCTCCTCATTCCGAGCAGAGACCACCAAGAGAGCCTTGCCTTCCAATTGAAATTAACAGTCAGGAATAAACAAGAGTATTATCTTTGCAAGAGTATTATCTTTGATAGTTGGACAGTGTACTCGAAGCTACAAACATGCGTCTGACCAAACTGCGGGAGGCAGTAGAAGACAGGAGTGCCTGGCGTACTCTGGTCCATGGGGTCACAAAGAGTCGGACACAGCTAAACGACTAAACAACAACAATTATCTTTGCTATGCTCCATTTCAGACATTGGCAAGAAATGTTTTAATTTAACAAATTTATATACCGCCCTTCAAAAATAACATTCTTCCCAAGGCAATTTACAGGCTATATCAACATACAGAAAAAAAATACAATTAACACTGCTTAGAATATATTGATCGCCTGAACCCATTGTTTATCAAAACCAACAATACTCCAGCAAAAATGACATACAGTGGTGCCTCGCAAGACGAAATTAATTCGTTCCGCGAGTTTTGTCGTCTTGCGATTTTTTTCGTCTTGCGAAGCACGGTGTCGGGAAAGTTTTGGAAAAGCTTCAAAAATCACCAAAGTCTTTAAAAACCTCAAAAAGGCTACAACACCGCGTTCTATGAGTTGCTCATCGAAGTCAAGTCGCAACTGTATTAACGGTGTTAAGAAAAGGAAACAAACTTGCAAGACGTTTCCGTCTTGCGAAGCAAGCCCATAGGGAAAATCGTCTTGCGAAGCAGCTCAAAAAACAAAAAACCCTTTCGTCTAGCGAGTTTTTTGTCTTGCGAGGCATTCGTCTTGCGAGGTACCACTGTAGTAGCAAATAATGCAGCTACCAGAATTAGACAAGATTATCAAATCTCCAGCCAAACAACAATTTAGTGCAACAAGCCATGAAAAAAGAGTTTTTAATGCCATCTGAAAGTGTCCAAGGATGAACCCTGCCTGATAGGGACTTTAAAGGTCAACACCAGTACTTTCAGTTCAGACTCGAGTGCCGGGCTCCAACCAATTTCTGAAGCACCTTTAAAAGGCAGCCTCATGTAGAGTGCATTATGGTAGTTTAGTCTGGATGCCACTATCGCATGGATGTCTGTGCTGAGGTCCAGTGGGAAATGATGGTGGGCATGTAGAGATTGAAACTGAAGAGACTATGGGGAAAATAGATTTGGGAGCATTCCGCATAAAAGTGGTAGCTGGAACCTTCAGAACAAAAAGATTACTCAATGAAAGAGTACAGAGTTAAAAAAAATAGGAATACATGAGCCCTGCAAAGATTTGTCTAGCATCCTGTTTCCTTCAGTGACCAAACTGATACCTCTTGATAAAGCAAGACCTGTCAAGGTTTCCGCAGTGGCTGAGAGGAGCCTTACGAGGTTGGATCTCCCCCTGCGAATTCAAACTTACCGTATTTTTCGCTCTATAAGATGCACCAGACCATAAGAAGCACCTAGTTTTTGGAAGAGGAAAACAAGAAAAGAAAAATATTCTGAATCCCAAAAGCCAGGACAGCCAGCAGGATCGCAGCTAAGGCTCCCCCAAGAGCTGTGCTCCCTTTAAAGAGCGTGCAGAGTGTGTGTGCGGCTCTTTAAAGGGAGCGCTGAGCAGAGCCTCCCGCCTGCATTTGCTCCATAAGACGTACACACATTTCCCCTTACTTTTTAGAAGGGGAAAAGTGCATCTTATAGAACGAAAAAGATGGTATTTCTTCATCCCCTGAGAAAGAGACCTGAAACTTCCTAAGGTCCCTGGGAAACTTTCTGAGGGACCACAGGAGTGTGTTCTTAAAAATAATTAAAAAAGAGAAGATGGACATTTTGTGCTTGTGGGTTTCCCACGGGTATCTGGTTGACCACTGTGAGAACAGGATGCCGGTCTAGGTGAGCCCTTCACCTGATCCAGCAGGCTCTTCTTATTTCTTCCACTTTGATCATTACATTGTAGAAATTATTGGTGATAGTACTACTGGCTTTGTTGATGCATAATATATGCAGGGCACTTCTTTAAGAAAACAAAAGGATGCCCTTTATGGGTAGTGTCTAACGTAGTTGCAAACATGTCCTCACTTAGAGATTCAGTTCCCCATATCTTTTCCCACAGGTGGAATTTTGGCAGGCATAATATCAGACCGACTGAAGAAAAGAGCTACAACTTGTGGCATGATGCTTTTGATTGCAGCACCCACGGTACGGCCTGCTGTCTCAACTACAGAGATAAAATTAGATGTGTCTGCTAGCTGGTGCTGGTTTAGCGATGGAGGGATGGATTTTTAATGTTCTGCTGTTGAAACTGTTTAAGTGACTTTGTTACCCACTGAAACATAAGATTCTCTTCCCCGTTGAAGGATTGGCCTTAACATGTGAAAATTACTATAAAATCCTAGAACTTGCCTTGCATCCTACATAGCAGAGATCTATAATTGCTTCGTCAGGCCTGTCGTCTATGCCAATAGCTCCCAAAATGCAAAATAATGCAGATTTATTAATTGATACCCAGCAAAGACAACTGATCTTGTTATTGAAAAGTTAAAGTTTCATGATGAGTTGAGCTAACTGTTGCTTTATGTCTACTTTAGCTATACCTATTTTCAGCAATCAGTAAAATGGGCTTTGAGGCCACCATAGGTGAGTTCTCTGTTTTCTAGCGTTATTTTTTTAACCTATTTGGGATGATTAAAAATATATCTGGGACTGTATTTCATAATATATTATAAAATATAAGTACTGAACATAGGTCTAAGATGGTCACTCCTAATGGTATTTATAGACCAGTTCTGTTTTGTTGTTGTTGGTTTTTTCCCCAATCGAGAATCATCTGCTCATGAGAGCAGTGTAGCTCATGAAGCACGATCTCAAATATCAATCACAGCATCAGTGATCTGGAGCCTAAATTGCTTCTCTGCTAATAGCTTACCTTTTGCAAAAGCTAATGGGAGATAGTGGAATTAGCTATACTCCCTTAATTCAGTGCATGTTGTCTTGGGTGTATGAACTCCTTACTGTAGTCTCAAACCACATACACAGAGGGGCTCTAGCCAACCAATTGTAATCATGTGAATGTCTGGGGGGCGAATGGACAAAATATACTTCCATTTCTTTCTTCCCCACTGCATTTAAATATATTTCCTACTTCCTTACTTGGGGCTGACAATCTGGAACTGGAAATAAGTAGTACAGATAATTTTCAGCCATAGTTTTACTTAGTATACCTAAATAGTAATTACTGCTTTGGAGGGGTCTAATATAGTAAGTAGATCATTGCAGTGTCGCTGTTTGTGAGTTGCGTAGTCACTAGTAGCAAATAGGAATTAGCCACTGAGGCTCAGGACTGACAGACTCAGAAGTACAGCTCAGCAGCAAGGGGCTTGCAGATAGCATCCTTTGCTTGCAATCCTCTGCCAACTTACGTACATGTGAGCTGGTCCCACTGAACCTAATGGGGCTTAACCTCAGGTAGACTTGCATAGGATTTCACTGTGTGCCTCTCTTTTGCCTTTGGAGGCCTACTGGTTCTACTAAGGTCCAGAGTAAGCAGCAGCAGCAGCAAGTTATTGAGTTCTGTGCTTGTTCTCACTGTGGGAGAGACAGGTACAAGGACCGATTGCCATCATTTGCCTCGCAATCAGCAAATAAATGTGGCAGAAGGCAAGGCAGGGCAGATATGGCAGCAGTGTGTCTTATGCAGACTACAACACAACACTCTGCTCTTATTTGTCCCCAGTTCTTTCTGTTATCCATGCCTTCTCAACCTTTATTTCCAAGGCTGTTTTAAGTCTGCTTGTCAGTTCAGTTTTACCAATAAGTCAAATGAGGATAAGAATGCCAGTCCCCTCTGTTACGTAACTTTTCCCATGCTTTCATTTCAAATATACACCAAGAACAATCCACTGGCTATTTATTACTGGGTGACCATTTTTTTTTACCTTATAAGGTATTTTGGAAAACAGAACTTCCACTGTTTATAATTTCGTAACTCGTCTGTTTGAAATAAATGTGCATTGATTAATAGATCTTTCACCCTCCATGTATTGTTAGAGCGAACACAAATTCTGAAAATCTGGTTGTTGTGTTTAATCTCATTTCAAGTTATGCTGCTCATCAGTGGAGCTCTTGTAAATGGCCCTTATGCGTTGATCACAACAGCTGTCTCAGCTGACTTGGTGAGTATGTATCTGTCTTAAATGTTCAGGTTAGTTCTCATAATATATTAGTCATTTTCGTTTTAATAAGAACAGGGACACAAGAAAGGAAGAAGCACAATGTTCTAGAGAAGGACAGAATCCATAGGCCAGTGTGGCTTCCTCTCTCCATTAGCCTTGAAGTGTGTGGGTTGAATGGCCCCTCGAAGAAGAAGATCCTCACTAATCTACAACTGGGTTTATGGTGGTGTATCCAGTATCTGTCTAATCCAATAGGAAACAATTTGAGAAGAAGGAAGCTAGGAAAGGCTCCTGTCTTGACCTAATGCAAGTTCCAGTATATGGTTTTAAGGAGTTCAGAAAAGACGTTTTATTTATCCTTTAATGTAAATATTGGAAAAGTCTTCTTTCTTTGCTGATCACTCGTAGCCAAGTAAGATTGTCGTCCGTAAACACGGTTTTAACAATGAGTCCGTAGGTGACTGGGACACGGGTGGTGCTGTGGGTTAAACCACAGAGCCTAGGACTTCCCGATCAGAAGGTCGGTGGTTCGAATCCGGGTGAGCGCCCGTTGCTTGGTCCCTGCTCCTGCCAACCTAGCAGTTCAAAAGCACGTTAAAGTGCAAGTAGATAAATAGGTACCGCTCTGGCAGGAAGGTAAACGGCGTTTCCGTGCGCTGCTCTGGTTTGCCAGAAGTGGCTTAGTGATGCTGGCCACATGACCCGGAAGCTGTACGCTGGCTCCCTCAGTCAATAAAGCGAGATGAGCGCCGCAACCCCAGAGTCGGCCACGACTGGACCTAATGGTCAGGGGTCCCTTTATCTTTACCTTTACCATAGGTGACTGTGGAGGCCAATTCTGGATCCACACGTCCTTCCACAGTGGGGACATTGGTGGTTTCCGGGTGGGAGTTGATCACGGTGTGGATTTGCCAAGCGTACCTTCCTCTGAGCACGTTTCTACCTTGCGTCCTGAGTTCGAGTGTCTTCAAAGTCCATGACACCTTTGGTAAAGGTTGTTCTCCAACTGGAGTGCTCACAGGCCAGTGTTTCCCAGTATTGGAAAAATACCCCAGTCTACAGTTACTCAACACAGCTGTGTGTAAGAATTTTGGCTTGCTGCTCTGTGGTGGTAGTGGGACTACAAGATAGAGGAACATCAGAAGTGGCCCAAATGCAAAAGCATTTAAGAGAAACTGTTGTAATGTCTAGTTTTGATTGATATAGGTTGAGCACCCCCAGATCCACCCATTCAGCTTTGTGAAACAAAGACTATTTCATTTATATTCCACCTCTTCGTCCTAGGAGCTCAAAAAAGCGGAACTGTATAAATGAGAAATGATTGTTAATATTGCTGCTATCCGTGCTAACATTATTAAGGTTTGAAAATTTTGTTTTTAAAGGGTACCCATAAAAGTCTCAAGGGAAATGCAAAAGCACTCTCCACTGTTACAGCTATCATTGATGGAACAGGTTCAGTAGGTAAGCTTTCACTCCCAAAATATCTGCCTTAAGAACAAAAGTTCAGTTGATGGGCCTAGTTGTAGAATGACTGTAATTGTAGCTGCAGACCTGGAAATCTATGCCCATCACCCCTCAGTTATTTTTCAATGGAAACCCAAGCACTTTCCTGGAGCACGTCAGAGCGTCGTCGCCCCCCCCCCCCCCCGCTTTTTCGCTTTCCCCAGAAAAACCCATCTTTACCATTTAATCAGAGCAAATGGCAAATCCGGTTTTCCACGGATGACCATTTGCTTCGATTCAGCGGTAAATTACTGGTTTTCGCAGGAAAAGCAGAGGGCCAAAAAAGAAAAGCAGTCAGACCTGGAAAGTCCAGACCTCTGTCTAGAAATGCAGAGCAAAAGTAGGTGTGGATGAGCCCTCTGTCCTATCCCATTTCAGGAGGAATATTTGTGGTTTCATGAAGCAGTGGTGACATATCTAGAAGCCACTTCCGAATATGTTATCAAAGTTGAAATCTCAGGAATGTATAAAATATTATGCAGCCTGTCAGATGCGCTGCTTCTTGCACTGTATTGCTTTAACCCGTGTGTCCTGTGTTTTAGGTGCTGCTCTGGGACCTTTGTTAGCTGGTCTCCTCTCTCCTTCTGGTTGGAACAATGTGTTTTATATGCTGATGATAGCAGATGCTTGTGCCTTGCTAGTAAGTCAAAGTATGGAATAGTACCATATTTCTGTGTCCTGTAGGCTCCTTTGTTAAAATGTAGAGTTCAGTTTAATGTGTTGACTGCACTGATTTCATAGAATCGTATAATTGTAGAGTTGGAATGCAGGAATCTCAACTAAACCATCTAAACTAACTAAACTCAACTAAACCATCCATGGCAGGTGGCCATCCAACCTTTGCTTAAAAAATCTACAAGGGAGAAGAGTCACCACCTTCTGAGGGAGTCCGCTGCACTGTCGAACAACTCACAACATCAGAAAGTTCTTCCTGATGTTGAGTCAGAATCTAGCTGTGTAGAGTTCTATTTAATACTTTTAATGTCTCATTTTCCCAAATAGCTTGATTTAGATTTCCATTCAGGAGTGCAACTTACACAGCATATCACTCTTTTATAGTGCTTTTTATCACAAAGGTACTATGCTGTAGTCTACACCATCAAATTTCGTCCTTAATTTTAATATAATTGGGTTTCCTAAAATAAATGTGATGATGTTAAAGTAACTTGTTATAATTTTCTCAGCTCCATGGGGATGGAGATGGACCTCATTTTAAAATATACATGAAGAGAATGGGAGCTTTGGTCTCCACTTGTGAGGTCTGAATTGTTTTTGAGCATCTCTCATGCTATAAATATATATATGTCTGGCTACTGTTAATGCAAAAGTGAAAGTGGGAAAAAGGCACTTGAATATAAATGAGTTGTCCAGCCAACATAGGTTTTTTATTCACATTTCAAGCTGATGGAAGCAATTACTGTTAGAACTTCTCTAAGCCTCCTACATAGACACCATTAAGGGATATATATATATATATAATTTTATTTTTGCTGCTATAAGTGTGAAATCAGTAGTTATGCTAACATCCAACCTTGCTAGGGCCAGAAATATATATATCATAATTTCCTTTGAGATAATCGTTTAAGTTTTCTGCAACTATTCCTAACTGGAAAACCCTCTTGCTAGCTAAACTCTGTCTTTGAGGATTACTTCAGTAAGTTTTATAAAATCCTATATGTAGCTGAAATCTGCAATTGGTGGCACCTAAGAATTGTTCATATTTAACCACCACCTCCCCACGAAAGCATTAGGTTACCATAGTAATATAGGTTTTAGTAGAAACTATCAAAGATAGAACCTTTAAAAGGCAGGGGTAGGAGCTGCAAGTATGCTTTGGTAGGTTTTTTGTGTCTTCACATTTCATTTAAGGAAACGGTAAGGAATTAGGGAATTGGAGAGACTAAAATGGTTCCTTCAAGAACCATTGAATCCGATTTGTAAAATCAAGCCTTTCAATAATTTCCTCCCCCCCCCCCCGCAACACACACATACACACCCTGAGTTGATAAACCTTTTCATCTCTGTTTGTAGCTCTATCTTCTGAAATATTACTGAGAGGACAGTCCTTTTTGGAGGGTGGCAAAATGTTGTTGTTGTTTAATAATCCTTCTCTTTTTCTCGAGAACATTGTTTATAATTTGAGAATTATTGCAGAAGATGCAGGCGATTTGTGTACTTATGCACGTCAAATGAATTTAGTGCTGAGAATGAACCACCAAGGACCATTGCACTGCTAGGTTTCAAGGAGCCTAGGGCCATTTGCCCTGAAGAGGCCTGAATAGCCAGTTACCCTGGTCCCTCCACATCTGCTGCCTGCTTTCACCTCATTCCCCTGATTGCCCCACTTTTTCTCAACACACCCACCCCACAACTTATCAGATGGTGTTGGAAGGGGAGGGGCCCTTTGCTACTATTTTAAACGTTGTGTAGCAGCAGACACACTGTTTAGTCAAGCAGTGGCTAAGCCAAATTCAACACTGCAGGACCTCGGTGTACCTGCCATCATTACACTTAGTTTAAAAGTTTGTCGAAAGAAAAATAAATCCTTTCCCTTCTCAATTCCTTTTGGAAGGAGAGGGGAATGGCACTGCAAATTCCAGGGTCACCTTTGTAGGCTCTGCTAAGCAGGTGGCATCAGGAAGGGATTCATTTTTCTTTCTGTTCCTCTTTTTAAAACAGTTTTTCATGGGCGTCCAGCATGCTGCTGAACCAAGTGCTTGACCTTTCCAGCTTCAGCCCTATGTACAATTTCCCAGAGTGCTAATCTCTGAGCAAAACCCTCTCTGGCGTAACAAAGATGGCAACAGGGACAGCTGCAGTCAGCTCAGCGGGTGTTTTGCTGTGCAAAAGTGTTCTTAAATTACATGCACACAAAGCTCTTGTGTATAATAGTAAAAATAAATAAATAAATAAATAAATAAATAAAACCCTGCCCATCTGGCTGGGTTTCCCCAGCCACTCTGGGCGGCTCCCAGCAAAATATTAAAATACAATTAAAAGCTTCCCTAAACAGGGCTGCCTTCAGATATCTTCTAAAAGTCAGATAGTTGTCTATTTCTTTGACATCTGTTATCTCTAGTAGTCATTTACCCACTCTACTCTGGGGTCTCAGCAGTGCTTTTTTCCTAAAATAATAATAATTAAAAAAAAATGTTTAGGGGTACTCTCATTTTCCTACTCATATTGAAATACTGCCCCTCAATGAGAGCAAACTTTGCTTCACAAAATGTTTAGGGGTATGCATACCACTGCGCCCTGCCCTCCCCCCCAAAAAAAGCACTGGGTCTCTCCCTCACAGTTCCATTATATCAGAGAGATCAACCTAGTTACTTAAGCGAATGATGGCGATACCCTTTCAGAATAGCGTAAGGACAACACAGCACATCAATCCATTTCCCAATAGGCTTGCGCTCCCTCTACTGGGCTCTTCATCAATTTGCGGCTACGGTTTTTGCATCTCTGAACTTATATTTACACTTGGTCTCAGACATAATACAGTGGTACCTCTGGTTACCTCTGGAGGTCCGTTCTTAACCTGAAACCATTCTTAACCTGAGGTACGACTTTAGCTAATGGGGCCTTCCGCTGCTGCTGTGCTGCCGGCGCGCAATTTCTGTTCTCATCCCGGGGCAAAGTTCTTAACCCGAGGTACTACTTTCAGGTTAGCGGAGTCTGTAAGCAGAAGTGTTTGTAATCCGAGGTGTTTGTAACCCAAGGTACCACTGTACTGTGCATGGTTCATTAGGCTGCATATTTGGCTAGCAGATTAATATGTCATGCATTATACAGGGGCTATAGTGGGCTTTTGGTGACCAGTGGATTAATTTGTATGTCCAGTGCTTAAAAAGGGGCAGTTGTTTAAATTAGGGACTTCCAAAGACCTTTTGTTTGCCAAGTTCCCCATATGAAAAAATTAGGTCCATTGTGCATCCTGGCCCCTTTACACTAGAAGATGGGAATCTGCCACTAGTCCATAAACACCACTTTTATCCAGGTAACCCAAGTACCTCCTTTCATTTCATTTCTTTGCTTTGGCCTACAGAGATGTAACCCCATTAGTTTGTTGTAGCAAGAACAACAAAAGAGTATTGTGGTACCTTAAAGACTTTAAAAATTATTATGACATAAGCTGCCATGGTCTTTTGTCAGCGTCCTAGGAGAATTTATTCCTCCAGTCTGCCCTCACTTTTGCCTGAATGCTGTCCAGTCCCTCACTTTAAGACGCCATCTTTATTTACATGAAGAATTCATGTCAAGCGCCATTTTTGCTCTTGACACTGTTTTTATTTTATTTTATCTATACAGTTCTTGCTCCGCCTTATACGAAATGAACTTCGATGTAGTCTGGATCGCACCCTGTAAGTTTTGGCTTAACTTCCTGTGTGCCAATACATTATGTTTACATTATATTTAGCTAACATATCTTTCCATTCAACAACAACGTGGCAATTTTCTTTCTTTTTCTATGTTTGGATTTCTGTACTGTTTATCAGCTTCTCAAATAATTGTTTGAAATTTATTTATTTATTTATTTATTTAAAAAAATCTTTTAGTTGTTGCAAGAGCAGATAAGATGTCCAAATATCTCTGATACTTGTTTTCATGTTATTTGTCACCCTTTTTTAAATTGCAAATTATTTGCTTCCTAGGCTGTGGTCTAGAAAAGGTATAGATACTCACAGTCTTCTTCCAGTTTTTAAAATGCCTTTTGCCAGCAGGAGTTGCTGCAGCAAAAATCTCCTTCAGCGCACGTCACTCTCTTTTTATGCATACACCTTATACTTTCCTACCACTAGGAAAATTACAAACGTGTGAAATTAAAGTGGAACTGGACTGTGTCCATGTCTGATTCTGCAGCTGGTCTGAGGCACACTATACTGCACTGATTCTTGATAGGCCTGGACAGTAAGGAGTTTATAAAACCAATACTCTACTGCACAAAGTTTCTGTTTCATTCCATTTCAGGGTGCTAAATATAGCCAATCATGCTAGTAAGGAGTTTGGACACTAGATGACTTGCAGTATATGTAGCCACTCAGTATTGAAGAACAACGGGAAGGGCTTTCCCTTACACTAGCCCTAATCCAGTGAGATAACATCCCCTTTTCCAAAAGCTATTGTACACCACTTTTTGGTTAGTTAAGCTTTTAGCTTTTAGGAGTGAGCATAGAAATGTCTTAGCTATTTTATTTTATTGATTTAATTTATGAATCTATATATTAAATATGAATAAAGACCATGATAGATAATTATATATATAATTAAAACAACTGTTCCTTGCCCTGAGCTATTGTGAGATGTCACTCGGAAAGCTAAAAGGCAATTAAGGTGTGGGGGGGGGGCTTCCTTCTTCGAAGGTAGTAATTACTATATATCAAGATGTATCAACTCTTGTTTCTTGACTGCTGATATCCTTCGTTCTCTTGTAGGTTTAAAGAACACTGAATTTCCGGAAACAAGTAAATTAAAATGATTGTTTTTTTGAAGACTTTGACTGTGTTCCAGAGAGCCTATTTATGACCCACTACCAAGAAGGAGGCTGCTGTGCTTGAAAATGAAGTAGGGGTGGGGAATCCCAGTTGCACATATTTCTCTGGATCCTGGTCTTTGTGGATTTTTTGTTGCTGTTTGTTTTTTTTTGTTGCATTTGAGCTGCATTTTCTGAACAGATTTGCACGATTATGGGAAGAAGGTTTCAAAATTCATCTCCGCTCCTCCCTCTTTATTTTGCACATGTACCAATATCTCAGGAAGGAGAGTGTCCTCAAAGAAAGGAGCTGTTAACTATTTTATGGACTAACTGAGCCAAAGAAAATGCGCCTTGATACTAATTTTGTCTTAAATAAGTTTTATGTTACATGATTGGTTTCATTTTTTAAAAAAATAGAATGCAAACAGAACTAAAGGAAATGGAGCTAACTTTAGAGGCTTGTTTGCAGTGTGCTCAGAAGAATTAGCAAAAGATTGAACAAAGTGTCCTTCATGTTATGTCTGATCTTGCTAAGAATGGCTGTTGCTGGATATCTGATATTTATTCTGTTATAAGAAAGCAGGTTGTCCTATTATCCAGCATAATCAACTAACTTTTCACACTGTACAGTTTCAAAACAATGTTATTCTGTATCTAATGGGTTGGAACCTGAAGTGCCGCGTATATATGGTGGTTACTCTGCAATTGTCCAGTCCCCTGCTTCTGAACCTAATCTCATGGAGTCAGTAACAGGAGAACAGTACCCTTTCCTATTATTATTTATTTAATAAGCAGTACCATCTAGACTTTTGGGTAATGCTGATTAAAAAGAAGGGTCACTAGCCAATCCAGTTATGGCAGGCCTTGTCTTTTAAGGCTTTAAAAAAAATTGTTGAGGGTATTATAATAAGAAGCACAAGCAGTGTAGCATCTTTGGTCTCCTCTAAAATTGCTGGTCAAATTTGTTGGCCAATGATTGGTTTGGAGAGTTAAGATTGCTTTGGATCAACCATTCCAGAGTGCTCATTCTTAACTGTACAAGCCAGGATTTCCCCCTTCATTTTGTATATGCAGAAAATAATGTTGCTTGAGGCCTTAGTCACTCAACAATTGGGACCAAAACATTCTACTGAGTATTTTCATTATGACAATTGGAATAGTCGCAATATTTTCTACAGCGTAAAAGTCTCAATTTGTATACAAATTGCATATTTTAAAAAAATATAGATAAGAAAGGAAGAAAGAAAAACACGTATATTTTATCCCATAAAAGCACAAGTGTTAACTGTTTGTTGTAGTACTTTCCCCCCTGTTCATCCTTTTAAATTCCAGAGAATTCGAAGTCTGTCTCTGGTCTGCAAAGATGTATAATAGAACTATTTTATTTAAAAAGGGACTCATATTACATGCTGTTCAATGGTTTTTAGTATTTTTCAATATGTATACTGCTACTGATTATTTATTAAAGTTCAAAATCCAGTTTTCCCCCCTTTTGGACCATCAGGACTATGTTTAGTTTTTATTAAAGTTCATAAACTTACCTATTTTCCAAGAATTGTTTTCTTACTTAATACAGTGTACACCATACTTGAACCACAAGGCAGAGGCTTACATGAAGATATAAATCCCATTATCAGTTAAGTCAGACAGAATTGGTGGATGTTTCTAAAGTCCTACATTCTATATCCTCATTTCCCTGCTCTACTTTAAAATAGCCATGGTTTTCGTAGTTATGCGTACAACTTGAGTAAGCATAGCCATGGGAAATCTCAGACCTGTAAGCCAAATTTGGCCTGGTGGAGGCCCTCCCTCACATCTGACATCATAAGATGTCATAAGATGTCCGTGGTTGGGCAGTAGATACATAGCTGCAAAGGAACAGCCTCAAAGCAGCTTTTAAATGCAGCCCCTGCTGGTATTGGTTCTGCTCAGGAGCTTTGCTTCCACAACAATCCCTTCCAAATGCAGGGCTTGCAGTAAGAACATTTACTGGAGTTAAAAGGTCACCTTTAAATATTTGTTCTCATGCTGTGTGCATCTTCGTTACCTTGCCATACCTGACAAATTACACAGTCTACTCACTTCTGATAAGTCCCATTGAATTTATTAAATAAGTAAGCATGTACTCTATAGAATTTTTTGTCTAAATTTGTGACCAAATCAGATGTTATATAGAAGTTACAAGAGCAGTCTCCCAATTGTTATTTTTCTTTTGCTGAGTAGCAGCCATGAAAGGCTGCCAGTTTGAGTGGAGAAATGATATGTGATGGGGCGGCTCAATTCTTTCCTGTCCCGCTGTTTATTCTATATTTCCCTTCCTGAACGGCTTTTTCTCCCTGCAAAGGAAAATATAGGTGCACCCTATATATTCTACCCAGTGTCACAGCGGGGGTGGGGGGTGAGAATGATTTTGAGTAGGAAAATGGCAGAAAAGTGAAGGAATTAAAAAAGAAACCCTCCTTCCTCTCCTCCCCCCCCCATCAGCACACTGTTCTTGTGCTACGGGGGGGGGGGGGCATGGCTAGCTGCAAAGCTGCGTAAATGCCGGCATAATCTTATGTCTCTGAACACAACGCGGTGAAAATCTCATTGAGGGACAACCACAGGCTTTGGAACTAGCAAAAATTTTACACACCAGGAATGGTAATGCTTCAAGGATTTAAAGGACCTAGAAGTAAGTTTGCACATTTTGATTTAAAAGAGCAAATTGAAGGCTCAATATCTGAGGCCTCAGACACTGATATGCCTAAAGGCAACAGTCTCTTGCAAAAAAGGCAAAAAACAGCCAGCGCTGTCTTAAGCATATCCGGCACCCCTACCCCCACCCCGTTTCCCAGAGTTGTCGACCTTTTCCCAAGCCTCTGCGGGGATCGCTCTCCTCCTGCGGAGGCTTGGGAAGGAAGCTGCATGTCCGCCAGCCATATGGTTGACAGGGCACAGCTGGCAGGCGTGCAGGAGGGAAAGGGGAGGCCGCCAGCAAAGCAGCAGAGCTCCCCCACTCGCTGGGGCGCCCCTGAGAGGCTGGCACCATGGTGCAACGCACCAGTAAGCCCAATGGGAAAGACGGCTCTGAAAGTGGCAGCAGCTATGGAGGCCGACTCAGGTGCCTACATAGAAAGAATTCTCCAAGCCCTAAAGTGTGACTGGACCACCGCTTTGGCATCACTTGCACAGAAATTTGATGGCCTTTCTAATCAACTAAAAGGCATTCTCAAACTGCAAATGAAGCACCGAATCTTGCCAGCACTAATCAATCTGAAATACAATTATTACACAAAGCCATGGGAGATCTTGCCCTGAAGTTTGAGGAACAATCAGACAGAAACAGATGTAAAAAAAAAATTCAAATCTGAGGCCTACCAGAAAATCAGGAAGCGGGCGAGATATGGTCCAATTCATGGTGGATTGGATACTTACCTTGAATATAAATACCCCCCTGTCAATAGCAGATGTGGAGAGGACACATAGAGTCCCTGGAGGCCAAAGCAGAATTGGTGAAGCCCCATGTGATATCATCTGCTTCAAGCTTTATAAAGATGCCATACTTAAAGCACTCCGTAACATCAGGGACTTAAAATATAAAGGATCCAGCATCAACATATTTCAAGCCATCAGTCCAGCCACTCTTGCCCAACGATGTGATTTTTACCCTTATACAGCTGCCTTGAAGGAGGCTGGCATTGCCTACCTCTCGAGCTTTACTTTCAAACTTATTGTCCAGCACAAAGGAAAACAGTGGATGGTAAGTGACAACCGACCACTGTGGTACCAATCACTGCTTTTCTTTTCTTTTTTAAAATCTATCTAATTTGCCCCTGGTATTCTGCTTTAATATCTCTAGTGAACAATCTGATTCCTGCTCTTTGAATTTCTCCATACAAGCTAACTCTCGTCTGAATATTCATCTCTCTTTGTGATGGTTCGATTTTGAATGGTGCTGCCTCTCTCGCTCATAATTAGTCATACTGGGATAATTGTAAATGCTTAAAACTAAGCCTGTTTTTGTATTAGTCCTAATGTGTGAAGACCCTTTAATTGGCCTCGACTGCAGAGTCAATGAAGTCCCACTTATTTCAATCACTTGTAGCATAAAACCATAAAATGTCAAGCCAGCCATTCAACCTGCCAAATTTCTGCACAGCTTAATAGCATACACATTGGATAGCTTTCTCATGATAAATGCCTCCATAGAATAAAGTGGTTTGAAATAATGCTTGTCATGTTTACAGCTAACATCCTCTGTAACCTTTTCAGTGAGCTCATGAGTGAATTATAAATCTTGCACAGCAGTGAATATTACCTGTACAATGCAACCATGTCTAAAGCTTATTCTTCAGACACCAGTGAACAATTGTTCTTCTGCAACAGTTATATCCCTTGTCATTAAACATCCTCATTGACGAGAGCCCAAAGGTATGATCAAATTAGGGGTGAAGAGCTGGTTGTCCTCCCCGTCCCATACTTTTCACATACAGATGTCAAGGCAAACTGAAGATGACTGGCAGTTCCATGTGGTCTAACATGAGATCATCCCAATAACAGAGAGAAGTGTGGTGTCTGCGTGTATATTCTTTTTAAACACTTAACAACATTTGGGAGATGGGGTAAATGCAGCTCATATTTGTGGTGATTCCCCCTTAAAATGGATGAATGATGCTTCAGATCTCAGAAAGGAATTCAGAAATTCCTTTCCAAACTGATATTTCTCCCCTCACTCCCCAGATCCATTTGCTGATATATTTCACAGGCAGTTTGCTGCACCTTGAACAATTCCTCCTGTTCTTAGTCTTGGAAGCTGCAAAAACTACATTTTCCAGGCAATTGGTAATAACTCCAGGATCAACTCAAGACCTTGAGGATGATGGTTTTAATAGACTAAAGTGACATCTCACCCCAGAACTGCATGGTGCTTATTTCCATTACCACTCCAACGCTGTCTGCCTGCATACTGCAAATGCTATTCTTAATAGGTTATGCTTTGGTTGATAGAGTCCAGCTGTGTACTTGCAAGGTAAATGGGTTTGGTGTTTTTTTTTCACAGAAAGCCTATGATCATAAATTGTATTCAGGCAATTCTCCTTTTAAGGATCTGGGACAGTGGCAAATAAGCTGGCAGCCTCTTTCTGAATGTGGTATTAGAATCCTCATCTGTTCTTTAGCCACTTTTGAAAATAGCTTTTAAAAAGTTAGCGGGGAACACCTTTTACAGCTAGACTGGGGAAGTTCAGGCTCAGGGCCAAATGGGGCCCTTCAGGTCTCTCTGCCTGGTCCTTGCGCCTCTCCCCAGGCCAAGCTTCGTCCTCAGGTAGTTCTATCTGGCTGCTATGTGTCCTTGAACAGAAAGAGTGCTGCTCACTCGCCTGGATGAAGGGATGGCTTGGCGTGTGACTGGAATAGTCTTCTATATACTTTCACCTCTCCCCCTGCCCTTCACTGGCATGTGGCCCCCAGAAGGTTCCCCACAAAGGAATGCAGCCCTTAGGCCATAAAAGGTTCCTCACCCCAGATGATGTAATCATTTACATTTTTTAAGATGTATGAAATAGAGGCACATATATCCTTGTATCCTGTAGTGTCCATGTTTTGCAAACTCTGAAATTAGGCAAGGCAGGAGAGGGTCTCCACTAGAGCTGTGTAGTAATAATAATGATTAATAATAATAATATTGGGCGGCTCCCAACAGAATTAATGATAATAATAAAAAAGTGATAAAACATCAGACATTAAAAACTTCCCTAAACAGGGCTGCCTTCAGCTGTCTTCTAAAAGTCAGATAGTTGTTTATTTCCTTAACATCTGATGGGAGGGCATTCCACAGGGCAGGTGCCACCACCAAGAAGGCACTATGCCTGGTTTCCTGTAACCTCACTTTTCGCAGGGAGGGAACTGCCAGAAGGCCCTCAGTGCCAGCTCTCAGTGGGGGTGGAGACGCTCCTTCAGGTATACTGGGATGGGTGGAAGGACATGAGCTTGATGTAGGGGTACAGGAAAAGAGCAACGGGTACTCATCCCGCTATGCCATATTTGTCCCCTACAACTTTTGGTTCACTTCTATTTGACTAGTCACTGAAGAAATGAGTGAGTATCTCATCTGCAGAAAGGCTGTGTGTACTTTGGCGAAAGTGGAAGCACCACATTGCCTTTCCTCTCTGTAAGTGCAACATGGCTTGCGCACTGGCATCGTTTGGCTGTGCGTTTCCCTGCCCCTGCTCTACATTACTGGGGGACAATGAAAGGGATGGATGTTTGACCTAGAAATGTCAGGAGGGTCCTGAATAAGTTGTAACATATACAACACATTCGTCTGCTCATAAGTAATCCTGATTCTGCACCAAGAAGAACTGAAATCAATGAACAATATGAATTATGCAAAGAGGGCATACTTTATTCTCCTTCTGCTAGTCATAGGTGGGGACAAGTCCCATAGAAGTGAATCAACCATCCAAAGCTTCAAATTGTTTAAGTTACTGACACTTTCCCAGTTGTGAGCAATGAGCTCAGCTGCTAACAGCACCATAGTTTTCCAAAATACTGTAGTACTTTCCACAGGTTAATACTTTGTGTCAATGAAGCATCAACACTGGACAGCTGCTGCCTGCTTTGTTGTGAAATGGTTTATTTCTTCCTTTAAGTTTCCAGTAATTTTATTTTTTCTAAAAAGAAATGACAGAACCTTATTGTCATTGCGCTTGGCAACTGCTTAGAACAAAATAGCCGCGATTCTGAAATGTTACCTTACATTTTGATACGAAATTGCCTCGTTTTTCCTGGAGCACAGAAGAAAATGCTCAATTTTCTCTGAAAAGAAAACTGTTCTCCCCTTTTTGAGGCACAAAGTGTCGCCATCAGTTCCAAATTTCCTGCCAGACAGGGTCAATCAACCTTTGGTTAATGGAGAAACTTGAGTTTCTCCATTTCTTGGCTGTCATCTCGGAGCAATCCAGCAGCCCCCTTCAAATTAGAATTTTGCTTGCCAGCAGCCTGTAGAAAGTTCCAATTGTCTGTTAAGTCTTCCACTGCTTTTATAAAATGAGTCCAGACAATCTTTATAGCTGGGATTTCCCAGAAACACAAGGCTAGTGTGCCAAAATCCTGACCGTGTTCCCAGAGCTGGTCAGGATGTCTTTCTCTTCAAACATGTCTGATTTGTGTTGCAAAAGGAGCACCATGTAGCCATTTAATTAAAGTACTCTTCGGCTCTTCAGCCAAATAATAAAGGGCTCCCAGACAAGCTTGCAAAGATTAGTAATAAGGAAATCTCTGCCATCAGCAGCACAGGATTTAGGGTGATGCAGGCAGTTCCTCCACACACCCCATTCTCTTAATATACTGTGTCTCTTCCCATTGCCTATACACTGCCTATAACATCCAGCACTACCTCTCTGTTGGAATCCTGGAAACCAAGACCCAAGTTTGGGGCAAGTACCCCCTGGTGAGAGAACCCCAGCAGAGATTTAACAGTGCAAAACTTGCAGCAAAGAAGAGTGTAGAAATATGGACTATAAAACTTCAGAATGTGCCCTTCCAGTGAGTCCCAAAATGTCACCTTGTAAAGGCTATTTCCAATCTATTCCACTTCCATAGAACATAGATTCCATGTTTGGTAAGTCATAAAATGGTTTACTTACTTCATGCTAGTTGTAAAGGGAAATAGGTGTATAAAAGGAGAATTCCTGGATTTCAAGATGCAGGTTTGGGGTAAGTACTCTTTGGTGAGAGAATCCCAGCAGAGATTTACATTTTTTAAAAAATAAATATGCAGCTTAACCACAACTCTCAGTTTGGAAGCACCCTAAGCCAAATCTTGTACAGCTGCACATAAAACATTTTAAAAGTGTTGTAAAGTGCAATATACAAATGTGACACTAGATGGCGATGGTGAGCTATGCAAAATTCAGTGTATTTTTCAAAACGTTTTCTAAAAAAGCATTTTCACAGCATTTTTAATATGTGTGTGGATTCCACCTTAGTGCGGCAGTAAAACATCACACATTTGTGTGATGTTGCTAAGCCATAGTTTGACTTACAGTGTTGTGTGAACCAAACTTAAAAAGATTAGGATGTAACAATTTGGCAACAATACTATCTGGATTCTCCATAAAAGGCAACCAGAGTCCCACCAGAATCAATTGGGGGAATGATGAGCAAATACTGTAAAGGTATACTATACAAGATGAGAGACTATTACCTTATTATTCCCAAATAAAATAATAATAGCACAACTAGCAAAGTTGAAGGGCAGAAGTCAGATTTTGGAAGTCATGACTGCCACCAGATTATGTTATTGACCAGCTAGGAATTATGTTTTAAGAAATTATCTACAGAAATAAATTTGAGCTGATAAAAAGCAGCTTTGTCCTTTCAAATTAGAATGTATTTACATTTCATGAAGACTGAAAACCAACATCAACATCATCTGAACCCTGAGTGCTGCTGTGCCCTAAGATGACATGCATAAATTTCTGTAACTAAACACTTGGCTTGGCTTTTTTAAATGGAAAGAGCAAGTAAAGGTGTGTTGTAACCTTGTTTTTGTCTCAGACAAAAGCTGTTTGACTATAGTCTGAGAGAGTTTAATTTAAACTACAAGAGCAAAGGAAATGAAGCCAAACAATTCTTTAGGGTTTAAATAAGGAAAAGCCAAAGTGGCAGTAAGACAGCACCTTGAGGAGAGATTGAGAAAAGAAAGACAGGAGCATGAAGTATAATGGAAAAAAGGAAATTGGGAATGGAGAACTGTAAGCGACAGAGGAAGCTAGATGACAGACAAAGGCACCATTTCAGCAGGGAGAAAATAGGTTTGATTTATTTTTTATAATTTAGTGTGTACTTTAGCCAGAAGGTGGCTGTATGCAATGACGCATCTGAGCTTCCTGGAATCATGTGCTCAAAGGATGCTGAGCCCTTCATCTTTCTGAAAGAGGCATGCATGCTTGTATTTCAGATACCTTGCGTGTTTGGCTCATTCCTGGAAGCTGCAGCTCCAGTACAGACTTAAAAATAACAACAAGCCTTCCACTTCATGTTTTCTGCCAAAGACTCCAGTTGACTTGACTTGAAACACTCCCGAGACATTGTGCTTTAAGGAGCAAACATGCAGCAAATCCGAATCTAGAAAAGAGGTGTGGAAACAGCACTTTAATGAATGTCCCAGCTGACATGTGGCTGCTCAGTGAAAAGAATACAGGGAGAAAAGTTCTCAAGTAAGAAATAACAAGATGAGGGCCACAGACAAACTTTTGTTTGCGGGGAAAAGAATCTGGTAGGTTGAAGTTGTTTGTGGCTGGGGTATGTGTGTGTGAGGGGTAGAGATAGGTGAGCTGCCCTGGTCTGAATTGAACTGGCTCTGAAGTAAGCCAAGCTATTTGCTAAAAAATAAATTCTGACTCCAGAAGTCACGCACCTCCTCCCTCCAACTCAGCCCTGATCTCCAAAATGCCTCTCAGCTGGCCATTGATCTTAAAACTGCTCCTTCTTCACTTCACACCTGCCCGATAGAGTGTCCTCTGCAGTCATTAAATGTGGTGCTACTCTGAACCTGGGACAGGGCAAGGGGGAGAGAATAGATAAGTATAAAGAAAACAACAACTTTGCCAATGGTTATGAATCATGATTGCCCAGTGCCAGATTTACGTATAAGCGAAACAAGCTATAGCTTAGGACCCCACTCTCTTGGGGCCCAATTTTTTTTTAAAGAAAAACAACAACTGGATATACATTTCCAAAATATAAGATAAAAAAACAAATAAAATAAAACCTACATACAGCAACAGTGTTTTGTGTTGTAGGCTCCTATGATGTAAGTAATGGACCCCACCTGCCAGCCTGCTCCATAAAATATCACTGGTTTGCTCATTTCTGTATCAATTACTTTGATAATATATGTTATGTGCAAATGGCTTTAGATACCTATTAGGTCAATAAATCGCCATATAGCATATATTCAACACAAAAAAACAGTGACAATTTGTTGTTGAGAAAGGACAGCTGGACATATAAAGGGCCCCATTACCTTCAGTAGCTTAGGGCCTCATCAAACCTAAATCCGGCCCTGTGAATGCCATTAAATTTTTGCCTCCCTGAAGTATCAGCTATGCCTTACATAATGATTTAAGGGGACAGGGAGATGAGAAAATAGTCCTCATTAAATCATTGCATAAGGTATCTTTCTCCAGATGTTGTCACTCCCTACTCAAGTTTTACTTCATGTTCACAAAGCCAAGAGTGAAGAATGTTACAGGGTTGTTTGTTGTTGTTAGTAATCAATAGTTCTGACAAACAACCCTTATAGCTAACAGGATCAGGCCCTCAGTGCAGCAGCTACTCTGAAGGCTCAGGATTAATTTCTTCAGCCTGCTGTCACTTACAATTACTGTATTTTTATGCGTATAAGACACCCCCATGTATAAGACCCTATGTTTTGAACCCAAAATTAAGAAATCAATATTTTAAACATCAAACAGATGTTTAATAGGAGTCTTCCTACAACCTTGTTTTCCACTTGTTTTGCACAACTCCTATCAGCCACAGCCAGCCGCTGTATGCATACACAGCCGCAAAGATCTGGAGGCTGCCTAGTTGGTACGACTGCTATATAGGGATTGTCAACTATATAGTAGGGTTGCTATATTTCAAAAAGTGAACATCTGGACAAATAAATTGTTGAGTGGTAGTGGTTGGGGTTTTTTTTGCCAAAGCTGTTGAGCTGTTGAGCATTTTTTGTGAAATCTCAAAAAGAAAAATCGAGTTTTTCAGCAATTTTTAATGAAATTCGTCAAAATCTACACTACCGACGGGGCTGCCATACGTCCAGATTTTCCTAAACATTCCAGTGATTTGATCCTGGATTCTGTTTATGAGGGCTAAATGTCTGGGAAATTCCAGGCGTATGGCAGCCCTATTCCAGACGTATGGCATATAGGGATCATCAGCTAGACTTTGAGATCTTCAAGTCAGTAAATGTACTGATTCCCCAAGTCCTTGTTTCAAGCCTGCCTGAATGGGGTGTGTTGTTTTGTTCATGTAGAAGCCAAGAAAACCAGCCTACAGTTTGCCCTACAGCTGAGCATCTTGCAGCCCACAGTCACTGTAATCTAGATCATTAGTGACATTCAGCAGATGGCATTTGGAATTAATTTGCAATGGAAGGGGAGACAGAGTATTCTATCCTGTTTGTTCCAACCTTGAAATTAAAGATAATACACTTAAATATCACTGTATCATTAATCCCCCCTTTCCTCCCAGTAGGCAGAATTCTTTTAGGACACAGAACTATTTTAACAGAAGTATGCATACAAGAATCTGTTTTAATTGGAGGAAGTGTAATGCCAGCTCCTGCTACATTGTGTCCTTATGATTTCAACAACTAATGCAGCTGGGAGCTAGTCGTACATTCAAAAAAATGTTTAGACAGGTTTGCTAAAAGGATGGATGTTGAAATTTCAGCATGGAAATTACTGACGCTAACTGTGGGATATATGAAGCTACCGTAATTTTCCCCCATCCTAAGTGGTGCTTTGTCTTCTGTGTCAAAAGCAGCTAATCAAAGCCTACTTTGCAGTACAGCATCACACACACTGATTGCCCAGAGGCTTCTGCAGCCAAAGAGAGTTGCTATGGGAATCAAGAGGGCACTTGGAGACGGGATCTGGGGCTCGGCTCTCTCCCGTCCATGGCTGCTGCTGGAGTCACAGGAATGAACAAAACGGAAAGGAGGTGGCAGAGAGGCACAAGGAAATGCATGCATGATAAGAGGAGGGACTGCTGTAGGTGGAGACACTGGAATGGAGTAAAGCAAAGACACGAATGCATCCGGCAGTAGTGGCTCTGCTTGGCTTGGTTGGACCTGATTCCTGCCGTAGAGTTAACCTAGCAGAACTACAGGAAAAGTCTTGACGGTAGCAAGTCTTCAAAAAGATGGGATCCAGCTCATCTACATACCGGCCCAAGTATGTGTATTTGGATATCGGTGGAAGAATTCAGAAGGTACTTTTCACTCATTGTTTCTTTGTCGCTAGGATCACATTTGCATTAAACTGGAATCACTGCTCAGCTGCTGCTGCTGCTGCTGCTGCTGCTGCTTTCCTTTTCTATGCTGTGAGCTTTGATTGCATCCTCATTCAGCTGAAAATCTGTCACCTCTCTTTTGTGAAGCAGCCTTGAAATATGAATGAGTCCATTTCTTCACAATCTTTCATTTTGCAAATGACAATGGTAAATGGCAGGAGAACTCTGAGAGCAGCCTTCCGGTTTCAGGATAGCAGAGATTTGAGGTGCCTGTGTGTATTCTCACTTGTTCGTAGTTTCTGTGTGCTCTACTAGAGATGTGAATGCAAAGTTACAGAGGAGTTTGGAAATCCAGCGCCAGTTCTTGTGCCAGCAGTTCACAATGTAAATACACAGATCCAAGCATTTGAGTGATTTAAGTAGTTTAGAGCAGAGGAAAGTGTATTAAAATTATACTGACTTCCTTTCCGAAAATAAGGTCTGCTTTTCATGTCCTTTAATACTCTCAAGGTGACTTGTATGCATATTCATGCACGCGCTTGTGTGTGCGCACGCACACGCACAACAATAAACTTACATCATAACTTCAAATATTGATTTAGTTGTGGTGGCATTAGCAATGTATCAAAGTTAACAAGAGAGCTGAATCTGCAAGCTAACTGGGGCAAAATTACAGTCCATGGTTTGCCTTACCTGAGATGCCAAAGGGACCCCAAATTCTTTACACGAAGCAATGATTTGAAAAAGCCAAAGTGCCTTATTTTTTTAGCTGTATACTCCAAGTCATTACGGAAAGAGGGAATTGCAGATGGATTGTTCGCCTCTTTCCTCTGAATATCTAATAAGCCATGAGGACTAATTTTAGGATAAGCATCTTCTCTCCTATTCTGCCTTAATATAGTCTACAGCAGGAGTCAGCAAACTTTTTCAGCAGGGAGCCGGTCCACTGTCCCTCAGACCATGTGGTGGGCTGGACTATATTGGGGGGGGTGAACGAATTCCTATGCCCCACAAATAACCCAGAGATGCATTTTAAATCAAAGGGCATGTTCTACTCATGTAAAAACACTCTGATTCCCGGACTGTCCGCGGGCCAGATTTAGAAGGCGATTGGGCCAGATCCAGCCCCTGGGCCTTAGTTTGCCTAACCATGGTCTACAGCTATGCCACTGGGGGCGGGTGTGCTTTCCAGAGATAGCTTTGTTCATCAGACTAGCCCTTTTCTATAGTTTTATAGAACCCTTGCCATGTAATTGAAAGGGTTGGGGGCAGCTTTGCTCTCAGGAGAAAGCCTTGCTGCTGGGTCTAGAGTAGGGGGAATAGCAAGGGTGCTAGTGGCAAGGGATCATGGAAAAATAACAAAAAGTGAATAATAATAATAATAATAATAATAATTTAATAATAATAATAATTTATTATTTGTACCCTGTCCATCTGGCTGGGTTTCCCCAGCCACTCTGGGTTGCTTCCAACAAAGATTAAAAATACATTAAAATGTCACACATTAAAAACTTCCCTGAACAGGGCTGCCTTCAGATATCTTCTAAATGTCAGGTACAGTAGTTGTTTATCTCTTTGACATCTGGTGGGAGGGCGTTCCACAGGGCGGGTGCCACTACCGAGAAGGCCCTCTGCCTGCTTCCCTGTAACTTTGCTTCTCGCAATGAGGGAACCGCCAGAAGGCCCTCGGCGCTGGACCTCAGCATCCGAGCAGAACAATGAGGGTGGAGACGCTCCTTCAGGTATACTAATAATTGCAGAGAATAGGTGAAGAATGACTTTTAGCAACCCTGGCAGTGATGCAGTGCATATTCATACTTCTCAAGCAGTTTATACCAAATAAGGTGTTATGATGTCACAGGTTCCAAGCACAGGACACTCGCACAACCATGGTGATCTACATTCTTAAAAGGTGTTGGAGACTTCAGCTGAAGCAAAATACACCTAGAGTTTTAGCAGGGCCCATCCTACAGAACATGAGACTCTGATTTTCACGGGCTTCCAGTCCATTTCCAAGGACAATAAGTGCTGGAAATTACCTTGAAAGCTATAAGTGGCTGTGGTACCTAAGAAAGCACCTCTCCCATATGATTCTGCCTACTCACTGTGGTCATCAGAAGAAGTCCCCCTCTCCTCAACCCATCACCATCATAGTTTCAGTTGGTGGAGATGTAGGGACAGACTTTTTCCAGGAAGACCAGTTGGCCTGTTCTTTGTTGACATGCTAGCATATCATCAACAGCATTTTTGTTTTTACTTTTGGTTTGGTTTAATCACAACCACTACTCCTGCGGTGCTATAGTGTTGTGTGATTGCTGCTTTGCAGTTTGTGGGTGTTTTTAAATGATGTTTTCCTTTATTCTTCTGGTGTCTTGTGAGTCACTTTGGGGGCCCTTTGGCCCAAAGAGAGGGCAGAAGTATTTTGATTAATAAACACAAACCCTATTAATTACAATATCTGCAGTAAGCAGGGAGATTTCATTTTCCCCAAACAACTCTGCAAGATGGTTTTGACTGAAGGGGAAATGCAATTTCTCACTGTTAGGGGATATCGTCTGGATTCTCCACAAATAACACATTTCTCAGATGAAGGGAAGAAACAATCTGGAAGGATCCTAAGGGTGTTTGACAGCATTACTATATCCCACCAGTATCAACTTTCTCTTTCCTGCTTCAGTTTCACCAACGGTCATTATAATGGGTTGTCTCAGCTGTTTGTGTCTTGGCTTGTCTGCTTGAGGCCTACCGAATCCAAATGAAGTCCGCTGAGGGTAGGCTGGAACTGCAAAGATAAGCAGACAGCAGCAGGTAGCAGAAACCAACAACTGGGTGGTAGCAGGAAATCTGGTGAAGGACAGCTAAGAGGAGTATCTAGGTTATCAGGATAAAGAATTTGCTGAACCGTGGACCAAAGTAGACAACTTACTCCAGCAAGTGCCAGAGTTGAACTGATTTCCTGTATGTTGATACAGACCATGGTATCTGAATTAAGCTCCAGCCCTCCTTGGTAAGGAAGGAGTCCTTAAACAGTCTACGCCCTGGTCAAAAGGAGCAAAAACTTATTTGGTGCTCTGTGGTTTGTTGAGATCCCTCTGGCATCTCAGAAAAGAACTGTGAGGTCCTGGGCATTTGGTGAGGTAGATCAGATGGCAGGTGCCTGCTTGTATGGTCAGGGCTGCTGGCTCCTTGTTCCCTTTCCAACAGTGCTTCTTCCTGTTTCGCTAGGCTGCAGAGGCGACATGGTATCTGTATCCACTAGGGACTGGAGATGCTTTGACGCCTTTCTCTGAATTAGTACCTGTTTCTGGCAGATTCTGATCATACACAGAGAGATGCAGCAATTTTGCATGCTCATTTAAACCTTCCAAAGCAGGATGAGAAGATGCAAAATTGTAGGTTCTGCTCATGAGAAACAATTCAGATGGCTCATTTGCCTCAAGCATCTTTGGATCTAGAAACGAACTTAACCAGCCAATTATTAGCATGCTGGTCATGTGATTTGGCCCTAGTTGCCCTCATCAATACATTTTAAACATCCCACAAACACGATACAGTGGTACCTCAGGTTATATATGCTTCAGGTTACATACACTTCAGGTTACAGACTCCGCTAACCCAGAAATAGTCCGGAACGAATTAAGTATTTAACCCAAGGTACCACTGTAGTAGTGGGACGCGGGTGGCGCTGTGGGTAAAACCTCAGCGCCTACGACTTGCCGATTGCATGGTCGGCGGTTCGAATCCCCGCGGCGGGGTGCGCTCCCATCGTTCGCTCCCAGCACCTGCCAACCTAGCAGTTCGAAAGCACCCCCGGGGGCAAGTAGATAAATAGGGACCGCTTACCAGCGGGAAGGTAAACGGCGTTCCGTGTGCTGCGCTGGCTCGCCAGATGCAGCTTGTCACGCTGGCCACGTGACCCGGAAGTGTCTGCGGACAGAGCTGGCTCCCGGCCTATAGAGTGAGATGAGTACACAACCCTAGAGTCTGGCAAGACTGGCCCATACGGGCAGGGGTACCTTTACCTTTACCTTTACCACTGTAGTGGGACCATGATAGTGTCCCCTAAGTGCAATTTTTTTTAAAAAAATTAAAAATCTGGAATGGTTAGCTTAATTTTATGGCTATGGCTTGCAAGCCATAGCCAGGTCTATGTGAGGGCAGAAGTACTGCTTTGAACCAACTTGCCCTTGCCCTTGGATCATCCTTCATTCTAAGCATGTATAATATATGTTGATGCATAGTCACAGTCATATTAGTTTTGACTAATATGTACAAGGCTTCCAAAAAGCAAAATGTCAATCCCTCTCTAATGTTTGGTCTTTGTATCTATAGTGATTTCTCTGTGACTATCAGCTCCTTATCATGAGCAGAGAGAGGTATCTGAATTCAATTAAAAAGAATGACCCTGGAGCATTAAAACAACTTATTGCCGGCTTATTGCAAAATCTTGATTCTATGCCTCCTACCAGGTACAAAATGTCATATACTTTGAAAACCCTTCATGAAACACTTTCTAAATTGTCTCCCCACCCCACAAAAGAAAATAATAATAATTTGGAGTGAAAACACACACAAGCATCTGGCTTTATCCCAAGATTACTCTCTGAAGAGCACTTATATTATTGAAGGACTTGGAAGATAGACAGCTGCCTGAAATTCTAATACAAGAACTTGCTGTCTAGATGTTATCCGTTTCATTTATCAGTGGTGAAATTCTATCTGTATGATGCTGGGGGGGGGGGGGGAGGCAGAATCTGGGAAGTCAGGAGAGGCAGATTCTATCTCATTTAGTCAGGGTTCAGTTAGAGGTAATGCTGGAGATTATTTTTCTCCCTGCATAAAGATATAATTAAAATAACTTGAACTTTCATCTCCCAAAGAATGTGGTTGCTGGTGGGAGCTCATTAAATGAATTCTAAGCTATCCTTCGACTTGACCCCACAGGGAGGCAAAGTCCTCCTTGTGCCATTGTCCCATATATTTGAAAGGATTTCACTGCAAACTGCAAATCACAGCACTTCATACATTACAAAAGACATGGGCATCGGAGCATGTGAGAGGGCTACAGATGAGTAATACCATATATAAAACCCCTATGAATGCATGGATCCAATTAGAGGAAACAAAATAAAATAAAATAAAATAAAATATTCCTTCCAGTAGCACCTTAGAGACCAACTAAGTTAGTTATTGGTATGAGCTTTCGTGTGCATGCACACTTCTTCAGATACACTGAAACAGAAGTCACCAGACCCTTATAATATAGTGAGAGGGTGGGGAGGGGTATTACTCAGAAGGGTGGTGGGAATGGGTAATTGGCTGATATGTGTGGTAGACTGTTAACAACTGCAATTAGTCTTACTGGAAAAAGCAAGGGGTGAGATGGCTAAAAAATAGCTTTATCATGTATAATGAGATAAGAATCCAATGTCTCTATTCAGACCAGGTCTCTCCGTGGTTTTAAGTTTGGTAATAAGTTGCAATTCAGCAACTTCTCTTTCCAGTCTATTTCTGAAATTCTTTTGTAATAAGACAGCTACTATGAGATCTTGTATAGAATGTCCTGAGAGATTGAAGTGTTCTCCTACTGGTTTCTTTGTCTTGTGATTCCTGATATCAGATTTATGTCCATTTATCCTTTGGCGTAGGGTTTGGCCTGTTTGTCCAATATAGAGAGCTGAAGGGCACTGTTGGCATTACTCACGGACCAATTAAAATGGTGTTGTTAAATTACGTACGATATTTACAAAGGGAATGTGACATTCTAATAGGAGTAGGAGTGTTCCCCTTTTCCATCAGAAGGCCCTGCTTATTGGCCCCACTGCTAGTCTTCATTTAAAAAACAATAAATGGGTGTGTTGGGAACTCTGGATAGGTATTTAAGAAGTAGATTTTTGGGAACCAACAGTGGAAGATGAGAATGTAACTGGGTGTATTGACTGACTCTTCAGTGATCCATCTTTGAGAGTTGACCAGACAAATTGCATCTACCTCCTATCAATGTGGGGTGCAAAGCGTGAGAAAAATATTCCCCCTCTGCCCCAAAATAGGGGAGTATGGGTTAGATGGCAGAGAAGAAAGCCTGCATGATAAGATGTTAAAAAAGAAAAAAAGCAGGTCAACATAGTAACCTCTAGAAGCAAATAAGCAGAGGAGTTGCCTTCCTTCTGCCATTAGAAGGGCAAAATAGGTACATTACAAATACTAGTAAGTAGGCAAGACTGGTGGGAAGGCAGGGGAATAGTGGGCTAAATAGTCCTCAATAGCCACTTGTCAAAACAGAATGTAAATACCAGGAGTGGAATTAGAAATGCAGACATGCATTCATTAAGTGATTATCCAAAGAGGGAGAGCAAAAGGGTCTATGGTACCATTCTGCAGGCGCCTTTTGTTTTAACCTTTAAGAGCCTGCTGAAAACTATTCTTATGCTTATGCCGTCAATTAAGAAAACATATTTCTGAATGTTAGTTGGTGGCCTCTGTTTTTAAATTTTGATGTGTTTTTTTTTTAATTGTATATGCCTATTCTTCTTATAAGCCACTTTGGTATTTTTTATGATATAAAGGTAAAGGTACCCCTGACAGTTAAGTCCAGTCACGAATGACTCTGGGGTTGCGGCGCTCTTCTCGCTTTAAAGGCCGAGGGAGCCAGCCTTTGTCTGCTTCCGCAAACAGTTTTTCCGGGTCATGTGGCCAGCATGACTAAGCCACTTCTGGTGAACCAGAGCAGCGCACAGAAACGCCGTTTACCTTTCCTCTGGAGCGGTACCTATTTATCTACTTGCACTCTGACGTGCTTTCGAACTGCTAGGTTGGCAGGAACAGGGACCGAACAACGAGAGCTCACCCCGTCGCAGGGATTCGAACCACTGACCTTCCAATAGGCAAGCCCAAGCGGCACAGTGGTTTAACCCACAGCACCACCCGCGTCCCTTTTTTTATGATACAACAGTATATAAATACTTTCATAAATTTATTTATTTCATAAATACCACTTGACTATAAACTGAGTTTAACTAGGCTCTAAAAGGCTAGCAGCATTCTTTCAAGGCAGGGCTGGCCTGCCAATGAGGCAAGGTGAGGTGACTGCCTCAGGTGGCAGAATCCCCAGGGGCTGCAGATCCAGCCTCCAAGGAAAGTATTGCCTGCTGCCACCATGCGTTCCTAGGAGGCCAGATATGCTGCCTCTTCAGCAGCCTCCCCCTGTCCCTCCTCCACAGCATCCTCTCAGCAAATAGGAGGTGCCATTAGTCTCCTCCCATCCCTAGGGAGGAGATGGTGAGGGCTGGCCTCCGGGGTTCTGCACCCACCTATCGTGATTAAAAGAAGTCCCCTTTCCCCTTGCTACGGTCTTTGATTCCCAGTTCAGCCATCAAGTAAGGTTGATTTGATCCGCAGTGTTGATCTTCACTCTGTCTCTGTTTCTGATGTAGATCTTCCCTCTGTTTCTGATGCAGATTCTTCCATGGTGGGCGGCGGCGTGTGTGTGTCATTTTGTGGTTTGCCTCCGGTGCATTGAGCCAGCCCTGCTTCAAAGGCATATTTTTGTTGTGATTAAAACTGAATTAAACAATGTGACGCTTTAGGTATTTGATGTTTTTAAGGAATAACAAGTGATAGCAGCATGGCTATTTCAAAAGGCTATGGTAAATATTGAATGCAGCTGGAGGTAGCTGGGGGAGATGCGCAAAGGACAAAATGTTAGTTCAAAATAATTATTTTTCAACACAGTTTTGGGCCAACATATCTACGCTGTAGCATGTTGGCTAGTGGTAGAATTGCTGAAGTAGTTCAGGCCAACACTTGATGGAGCTCAACATCACAACTACAAGTAGCTGCAGATGCCTCAAAAATGTTTGGAAGCTGGATGTGATGATAATGATGCTCATTTCATCTTGTCAAGCACCATTAGAGGCATACTGTTCAATAGTTTCCAGTTGCGATATCTTGAATTAGATAAACCCCCTTCTAGAAAAGATAGAAAAACAGAAAATATATTATCAATATAGAAGTGGTTCCTATTTCTAAAAATTAAAAATGGGCAGAGACAGAAGCTACAGGTCCAAATCCTGACTTAGGCTCAGTAGAAGTTCAGAATTAGACTTCTGATCAGAATTATGTATTATCTCAGTCAAAATCAGCACAAGTTTTCATTAACTGTTTTGGAGAGTTTGAAATGGAAATAACAGTTGTTCCATCTGCAAAACAGGTTTTGTGTTTGGTGACATTTAATTAGAGTTTTATGACTAGAGTGATCCCAAACAATCAGGGACCACATAAGGAATGTAACGACACAATTTAGGGCATATGTAGCTCAGTGAAAATAGAGGCAATGTTTCCAAGGCTGAGCACATGAATAATCTTAACCAGTAAAAACTGAAATGTATTGTCTCTCCAAACCAGTAAAATGCTCTTAAGTTGCCTGGAGATGTGCAGCACGTTCCCTTCCCATTTCCAGCCTATTTGCGAGCTTAAAGAGGCAATGAGTGTATAAATGATAATTTAAAAAATCCTTATGTGAGTAATTGGCAGATTGCAAAAATGCCATGGGAAAGGGGAATGCAAAAGGGGAATGTAGACAGCATTTCTTCAAGAACACACACAGACTGCAGATACAAGTGCCCCCACACGTCTGCAGCTGTAAGATGCAGAGATGTAAGAGTTTCTTACTTGCATGTGAACACAGAATGCAAAAGGACATGCCAGTCTCTCTTCTGTTTGCATGACAAAGCTGTTCTGTGTATCCTGTTTCTAAGTAGGAAACATGAGGAAGCTGTGGAGTGGGATGGATTTCTGAGATTCCCTTCTGAAAGGATCAAGGAACAACTTTTTAACTACATTGGGGCCTATACATATAAAGTGGGTCTACACTGAACAGGGAGAAGGACCTTGTCACCTGCCCAGCTCCCAGTGTTGCCCATCTGGATTAGTCCTGCCCCAACACACTGAGTTGTAGACATCTGACAAGGATGACTGTTCTAATGGGTCCTGGTTGTATGGAGCACTTATGCTTGTAGGGGCAGCTCATTAGATGCCCACACTTAATTGTAGACAATAGGGGATTGGGGAGAGCCCAGCTGCATGACACAGGAGGTGGGGCCAGTTGTGTGCCCCTCCCAATGGTCACTTGATAACTTCATGTGCTTAGGGCGCCATATTATGAAAAATTACCCAGGTCCACCTCTGATTATGGTTCACATTTCCTAGACCAGTCTGCAGTGTAGATGCTCATTTTGAAAAGCAGTTGCAAGGCTTTATTTTTCTTTGGGGTCAGCTACGGGTGGCGCTGTGGGTTAAACCACAGAGTCTAGAACTTGCTGATCGGAAGGTCGGCAGTTCGAATCCCCGCGACGGGGTGAGCTCCCGTTGCTCAGTCCCTGCTCCTGCCAACCTAGCAGTTCAAAAGCACGTCAAAGTGCAAGTGGATAAAGAGGTACCGCTCCGGCGGAAAGGTAAACGGTGTTTCCGTGCACTGCTCTGGTTTGCCAGAAGTGGCTTAGTCATGCTGGCCACATGACCTGGAAGCTGTACGCCAGCTCCCTCGGCCAATAAAGTGAGATAAGCTCCGCAACCCCAGAGTCGGTCACGACTGGACCTAATGGTCAGGGGTCCCTTTACCTTTACCTATGTACTGAAAGTAGCACAGCAACCTTTTCCAGGTGGGTGCTTCCTTTTTGGGAATATAACAGCCCCTTTACAGCAGATTGCTATTATTTAAAAGAAGAAAAAAAATCTGCAGTTCATATCCTGAGATGCTTATCAAATTGCTTTATGAATCATGCTGCTTACCTGGGCCGTTTGCAAAACCCCAGGGTAAGAGAAGGCAAATGAACTTTCATTAAACTGCACTGTAGCATCACATATATTTATTACATGCCTTGATTTGGCTTAGCTCTCGCCTCTGAATGCTTGGGGAAAGAAAAACAGATGCTAAGTTTATTATGTCCTCCAGTTTTGGTCTTAATTAACCAGGATAACTATCTGACTTTCATTTGTTCCCAATTATATTACCATATCCCACTTATATTGCATTAATTCTGTTCAATGGTAATTGATTTCAAGGCTCAGTGGCCCAGCACATTTCAGAAGTTCATTCTAAGTTCAACAGCAATAACATCAGATCCCAATTTATTGCATCCATCAGCCATTAGCAGATTGGTAACATTCGGTCTGTCTATTCATTTGCTCTGTCAGTCCCTCAGACCACTGTCTGCTGGAATGTTTCTTTCTGCTATGATTGCAGGAAGATTTGTATTTGAATTATTTAAAGAAAAATAAAACATTTCTTTATTTCTATGACTGTAACTAGATAGGAATATCAAAAACCTGCCTCTGTAACAACCAGAACAGCCCTTTTGTTCAAAATGGGGTTTTGCTTTTTAAAAACCACCTTCTGTTGAGAAAGATGCGCCCCTGAGAGATGGGCTGTCCTGAATAAATTGATTTTTAAAAATGAAGCCCATGTGAGCTTTTATTTATTTATTTATTTATTTTTACATCAGAAATGTTTTAATGGGAATGAAAGGAATGTGTTCAGGCAGGCACAAGATGTCACTGCTATTGTTCTCATTTAGCTTCTTAACAAGTTTATCCAGTGTTTCTCCTCTGAGGGGGAAGGGTGAGAGGAGGTGTTGAAGGAAATTGGAACATGAGATAAAAGTTTAATATTAAATTATAATATGATATTGATGATAATTAAACTTGGAATAGAAAGGGGGTTAAGAGGCGAAAGCTATTGCAGGAAGGAGAAAGAAAAGAATGTAAAAGGACCTGGGAGGAGGAATGGTTTGTTTTGGGGGAAGGGGGAATAAGTTACAAGTTGAGGGTGAAAGAAGAATGGGAGAAGAAATTACAGAGAATGGTAAGACATTTTGAGAGGCATGAGGAGACAGGAAGGGAAATGTTTTTGTATTTTTAAGCCTTCTCTGCTTAGTACCTCTGGATAGCAAATTCTGCCTAAAATGGGGACTGGACTGTCACAAAAGCTCCAGAGCAAATGTCTGTAGATAGCTTCAGAAAAACCGATTTTTAATTATAATGTTCTCTCCTGAACTTGTCAGTGACTCACCTTCCTCACCACCCACCCGCTCCACACACTTTTGAGGCCCAATCCAGTACAGAAGTATTATAATGTTAAACCCAGGGCTTTTTTTCAGGGGGAACGTACCAGAATTCAGTTCCGGCACATCTCAGATGAGTTCTGGTGCCTGTCAGGTAGATGCCATTGCCATTATAAGACAAACAGGGACGTGTTCATGGTGAGTTCTGGCACTTTTTTTCTAGAAAAATAGCACTGCTTAACCCCCTTCAAGACTATAGGTACTTCCCTTTTCATAGCAGCTATAGCAGCACTGCTGTTTCTTGGCAGCACATAAAACCCTCAACTTTTTTTACCTCAGAAGCTTAACTAGTTTTATATTGGCGATCTTCTCCACTAAGCCTCTGACTCCCAGTTCCCGAGAATCACACGAGGGGAGATCTCTGTTCCACTCAGGTCTTGCTTGTCGGCTTCTCCTAGGCATCTGGTTGGCTACCATGAGAACAATATGTTGGAATAGAAGGGTCATTGGACTGATCCGTCCGTCTCCTTCTCTCAGGCTAAACACTTCTGCCTCAGGATTGACTGATCCTTCACATTCTTTCATGCAATTTCGCTCTTCAGCATGGCTTCACTTTACACATAGGCTTCAAATCTTCTGGGAACAAAAGGACTGAGTTAGTGGCCTGATATCTCTGGTGGTGCTAATCTATATCACAAAAACACTGCCATGTCTGTCACTGGTGCTTATTTGTGAGCTTATATAAAATAAAATGATTTTGTTTATTTATTGCATAGATAAAACCAACTTGCAAAAATTACAGATTGCTTCTGTGTCCTCTAGCAGTTTACTGTGTCCAACTTGTGAATCTGTGTGTGCACATGCAAATTATGCAATTCAAGTTGGTGGCGTTCAGATGCACCAACTTAATGACAATTTCATCAACTTTACTCTCCTATTAATGTTATTTCTAAAGTTTGGCTTTGATTATCAAACTGCCCTATATTTACTTCTTCTCTTCTCAGACATAACCATATAAAAGAACTTAAAAGGCTTGCAAGAGTAAAGAATAGGAACCATATTATATTCAGTCTTATGAAAAATCAAATAAGTGAAAAATGTTAGGTAAATTAATGCTTTATCTACAGGGTATAGTATAAGACTGCCTTTAGAAGTTCTCTTTCTTCATTTTCTCTTAATTGCTTCTATTTCCTTTGGAAGGTGGCCTTCAGTAAATACTGTAACTCAAGAGATATCATGGAACTCTTCTGTATTGCAACTGGTTTACCAAGGTAAATATTTTTCCAATGCAATTCTATTTTTTATGAATGCTACTTGTGTTACTTTTCCAAAGGGCTTAGAGTGACCCCAACTGAGTATGAGTATTCTGAGGACTACTATGAGTGTGAATTGGTTGGCTGTCATGCTAGCTATGGCCTTTTCATAATAATGAAGAAAATAGGAATCTCACAATGAAATTACATCATGGAAAATATAATGTAAATATATTTGCTTTGTTTGTTTCATTTGAAAACACTGTATTCTCCTTTTGGTCTAAAAAAATAGTTCCCACAAGCAAAAAACATCTAAGTAACAACTACAAATAGCACAAGATAAAAACTAATTGAGTAGAACAACATACCTGCATAAAACTCCAAGGAGACCAAACTCCTGATAGAGCTCTGAGCAAATGTCCATTGGGATAATAGCATGATGTCAGAAAGCAGGAAGAGAAGCTCATCTAAATGCTGAAAATATGATAAAGAGATCAAATTTGTCATTAAATTTAAGTGTCTTGCTATTGTCTACAAGCACATACATGAAAGATAAAACAGAATAAAACAATCAAGTATATAATATACAGCTCCAATACATTCATTTATTTATATTTATATAAAAACATTTTTATACCATTCTCTTAAAGGTAAAGTTAAGTCCAGTCGCGAATGACTCTGGGGGTTGCGGCACTCATCTCGCTTTACTGGCTGAGGGAGCCGACGTTTGTCCACAGACAGTTTTTCCGGGTCATGTGGCCAGCATGACTAAGCTGCTTCTGGTGAAACCAGAGCAGCACACGGAAACGCCGTTTACCTTCCCGCTGGAGCGGTACCTATTTATCTACTTGCACTTTGACGTGCTTTCAAACTGCTAGGTTGGCAGGAGCAGGGACCGAGCAACAGGAGCTCACCCCGTCGCGGGGATTCAAACGCCGACCTTCCGATAGGCAAGCCCTAGGCTCAGTGGTTTAGACCACAGCGCCACCCGCGTCCCGTATACCATCCTGTTACAAAACGTTAAATGAATATACAAATAACTCCAAATAACCAGAAGCAAAACAAAAGGACCTTTACTGCATGATTGAAAGGAAAGGAGGTAAGGAGTCAAATGCACCTGACGGGAGTGACAGCTCCACCACTTGGGTGCTATTATGGATGCTTTTCAAAGGAGCCCTTCCTGGCTTTTATAGCTTCCTTGAGCTCCTCCAGATGACCTGTTAACTGAGCATTCACCCTGTTTGCCTGCACAAAGTTTACATGGAGATTATGCAATGTTTGACCTTTATGGAGCATTTGTTCTGATTTGCTTTTATGGAGGTTATATGTCTTCCCACTAATCAGTTGTCTATCCCACACTTTTTAGTACATTTGCCTCTCACTTTTGTAACCACAAAAAGTTGGGTGGGGAGTTAAGTGGCTCTGTTGTACCAGAGTGCTTTAATTCGTGTTTATGCACAAATCTGCATTTCCAGAATGTGATTCAATCCCTCCCGCAAAACACTGATATCCTGGAAGCAACTCTTGACTCTGGATCTTAGATCTCTGTTTGTAACTTTCGTGTTCAGTAATATGCATTCTATCTGAGCTTCTGGTATCATGGTTTGGAATAACTTTAAAATTAGAACAATGCCACATTTATATGCTGCTTTTCTGCTCCTCAATAACCAACAAAAAAAGCCTACAAGTTATCATCAATAATACTCAAGCATCTAAAAACAACAAAAAGTGGAGCAGAAGAGGTGGGGGCAGGAAGAGGAGATGTGGAAGTCCTTGACTGTATGCCAGCCTGATCTCTCTCTCTCTCTCTCTCTCTCTCTCTCTCTCTCTCTCTCCTTCTTCTTCTTCTTTTTCTTCTTCTTCACTATCCAATCCTGCAGCTTCTCCTGCCTCGTAACTCTCGTCTCCCGGCTGTTACAGGTTCCTCCATTTCATTCATCCCTGCCTGCTCCACCACTGGTGGAGAAGTGGCAGTGGCATAAGCGCTGATTTTGGGTGAGATGGTGCTAATTTCTCATGAGATCTCACTAAAAACATGCACAATCTCTCACATTCCACAAGATCTCACATGTTTTAAGTGCCGCTTCACCACCGGTGGCAGAGAAGGTGGGGCAAATGGGTGACACCTTGTGGGCTTCCACCATCTGAGGCAGTGGCCGCAACCCACCTAATGGCTATGCTGGCCCTGTCTGCACCGTCTTGTTCCTGCTCATGTGTCTGCCTACTCCCCTTGAGAGAAACCAACACTGAGATTTTATTACAATCAGGTGTTATATAAAAGTTGTGAAATAAGTAAATAAATTTAAATCTCTCTCTCAAGCACAAAAGAAGGGGCGAGGCAAAAAAAATCCCTCTCTGAGAGCAGGAACATCATTTTCATCTTCTGAAATGAGAACTAAGCCTGGACCTTATTTTGGATATCAAGGACATAGCACCATCACATAGTTCTCTTACTTCTGTTGGCTCTCAAACATCTCTCCATCTTCTCAACAATGTGCACAGAAGTGGAATACAGTGCCATCCATCACTACTGACATCAACAGAAGTCTGCCATCAACTTCCTTTGGATGTGATTGCTGATCTGGCCTGTGCCACCATCGTGCTCTTTGGACAGCAATGCTGGCTTATGTGGCTCACATCCCTGTGATCTAAAGAGTGGCACAAGCAATAGCAGATGGCACAGTAGGGCTGCACTGCTTACTCCCCAGCTGAATTACTGCTGGATACCAAGAGCTGGGGATGACAAGGAGGTGACGAGGTTGACAGAACCACCCCATTCCTGTCCATTTCCACCCTGGTGTGGAGCAGCGACCCAGCTGAAGGGTGAACAATTCAGCCTCTCCCATGCCATCTGCTACTCTTCACTTCAACAGAACTTGCACTGATGGAACCTTTTGAGGGTTGGATCATCCAGTTAGAAATGCGTCATACTTTATCTTAAAGACTCATTGATAAACATTCTGTAAAATGTTAATAAGTAACATACGGTTTTCTAAATGACTAATAATGTTGTTACAGAATCAAGCAGGTGACTAGATTATCAGTGCTCTTATGATGTCCTTAAGGTAGGGTTCGCCAGAGAACTTTTGGTGCCTGAGGTAAGATGTACCACCATTGAGGAGGGAGGAAAGGCAGTGCAGCTACTCCATAGAAATGTCTGCTTTTTGGTGAGTGTCTGAGACATGGTGAAAAAGGACTGTTCCATGAGGCGTTGCTGTTGCTTCCCCTGGCATTGGCTTTCAGCTGAATCAAGCTGCCTGCGAGGCCAGGTTGGGATCTCCCACCCCCTGTGGAGCATGCCGCCTGAGGCAGGTCGCCTCAGATTGCTTCATTGGTGCACTGGCCATACTAGGGTTGCAGGGCAGGCAACATGGCACACCTTTCTAGCCACTTTCCACCTCTCAGAATTAGCTGTCTCGCTCTGCCTCATGGTACAGCCAGCCCTGTCTTAAGACATGGGCTGTTCACAGTCTCAACATGCAGTCACCCATGTTTGACATTCATAAATTGCCCTTGAATTAATAAGTAGAGCCTATAAAGCTTTGCAAGTCTGCAGTGCAATCATTTCAATGTTCCTCACTGTTGCTGCTGTGTGTGCCTGCTCTCTGCTTCCATCAATGTAGGTCAAAGCACATCACCAACCTGCGCTATGTTGCCTTAGAGGTTTTAGTTAGTCTAAGCCTTTCAGGAAGAAATTCATTTTTCTCACAAACATGGATTCAACGCTTTATTTCAGTTCATCAACTCAGAGATGCCAGGATTAACCTGCCTGGCTATTGTGAGCAATATTTGACCCAGAAATCAGGTCCCCCTGGCCTAGATATGCATGGGCTGGATGTAGCAAGAGAAAGATGCTCAGCATATGCTCAGATATACTCCTCTCTGGAGACCCTGCAAGTGCCAGAGAATTAGTCATAAAGCCATTAATTCCCAGATGCACAGGTGCTCAATCTGTTGTTTTAAATGTGAAAGAGATCTGATTGGCATCCCAGAACACCCTCCCTACACGAAAGCCACTATATAGGGCAAGTGGAATCTGTTCCAGATCACAGTATCTCTCTATCCAGAACATTAAACCCCGTAGAGATCCAAGTGGCAAAACACTGAGAGTCTGATGTAAGAAAACTCATGCCGTGTGAAAATAGAGAAGCAAATAATCTCAAGGGGCCGCCTTTCATTTTTCTGCTTCCTTCTCTTGTATTCACATGTCAGACATGGATCAGGACATACCTTTGGCATTTTGTAAATAAATGCATCGTGATGAAGCATTCTGGAATGTGCTAGAAAAGGTGCTAGCATGGACTGGGAAATTAGCCATACTAAAACAAATGCAGTAATGTCTGACCTTGGTGGTATAGATTTTTTATAAGAAATGAAGTTTTGCCTTTTAGAAGCAGGCTTACACATGAACAGCCAGTGCAGATGCAGTGAAACTGAAAGAAGCTGAAGAAACCTTTGTCCTTGTTTATTACTAATAGGAATGCGCATAGGAGAAAGCAGCTAAGTTTCATAATAAGTGAGGGTCAGGATTGGAGCTCTCTTTGAGGCCAGCTGGGGTGACCTGAGGCCACTTTAACCCTTAGTTGCCTATCCCTCTGAGAAGACCTCTTCTGACTGTTATAGGAAGCAAGGAAAGGAAAAGCTTCAAGCTTCAAGCTTACTCATTGCACATTACAGGGAAATGTGAAAAAAGATACGAGTCACCTGCGTTTCCTCTTTCACCACTTCCTGTATCATAAGAGAGAGAGAGCTCAGATTAACAAAACAATGCAAAAGGTATCACTGTTTATGACAAGTATCAAAGAGACAGCACATGCCCGTTTCAGAATTTTACAGCAGGAATGCTCCATGTAATGAACCAGACTATCTCATTGGATATATATATTTGCTCACTACATATTAATTCTACCTTCTCATTTCCATCCATGTCACTAGAAGCATACAGATGAACCGTGATACAGTCAACAACTGCAGGAAGTGGTAATAGGAGCACATTCACAAGCCATGTGCCGCTTGTGGAGTAGCCACACTCCCAGCAGCCATGCATTCAGTGCTAGTGCAGAAGGCAGGCTATATGCATCTAGGTGTACAGGTAGCCCCCAGTTTATGCAGGGGTTGCATTCCGAGGCACCACACACTTTGGTGAAATCGCGTATGATTGAAACCCATTAAAAAAGCCCACAAACACCCCGTTCCGCCCCAGCCCCCTTTTAGTGACATTTCAGTGATGTCTTTATGACATTTCCGGGTCACTTCAAGGTTTGGTGCACATATTGAATGTGCTTAAATGAGGGACTGCCTGTACATGCATATGCCTCTTCCACACAATCAAGAACTCTTGAATGGTCAGGGTTCTTGTTTATGTAGATGAGGCCTGTAGGGCATAGCTTCAGTTGGGCATTCCCAAACTAGTTTTTGTTCTTCTCTTAAATAATCTTAGCCATTTTCTTTCTTTCTCCCAGGTTGCAACATTTGCTTGATTTGTCAAAACAAAGATAGTAACTTGCAATTAAGTGGACGAGGTGGCACAAGAGACTGGTTAAATAAACATAGCCTTAAACATTGTTTTCCAGGAATACAACTATTTCACTTTTCACAGTAGATGACTGCATGGTATCCATTGATCCTACCATGCCAGCAAACTCAGAAAGGTATGTATGTTTTCCTATAACCAAAGCAAGTTCAGAAGAATAATGGTATTACTTATCAGTTGTATTTTATTTTATTATTTTATTTTTGTATGTAAGGCATAGATAATATGCAATGGAAGACAGCAAACATTTACTAGGAGTTTTCCCCCAGATCGAATCTTGTCCCGAAATAGCAACAGTCACATGCAATAAGGAAAGTGATTACACTGGAAATACACTGGAAAATGTGGGATAAAAATTGCTTGATACCACGCTGTGTAACCTCCCTGCTAACAAATCAAAATGAATGCTCAACCAAGTGCCAATACCATCTCACCTCCCCACAAAGTCTGTGCAACCAAATCAGGACAAATGCTCATTTGTTGTTAACAATTTATCTGTAAGTGACCTAAAACTAATACAGCTCTAAGGTTCCTTTATTTATTTTTCCCCTTAAAATTATATGCATGATTACAGCATGTGTGGTTAGATTAGATTGGATTATTAGAGCATATATCTGTGGAACAAACTGCTGCAAAAAAACAGTTAATGTGAAAATGCTTTTTTTCTGTCCCACTCAGTTTCCTCTGGAGACTCACATTTCCTAATCCTCCTTCTACTAGGAGAAGCAAACCAAAACATTATTCTGCACACAGACATTTTTAGAGGTGTGTACTCATTAATGCATAGCCCAAGGCTCTTCTTTTCCCAAAGCTCTTCATAATTTTCCCAGGCTTCTTACAATCTGCTCTGGGCGTGTTACTTCCCTCGCCCCCTGCCCCACTGCAGTTGCTTGTGCTGCAAGTTTTATTCACCGTTTTCTTCCCAGTCTATTCCTTGTGCTCAAGCAGGGAATGTGCTGCAGTGATCAATTAATGTTTGTGTGGCTGCATGTGTTGTCGACGCTGCTTGAACACAGCCAGGAGCCTGTGACACTCAAGCGGGAAGGTCTTTGTGAAATGTATGTTCTTTTCCCTAATTAAATTTTGAGCATAACCAGTTCTACAAGCAGCCCTTCTTCCCATGTTTCATGACGCTTGCATCATTTGAAAATGCATGCTTTGACTTCCCTTTTGTCTCTTGCAGAACTCCATACAAAGTAATACCTGTGACCACTGGGCAACAAACAGGTAAACTTTATTTTGTCCAAAATCAACTTTGGCATGTTTCTCAAGTTTGTAAATCCATATTTAAATGGACTGTTGAATAATATTTCACCTACATGGGATTTAATCCAGAATAAGTTAGGTGCCTTTAAATCAACAGAAGACTTCACTTAAATCTCCTTGGTTTTAGCTCTGCTCATCATATTTTCGCTGTGGGAGCTATGTTTTCATAGTATCAGCCCATAAATCTGCTATAACTTCTAAAGCTCTATAGTACAGTGGTGGGAAAGGCCCTCAGAACTGGCACACACATAAACACAAAATCTGGTTGCCAGTGTTTAAATTTTACAGCAGGTACCCATGGAATGAACTTGTGATAAAGCAGTGCCCACAGCACTATTGCAACTCGTAAATGGCACCTAAGTTTTGTTGGAGTTAATGTTTGCAACTAAGGGCATGTCCAGGCTGTTGCTATTCTGTAGATAGTATTCAATCACAATCCAGGAATTTAGATTGCACAGTTGAAGTGGATTTGGTTGTCTTACACAACGAACCAACTTCCTCCAAAATTCAGGCTTTTCCCAATCAGGAAAGTGAGTGGAAAATAATGGAAAGTGTGAGATAACAATTGCTCAATGTAATGTGAAAAAAATCAGAACAAGTGTTCAAAAAGTAGCCAACTTTGCATATCCTTCCTGAAAACTTTGTGCAAACAAAACTGGGAAAATAGTCAGTAGACAGGTGATCTGGAAGTGATGAAGCTTGCTGGAGCATTTCTGTTTTGAACTCAAAAATGCCCAAGTTCAAATGGCAAAAGAAACCACATCCAGTTGCATCATTTGTGAATGGCACACACATATTTAAATAGCTGCGTTTTACATGCAAGAAGCACAGAATTTTAGCCCAATCCTTTGCTCATGGCCAAAGCCATTAGTGTTAAGTGCATTAATAAACGGACGTTTAAATACTCATGTGCCATTCACAATTCATAGTACCACATTGTAGGGTGTTGTTGCTATTTTTGCCACTTGAACTTGGATATTGGTCATACATGAGTTCAAAATGTAAAGCATGGATCAGCCCTTCATACTGAAGGGTGGGTAAAGCAATTATCTGATGATAGTGATGATGATCTTTAAAACATTTGAGGGGGGTTTGGTAAGAAAAATTGTGTTTTACAGTACCTTGTCCCCAGTCCAGAGGAAAAAAACAGTTAAGTCCCACCAACTTCAGTGGGACCACCAGAACTAACTTTCTGTGAATAAGGGTCATTATATTTGCTTTTGGGTGTTCAGAGGTATAGACTGCTGTCACTTGTGTTGTCAAACTTAAGGGCTGAAAAGGCACACTTCAAGAGAAAATATAAGACTCTGGGGATTTCAGCTGAGAAAGGGAAAGAAACCTACATGCTGAAGGCTCCTAACAAAATCACAAAAGCTGGCAGGCATGGAGCAAGCTAAGAAAGAAAACAGATGGCAAAGGAGAAGGCCAAAGAGGTAGTGTTTCATAGGCAGAGTTATCATTTCAGAAGCAGTTAAATTGCACCAGGCCTTTCCACAGAACTACACATGTAAGGGGAGAAGACTGAAAATGTTCAGTTAAAATGGAGGCAATTCCAATTTCAGAAGTACTTGTGGAATGGTTTTTTAAAACAACAATAATAGTTCCAAACATCAGCAATGCTATTCTCCATAGTAATGCCTCACCATTTATTGAGCCTCTTTCGTTTATTTCTTCTTAGTGCCTCCAGTTATTGATTCCTTTATATTTTCACTCATTCTTTCCCATTTCTGGATGGGAGACCACATCTAGTCATGGTGAAGCAAGGGGTTGAGTGGGAAGAGTAGCAGCCACAGCAGCATGACCACTGAAACATTTTCTTTTTGATGTCTGCTTAAAAACCTTTTTCAAGTGAGGAGCGCTACTCCACCTTCTCACCCTTGTCACTGTGTGCCTCTTCAGAAAGTGAGCAGTTGATGAACAGGCAGCAACAACAAGAGCAAGCAGGGGCAGCGGGCTTTGGGGGTGTGCCCCCTGTGGGACTGTGACCTTCAGCAGGTGCCCAACAGTTGCCTTAACACCAGCCTTGCTGGAGTGGAAAGATCTGTAGGAACAGGCCCGGCTCACCCATGAGGTGGAGTGAAGCTGCCACCTCAGGTGGTGAAAACCCTTGAGACGGTACTCCTGTGAGTGCCCTACTTGCCCTGTCGCATCCACTAGCAGAGAAGCAGTGCAGCATTGGTGCTGATTTCCAGCAAGTTCTTGCCAAAATCTCATGAGATATTGTGGGGTACGATGATTTCACGAAATTTCAGTGAGATCTCACTGGAAATTGGTGTGATCTCACTGGAAATCAGTGTCGATTTCTCCACCAGTGGCACTTCCCATTGCTCCTCAAGAGGCAAAACAGGATATGCTGCTGCTGCTGCTTAGGAAACAGCACCTAACAAAAAAAAACCTTGAACTGAAACAAGAATAAATGGCTGTACCCGTTTTGTTCCCTAATGGATTATGAGGTAAGAGATGGCAGAGACTGAAGTATTCATCACTGCTTCTCTGTGGAGCATTAGCTTCTTATCACATTGCCAGCGCATGTCATAGTCTCTTCATCTTACCTGGAAGCACCCTTGTCTACAGCTATCAGTTGTCATGTCTTTGCCCTTCCGGTGAGCATGCAAAGTTATCAAATAATTGACAGAAAACAAAGACGACAACAGTTTATCTCCAGGGACCTCAATAGGAATAGGAATGTTGGATCGGTAGAGATTTATACAGCTGTTCTGGTAGGAGGCTTGTGTAAGACACTGGGAACATGGCTCTTGATAGATGAGCCAATTTATGGTGTTTACGGCGCTTCAAGGGAACCCCGCAGAGTTTGTTTAAAAATTAAAGATCTGCCCTATTGCTCTTGTGCCAGTTTTGCGATCTGACACCAAGATTAAATTGTCTAATTATGTCAAGACATGACACATTTGGATTAAGCAAGAATGTTTTGCTGGCAATTTCATCTCCATACAGAACACATCTCTCTCTTGTATTGACTCACAAGGCTTAAGATTTATCACAACAGTGCTGGAAGTGGGGGTGGGAGGACTGTATACAACACTTCCATTGGCCTGGCTCCTGATTGCTCTTTTGAGTAAGGCTTTTCGAATCTCAACCCAGCCACGTGAATTATTCCCAGGGAGTGGTAAAAATGAAAACCAGAAGTCAAGGGTAGGGCATTAGTGGTATGGAGTGTTGTTTTGTGTGCTTGGTCTACTGCCCAGTTGTATCTGTCAGGTGATCATGCCAAAGTTCATTCACAATCACTGCATCTGTAATATGAATTTGTCCAGCTGGTCATGCTGTGTCGCAGGTCAAGCATAATTTGCCTGAGTAGTTATTATTTGACCAGGCTGCTTTGCAGATATATGCACAAACGTCCTTGCTTTTGCCCCTTAATCTTGATGATCACTGTGAATCTATGCAAAATACAAAGGCAATTGCGCACATATATATATTCGTTAGTGTTAACTCTTTAACCTTTGGTGAAACTCTCATAGACAGCTATGTGGCCAAACTGTGTTGCCAAACTAAGCGGCCATTTGGTGATGAACATCTCCATATGAGCCAATTTCCCAGTCGTTTCCTGCAAAATCGAAATCTGGATCAAAAACCTTCATGTGTGTTTTGTGTAAAGTGTAGAAGTTTATATTTACAAGTGACTCTCTTCAGGAAAGGGTGTTTTGGTCATGCTGTGACCTGCAGAGTGTCATCTAGTGGTAAAGTGGAAATGGGCCTTCTCTGTGGTGGCACCTACTTTTGGAATGCTCTCCCCACCTGGTTAATTGGGAGGCATCAACTGTGGTGTGTTTTGGATGCTTGCTTAGTTTATAGATCATTAATTCTCAGTAATTTGATTTTCTGGATATTTGTGGCTATATTTTGTTTTAATGTATGTTTTAGACCAGGGATGTCCAACAGGTCGATTGTGATCTACTGATAGATCCCTGGGAGGTTTTGGTAGATCACAGTCGATCGCTGGGTCCCTTTCCTTAGCGTTGGTAAAATCGAACCCAGCCCCGCCCCCTTGCCCCATCCTCCATTGCTGCACGATCTGTAGAACAGAAGACAGAGTTTACTCAGTGAGGCTGTTTGTTTCCCCAGCAAAAAAACAGGGCTCCTCCATAAAAAAAAGCTCAACAACTTTGACCTGCACCACACAAAATCAGGGGTAAATCACTGCCAGTTTTTAATTCTGTAAGTCTCTTGGGAGTTGGCCACCCCTGTTTTAGACTTGCATGAAAAGAAGAGCTTGCTGGGTGAGGCCAATGGCCCATCTAGTCTAGAATCCTGTTCTAGACTATTGTAAACTGCTTCAAAATTTGTAAGCGGTCTAGAAATTAATTATTTTAAGTAATTAAATGTGCATGCATGCAGCATTCATGTGCCATCATCATACGCTGGGAGAGTTTCTCAGGAAACAAATGAGCTTTTCTCCATATTCTGCAAGACAGTTAGTAAATGAAAATTTGTGTTGTGTAGACGAAGCCATTTCAACAGGGATTAGTTTTTTCACTTCTGTCAAAAATCCCATCTCCCACAGGACTCTTTAAAGGTGGAAAAAAATTGTCCTCCTTTACAACTGCTTACCCTGAGCGCAAGCCATTGATTCCACACCATCCACCCAGGGTGGATAACATAAGAAGCAGGGAGACAGGTTTGCCCATGAGTCATACTTCTTTCTCTTGTATTCTTGAACAGTGCAGTTCTGCACAGTCCCTTAATCAGACCAGCTGCAGCTACAATCTGTTCCCTACAAAACTATTCCAGGTGGTTCTTTGCAAAGGTAGCTGTGAAAGACCTTCAAGAGCATTTGAGGTATGTGCCGCTTCATTACAATGCATGTAAAATGAAAACCTGCATAGAACTATACTATACAGGAACATAGGAAGCTGCCTTATGACAGACCAGGTTGTTTGTCCATTCTTGCCTATTTTCCAGGGTCTGTCCCATCACATGCTAGCTGATCCTTTTAACTGGAGAATCTGGGGGTTAAACCCAAGACCTTCTGCATACAAAGCATGTGCTCTACCACTGAAATTTCATCCCTAATTCATATTCATTGTAGCATTAAGGAGATTGTTCAGTCAGTTCAAGCACCTCTGCTTGCCCTGCAGAACAATCTCCCCTCCCCTCTCCCCCCCCCCCATGCACTGCTCTGACGGTTACCCTGACAAAGACCCTGAGCAAATTTGGTGGAGATGTGGAGGGTGGGGGGAGAGGTGGAGAAATCTTTTGTGCTAGCAAGAGTCCTTGCACTATTGAAACGGGGTAGAATCTGACCCACACCATTCTGCACTGTCTGTTGAACTTTCTGGAGCGCATCGTTATTATGAGCAGTGTTTCTGTTTGCAGAATTAGCATACATCTGTTTGCTGGCCGAATCTGAAGGCTAACGTAAGTTGGCCTTTGAGAGAGGGAGGTCAGAGAATATGCTTTGTTCCCACACTGCAGGTGTTGCATCCACAGCATGGGCCCCTGCTGAATGTTATGCACTCATTCTGGGAAGAGCTCCCATTGACGTCAGACTAGAGAGACCTTGCTGAGAGTACGACATGCACAATAGGGAGTGACTGTGCAAAAGACACCCACACTGGAAATTCTGGGTTTTCCTTTGCAGCTGTAACCTATTAGCAGGCAGTCCTGCAAATCACCCAAATTTCACTCAAGAATATTGCATAGTGGTGGGGGTGGGGTTGCATTTGCAAAAAGAAAAAGAAAAGAAGAAGCTTTTGAAAATATTCCATGCGTATATCTAAGATCTTTTGGAGAAAGCAAACTGTACAACTGTGGTCCAAAAAAGTGGTGAAATTAATTTTAGGTGCACCATCGAAGTGAGCTGAAATAGGAACATTTTAACTGTAAGTCATCTAAAATTTTACTTTGTTTGTTTGTTTATAAAAAAAACATTTATCTGCTAAGTCATAAGTTGCATCCAAGTGGTTTACAAAGTGTAAAAAGTTGAAAAACCAATTTAAAAGTGAAAAATCATTTTGGGAGGATGAACTCAACTCTAAACTGCCTGCACAGGTCTGGCACAACAGAAAACTTTCCAGCAGGTATTTAAAAGTTGGCACAGAAGACCTTCTTACCCTTCTTTTGAGGACAGATGATGATGATGATTATCTCTAATTCTTACCCGCACTTTACTGTAGGTTACAGCAGTGGTCTGATAGATCACAGTACTGACCTGGGGCTCCTTTCTGTAATGAAATATTTCTGTACTGTATGACATACATGCACAAGAAGTCCTAACAGCATCACTCCTTGTCCTCCAGAGCAGAGCTTTGAACACTATCTTTGCTGGTCATAAATATTTACTGAACTCTGGGGTTATAAAAACATCCATCTTCCGCCTTACTGGGCTACAGATGGTGATGATACCAACTACTCGGGACTATATGCTGGAAAATTACTGCCGGCTGCCAGTGGATTGTTGCAGTATGAACTCTCACAGACTGTTGCAAAGAAGAGGAATTTTCCCATAACAATTTCTGCCACAGTTTTGAGCAAGTGCGCCTTAGTTTCATCCAAACTGCATTACTGCAATGCACTGTATGTAGTGCTGTCATCTTGGAGAAGTGTCCAGAAACCTCAGCAGTTTCAGAACATGGCAGACAGAAGTCTTGGACTACCCTTTTTGCAGCAGCTTAATAGACCTCCTGCCTATTTCCAGGTTCAATTCAAAGTCCTGGTTATGATCTTTAAAGCCTTTGGCACCATCTCTCATCTAAGCATGACCATTCATTAAGCTCAACAGGGGGTCTCTCTGCATGTTCCGCCAACATCTCCAAAGGCCTTCTGGCAGTTCCCTCACTGCGAGAAGTGAGGGAACCAGGCAGAGGGTCTTCTTAGTGGTGGCGCCTTCCCTGTGGAATGCCCTCCCATCAGATGTCAAGGAAATAAATAGCTATCTGACTTTTAGAAGACACCTGAAGACAGCCCTGTTTAGGGAGGTTTTTAATGTTTGATGTTTATTGTGCTTTTAATATTCTGTTGGGAGTCGCCCAATGGGCAGGGTATAAATAAGAAATTATTATTATCATCATCATCATCATCATCATCATCATCATTAACATCATCTGAGGGATGAGCGGCTGGAATGCAAGACAGGGCCTTGTTCGTGGTTGCACCACTCAGGGTTTGTTCAGAATGCTGATTGTCAAGGGAGGGATTTTTATCAAGACTGAAAGGTAGAAAGGGAAGATTGAAACCTCTCCTCACCTGCATGCCGTGCTCAGATGATTATTACACACACACACACACACACAGAGAGAGAGAGAGAGAGAGAGCACTCTGATAATTTGTTTTAAAAAAGAAGAAAACCAGAATATGATTGCTTATCATTTCATTGTGCAATATGTAGTTAAGCCTTCTTTCATACTCCTCTGAGAAGTGCTCTCCATTTGAATTGCCTGCCAAGTAGGAAGCAGGAGCAAATCTCCCACACATTGTTTCCTGTCTATGGACAGTGCTGTTTGCCTCAGCAATGATACATACTATGGTAATTTTAGAACTTGGACCGATGGCACTTCCAGATGACATGCTGATTGCACATTCATCCTGATTCGTTTGCAGGAAGGTTAGACCGTTGGCTGTTTAAGGAGCATCCATTTGGAACCCTTTGCCAGAGAGGTTAGATGACGTTGTCTCAAAGCATGTCTTACCCGGCACTTTCCAGTGCATTTCTCCATCCCTTTCCTCATCACAAAATAATCCAATCTTCTGCATGTACTATGTCTGAGCACCTTGAGCTCCTTGCAGGGAAGGTGGGATATAAATAAAATTTAAAAAGTAAGTGAGTTTGTCATATAACTCCTCCCAGTCACTTGTAGTTGCACAACCTGAATTTGTCAGTATGTGATTGGATTTCACTAAAAAGAAGCAAAAAACAGCAGTCTGTATTATGTTCTTAATGGTCAGGGTGAGGGATTTAGTCAACCATATGTGTTACTTCACATAATAACTGCCCTTTTGTTTTATTTTATGGAGCACCTTTGCTGCTGCGAAGGAACCTGTCTGTGCCCTAAGGCAAGCATCAGAGGCCTGCACTTTAACTATTCACTGAGACAAGTCAAATTGGGGACTGCTAGAGCAGGCATAGGCAAACTCGGCCCTCCAGATGTTTTGGGACTACAATTTCCATCATCCCTGACCACTGGTCCTGCTAGCTAGGGATCATGGGAGTTGTAGGCCAAAAACATCTGGGGGGCCGAGTTTGCCTATGCCTGTGCTAGAGACAGGGCCTTTTAAGTGGTGGCTCCTATTTTCAGTGGTGTCCCCATCCATTGTGATGTGTGCTTGGCTCCATCCCTTGAAGATCCGTTTCCTTGGGGCTGTCTTTGAGCAGTTTTATTAATCATGCTTCTTGCTTATACATGATTGTTTTTTAGGTTTTACAGTTTTATTCTATTGGCTTGGACTTGATAGCAATTTTTATGCAGGCTGAAGAGTGTTTTAGAGGGTGTGTTAAGCAACTTATTATTCCTGATCTTTCTCTTTTTGTGATAAGTTTTAGTTTTGTTATTTCAATGTCATTTGTGATTTATTGTGTCGTATTTGAAAGCCACCTTGAAGAGACCTAATGTGGACAAAGACACAAAGAATTATATTTGGTCATGGTTCTTTGGACAAATCTAAGTGCAATTCCCAGCTATATTTATATGTGGGGACGGAGGAATGCATAGTGATCTAGCTCATTAAGGTTGCCAACTCTTTTTCTGGCAGGGTTCCTGTGCCTTTTAACAGGCATAGGAAAAGAAGTAGAAATTCAGGTGGCAAAGCTTACCTCAGGCTTCACCTGCTGAATTTCCACTTCTTACATAGCTGTAAGTTGGCAACCTTAATGAGCGAGATCATGACCCCCCTCCCTTCTTTGGGAAATACACAAGAGGGACCCTGCCAGGAAAATAAAAGTTGGCAACCCGTATAATTTCCAGAGAAGCTTGAGAGTGATGTCAATAAAAATTGTAGAGCATTCTACAAATATAAAAAAGGATATTTTTATATAAGTAGCTGCAATCATTGGAAGATTGTTCCCATTTCACTGATAGTGATATGAGGTCTAGAAATTAAGTAAACAGTTACTGTTGATGCAAGGGAAAGGGACCTTTGTCTCTTTAAGACAAGAGGAACTGCTAGTCATATATCTTTACTGTGTTGTGGGGTTATAAAAGCATACGTCTTCGCTCTTTTATTACATCTATAAACATCAGGCTGCAGCTGACTGTTCCCTGGATTAGAATGTCCTAGCACTTTAAGTAAGTTTTGACAGCGAGAGGGAGGGAAAGTAGTACTTCTAGGGGTGGGTTTTTTCCCTTTCTTTTCTTTTTTTTAAAGTGGATTCTTTTTATAGGACCTTGTCACTTTCTTGTAAGCTTCAGCCGCCGCAAAAGTTCTGAGAGGCAATGAAACCAGGATATACCGGGTTCAGAGTTTGTTCTTCTTTGGCCTGTGTATAACATTCTGCTGTTTGTGAACGGTAAGCAGAAAGAAAAGTTTCGTGGTTTTGTTAAACACATTGTTTATTTGAGTTCAGCCATTTGATTTGCAGCAGACGTTTAAGCTGCTTTTTTTAAAAAAAGGGAAAGCTATTTACTTATCTAGAACCAGTCTTTCTGTTTACTGTTCTGCTTGCTGCATTTTAGAATTGCTTAACAAAAATGAAACAAAGTGGAACAATGAGGGTCTTGTATTTTAGTTGTATTTGGATCTACTTTGATTTTGTGCTTTTCAAGCTTTGCTTGATTATTCCAATTTTGAGGTTCGTAGTAGCTAAAATAAAATATTTGCAAAAAGTAGGGGTGGGGGACAGAGTGATATACCTTATTATGTACATCAGGACAACGAGAGAAGGCATGCCTTAATGAGAGCTGTAGCCAACTGGAATATTTTTTAAATATTAGAATGCAATAATTCACCAGATATATGATCATTCAACTGTGTATTAATCTCATGAATATCTTCTTAGTATCCCCCCCCCCATTAAGACTAGAGGGAACAAATGCAGGAAATTGCTACTTTAATTTTATCCTTGCATTATGATCTGGGCTTAGTAGCATTCAAAATATGGTTGAGTTTTACTTGAGCTGTTAATTTTGACTTACATAGAACACTGCAATCTGACATTTAATATTTAAAAGCAAATTAAAATAAGTAATTTTGTATTATACATCACATTTTATAAAATAAGAAGCTGCAATAAGCTATAGCAGCAGTTCCCAAACTTTCTGAGTCGTAGAGCACTTTTTGGAAGAGAAATTTGTCATAGAGAACTATCGTTGTCCTTATGCCAAAGGCACATATTTATTTAATTTTCTTTCCAGTTTCTTCATAGAGCACTTGGAGATGCTTTGCAGAGCACCAAGTGCTCCACGCAACGCAATTTGGAAACTGCTGATCTATTGTCTTTGGTTTATATTAGGAAGATATATTATATACTTCTGATTACCATATCCTGGAGGCATGAAGCTTCCCAGAGTTGGCTACTGTTAGAGATACAATCTTGCTCTGATTCAGCATAAGCATTTCTTCCTTAAAAAATATCTGTGGTCTGTGCATGATTTTGAAGCGCTTTCTGGTGGTACATCTCTTCCAAGACCAACTTGCAATGCCTTCCATGCGGTCAGAAATTACCTAAGCTATTGTACAAATGCAACCCTGTTCCTAGCTTAGGAAAGCCTGCCTCTCTGAAATAGCAACTAATTTGGGGGGGGGGGGTTGAATCTAATAGATACATGCACATGAAAATGTTGTATCAGAATGTATCCTCCATATACATTTCCTCAAAGTGTCTGGCAAACCCCTCATGGCCAGCCATGATGTGCTTCAGGAATCTGCCCCAAGTGCAGGGTAGCTAATCCACAAGGGTAACTAGACCACAAGGAATGACTCTGCTGGCTGACTCCTCAGGGATGTGATGGATGCAGCAAAGTATGACTTCATTGCTGACCTCACTGCTGCACAGTGGGCACAATTATGTATCCTATTATGTGTTGGATCAGCTTCATAGCAAGGTTCCTGCATTTGTGTTTCAACCTTCATCCAGCCCACTCCTTCAACCGGAGCTCCTCAAAATACCAAGGAGAATTGCAGTCTCCATGGTCCCAATTATGTCAATGGCCCTAGGAATCTCACTGTTTCACAGTGAAATAGAAGCACCGAGAGGATCACTTGGTGAAGCCACTGTAAACATCAGAAATCCATTAGAATTTATCAACCTCCAAGAACAGACCATCCCAAGTGGTCCCTTTCCCCTGCAGCATCTAGCCCTCCTGTTTCCAGACCACCACCCTTCCTACTTGGAGCAAAGGCCAAATCAAGGCTGTCCCTTGCTCCGTCCTATAGGGCACATTACAGAGCAAGATTGCACTGTCTTATAAGAAAAACCTGCTCCTTTTCCCTTATGGGGTACCCAAGAGCCCGTATAGAGTCCTTATGTAGGTTCTCTATCGGTAGGAGAAAATAACAGAGGCCAACCAGAGAATATTGAGAAGCGAGGCAGCTAGTAAGCCTGATCTTTATTAAACTGTTGCAACAGGGTGCTCGCTCTCCCCACGTAGGAGGGAGGAGGAACCCAGAACCATGGTGTGCAAGCCCTTATAAAGACTTTTGAAATTGCCACACTGTAGCAGTTAATGGGTTTACCTCAGTGGTGTCCAAACTTTTTTCAAAGAGGGCCAGATTTGATGAAGTGAAGGGCCGTGAGGGCCAACCAGAGGGCCGACCAAAGCTGTTAACCTTTTTTTAGGATTGAAGTTGTTGAGGTTTTTTTAGGATTTTACCCCAGGAAATAAACTGCCACAGGGGCTGAATTAAACTGACCAGTGGGCCAGATTAGGCCCCCAAAGCAGACTTTGGACATGCCTGGTTTACCTGGACAACCTGGGCATTCTTTTATGATGATAAATACTTAATTCCTGAGTCCAGGTCACAGGCTTACCCTATTCATACACAAATGTGCCCTTAAGGTGGGATTTGTGAGCACAGAGACAATGGGGAGGCTTTTCCCATTTCCTTCCAAACTGCAGCATAATATCTGAGGTCACTGAAAGAGTCAAAATGGCCTAGGACTGTTTTCCTGTACTGTTTCAGACATGTGGTTTATATATTTATGTATGTGTTTTCCTGGTACATTTATGAACATTTATTTTACATCTTAGACCTTATAATTCTCATAACAACTGCAAGACCAGAAAGGAGAAAGCAAGCAACTGTAATATTTTAAAATCATAACATTTATGATTAATAATAATCATTATTAATAAAGGACCTCAAAAGCTAGGTGCTGTCTGATGATTGAGTTAAAAAGAAGAAATCCTACCTGCAGTCTTGCAGTCAAAGATAATATAGGTATATAATGGGGAACTAAACTTAGCAGGCTTTGCAAATGCGGTGAGGAAAATTGAGCGAGAATAAACGTTTGAAACTTGAATAAAAGCACTTCAAACCAAAACAGTACAAGCTTTTTCTACGGTATGGTAATAGATCTAACAGATAACTTTCAGACCACAGGTATTGGAAACAAAACACCAGCACTCTGGCTTTCAGGACTGCTAAACACAACTGAGAGAACCTGAGTAGCAGCACACCTTTGTTTCCTAATCCCCTGCGGTAGACAAAGTGGCTGAGAGTGTTTCTCCAGCTGGGTGCAATGAGCAAGGAACAGCAAAAGGGAGTTTGGGTTGTACTGAACAATGAATATACTGATAGGAGTTTATGGTTGCTAGACCTTTCCCTGGATTCAGTAAGTTTAATAATTTAATCAAAGTTTAGAGTATTAAAATGTGTGCCAGACCACTGTATTCCCTGGATCTAACAAGTGTTAAAAGCTAATTAAGACAGTCAGAGATTAGAGAAGAGAGCTGGGATCAATGTGAGTTGGAAGCTGAGAGTAGTGCGTAATGGGACAGAGAAACAAAACAACAAGCAGGAGAGTCGGAGCAACGTTTGAGAGAAATGTTCGCTGTCCCTTTGAATCCAAGGCTGTAGCTACAGGAGAAACAAGACCCTTTGGGAGTGTTAATGCTGTGAATCCCTCAATCGTAGGCTCAGGTTGTATATATTCATAAATAACCCCAAGATCATAAAGACTCCATGCAGTCTCTACTGTGCCTCATTCCAAAGGCAAACACAAACCCTGGGTAAGTGCCTGGAACTCCTGGGCTTTCGTAGTGGTCAGAGATTGGTTTTGACGTACAACAATACAGAGCTCTCATTGAAGAAACTTGCACAAACACTTTTGCTCCTGAGGCCTTCTTAGGGCTTTTTATTTTTAAATATGATTGCTACACAGTTAGGCTTTTGTGTACCTCTTTTGCAAATGCAAAGTTTTTTCCCATTACTTCCCCCAAAAAACTGTGCAGGGACAACTTAGGGTCAGTAGGCCAGGGCTGCCACAGCAGGATGAAGTGACCTGCTTTGGGGCACTGTGATGGGGAGATAGATGGAGGCAGAAAATAGTGGCTGAGATTTGCAGCAAGATTTTATTATTATTATTCATGTGTTGGCACTATAAGGGACCAGAGGGCACTATTTGGGACCATTTGGGGCAGCATGCAGTATCATCTTGGAGCACTCAAAGGCTGCAGTAAATAATAATAATAATAATAACAACAACAACAATAATAATTTTAAAGCTGCAAAATTTTCATACGACCCGTTTTCAGAAAAACTTTCCATGTGTTTGGGTACATTCATGAGCCCAGTCTGCAGTATAGGTAACCTGACCCTCTGTTTCAGCACCACAAAAAGCACTGTATTTCAAATGCTGTTGCCCTAAACTTTGTTAAACAGCAACTTAGCCCAAGTCTGATCAGTCCTGATGAGAAACAGCAATGTAATTTACATATTAATCCTCTAAGGATAAAGCAAATGTTGAGGGTGACTTGTACCCCTTGGAACCCTTAAATTTCATTTAAACAGGCACTTGCTGTTAGTTTGTCTGAAGCAAGGTAATATCATTGTCTTGATAAATCAGTGCAGTACCACTGCTGGCTCATGTTCAGTTATCATCTGTAATAATCTCCAGATCATTCTCTATAGTGCTGTTGCTTGGTTGCCATACATTTGATGTGTTGGCATTATAAGTTTCCTTTACCTTGGCAGGAAAATGGCATCCAAGTAAGTGTCAGACAAGTTTCTTTGCAGAGAGCACTCCATGGGCAGGGTGCCACAATCAAGGAGGTTTATTTCCTGTTAGCCATCTGTTGTACTTCAAACTGGCGCTGCATTAGAAATCCCTCCCACTTTTTGTTATTTAACATTCTCCAAAAAAAATTCAAAACTGCATTAAGAAAGTATCAGAAAGAAGATTCTGGTGAAATCATCCTGGGTGGGAGGTATGGTTTTCTGCTTGCCATTCTTTCAATGTTGCCAAGGGCTGTTTGAGAGGACCCCTTCTTTCATTCTATAAAGCATCTCTCCGGGGGTCTGAGTACCTGGGTATTTCCTGAAACCCCCATGACAGCCTCAGCCTGGCTTTCCTATAAGCACGGGAAGGTGGAGGGGGCGACTTGCTGTGCATCTGACTGCTCATTGTTTTTCAAGTGAAGTCTTTTTACCTTTAAGGGTTGAAAGATATATTTTAATGATAAAAGGAAGAGCATACCGTAAAGGCAAAATCTATGAGTGCAGGAATCTCAGGTACTCAGTGGCCAGCTGCGCCAGCCTCCCATGCTCCAATGTATGTGCCGGGGGAAACATCGTCCAGTACCTTCTGCCACGGGGCTTTTTTTCCTGCACAAGAAGTTGGGGAAGCCGCAGAACACTGGGAAAATGTTTAATAGAAAGTCCTATTCTCAACCACTTCACAATGATAAAGTAAGTTTGCACTGACCAAAATTATAAAGGAATTCTAAAGTTTCCTGAGAATGGAAACAGAGAAATGGAAGCCTCTTTTGTAGGGGAAGCATTTTTGAGAAATCAGATGACATGTTTTGGCACACCACTAATTCAGACAGTGAAGGTACTCAGAGGAGAGCTCTGCTGAAGACCTTTGAGTACAGGTAGCGGGTAATATTCAACACTAATCCTTCTCAGAGGAGGCCTGTTGAAATTAAGAAACAGGACTAAGGTTCATTCATTTCAGTGGGTCTACTCTGCATAGGACTTGGTCGAATACAAACCAGATGATTGTTCGGGTACCCTGCAGTTACTTTCTAAAATGCCCTCATAGCATGGTGATATAGTACCTTCTCTTTTACCTATAAGGAATTCATGAAGTGGTTTAAAGTTCGTAACCAGGTCCTGTATATTGAACTTGCATTCCAGTTTGTTTGAACAAAGCTTGTACAAGGGACACACTGTATCTACTGTTTACTGAGCATCCATGCTGATTTGTGTGCACGAAGGTTATACAACTTCCCATAAATTAATTGTTATTCCTCACTTTCTAGTGTATTTTCGCATCACTTTCTTTACTTCAAAAGTCATTTTTTAAAAAGTAGTTTTTGTGCATAAGAGTTCCAGACCACTTTAATCTTCTCTAATTGCACAAATCTAAATTTGCCAACGTGCAACTGATCCCCTCCTGCAATACAGTAACAGTTTGGAGGCCGCCCAGGAATTTGTCAGGTTTTAATATCGTTGTAAATTTTGATTTGTTAGCTGCTTTGAGGTTCTTTGGAAAATTTGGTGGCATTATACGTCCATGAAATGAATGAAGCGCAGACATAATATGGCCATACTTACCTTCATCTAATTCAGCCTCACAACAATAATTTGAAGTAGGCTGTTGTTGTTTTCATTTTATAGAACAACTCAAAGAGGACAGGAGAAAAATGACTTTACCAGATTCAACCATCATATACATAGTACCATAATTTGAACCCATGTTCCAATCCAATATAGTATTCACAGAATCCTGTGTGCATTTCTTTTTTCTGCTAAACTAGTTTTCTTATCTCAACAAACAACTGGTAGATGTAGCAGATTTTGTTCCCACTCTGCCTAGTACTAAATACCTTTATTCCTACAGGTGCTTACGTATGCATTACCAGAGAGAGAGAGAGAATAATTTGAGGAACTTTATGCATTTTTCTTCTCTTTCCTTCCTCCTTTCACCCTTTTTAAAAATCTAAGCATGTGTAACTATTAATGAATAAGGCCATGTATTCGCTTGAGAATGTAAAGTGTATTTCACTGACTATCAAACTGCAGTGCTTAAAAGCACATTACGAGGGTGTTTTTGAATGGAAAAGCAAAATTGATGCCCCCCACTGCATATTGGAAATTGCTGTTACTTTCTGAAATGCCCTCATTGCATGCTGATAGAGCACCTCCTCTTTTACCTATAAGCCATTTATATTTGGTTAATCAGAGGTTTGGATAAGCTTGAGTGCTGCCGTATAGCGAGGTTTGGGGGAATATATGCTGAATTCAGATTAATTGGAAATTTGGCATAATAAAGGTTTGCTGATTGTGTTTTAATGTAGTTGTTTCTTTTAGGGGTAAAAAGAAAGGCAAATTCAGTTCCCACTCCCCAAGAATACCTTCAATATTTGTATATGGAGTATTGGTTTTTCCCCCTAAGGTGACTATTATGAGTCTAAAAATAATACCTTTGGTTACATTGTTGAGAATGTCATTTATAAAGGCTATCCATCTTCACAATTCAGAGCACAATTTAGGCTGCAATCCTATACCTACTTACCTGGGATACTAGACTGACAATGGCAATTTTTTGCAAGTATTGATTGGACAAGGATAGCCAAGCTTATTTTCTTTGCTAAATATGCCATTTTAAACAAAATTCTGTCTGTGTGGAAGCTGAAATAGGTCTGCTATCCTCCATCTTACATTCATTAGTCTCCCATTGCTTTATATTTTTAATAGAAAAAGAGGAACTGTTCCAGAATTTGCTGGCGCAGGTGATCGAGCAATTCTCCAGGTAATATTTTTATGCAATAGGTTTAGTGTAATTATATTTCTCCTTGCATTCATTTCAACACTGCAGTCCCCAAACAGTTTGCTTTGAGATAAATGCACCAGCTTTTCACTCATTGTTCTTCATAGTGAATACGGTATGCCTGAGTCATTTAAAAGTTTATACAGGCTAGTCAAGCAGAGAAAGATGAATTAATTGAAGGCTGCAATCCAGAACCCAATGGGATTTTCCAGTGACTAAACACGCAATGAATTCACTGGACTCCACCCCCCAATCTTGTAACTGAAACGAAGTAGAATTCATCTATGCTGCATTTTGTAAGAGGGATGCAAAATCCCTAGCATTGTTCTAACTAAATAAGAGTGTTCAACTCCTTACCTCCTTAATAAACCACTTACGTGATTGCAAAATAAAATACTGTAAAGTAACATAAATGAAGCCACAGAGAAAATATAATCAATGCTGCTGGAATAAAGATCAGGTTATTATATTAAGAAAGGAAACATTAATTTACACATACAGACTCTTTAGAAATGTAAAGATAGACACACCAGCCCACACACCCCGTGTGTGAAACCTAGGAACAACAGAGCTTCTAAAATGGAGGTCAGCAGCTACCCCATTTATTTCATGAAGGGAAGCTTTACATCCCATTAAAGTAAGCAACTACACATAGATCAAGATTCCCCTTTATGGTGATAGCTTGTTAGCACAGTGGGAATTCTGCTTATTGTATATTGGAATAATTTTGCCTATAGCTGATCACTAGACCAAAGCAACAACTTATTAATGGGGTATCTGCACTTATTGGGTTTAAAAAAATAATAATGTATTTTTAAATGGATTCAAAGCCTGAGTTTTATATTAATATTTTCCCCATCAATAGAATTCAGGTTTGTTATAAAGTCACTTAATTGTACAGCTATCAAAGATGTGCATGCATTCCTGTTTAATTTTTTTTCTCCCTCCAGGGTATTTAAAATTGATGAACTGAAAACCGACGTAGATAATCACTTGGCAATGCTGGAGAAAAGAGTTGAATGTGAGTATTTTTATTTTTAAAAAAACATAGGCAATTGAAACCTGGAATTAATTTTGTGTCAGTTTGAGACGGTGCTGAGCCCCAGAGGTACAGATATATCTCATTAGGACCATTCCTCCTGCCTTTTATCTTTTGTGAGGCACAAAACTATAACGAAGAGGGAGGGGGTGAATTTACAAAATATAGAATTACTTGTTAAAGTAAAAGTCTCTATTCACATTTTGCATCTTTCTGTTACAAGGAATATCTGGAAAGAATTATATAGAGACCCACCTCCTGTAATTGCACCCAGTTTGTAAATCAATCCAATCCATTAAACTGACTGGAAAGTCCCCAGACCAGGTTTAGGCTCCTGTGCATGCTTGACAAATGTAGCAATCTATGACACCCATACATCCTCCTTGAATTATGCCTCCTCTACCTTCTTCTTCCTACTTATATTTTTTTTTGGGGGGGTGATGCTCTCAGGCTTCATTCTCATGCTGCTGCTCTCCCAGATATTAAAAGGGGAATGGGAGCTGTGCTCCTAAGACTGCCCATTTGCAGCACAAAAATGCATTTTGCTCAGTCCAGAATTGTTCATGCTTCTCCTCAACATACTGCTTTCAGTCCAGATTGATTCGCTACATCCTGCCACCCAGAAGGTTTATTTGATGCACATTTGAAAATTCTCCCTTTCATTAGGACATTCAGAAGGAAGTGGTGATTACAACATTGTTGAGCAGGTGTTATTATTGTACAGGCTGCTTTTGATCTAGATTTATTCTAGAACCTGCCATCTACAATGGTGGGTGCGGCTACTTGATACGTGTTTGAAAACCCTTCCGGTGGTTAGGTTACCCTCATCGTTTCCTCCCTGCACTTTCCCCCAGATGAATGCATAAGAAGCTGGTGGTTGCCATCTTGGTATACACTCAGCCATAATGCCATTGGTCAAGTGTGAATACACACAAACACCCCTATTGCTGGGACTTCTTACACCTGTTTTCACCTGTTATCAGCTGGGCACACTGTGGGGTAATAATGTAGATTCAATCTGTAACAACCTTTTATTTTTGGAACGAAACCAGTTTCTCAAGAAGCACTTCTCAGGGCAAAATAAAAATTAAAATGCAGTAGATCAAGATTGGTGGTTTGGGGCAACAATATAATCCTCCTGACTCCTACCTGCTTTTCATAGGCTGGCTACTTTCTGAAGCCTTCCCCCCAACCCCACCCCACAACTGCTGCTGAAACACCTATATATTTCCTTTGAAGTTCTTAGTGAACTGGTGGTAACCATTGGCATGCACACGAAAGCTTATACCCAGAACAAACTTAGTTGGTCTCTAAGGTGCTACTGGACAATTTTTTAATTTACTCCGGGTAAGTATTAGGTAGTCTATTACCCTGAATATTCAGGAGGAGGAGGAGAGAGAGGCAAACAGCAGAGACAGGTTTTCAACCTTATACATCTTGCTTGCCAGTGTCATTGTGGGAAGTAGGGGGACTAGATAATTATATGTACACAATGAGATAAGCAGACAGAACAGAGAGAGGGAGACTGGGGAAAGGGAGAAAGCTTCCTCAACAGTCTCCTGGTTGCTAAATGTGGCATAGTTCATAGCCTGGCAGATGGAACAAGGGTGGAGACAACAACAACAACCTTAAAACATCACTGCCACTGCCACTGCCCACCTGAATGTACAGCCAGAATGATACTGCAGCGTTTACTCAGGAGCAAGCCCTATTACACTCAGTGGGACTTACCTCTGAGTAGACATGGACTCAGATACATTCGTCACATTAATACGTTTTGAATGCGTTATAAGCATAGAAGACCAGATGGCGCCAGAGAGCAAAAGGGAGTTTGTATGGATTTTTACATAGGCTTTTTTTGTGTGTGTAATGATTTCTGACATATTTATAGCATTTTTAACCTGTGTCTAGATCCACCCATGTATAGGATTGCAGTTTACATTAACAAGTCACACAGTCTTGTGCCCACTAAGTCTCTGCCCACTAAGTTTATGTCTCTACTGTACTAGGAGTTGCACCAGACATCTTAGCCCCCTGAGGTATCAGAACATCTCAGCATCAGATTAATATCTGCTGTTCCATGAGCTAGCTTTCTTAAAAAATCAGGCCTCTCCTCAAATGTATAGTACACAAACAGTATATATATATGCCTGAGGGAACGCAGGCAGGTAATTGAAGAGATTAGTTTAGCACTATGAAAAGGAAAATCCTTTGAAAACATTTTGTTTACAAACACAGTGGAGACCACTGGGTGGTATTCAGCTAAGTTTTACTGAGAGTAATCCCACTGAAATGAATGAACCTAATTTAGTTGTTGCCATTAATTTAATGGGCCTGCTCTGTGTAAACCCTGGTTGAATACCACCCAATGTACCAAGAATAAAAGGTAAAGGGACCCCTGACCATTAGGTCCAGTCGTGGCTGACTCTGGGGTTGCAGCGCTCATCTCGCTTTATTGGCCAAGGGAGCTGGCGTACAGCTTCCGGGTCATGTGGCCAGCATGACTAAGCCGCTTCTGGCGAACCAGAGCAGCGCATGGAAACGCCATTTACCTTCCCACCGGAGTGGTACCTATTTATCTACTTGCACTTTGACGTGCTTTCGAACTGCTAGGTTGGCAGGAGCAGGGACCAAGCAACGGGAGCTCACCCCGTCACGGGGATTCGAACCGCCGACCTTCTGATCGGCAAGTCCTAGGCTCTGTGGTTTAACCCACAGCGCCAACTGCGTACCAAGAATAGGTTGATATATAACCTCTGTTCATTTCCATATAGTTTGCATAGGAGAATCCAGTGCAAGCACACCCAGCAGACAATTTTTCATACATACAGTCCTCTGCTACTGTTATTTACATGTGGAAAGGTATGATGGCTTAGCTCCCCAAAATGAGATTGTGGGTACTTTGGTGGTTCTGCTACTTTCCTGCACAGAGTAAAGCCATGGTTTGACCTAGAGATAAGGGCAAACAGGGCTGATGTTTCCCACAGTCTTTCACAACTTGCTCTTCTTTAGCGTTCCTCTTTAAAACTGGGGGTGAGTGAAATAAGTTTCACTTCATTAAAGAGGTAATAGTAATTCCTGAAAGCAGAGGATTTATGAAGAATGAACTGACATACTGATGGCAAACTTGGCTTGATAGCAATCAAGTTTGATTTCAATCAAGCCTGACTCATTAAGACATGTTTTCCTTTTTACACACTACCATTTCGCATTTCCTTTCTTCATTCACCTATTCAAATGCAGCAATCACATTTGCATGTATTATGGAAGCTTCTTCTTTTCAGACAAATATGAAAGCTTAATGTCACCCCTGGGGCAATTCCACTTGACGTGCATTACACAACACATGGGAGGAGCTCAGGAGGATATTTGCCTTTTTATTAGTAGTAGTAGTAGTAGTAGTACCGTATTTTTCGCCCTATAGGGCGCACCGGCCCATAGGGCACACTTATTTTGGGGGGGGATTATTTCCCCCCCCCAAGCCCCAAAGAGCAAAGAAGCCATGACAGCGAGCAGGATGGATTCCACTAGCTGTCCTGTCTTCGTTTTTAGCCTCGGGGCTGGGGGTCCGGGAGCGATGGCGAGGTTGCGCTCAACCTCGCCGTCGCTCCCGGAGCTTGCAGGACTGGGGGCGGGGGAAGCCCGAGCTTCCCCCGACCCCAGCCCCCAGAACAGGCTGCTATCCGCAAGCCTTTAGAGCCCGGCAGGAACTCCCGCTGGGCTCTCCAGGCTTGCAGATATCTGCCCGAAGCCCAGGGCGCGCCCTGCTGCACTCCCCGGGTATCGGGCTGCAGGCTGCTGTCTGCAAGCCTTGGGAGCCCGACGGGAAGTCGTGCCGGGCTCCCAAGGCTTGTGGAGAGCTGCCCGAAGCCCAGGGTGCGCCCCGCTGCACTCCCCGGGTTTCGGGCTGCAGGCTGCTGTCCGCAAGCCTTGGGAGCCCGGCGGGAACTCCCGCAAGGCTCCCAAGGCTTGCGGATAGCTTCCTGAAGCCTGCATTCGCCCCATAGGACGCACACACATTTCCCCTTCATTTTTGGAGGGGAAAAAGTGCATCCTATAGGGCGAAAAATACGGTAGTTTATTAATGCTTGGTCCATAGGCAATTCACACATAAGGTAGATGGGTACAGTACGAAAACCAGTAGTATAAAATACTGCATAACATGTCATTACTACCTAGAATCATATATAAAACCGACATCTTGTGTTCCACAACACATGGGAGTAGGAGGATATTGTCCATTTTATTATGACTAAATGAATCCCAATTAAACAATTATAAGTTTCCTAGGTACCAGCTTGAGCACAGCAAGCAAGCAGGCTGTGAAATTATCCTACTGAGTATGGTGTACACTTAATGCAGTGCCATTTTTTTAAAGTCCTTAAGCGACCAGATAGCAGAAAAAAGCCACTTATCTATTCAGATTGTATTAAGCTTTCAAGGCTACATGAAATGCATTTCTTGCCACCTGGACACATAACAAGTCAAACTTTTTGCCCTGTGCCATACATATACAGGAACAGGATTTCCTGTGCTGTTTTCAAACCCTGCTTGATATTTAAAGAACAGCATCATATTTTCAAGTAATTATCAAGAACTGAAATTACTTCCCAGTTCCCAGATTAGGTTATGAATCTCACAGCTTCCTCTTTCATGTCACCTGTTCATTTAATAGGGTGCTTTAAGCCCAGCAAAGCACGTTTGTCACAATACAATTACACCTCTTCTTATTGTTAACATATCATTGCAATAGCTTTGTCAGGCACTTCCATCTATTCATGTTCTGAGAGAGACTCTGAAAAACAGCAAGACAGCTAAATATTGCTGTGCGCTGCTCACAATAGGTACCATGACTGTGAGTTTTTTGGGGGGCTCTCCTAAAATCTTGCCAGTTTTAATGATTTATGATGTTTGCCGTACATGCCTGCAAAGGAACAGGTTTCGGACAGAAGGACCATTGAGTCACTGGCAAACACCGCCGCTCGGTGCCTTTTGAAAAATCTGCACAGTTACTGAAATGAGATCCTTCGGGTTTCTCCATGGTAACCCCCCTGTTGTTTCACTTTGTTGACAGTGGAAGGACTGAAAGTAGCGGAGATTGAAAAGTGTAAGAGTGATATTAAAAAGATGAGGGATGAAATGGCAGCGAGAAGCACCAGGTAAGTTCTGCTTTTCTTTTCTTTTTCTTTCTTCTTTGAGGAAAACAGCCTCCTCAGAGAGATTCCTGCGTTAAGACTCTTCCAGTAATCCTAAGAAAGCTTACTTGGAAGTAAATCACATTGAGTTCAGTGAGGTTTACTCTCCCAGGTAAGTATGAATAGAATTGCAGCCTAATAAACAAATTTGTAATGCTTGATGGTCTGGGGTTGTTGTTGTTGTTTTTAAAAAGCTGTATAGTCCAACAGCATGTAGTATTATGAGTTGCAGGGGGAGGTAGCCTGTATGTAAGATCCTTCTAATTCAGGGGTAGGCAACCTAAGGCCCATGGGCTGGATGCGGTCCAATCGCCTTCTAAATCCGGCCCGTGGACAGTCCAGGAACCAGCATGTTTTTACATGAGTAGATTGTGTCCTTTTATTTAAAATGCATCTCTGGGTTATTTGTGGGGCCTGCCTGGTGTTTTTACATGAGTAGAATGTGTGCTTTTATTTAAAATGCATCTCTTTTGTGGGGCATAGGAATTTGTTCATTTTTTTCTTCAAAATACAGTCCAGCCCACCACATGGTCTGAGGGATGGTGGACCGGCCCACGACTGAAAAAAGGTTGCTGACCCCTGTTCTAATTCCTAGATCCAGCATGGATTCCATTGCTGGAATAGCCAGGCCAGCCTAGTAATGGCCTGCTATGTATGAGTCATTAAGGGAACAAAGGTAGTGTCTGTGTGCTGGAGAACAATTGGGTGGGCCTCCCTCTCTCAACTGTCTGTTTGTTAGAAAGACAAACAGCCAGAGTGGAGAGTTGAGTGAAGTGAGCTAGAAGCTGGATGAAAAAGCTGCAGGCTGGGAAGTCAGAGAAAGAGAGGCATGGCTGATTTCTCCTGGAATCCAAGGCTGTGGCTATTGAAGAAGCAAGACCTTCTTGGGATGTTAATTCTGTGAGCCCCTCCATCGTCGGCTCAGGTTGTATATATGTTTAAATAAACCATTTATCAAAGAGATACTGCAGTCTCTGCTGTGCCTCATTTCTAAAAGGAACCACGGGACCTGGATAAGTGCCAGGAACCCCTGGAATCTCCCACAACTCGGAGATTGATGGGTGGTGTGCAACAATACATATATCTGAATGATACTTGTTTTATTTAAACAGACATGGCGACTTAATGGTTAAACGAGCTCATGCCAGATGACTGGAAAAATAACTCTCATAGAGAGATTAACATCTTGGTTTCCCTATGTTTACCCATCCGGTAATAAAGAATTCTGGCCTTAGTTTTATGCGTAGAACAAAAACTTATTCTGCCAAGAAAAACATTTGTTTGGTAAAGAGGCTCTCTTATTTTAAACAGACCTGCTCAGATATGAAATGTAATCTGAGGAAATATCACAATATACACACAGCAACTCCTCTTGTTATGGTCTTGTACTATGCAAGGATGTGCATGCTATATTTTAACCCCAGAAGGAGGTATTTCCTTTTCAGCGGAAGAAGCTAGTCTGCTAATCTGATGCGCTACCAAGTTTGGAGCTGCAATTAAAACAGAAGCAGAAGCAATCATAGCTTGTAATGGCAGGCCGCAGCAGCTGGTACATTTCGGCTTCGCTGTCGCTGACACATCAGAGCAAGCATGTCGACAGCCAATACATGATTAAAGTTGTTTAAGAAAAGAAGATAGAAGCAGTTCAGAAGGCTGGTGCTGCTGGGCAAAGGCACGGCAGCTTTGCAAACTTCAGCCTGCTTAACTGTCCAAGCTTCCCCTAGGAAAACCTGGGAATTATAGTGCTGTGATGTGGTCCATGCTCACAATGCAGAGGGTGCATAAGGTGCTTAAGGAGTTCTTGATGTCATCATTGATGCAGGCGGCTTTTGCTAAAGTGTTACTTGTTTATATCTCACTATAGAGCTGGACTGGACAATTTCAGTTTCTCTCGCTTTCTTACTTCTCCAATCTTGAGAAGCAATATTTCTGCAGCAATATGCCTTTTTCTATCATTTTAAAAAAATATATATCCTCACAAAAATCCATCAGCGTTTTGGTGCAGATTTATTTATAAACACGTCTAATATACATAGATTTTTGCAAACAGCTTTTACAGATATAATGCATTTGTGTATGCTACTTTTACGAATTTATGCATTTTTATGTGCACTTTCCCCTAATAAGTGCATGTTTGTACATTTTGGTTGGAGAATGATGTCATAAAATTTGGAGAAATGCGAATTTTGAAGGGCAACTGTGTTTTGGTTCACATATTGGTTTGAGAAGTGCAAATTAGCTACTGTCTCATTCAAATGCAAATAAAATTATATTTCTCTCTCATCCCTACTAAAGAGGTACAACATGCGTGTGTTTGATCTGGAGAAGAAGTCTTCAGTTTTCCCCTTTTGGACACTGACTTTTTCTCACCACCTGTTTTCTCCCTTGTTGCTTTTTTCCCAGAAAGAAAGAAAGTAATAATGAAGTTGCGTCTATTGTTAATATTGTCTACTACAGTGGTACCTCGCGTTAAGTACTTAATTCATTCCGGAGGTCCGTTCTTAACCTGAAATTGTTCTTAACCTGAGGCACCACTTTAGCTAATGGGGCCTCCTGCTGCCGCCGGGCCGCCGGAGCCCAATTTCTGTTCTTATCCTGAAGCAAAGTTCTTAACCTGAAGCACTATTTCTGGGTTAGCGGAGTGTGTAACCGGAAGCATATGTAACCTGAAGCGTATGTAACCCGAGGTACCACCGTAATTCCTTTTAGCAGAAGCTAAACTCGACTACTCTAGAATTCTAAAACCTGGCTACTTCATGATTCCACCTCAAAGTTCCCCTAACCCTTCTTCCTCCACAACTTCTTTTATTTGCATCAATATTTCCAGGGCTTACACAGTTGAGTCACTTACATTTTGCATTTATTAAATAAAAAAGCCTGTAATTCTGAGAGGCCCCAAAGTACAAGCAGCGTGCCTCCTGAAATTTACTGACAGGATGCAGGACGGGGGGGGGGGGGGGAGAGAGAGAAGCGAGAGAGATGAAATAAGCAGATCCATGAGGCATCTTGAGGCAGCCACATCTGAGGGGCCCCTCTGTGGGAACACCCACCCACCTACCCATACCACTGCTGCCAATGAAGCGAGGAGAAGCCGCAGTGGCGGCTTCCGGGTTCCAGCAAGATATTGTGAGAGGCCTCCACAAGCTCTCGCTGGGGTCTCATGAGATCTTGCTGGAAGCTGGAAGCAGAAGGCACACAATCCCGGTAGGAGAGGTTTCAGGTGACAAAAGGGGATGAGCTGCCCCTAGTAATGAGAAAAGAACAGTGTCAGGATCATTGAGCATCTGTTGAGGCCTACACTCTAGCAACCCCTGGAGCTCTCTGCTACTCTCTCCTCCTCCTTGTTGTCACTGCCTTTTAACCTGCCTTCTCTGAGAAAGTGAGCAGCGAGTGGTGGAAGAAAGAGTGCAGCAGCTTGCCTTGCCTTGCCTTCTCTGTCTAGGTGCAGGTTGGACTCAAAGGGAGAGGGGATCTGGACGGGCAGGGGCAACACCAGAAGGTATGAGCATCTTGTACATGGACCCCACAGAATCTGACCCCACACTGGACAATACGTGGAGAAAAGAGGTCACTAAGTGACTGAAAAGTGAACATAGGATATAAGAGAGGCTGTACCACAGGAAAAAGCAAGGCGGCTGCTAGACTGATCCAGAAAATGAGTCTTTTGCTAGCCTAAAACTGAGGGCCATCCTTTCCCCTTTCATTCAAAACACCGAATCAATAGCCACAGGTTTGGCATTTTACCCAGAACTTAAATCTAGCTGGTTGTTCTAAGTAGCTAGAAAAAGAGCCTTGCTTTGCAAAGATACACATGATTGCAGCTGATGTTCCTTCACCCCTAATTATTACTTGTCAAGTGGAGCATAATTTCAGCTCAGATTCTACTGGTTCAACTTGTACTCCACCAACTTTCTTGAAGCTTTGAGAGGATGAATAAGCCAAAGTGCACACATTTGTCATACAGTATGTTCGCTTCCTCAATTGAAGCAATAAAACCTGTTTCCATTTTCACAATCCAGATTTCAAGCCTGGTTCTGAGGTGTTTAAATGGGCACATCTTGGGGATCTGGTCTGACAATGGATAGCACATAACGCCTCCCCCAAATTGGCCACTTCTGAGTATTTCTATAATCCACTGGGCCTTTCGCTTAAGAAAAGAAAAAATGATGCTGCGTCTGACAGCACGTATAATTTTGCTTTCAGGAAAAGGTGTTAGCCTATGTCCCTCTAAACGGCATTCACTTTCACACTCCATCTTTTCTTTTCTTCCTATTTCACAAAGATCAGTGTAAAACACTGGCCATATTCTCCTCTCACCTCCCCACCTTCACAGTTAAGACCACATTCTTAAAACATCACAGCTTCTAAAGTTTGCACTGTATCCCACCCACTGCCATTTGCAGCCTAAGCAGATGGCTTTTGCATTAGCTGGGCCTGAGACATCGCAACAAACCTTGTCAGTATACTCCAGATTGCTGGGGGCCTTTCATTTATTCCGTTGCATGAAAGGAAAAGGATGTGCTCTGTGTGTGTGGCATTCGTCCTGAAGGAAGACCTCCGTAGAATTCAGTGATTAAAATTACAAGTAGCTTTGAGTTTCCTAGGCAACGTGGCTCCAGCTGTTTGAAGTGAGGGCATAAGCCAATGTTGACTTACTGCAGAAGGGTCTTGATCCTTGAGTCGCTAAGCAAATACTCGTCTCAAGAGTTGGACTGAAAGACTTCCGATACACAATGCTGAGGATTCATTTTTCTGCTTTGAATTCTCTTGTTCCAATGCTCTCTCTGTTTTCTTTAATACATCTGCGCTCTAATTGGGGAAGGAAGAGAAATATGATTCAGTTTGCATTTAAAGGTGAACCTAATTCACTATGTTTGAAACAATATTCAAACCAAAACACAGCCATCCTTTGGATTCTATACTTCTCCAAATTTTGCATTGCAGTTCTCCAGCCAAAAATGCATATATGCATATACTAGGGTAAAGTTCGTTTTTTTAAAAAAATATGATTACTTTAAAGGGCATATGATTCATATATTTGTGTAAATAGCATACAAAATGCATTACATTGGGGGAAAGTGCTTTGCATACATGAGCATATTAATGCAAAATTGCATACAAAAACATATATATTAGAAGAAATTCACACTGAAATCCTGAGATTCTCATGAGGACTTAAAAAAGAAAGTGATGTGGAAAAATGAGAAACTTTGAGAAACTGAAATTGGCAGTTGTCTCCATGCCTAGCCCTAACCAACAGAAGATGACAAAGTTGCCAACTGCCCACTAGGTTCTAATCTGACCAACAGGCCTAGTATGCCTTCAAGGGGAACATGACAAGCAGAAATTTGAGTGTAGATCTCTCTCTCCCTCAGGTTTGAGATGTGGTGATTTGGAAAGCTGTGCCTTATAGAATTTCAGCCTCATAATTCAGCAAAAAGTCAGGAAACCCAGGGAACAAATGATATTACTCTTACTTTTCATTCCAGTAGGCTAAATTTCTGCCACTTAAAAGTTAAAGAGGTTTCTACACACACAGCACATCTCTGTGTCCTCTATCTGGACTTGCAAGAGGCATTATCAAAGTTCAGAGATACTGTACATTCCTGCCAGGCAAAAGCACCATGAGGACCTGGAGCAGGGCTGGTGAGGGGTGTGGCCTAAGGGGAAGGGGTCTGGCCTGGGAAAAATTCAAAGGGCTAGAGACCTGTACAGTGGTACCTCTGGTTGTGAACGGGATCCGTTCCAGAGCCCCGTTCACAACCTGAGAGGAACGCAATCTGTGTCTGCGCGTGCGCGGGTTGCAATTTGCGCAGGACGTCATTTTTAGCATCTGTGCATGCGTGAGTGGCGAAACCCGGAGGTAACCCATTCCGTTACTTCCGTGTCGCTGTGGGACGCAACCTGAAAAGATTAAACCTGAAGCGTCTTTAACTCAAGGTATGACTGTACTGTCACATTTGGCCCCTTGACCTGAGACTCCTCATTGTTATATTAGGGAATAAGTCCTACTGAACTCAGTCAAACTTATTTTTGAGTAGAAGTGCATAGGTTTGTGCAGCATGCGCTATAATGTAAGTATACATCCACTGGTGGAGGAATGGGGGGGAGCGCACCGCCCACAGCGGCACAATCCCGGTAGGGTGCCATCGTGGCTGTCCCCCCATGCTGGGCGTCACACCCCCGTAGGTAACGCGCCACGCCCCCAGGATGCACGCCACGCCCCCGCCTGCACTCCACCCCTCCCCCCCCCTTGAAGTTCCGCCACTGTATGAAAGGGGCTCCATTTCTCCTGCCGCTTCACTGAAGGGGCGCTGAGCAGAGAGAGGGAGAAATTTTTTTTCCTGTTCTCCCCCTCCTATGTTCTGGTGCGTCCTATGGTCCAGTGCGTCCTATAGAGCAAAAAATACAGCATACAGCACATCTCTTGATTTTTGTGGTATTTTAGGGTTTTGTTTTTTCACATTAAAAAACGGGTTCCTGCGTGCTCAGCGTGGGTTGACCATGTTTTTCCTGTGACGCTTAAAGGACATTTTCATGTCTGAAAATACCTGGTAGAAACATCTCCCAAGAGTTTTGATCCCTTATGAATGGATGTGCAAATTCCCTTCAAATACAACATTACAGGAGAAGACACGGTTGATTTAGAGTTTCAGTGTAATGTGCGGAAATGGCCAGCTTTCTCTAGATTGTGTTCCATGGTTTCAAATTCAGTATAATAGTATTTTGCACGGCTGCAGCATTTCTGATTTTGCTTTGTGGATCCAAAGGTGAAAATCGTTTGGTCGGTTGGTACTGAAAATCAGTTTATTCATATTTGCTTGGAAAAATATATACAAAAGGTAAAGAGGGCTGGATTTTGTTTTCTTACACAGGACCAACTGCCCCTGTAAATACAGCTTCCTGGATGAGAGCAAGAGGCTGGTGCCCCGAAGGGATGTTCCATCCTATCCCAAGGTACACTGCAGCACATAAGAATTCAAAAATCTGTTTTACAGAGCAGATAATCACGTTAGTTAAAAAATCCTTTCCATCCCTCGTTTATTATGAAAACATTTTCTACTCAAATGCTACCTAGATTTTCTCCATAAAATCTCATATTAAAGTTTCCATTTACTTTGCTACAGGTGATGGTTAGATTCCATTGCTCCCATGCTGATATAAAATATTTAAATCAACAAATTATTATTCTTCTATTATTATTATTATTATTATTATTATTATTTATTAAATTTGTATACTGCCTTTCATTCAAAGATTTTAGGGCCGTTTGCGGCATCAAATGCAGAATAAAACATAACAAAAACAAAACTTTCCCATCACCCCCTCCCACAAACACTCTTAAAGGGACAAATCAATTACAAGTCACATATCTATGAAAGATAGTCCCCTGATTTATTTATTTTTTTAAAAAAAATATGTTGAGTTCCTATTCTAAGTAGTATGTTTGGGCTGATAGATGCTCAAAGGGGTACGTTTCACCATACTTTGAAGTGCTAAGGAGACACACACTTGCTATTTTATTTTAATAACTGAGGCACTTGAAAGACACATTTAGCATCACATCTCGCTTGGCCCTAATGCTATCTTTCTCAAGCTCCTTGTAGTTACTTCATGGTGAGGGGAAGGACCAAGGGTGCAGTGTCGGTTGTCGGTGCCTAGGGTGGGTGTGGATGCATACGGTTTGTGTGCTGGGGGGGGGGGAGCCCAACCCTCACTGCCATCAGAGCGACCCCACCCCCACTGGAGCAAAGTGGGGTCATACTGAGCCGCCTGTGCAGAGGGAGAGGCTGCCCAGCTGATACAGCCCTTAGTGGATGGAGATGAGGCCTGGACCAGGCTGTGCTAGGACATCTGGTTCATGCCCTCCACAAAAATTGTGCACCTGCAACCATAGTCCCCCTGTGCGCCCCCCCCCCCACTAAGCCCCTGGGACAGACAGTGCAAAACCTCAAAGACACTGTTATAATTCATATATTTGGGGGTTGTTGCCTGGACTACACCCTCAGTTAGCTCTGGTTCAAGTGAAATCCTATACAGAGGGTAGGTTAGTTACTTACTTATTGAATTTATTGAGCTGAGTCATGAAGATGGGTGACTGACAAGAGAAAATATGAAGCGGGTGTTGTTGAGAATCGTATTTCATAACAATGCCTCATTTTCTCTGCAGTACATGCTTTCTCAGGAGACAATAGAAGCTCTTCGGAAACCAACCTTTGACGTCTGGCTATGGGAGCCCAATGAGGTAATGCTGCCCCATGGAGACAGATTCCTGGTCCCTCCTTTCTGTGGGATGTTTGTTCTGTGGGACTCTTAGGAGCATTTGAGAATTGGAACCTAGACATGGTTGTGTTACAGAAACCAGAATGAAAATGTACAGATAAATACAAAGTGCTCTTCAAAGAAATGAAAACTCTAAGAAGGCTTATTCTATAAATAAATGCAACCAAAAAAATGCTAAGTACTGGAACTAATCAGAGCAGCGGAGCATGTTAAAAGTACCATAATGTGAGTAGACACCTACTGTATCTCAAAACCAGGTCCATTCACATAATAAACAATAGGTAAAGCAGGAATTTCTCCAGACAGCAGATAAGCAAAAAGCACAATTTACTAATCAGATCAGTATTTTTTTACCTTAATGCGGTTCAACTAAGAATTCTATAACAGAGGTCTTTCCCATTATCGTTTGTACTTTGAAGTATACTTGGTTTTGAGAATGTCTTTTTACCCAAAAGCCTTTCTGTAGCTAATTATGGACTACAAAAAAGTGACTCACTTTGCAAATGAAAGGGGAAATCTGATTTGTACTAATTTGAATAAAAAGTTGGGTTCAGGCAATCACTGAAAATGAAAAGTCTGTATATTATTTTCATTGTATTTTATTTTTAAGGCTTGCTAGATTAGTGTCATTTGCCTTATTTGTTGTTGGGTTTCTAACCAGAATGACTCTGTAATGAATTTACAAAAGGAGCTATTCTAGCTAATCATCAGAATGCAAACAACTCATGGAAAAGTGGAATGTGCACCATATTTTCATTTTTAAGATCTGCAAAACTGATGTAGCAGCTTCATCATATTTGTTCATGTCTTTATAATTGCCATGAGTTTGCACGAGGATCAGTTTGCTATGACAATTCTCCTGTGACAATTTTAGTTTAACAAAGCTGTCTCTCTTTTTTATGACATCTTTTCGAAAATAGTTGGGGGAGGGGACAAACAGAAAACAGAAAAAAATATTTTCCTAGATTGCCTTATTGGTGGTACAGACAGCAAATCACATAATTAGATACAAGTTGCTAGTAACACAACATATGTCATCTTTATGCTCAGGAGCAATTGCATAAACCATTATGTGAACAGTGTCACAGCCTCATTTGGATAGGTTCACCTTTTTGTTTATTTGAAGTTTATATGAGGTGTTTCAATTCACGTTACCACTTTCCCAGGTTTGTGTGGTGCATTTTTAATAGTGTTATAAATCACAGCCCTGTTGCATCATTACAATGCAAAGCAAGAACACAACAGCCTTCCGTAAAGTGTCTTTAGAATTAGCCCTTTGCATTCTACCTCCCTCTATAGCTCTCCTAATGTGGCATGTTAAAGGACAAAAATATAGTAGTGTTGCCTGTGATGGACTGCAGGGAAGGAGATGTACTTTCAGCTCAAATGCTGGCTCACCAGAATTCAGCACTGGAAAGAAAGAAAGACATGGCCTATGTTTGTTGTCTTAATATAGTTTTTTCCTTGTGTATGTGCTGGTGTGTGCAGCTACACAGCTATGTTTGCTGCATGGAGAATGCAAGGTTAAAGAAGCTACAGGAAGACATCCAAGTTTTAGGCAAGGCTTGGCTTAGAATGCTTGTTTCCAACTGCTATTATCTCTGCTGCTGTTCTTCTTTGCACTTAGAGCAGTTGCGGAGGGACGCGGGTGGCACTGTGGGTTAAACCACAGAGCCTAGGACTTGCCAATCAGAAGGTCGACAGTTCGAATCCCCGCAACGGGGTGAGCTCCCGTTGCTTGGTCCCTGCTCCTGCCAACCTAGCAGTTTGAAAGCACGTCAAAGTGCAAGTAGATAAATAGGTACCACTCCGGCGGGAAGGTAAACGGCGTTTCCGTGTGCTGCTCTGATTCGCCAGAAGTGGCTTAGTCATGCTGGCCCTATGACCCGAAAGCTGTACGCTGGCTGCCTCGGCCAATAAAGCGAGATGAGCGCCACAACCCCAGAGTCGGCCACAACTGGACCTAATGGTCAGGGGTCCCTTTACCTTTACCTTAGAGAACCTTTCGCCCTCCAGACGTTGCTGACCTGCAACTCTCCTCAGCCCTAGCAAGCATGGGCAATGCCTCGGGATGGTGGGAGTTGTAGTTCAGCAATATCTGGAGGCCCAAAGGTTCCCCTCACCTGACTTACTGAGTGTGATTCAAAGTCTTCATAGAATTTGCCATGGACTAATGAGCAAGATTACTTATAGGTTTTTATTTCATGCAGCAAGTGATTGGGTTGGACATTTTGGTCCTTCGGTCACAAATGAAGCTAAAGTAGGAATTGCTCAGTCCGCAGAACATGAGACTCTTAATCTCAAGGTTGTGGGTTCTGCCGTGTTGGGCAAAAGATTTCTGCATTGCAGGGGGTTAGACAAGTTGACTTTCATGGTCCCTTCCATATGTACAATTCTATTATTCTCTTCCATTAAAAATAAGAAATAGTCATGCCTCAGTTTTTTATAGATATGGGTTTGTATCCTCTGTGATGGTTAGATTTCATTCCTAAGGGCTTTGGGTGAACAATGTATCGTTATGTTTTTAAACCTCAGTTTTTGGCCTCAGAGATAATGACTTGTTCATCTAGATTACCCAATGAATTCACAAATTAAGCATCCCATTTCTAAATTCAGCATTCTAGATGAATTCAGCAGTGCTTTTAAGTCACAGACTTAAGTGTCTGATGTGTTAGTGATGTACACTAGTGAAAATAATGTAATAATAGGAGAATTCTTTCTTTTCTTCTCCAGATGCTGAGTTGTTTAGAACATATGTATCATGATTTAGGATTAGTGAAAGACTTTAACATCAACCCTATCACATTGAAGCGATGGCTGGTAAGATTTAAAGAGCAACTTGTATGGGATTTAAAATATTTGTGGTTTTTTTAAAAAATGGGCATATAGTCTCATATATTTAAAGATTTTTTAAAAATGTGTAAGCAGAGTATAATGAACACTTGTCCAACACATAAAGTATATAGAATACATATTATTCTTAGAACAAAAGGATTGCCATTCTGACACCATCCAATACTGACATCAGTCAATCCCTTCTTTAAACAAAAAACTTAAATAAGCAACCCAATCAACAGTTGTATCCAAATTAAAATGCCTGGTGTCAAGTGGCAACATTTATTATTAGTATCAACAATAATAACAACAAGAAGAAGCTTATCATCAAAAGTATGACTTGTTTATCTGAAAAGTCTCATATGCCATCAATTTGCATCACTTTTGCTTTGAGCTGTATCCATTAATTAAACTTAGCTTGCATTCGCAACAACATCCAAATGAGCTGAAAAATCATTCAACAATTATACTACCTAATGAGCAACTTTATAAAGATAAAAAAATAATACCTGCCTGCGCCCTGTCTCACCAGAGTGGTGCATGCTCTGGTTCTCTCTCGCTTGGACTACTGCAGTGCGCTCTATGTGGGGCTACCTTTGAAGGTGACTCAGAAAGTACAACTAATCCAGAATGCGGCAGCTAGACTGGTGACTGGGAGTGGCTGCTGAGACCATATAATGCCGGTCCTGAAAGACCTACATTGGCTCCCAGTACGTTCCCGAGCACAATTCAAAGTGTTGGTGCTGACCTTTAAAGCAGTAAACAGCCTCGGTCCAGTATACCTGAAGGAGCGTCTCCACCCCCATTGTTCTGTAACCAATAAAGTTGTGGCCTAAATTCACCCATTAACCTAAAATACTGGTGCTGTCCATGTGTCTCATTATTCAGAAAATGGGGGAGGGCTTGGGGCCTTGACACACAATGTCATGGAAAGGAACAAAACGGGTGCACAACTTGGTATTTACATCAATATTTTAACTCTTTACCTACATGGTGGAGGTCACAGTGCCAATGGGAGGGGGAGTGTCCAAAACTGAGAAAAACAAAAAAGTGGGCACAGCAGCAACAGGGGAGAGGGGAGAAGAAGAAATAAGAGGAAGAGTCAACCTTCTCCTTATTTCTGCAGGGCCCAGTTACCTTATTAGCATGGCATGGGCTTGTAAAGCACAGATTCCAAGGGGCTATAATTATAGCATCAAAGTGTTGGTTGGGAGGATTAAATGCCAAATGCTTGTTTTCCTTATAAATTTCTCCCTTTTTGTTTTAGCTGTGTATTCATGACAATTACAGAAACAATCCATTCCATAATTTTCGACATTGCTTCTGCGTTACCCAGATGATGTACAGCATGATCTCTCTCTGCAGTCTCCAGGTGTGTCTTTCTCTGGCTGCATTGGCTTTCTCTCTCTCTAGTCCTCCCCACACACACATTGTGAAATCAATAGTCTTCTACCTGTAATAATGTATTTTATCCAGAAGTGATGGTTGTTGATTATTGAAAGACATGTAGTTGTGCCAGGGAAGCCACCATTTTTAATCTGTTGGCATTTGAAAGGAGAACCAAAGGGTGAATGAAATTAGTTGGGATAGCTTGGTAGGTAGAGCATGGGACTCTTAATTTCAGGGTCATGGGTTCGAGCCCCACTTTGGGCAAAAGATTCCTGCATTGCAGGGGGTTGGACCAGATGGTCTTCATGGTCCCTTCCACCCTACAATTCTATGAACTGAAACATAGAAATCTTGGCAAGTGCAGGAGTTCCTGAATATGTAAACCTGGAATGCTCCATGAGAGGTTGTAGGCCCACAGCATAATTCTGATTGGGCTCCACACCTTACTGAAGCTCCCACGAGGTTTGAAATACATTTAACTCAGTGGTTCCCAACCTTGTTTTGGCCATGCCCCACCTAAGCATCTCTAAAATCCTGATTCCCAGCCCCTGTGAACTCCTATTCAGGTGTGGGAAGCCTAAAAGGTCATTTGCTGTCATTCTCAAATCGCCCCGCTTAAAAATCAAATTGGCCCCCTGTGGGGTGTGTGCCCCACCTTGGGAACCACAGATTTAACTAGATGATACCCCAAATACATGATTGCATTGTATGTTTTGAGAGAGAGAGAGAGAGAGAGAGAGAGATATTTTTAAAATGGCAGCAGTGGTGGACCCTGATCCAGATCAGAACCATGGCAAGGGAGAGGGGGATTAACTCCTGCTCTTTGCCATTTTCCCCAATGAACACCGTCCCCTAGCTGCTGCTTGTGCCCGTAGTTGTTAACTCCCAAGGCAAATAGCATAATCAATCCCATTGCACTGTCCAACTCAGAATCAGGGCTCCCTGCAGCTGCTTTTTAAAAATGACAATACTATATGGCATATTTAACTTATCTATCTTGGCTTCCTCTTCCATCCAGCTTCAGTGTGGACAAAGTGCCTTAACTTCTTCTTGCACCTAAGTCGGAGGAAGGGCTACCAAGGCGGTACTTCTGCCCTTGCTGAAGTTGGTAGGAAGGTAAAGGCAAGGAACTTTGGCCTTCATGTTGTCCTCCCCTGTACAGCAAAACTGGCAATGGTGTCTAGCTAGTGACGATCCAAACCTGAACAGCTTGATTGTGGGTGGTTTTTCCCCTCCCTGCCTAGTTAGACACAATATTAGGAAACTGATCCTTGCGAATAAAAGCAATATTTGGGTTCTTACCTCTGCTGGGTGGAGGTCAAATTTTCATAAACAGATTAAGTGGCCTATAATCAAGACAACCAACAGCAGTCTGTGGCTAAAATCAACCGGCATTATTTATTCAAGTAGGCCCTGGTTGTTATCCCAAGCAAAGAATAGACCCTAAGCCTTTATTCTTCACACTTCTCTTCCAAGCTCAAGTAGTGCATGAAATGCCAAAATAAATAGCTTTTTATAATTAACACAAATCTTGGCATAATTTCTTACAAGATGAGAAACCTTTGACTTTAAATTAAATTTATCCACTGTTGTGCAAACTCCAGTTTCTCTATTCCATCCTGTTGTTAATTATGCATCAAAGGCAAGGTTGAAGACTTCACTGTTGTTGTCATTATAGATTTAGTCTAAGTTGCAATGCATGTAGTTATTAAACTGTGCCCTGAACCCTAGTTAGAACCGCACATTTTAAAATGTTAGATATGATTTCTTTATTATAAAAGCTGTTTGAATTTATGAAGCTGCATTTTCTTCTTCTTCCTGCTTAGGTAAAGCTTTCTCAAATGGATATCTTAATACTAATGACTGCATCAGTGTGTCATGATCTGGATCACCCAGGATATAACAACACGTATGTATCCTTTTTGTGTGTGAAAATAATGATTAGGAATGTAAAGTACTAGCAGGAAGTGCTGCCCAGGATAGTGTAATTTGTGAGTTTGGGAACATCACACACAAAAATTGGCAGAGTCACGCCATCTCTGCCCAACATCAAAACATCAATGAAGACTGCTGCCCCCACTTCATGAATTTGCATGCCATATTTGACAGTGATGTTATAAAGAGGCGGCTGAACCTATAAATAACAGGTGGACAGACAGACAAACCACTTTCCAAAATTTATAGTAGATATTCGGGCAAATGCAGACCAAAAATAAAACCTGAGAAATTTCTTTTGGCATGAACTTTCTTGAGATAGAGCTACCTTTGACATGCACCTGACAGGGTGGGCTCTGGATCAGAAAAGCTTATGCCACACATTGTTTATGTTTTTAAGGGTACCACACAAAACCCTTCAAGGTTTTGTTACAAGAACAGACTAACATGACTATCCCTTTGGAGTTTGTCTCATTTAAAAAAGGCTTCACTTGGATGTGGGAAAGGCTCTCACATCTAGGAGTTCAGAATCCCACAAATTTCAAATTGCCTTCAAACTACAGATGAGCACCTTCCCTTTGGGCTGCTTGTGCATTTCTTTCTATGTGTTTCCTCCACACCAGGTACCAAATTAATGCACGGACGGAGCTTGCTGTGCGCTACAATGACATTTCCCCGCTGGAGAACCATCACTGTGCTGTGGCTTTCCAGATCCTTGCGCAGCCAGAATGTAACATTTTGTCCCATGTTGATAAGGAGCAGTTCAAACGGATTAGGCAGGTATGGGTCAGAAAGATGTGGCAAAGTTCCTGTAAATGTGTATTATTGTCAGAGAGCATCAGCTATTATTAATGAAATGCCTGGCCTCAGTCATGAGACATGTGGAGAAAACGTAAAGTACAGTGGTACCTCAGGTTACGAACTTAATTTAAGCCGGAGGTCCATTCTCAACCTGAAACTGTTCTTAAACTGAGGTGCGCTTTCACTAATGGGACCTCCCGCTGCTGCCGTGCCACCGGCGCACGATTTCCTTTCTCATTCTGGGGCAAAGTTTGTAACCCAAGGTACTACTTCCAGGTTAGCAGAGTTTGTAACCCGAAGGTTTGTAATCCGAAGTGTTTGTAACCCGAGGTAGCACTGTATAAAGTGCCTATGAGCTTCTCCAGAGTGATTGCCACCATTCAAAACCTTTACAACCAGACCCCCAAAATCTATAATTAGGTCAAATTGATAGGCAGTCTTAAACCTCAGCATCTCTTATTTTAGAAATTAAGCATTGGTTGTGGTTTGAGAAAATAAGCCAAACCTGGTGAAATAAGCACCTGCCATATCATGGTCACAAACTGCTCTTTTATATTGTGGTCTTCTGGTGTTCTTGTTTTGATTCTTTTAAAAAAATGTACTTATAACTTTCTGTAAAGCTCTGAGAACCTGTTGAAGGTCAGGATATAAATAAAATAAAGGACGCAGGTAGCACTGCGGTCTAAATCACTGAACCTCTTTGGCTTGCCGATTGGAAGGTCATCAGTTCGAATTTGCGCGACAGGGTGAGATCCCATTGCTTTCTCCCAGCTTCTACCAACCTAGGCGTTTGAAAGCAAACCAGTGCAAGTAGATAAATAGGTACCACTGCAGCGGGAAGGTAAACGGCGTTTCCATGCACTCTGGTTTCTGTCACAGTGTCCTGTTACGGTAGAAGCAGTTTAGTCATGCTGGCCACATGACCCAGAAAGCTGTCTGTGGACAAACACCAGCTCCCTTGGCCTGAAAGCGAGATGAGCGCCACACCCCATAATTGCCTTTGACTGGACTCAGCTGTCCAGGGGTCTTTTACCTTTTTTCTATAAATAAAATAAATGTATTTCCCCACCAATTTGAATATCGCATGTGCCTTGATCAAATTGCCTAAGAACACTGATACATTTTTTCAGTGTTGCAGCTCTTGGTTTTAAACACCAAATGTTTTCATTTTTGTAAAAGCAACCTTGGGGACTCCCAATTCTGAATCAGGGGCATAGTAAGGAAGGTCATATCTTTCCCTCCTTGCACCTTGGCCCCAGTCTAGAACACACACAGTAGCTATTAGCTATGGGGAAGGAAACTTAAAAGCTTGACAAATTAAGCCCACAGGTTTCCCATTGTGTGGCTAAGAGCAGTTCTACGGAGCATCTGAACTGAGGCTTCTCAGTGTGCCTCTCCTTTCCAAAAGAAAAAACAAATGTGCAGCTTGGTTTTTATCTCTAGAATTTTCTCCTGCTCCCCAGCATCTTCGTAGAGTCCCAAAAAAAGTGTGAGAACTTGGTACAAAACTGTTAAATGGGTAAATTGTTGGAGTGGAGGGGAAGCATAGGCGAAGTAGTGGCATTTCCACCTTAAGAAATATAAACGTCTTACAATATTGTTGGTTGGTTTGTTTCACATAGGGGATAATTACATTAATCCTAGCAACAGACATGGCAAGGCACGCTGAAATTTTGGACGCTTTCAAAGAAATACTGGAGAAGTTTGACTATTCAAATGAGGAGCATGTGACCCAGGTAAGACAATATTCTCTGTTTTCAGATGTTAAAGGGGGGCAAAGTGGGGGACAGGAACAACAGCCTGAGTCAAACAATGCCAGTGTGGAGGCACCAATGGGGGGACGTCACAGGACATGTCATGTAGCAGGAGTAGGAGCTGAAAGTTCAGCACAAATACAGTACAAATGCACTTTAATAGCAAGAGCAGCTTGTTGCTGTGTATAGCCACAGCCTAATGCCAGGCTGGAGGTGCCCCTATTTTCAGTGCTGACATCTCACTGAGAAATGAAGGAAACATTGCCCGGTAATAAGTGCAGGTAAACATGGCAGATTTCTTACCACACTGTAAAATGCTCTCCTCCTTTCAGCTAAAGATGGTCCTGATCAAATGCTGTGATATCTCCAATGAAGTTCGCCCAATGGAAGTGGCAGAGCCATGGGTAGACTGCTTATTAGAGGAGTATTTTATGCAGGTAAGGGTACACCCAGTGGAACTGCCATAGTGGTTCATGTTTCAATACAACAGAGCTGGAAGTTATCCAGTAACAATGCCTGACTTTCTAGGTCCACCAAGATGAAAGACCCTTTCTCAGCAGGGTCTTGAAAGTGTGTCATTCTGATGATGTACTTTGAATAAAAGTGACTGTAATTGACTGTAATTTGTAGCCTAAAAGGGCAATCACAGCCCAGAAATGCAAATGTTAGCAGATTGCTGCCTGTTTTCTCTAACAGGGCTGTTTTTAGGAGTTAACTCAGCATGTAAACCATTTTGAAACCAAACAGGGACAAGGACTTTGTAGAAAATGTCAGCTAAATAAGCAGCACCATGTAGGTTAAGTTTAGATTATTTATATCTGTGACTTTGAACCATTCATGACTAAGCCTATTAGAACTGAAAAGTTGGGGGATTTTAAAGAGAAAGGGGAAAAGAAAACGAAAGAAAGCGCTGTGATCATTTCAAAAGGACAATCTCATTAGTGTTGGAAAAAAGCGCCTTATGGTGCCACATCGTTATCATTTCTTACCGGATTTCATTTGGAGATGACTGCAGGAAGTAACAAAAAAAAGTAGCAGTCCCCTTGCCCTCTCGAATCCGTCAACACGATGTGTATATACAAGCTGTGGCAGCTGGCATCACACCAAGTAAGGCTTGATCGTGATCGGCAGCACAAAAAGGCAGTTCTATTATTTCTTGATTTAACATGTTCCCAGTGTGGAAAATTTAAAATACAGCCAAAAAAGCCATTGAATAATAGCAGAAAGAGCAAAAGATGAAAGAATGTTCAGTTTGCCCTTCATTCATTTGCAGAGCAATCCTACACTGTGTTCAATGGGCCTTACTTCCAGATAAGTGTGTTTAGGGTACACATAATCTTCCCTGCTGAGAACCCCCAGAAGATGTCTCTGCCACCCTCCCACTTTTCCTCCAATGCCCCAAATTTCTGTAGATCAGAAAATCTTTCGGCTGCATCTTTCAAATATAAAAAAATCTTTAAAATAATACAGCATAAACAGGTCACACATAATAACCAATTATATCATTCCAAATTAGATAAATATTGACCACTGGTTTGAATTTACTTAATGTATTGCTACACTTTGTCCTAGAGTGACCGGGAAAAGTCCGAAGGCCTTCCGGTGGCCCCTTTCATGGACCGAGACAAAGTGACCAAACCTACAGCACAGATAGGCTTCCTGAAGTTTGTTCTTATCCCAATGTTTGAAACTGTAACAAAGGTAAGGTCAAAGAAGTTGATTGATCAAAAGCCCTTGGATCAAGTGCATTTTCTCATAGCTTTTTTGAGGGGTGCAAGAACCCCAAATCCACTTTAATTGCACAACCTGGATTTCCTGGTATGCAACTGAAACCCACCCACAGAAAAACAATTGTTTGGAAACACCCAATGTGATTAGCAATCATCTCATAGGTGTTTACAAGTAACATACAACTTGAAGGGATGGAAGGCTATGTCTTCCAGGCCCAGCTATAAATCCACCACAAGGAAAAACTTGCCATTAGCATGCATAGGAGTGGGGGCGGGGGCGGTACTAACATTCCAGGCTTTTAATAGCTCATTTATACAATGCTAGCATGCTGAATTTTTCTCATTTCAAAACACATAGTTATTGGAAACAATTTTAGTTTAGCTTTCTTGCTTTGTTTTAGCTTTTTCCAGAGGTTGAAGAAGTATTGCTCCAACCACTTTGGGAATCCAGGGATCGGTATGAGGAGCTGAAGCAAATAGATGATGCTGTGAAAGAGGTAAGACAAGCTTCTGTTTGTGGGGTTAACAAGGACAACTGCAGAGGCTGAAAAGGCAACACCCAGACTCCCTTAGATGAATCAGGATTTTGAGGTTTTTCTTGCAAGAATTCTCCTAATACAACACATTCTATATGCCATTTTCACAAATATATGCATCTTTGCACATACTTGCCCAACCATATGCATTTTTGTGTGCATTATTTGTTTCAAGAAATGCAATACAAAATTCATATAAATGCAAATTTTATAGAAGTGCAAATTTTGAAGGATAGCTGTGCTTCAGTCACATATTTTGCAAACTGGTAGGTTTGCGTTAAATCCTAACCAAATCAAATTTCTTCCCATCCCTACTTCCAAATAAGTATGTAGGAGTACAGCCTTAATAGTAAGTTGAGGAACAGGTCTAATGTAATGGGAACTTTTGAACCAAAGGGTATAGCTGATTCTGGCTGTGAATACACCACAGAACACGAGAAGATCTTCTAACTTCACTTACAACTGTGCTTGATAAAACAGGCTTTGTGATTTTCACGCTGAAGCAAAGATTCCTACATTCTTATGTGTAATGCTATAATGCCCTCTGGAAGGAAGCCACCACAGGTTCCCTTCGATGCCAATAAAACAGGGATGTACAAATTTCATGAATTAATTGGTTCATTTAAGCATAGTAGCATAGCACTTCTGGTAATAAGGCAACTAAGAGGAAAATGATGCATGCAAAGCAGAACACATGCGGAGTAAATTATAGCTCTCCTTTGTCAAGTGATTGTGGCTCCTGCTGAGGCAGTCAAATGGCCTTTGGATCACAGTGACAAAGAATGAAGACAGAGCAGTCCTTCTGAGTGGCAGAGGGTAAGCTAGCCATGGACAGACAAGCCTGCTTTTTGCTTTTCAGCATTGGCCCCAAATGATGCCCACTGTTTCACCTTGTAATCTTTTCACTATGGGCTTTTCATTCTCCTAGCTTTATTGATCTGACTTCATTCCAAGCTAGATTTTTATAGCGATCATGTTCCATTTCTTCCCATCTCACGAGAGCTCCACAAGATCTTACCAGAAGGTACTGCCACACAACTCCAGTAAGGCTTCAGCAGTGGGGCAGGAGACAGGAGCAGCAGCTTCCCGTTTTGCCTCGGGTAGAAGAGTTTGGATTTGATATCCCACTTTATCACTACCCTAAGGAGTCTCAAAGTGGCTAACAATCTCTTTTTCTCTTCCTCCCCCACAACAAACACTCTGTGAGGTGAGTGAGGCTGAGAGACTTCAGAGAAGTGTGACTAGCCCAAGGTCACCCAGCAGCTGCATGTGGAGGAGTGGAGACGTGAACCCAGTTCACCAGATTACGAGTCCACCACTCTTAACCACTACACCACACTGGCTCTCTTGGGTGGCAAAACGGGATGGGCCACCCCTACTCAAAAGGCAGTTCACACTCTCATGCATTCCCCACTGGTGCCTACATGTGTTGGGTACCCAGAGGAAACAACCAGAGAGAAAAATAACAGTTCCTGTACACCCACCAGTGATGCTGCAGATCCTATGGGGCACCTAAGGAAACTCCACTGAAAAGAACAGATTTCATGCACTGATGATCATATTTGCTGGGTTGTGCCAATGACTCGGTGGCTGCTATATTGACAAATCAGATGCCTCATGACTGCCATTGTTAATTATTCCATTCTACTCTTAACTAGTTACAGAAGAAGAAGAACGAAAGTTTGGCAATCGGAAGCAAGGAGAAGTGAAAAGCAAAGGCAAGGCACATCAGGGTAATTATCCCTCTTTAAAGGATAATTTCACATTAAGAAACATGGTGACAACATTTAAAACATTATATAGAAAATTGCCTATGGCATGAGGTGTTTTCAGCAAATAAATTGATAAAATCCAGCTAATTTCTCTGCAATATATTGAACATATGCTTGTGAAAAACAAAATAAAATAGAATTGTAATGCATTTTTGACCAACTATTTATACAATATAAAACCAGTAATAAAAAGCAGAGAGAGAGAGTGCTCTCTCGAATTGTTAGGAGAGTCCTAGTCCCCTTACAGAACTACAATTTCCAGAGTTCCCTAAGAAGAGGGATTGATTGTTAAAGCACTCTGAGAATTGTAACCCCGTGAGGCAAATAAAGGTCTCTCAACAACTTCCAGCAGCCTTAACAAACTACAGCTTCCATAATTCCTTGTGGGAAGCTATGGCTGTTTAAAGTGGTCTCTTAGTGCTTTAAATGTATGGTGTAAATGTGGCCAAATAGGGATTACCACAGTTGCTGTGAGTGTGGCTTAAAAGGTGTGCTGAATCAGCACGTCTGAGCCCTGCCAAAAATTATTCTGAGTGGATGAGACCTCATTCTTTGGGCTCTAACGATGTTTGTATTTTAATTCCAGCATTATAATGGACACAAAGATCCTTTAGAGGTTTGCCAAGTCTAGCTAAGCATCATGGGATTGCACAGCACTGACGGAGGATGAGACTGAACAGCTGACACTGCCACAAGCACTTTTTCCAAGTTCCTTTTTTATATAAAAAAAGAACCCTAGTATTTATCCTTATGGATGCAGACAATAAGGAATCTCTGCTGTTGTACATTTTTTTAAAGAAAAAGTAATCTTCTAAATAATATATTCTTATACCAAAAAATGGCTGCTGTAATTATTCTCTTTTTAAGATTTTATATGTCGTCTTCTTCTTTTTTTTAACTGCTTCTGGTTGTCATATGGAGATGTATTGGGGAAAATTGTACTTTTTAAGCGAGTTGTTTTAGAAATCTTTAAAAATGTAGTTTCGTGTAGCGTTAAAGTAACAACAATTTATCTCAATATGTCTGTGTACTATTTAGAAGTGTCACCTTGCCGAGGGATTTGACAAAACCAATAGCAAGCTGAGAAGCTTAATCTTCTCTTCTCTGGTCAGCAACTATTGGCCAGGAAAACCCTTCAGGAGGGAGGGTGAAATGATAGCCCAGTCCCTCAGCCCTGCTGCCCTAGTCCCTCTTTGCATATACTGTTCCCCCTTTTGTTTTGGGGTCAGTAACTGAGGGGTACAGATGATGGTCCTTTGGAGAGACAGATGTGGCCTACAGGTTTCCAGTTACCTTATCCCTGAGCCCTGAGAGAATTGAAAAGGCCCCCAAGTATGTTATGAACATGAAGCAGTTCCTGTTGCCAAAGCTTGACAGGTCTAGCACTGTAAACTGCTTGGAGAGGAACTCAAATTTCAGAGGAACCAGAACTAAGCTAATCTGCGTTCCTTCTTGGAAGAGTGGAGTAGAAATGTAATAAATAGCTAACTCTTCAACAAAGAAGATATTTTCACAAGTTTTTTTTTATTTTACTTTATTTACATTTCCTGCATCATGTTCTGGTTTAATGAATGGGGCATCTCAACTAATCAGCTAACCGAAAACTCTGATAAACTGGCTTATATTTGCCTACACATACATTGGCAAGAATCTAGTCTAGATTTGACTAGATGCTATGTACAACTGAGATTTGTTTAATGAAGGCTCTATAATTATTATATTTTTCTGTGGAGAATATACCATACACACTGTGCCTGAGAAGGGTCTGTGATGGTGAGGGACTACTAGCATGTGTTTTCCATGCTTACAGTTTGAGATTCAGTCTCTGAAACCTGCACAGCTAGAAGGGTCTTCAGATGTAGAGCTAGGAAAAACTTTTGCATGTGGCCTTCAAGACCTACTTGGGCAGATTAATACAGCGCTTAAATTCACATGGCAGCTTTTATTGGACAATAGCTGGCAGCCATTTTGCTTGGATGGGAATTGCTAAGGTGAATGCTGACAGTGTGCCTTTTTAATACCGAACAATGAGAGTTTGGGACCAACGTATCCAACTGAAATGGGCATGGGTTGTTGCTCCCAGCTTACAGAAAGGAATGTCGGGCATGAAGAAACTACAGTGGTACATCAGTTTAAGAACAGTCCTGTTTACGAATGATTTGGTTTACGAACTCTGCAAAACCGGAAATAGTGTCCAGGTTTGCGAACTTTACCTCAGTCTAAGAACGGAATCCGAACGGTGGAAGGGCACCAGCGGCGGGAGGCCTCATTAGGGAAGTGTGCCTCAGTTTATGAATGGTTTCGGGTTAAGAACGGACTTCCAGAACGGATTAAGTTCGTAAACTGAGGTACCACTGTAATCTGGTTTGTGCAAGGTCCCCTAGAAAGCCTGTGACAGGGACAGGACTTAAGTGCCAGCAACTAGGGCGCCCTGAGCATTCACATTCAGACCCACAGAAGGATTGTTGTGCAAAAGAGAGGACTGGGGAATCCTACATCTGGTGAAATTTCCCCTTCTATTCTCTTAGTTCTCCCAAAGTCTAGAGACACATCAGTATTCAAGTACGAGCCAAGGGAGATATCCTTTGGTGCAACTTATAGTCTTGTATGCCTTCCACAGCATCCTGTTGGAAATGTACTTGGAAGTAAAGCACAAGACGCAAAATGAAAGGTGTGGCTTATGAAAGATGCTTTGGATTTGCTCTGGGAGAAATATAAGAAATCCCGTTGCACCTCTATGTACTATTCATGTATGTATATGTTTTAAATGGAGTATGCACTGTAATTTCTACATAGGCTTTTGTTCGGTTGCTTTTAAAGTGAGTTTATAAATCTAGAGTAATGCATAAGGAAGGTGTTGCCATCCAAGGAAGCTTGTGTCTCCGTTTGAAGGGCACATGTACCCAAGCCATATGCCTGTGAGCTGCAGAGCTGCTTTCTGAATCTCAGTTTGGATTTTAAAAGAAATTGTGTAGGTGGGTGCTCAGACTTTCTTCCATGCAAAACAGGAGATATATTGCTAACACTCAGGCTTCCTTTACCAAAGGATGTCAGTGACTAACACCTGGCTCTCCAGCACTGAATAATAATCGTGCCACCTTTACGTGTGACAAAACATTTTGGAACAGCAAACCTTTACTCTTGTATTTTTTGTGTGTAGATGTTTTTTTCTTGGTGATGATAGCTCTCCAATATGTATTTTGGGAGATGGTCCATTACTGCATTTTGATCCATTTCTGTTGACCAGAAATACTGTTCGATCTGCTATGAAATCCACATGGGATGTGGACAGGCATCCTTAACCAGAGCTAGTAACTTTCTAAGCATTCTTCTTCCTGAGTCACACAACTGAAGAAGCAAGCCGCAGATGAAATAGTTTATTACATGCTGTTTGAAGGCACCTGTTTATTGAGTGAACAAAATTTATTATTCCAAAGTGTTGTAATTTCTTTTTCAAACAGAAGTAGAATAAATCTGATATTGTCTTCAGCATGGTTGCATTCCTGACATTTGTCAAATGTCCCTGAACTACTGCTATTGTCATCCCAGGATACAAATCAATGTATGTGGAGAGGAGGATCATTAGCTCAGACTTAGTGCACAGTGGGGAATTAGCTATCCAAACAAAAATCCAAAGCTGAGAATCAAAGAAAACACAGTTTATTACAAAACAGAAAGATTGGTTACTGTTTGTGTTGTTACAAAAATAAGAGGTTGGTTATTCCAGTTGAACAAGCAGTTCTGGCATTACATTTACCAAGTGGTAGAGATTGGATGGATCTAATATCAAGTAGAGAGAGAGAGAGAGAGAAGTACAAAAGGTGCCAGACAGACATGCATGGAGCTGATTAAAGAGAGGAGTTAGAGTGCAAATACTACATACTGCAGTGCCTTGTGAGCACCTGCATGAGAGCTAAAAGGAAAGACGGAGGGAGGGAAAGAGAAGCTGAAGCACAAGTATCACTTATTCCAAGGAAGTAGGCGGCCTTCCACCCTACCAGTTCAGTAGGCAGTAGCTCCCACGGGCTTCTAGTACAGTAGAAATAAAATTACTGTACTTTTCCATGTATAAGCAAGGTTTTTTTTACTGTAAACTAATGTTCAAAATGGGGGGTCGTCTTATACAGTGGTGCCCCGCAAGACGAATGCCTCGCAAGACGGAAAAACCGCTAGACGAAAGGGTTTTCCGTTTTGGAGTTGCTTCGCAGGACGAATTCCCCTATGGGCTTGCTTCGCAAGACGAAAATGTCTTGTGAGTCTTGAGATTTTTTTTTCACTTCCCCCCCCCCCTTTATCTAAGCTGCTAAGCCTTTAATAGCCTTTTAGCAGCTAATCCGCTAAGCCTTTAAGCCTTTAATAGCCGCTAAACCGCTAATAGCGCTAATCCGTTAAGCCGCTAATAGGGTTGCTTCGCAAGACGAAAAAACCGCTAGACGAAGACACTCGCGGAACGGATTAATTTCGTCTTGCGAGGCACCACTGTACATGGATAGTGCAGATGGGGAATGAGCGATTGGTTGCAGCCGCTAGCAGGAGCTTGTCAGCGGCGATTGTGTGTGTGATTGGTGGCTGCGGCAAGGGCTGCTGTGGATTGGCTGCTGCTGTGGCAATTGGGCTGATGATTGGTGGCTGCGGCAAGGGCTACTGTGGATTGACTACTGCTGTGGCAATTGGGCAATCCCCTCCAAAAAAAACCTGAAAAAACCTGGGCACTCCCTGTGACGTTAACATGAGAGCGCTGGAGGTGAAATAGTTAAACAGGTTACCCAATCAGAACCCAGGGGGTGGAGTCAGAGGGATTATAAAACCAGCTCTGGGAGGGGTGAAGGGGAGAGTTCGTTGGGTGGGTGGTTGGAGTGGGAGTGAATTGGGATAGAGTCTGTGGGTAGGTTGAGTCAGTGTAGCGAAATAAGCTGAGTCAGGAACAGTTAGGGGCTAGGAAGACAAGTAAATATCTGAGAGGTGGTTTAGTGAGTGAGAGCAGGTAGCGGAAGTTATAGGTCTGGATAGGCACCCCATGATTGTAATGGACCGATACCGTTTATGAAACCACACGCTTGTTAAACTGCAATAAATAAACAGAAGTTTATGTTCCAATTTAACCCTGACTGGACTCAGTATTGTACCAGGTAGGGCCTGGGTGGTGGCAGTGAGAAATAAAGTGGTGGCACAGGGATCAATAGACGGTGAAACGTCCGGGGACCCTGTGTGATCACCACGCTCCCAACCCAACCTTTTTGCTCAACAACTCTGGGCCATCTCCCCCATTTTCTTAAATTGGAGGCCCCCAAAATAGGGGTTGTCTTATACACAGGGACACGTTATACATGCAAAAAATACAATAAGTACAACTACTCTTGTCCCTTAGTGAAAAGGTATGTGTACCCACAAGGGAACAATGGAAGTCTCTTACAACAGGGCTCATTTACTTGGGTCCCACTTTGCAGTGTGACTTGGTTGGATTTGGTTGACATTTTCCTTAATGGGGAAACATTAGAACCTGTCAAGTAGAGAGAAGTGACAGCTGTAGGCTGCGTAAGTGGCTTAATTGGGATTTCTTCCATTAATGCCCTTAGCAGACCCAATAGTGCTCCTAGCAATCATTAGGTGGCATGTAAAACATACTCACACAATTTAGTGTCAAAGTAGCATGAAGAGGCCATCAATATTTTGTCCTTTCTATAATTTCAGTTCTAACTCCCCGCCCCCACTTTGTTTTTTTAATGGATAATACAGCTCTGCTTAAAGAAGGTTGATTTGCTTCCCAAATGAATAAGCTGATTATATCATATTATAGTGCACTTGTGTAGACAGAACTGTCAATCTGTCAGCTTGTTGTCAGATTCTTATAATCTTAACTGTTGAATAGTTTGTAGCTGAGCACTAATAATGGCTTTTCCTCTCACTGAAATATCTGCATCTTAAAAAGGTTGTGCAACAAGCTATCAACAGGCAAGCTTCAAAGTTTGATATATGCATTTTTGCTATCTTTTTCCCCTAATACAATGCATTTCTAAATTATATGTGCGTTTTGTACACATGGGTAGGAGAATTACAGCACAAAATTCAGAGAAATAAAAAATTTGAAGGATAGTTGCCTTTCGGCTTGCCTATTGGTCCAAATTAGAGAAGCGTGAATTGAGTAGTTTCTTATTAACATTAAATTTCTTGCCTATCACTGCTGTCAGCTGTCTCCTGCTGCTGTTTTCTGCAGATGCAATAGAGGCGGTGAAGAAAGTCTTCTTCGCCGTCGCTATCCACACTTGGTAGGCTCGACATTGAGCTCTAACCGTGTCCAGTCAGCTTCAGAATGAGTTATCCGCCACCGGCTCTCTAGCTGTCTCAGTGATTGTTTCATTGCCCTCAGATCCATGGAAAACCATGGGGCTGTCCAGGCTCCATGCAATCAGAGAAGGCGCTTCAGAGCCAAACAGTCAATAGCCCTGGTTAACTCCACATTCCAGTGGGCCACCAGGGGATCAGCTGAAAGGCCATCAACATGGGATAAAGCATCCCCTACCACTCTTGGAAACCATTTGGATCCATTAAGTGGTGGGGGTGGACCCCAGGCTGCATACAGCTGGAAAATCAGGGTGCCTTATAGGCCCTTCTCCAGCATTGGTAACCTATGGCCTTGCAGATACGGCTGAACTACAACTACAGTCATCCCTGGCCACTGGCATACAGGCTGAGTCTGATGGGAGTTGAAGTTCAACAACATCTGGAGGACCACCTGTTCCTCACCACTGAACTCTGCTGAAAGTGTGGAACATATTACTAGCAACAGTAGACCTGGTCCTTTTCTCAGCTGCCCAGTGAATGTATGAAAAAGACTCTCGTTCCTCCTCAAGTGGATCTGATGTACATCCTACATGCACCCAAGCCCCACAATTCACATATATACAGGGAATCACCAGCACCTACATATCTGAACTGCAGAAAATGGCAATCAAGGGGCCTGTGCAATATGACAGATTTCCATGTACAAGATTCCCATTTTCAATATGGACAGAGAGGTCCCTGCTTTATTCACACCACTGAGGTCTGATTTTGCATTCCTATGTCAAGCCGATAACACAGGAAGCTGCTAAGCCATCCGTCAACAAGCAATGCAGAGGGGGGAAAGGAGAACCAGATGGAAACATTGTGCTTCCCCTTAAGTGGCTATTGGAAAGTGACATGTAACAGGCGATTCCTTGTAAAATGAAAAATGCTTGAGGTATATAACGATAGCCAACTAACAGTAACATGTGTTCTTCTTGATAAGGGCTCCTTTTGTGAGGCTGAGTATCCCAATTAGTCTGAAGCCAAAGCTTTGAAATGTGCAGCTGAGGAAGCACATGGAGCAAAGTGAAAATGGGCTTCCTCAAGACTTTTTTTTAGAGGATTTTCCAGTACTGTTTGCAAGGAGTAACACCTGTGTGATTAAAGTTCAGACTGGAATAAAATCGTGGCTGATAAAGCACTGCGCAGCTCTGAAAACAACCAGTCTTCTAAACTATTATACAATGGTATAATCAAATGGTATAATCAAATCTAGGCAATTGTTAACAAAACTTAACATATTATGAAAAGAAGCAAAGAAGGATGAGCACTTAAAATTTATTCATTTTTAAATGGAGACTATTTATAAATCGCCAGACTGCATCAATCCAGGATAATGCTCAGCCACATATTTTTTTGCTTATTTTTTCCTTTGGCATATATAATTTTTCTTGCTCTTTTTTCTTGTGTTTTTTCCCCCTTATTGTCAAAGAGAGAGAATCAGTGGGCGAAGAGAATTGATATAGCTCGTACTATTAAATAAACAAATATGAGCAGTCCTTGTATTTAAAAAGGTCTAGACTAATCTGACCTGCTGCCATACCTGATGGTGGCAGAAGGGCTTGTAATCAGGGAAAGGAACCAGATTTTTAATGAGAAAGTCACCCACCTATTTTTGAATAGTAGATGAAAATACACTGACATAAAAACTGACTTATAAGGCACAGCATAATAGCTGTATTCATGATCCCACTAGGGCAGAGCCACACTATGCATTTAAAGCTTATTCACTGCACATTCCCAAAGCATCCTGGGAAATGCAGTTTGTTAAGGGTACTGGTAATTGCAGCTCTGTGGTGGGGAAACTGCAGTTCCCAGGGTGCCATGTGCTTTAAATGTGCATTGAATAAGCCTTATATGTACTTCAGATGCTGCTTGGGGAATCTCCATTCTGTGATCACATCTGAATTCAATGGATGCTCTGGCCACTCTGCAGCAGGGATTTCCTATATTGTTATGAAATCTGATGTTTCTAGATCTTCCCGGTCTGACATTTCTCTTCTTACATGGAAACCTTCTCCAACTTGGTACCTTCCAGATTTTTGGGGAGTGTAGATTTACTAATGCAAATTGCCTTGAGATGTCTAATGAGAAGTGACCCATAGATATCATAAATATCAATAAATAATACTAGCATGAATGTGCTAAAGGCTTGGGCTGATAGGAGTTGCAATCTGGAGGGCACCAGATTGGCAAAGCTTGTTTATGGGACCGATCCACTGCTATGAATCACAACACATACACAAACTTTTTAGTGCTTTAATACATTTTATTAATGTATTAAATACATTATTTAATTAATGTTAAACCACAGAGCCTAGGACTTGCCGATCAGAAGGTTGGCGGTTCGAATCTCCATGATGGGGTGAGCTCCCGTTGCTCGGTCCCTGCTCCTGCCAACCTAGCAGTTCGAAAGCACGTCAAAGTGCAAGTAGATAAATAGGTACTGCTCCAGCGGGAAGGTAAATGGCCCGTGCGCTGCTCTGGTTCTCCAGAAGCAGCTTAGTCATGCTGGCCACATGACCTGGAAGCTCCCTCGGCCAATAAAGCGAGATGAGCGCCGCAACCCCAGAGTCGGCCACGGCTGGACCTAATGGTCAGGGGTCCCTTTACCTTTACATATTGAATTAAATTGCCATTTAATTTATTACGTATTAAATTTAAATTGCCATTTACGATACACTGGGTAGAAGTCAATATCATGCTATTACAACTGTTCCATCTGCCACATGCAATGATCCCCCCTCTCCTTCCCCCACGCTCTTTCTGGGGGTCCTCTCATCCTCCCCAGAGCCAATTTCGGGGGGGCAAGCGCCCCCTTGTGCAAGCTGAAGTCCTTACGCAATGCTTCCATTGGTGTGGTGTATTAGATGAACCCTGCACAGTATGTACTTTGAAAATAGTTTTTGTTTCCTGTTACGTTTTGTGCCTGCACTAGCAAAAGTGAACAGCGCTGCCTCTCGTCCTCCACATCCTTTCTAACCTGAAATGTATTTATCTCCCAAAGCCCTTGGGGAGATAAATACACGCCGGGCTCGAAAAGCAACTGAGGTGATGGAACCAACGCAAGAGGTTAAAATAAACTAGGTCTGCAGTTTTCTTTTCAACTGCTGCTATTGTTGTGATAGCGGCTCCCTTCCGTTCAATTACAGCATGCACAATTTTGCACCTGCAATTAATTGCCAGCATTTATCCTTCTGTGGGCTAAATTGCAGCTGCAGAAGCAGAGACAGTAACTGAAATGCCACTGAAGATCAGACTAATATATGCCTCACGCATAACTACATCAGACTTAATTCTATGCTTTGCAGGCTTTTAAAAACCTATTATAAGGTAATTAATATCAAATCTACTTTTTCAGCCGTTTTTCGAGCTGAGGATACTCTCAGGGGTTCTTTGTCACCGGAACAATCAGCAAGAGCCACACCAGATCTCAAAAGTCTTTTTGGGAGCCCAATCAGACGTGTACGAGTTTGTTAAACATGAGCTGGGCTACAGAGAGGGTGGGATAGGTCAATGTTTAATATAAAATGGAGCGCACCTGCCTTACTCACTACTGTGCTTTCAGCTGGTTTTCCCCAGCCCACTTCCAGTGCTGAAAGGGAGCCAGGCAGGGGTGTTGATGGCAAGCAGCAGAATACCAATGAATATTTAGGGCCGGGGAAATGGTAATGTGTGGAAGCTGAGGTGCCAAATGTGCATGCAGAAAAATAGGAGCTGAACAGCTCATTTACGATATGAGGCCCTGTCTGGAAGCACCTGCATTCTCCTAGAGATGAAATCTAAAATAATAATAATGGATTGATTCGAAGAAATGTGAGCACAACTCTGAGTAGAACACTCTGGCACTGCACCACTCCAGTGCCGGATGAATACTTATTTATTTAGTGTTTCCAAGCCAATCTAATTTTCCTCAAAGAAACCCAACAGCAGGGGGAAAAAACAGCAAAAAGAAATCCCTGTTGCTTCAGCATTTCAGAGCTCCTCAAAGACATGGTCCAAGCCACCTAAGAGCATTTTAGAAAGCATCTTCCTCAGCATCTTCCCCTAAGATAAAGCAGAGACAGTGACTCAACAGAAACAGACACCAAAAATAGGGACAGTTGGAGCATACATAGTTAAGTGAGAAATGCAGGCCCCTATTGGACAGTGCCCATGCCGTCACTGGCAGTGAACTTCCTTTCCCAAAGCTGCGTCGTTATGTGAATGGTTAGAACATTTGATTGAGAACTGCTCGCCTACTAGTATTTTTTCAAAACATAGCTCTAAAAGCAGCCATGTACTGCTGTCTTTCCATTTAAAAGAAAAATCAGTACGGGGGTGTTTGTACTCTCTGTGCATACGTAGCACTGGAGAACTCATTCAACCTCTTCCCCTTTCCCCCCTAATGGTGAACAGCAACATCTTGAGGGACAACAACCTTCCTCCTCTCTCCACCAGGAGGGGATAAGCCCTACTTGGGTCACTCAGTTCCCATGGAGCAGGAGTAGAACTACTTTCTCACCCCCACCAGTGAGGGCACACCTGCAGAAGGAAGCCTGTCCTACACATGTAGGGTTGTTCACACAATGAGGAGTACCTGTGTACATAGATAAAACTCCTCTTTCCAGACAACGCATGTTGGTGCCAGCAAGGCCACTGGGACGAGGGGCGCTTGTGATGGCAGCTTTGTTTTCCAACTCCATGGGATTGTAACAGTGTGAACTGAATCCCTGACTAGGGCTACAGTATGTGCAGCCTGTTCAAAAAGGCAGGCAGCTTCAAAAACTTATTATTTCATGCACAAAAGCTGTAACTTGAAAGGCAGAGTGTTCCACACACGTTACTTTTTTCTGTCCAAAGAACAGTAACCAAGTCCTTGCACTGAAAAACCAGGCAACTGGCTTAGTATTGCATCTGAAATATATTTCTGATATATTGCACATGGGGCGCTCTCTCTCTCTCTCTCTCTTTTTAAAGAGAATGAATACATTCTGGAATCTTAAAAAAAAATACAACTCAGTGCTCATAACAAATGCAACATCTACTATATTTCATGTGCTTTATATTCATTTAAGCACACAAAGCACTGACCTAACAATGAAAAGAACAAAGAGCCCCAGCATGCAAATATTCTCCTTTATCCTTCCCAACAAAGAATCCACCTATTTGCCTCACAGAATGTGGGTGGGTAACTAAGCAGTGAGTGCTTAACTAGGAAGCAGCAGCTCTGAAACAAACAGAACCGTCAGAATGAGTGTGTGTGCTGTACCAAAACACGGTCACAGACTCTTTAATAGACCCTTTTAAGTTGCAATTTGAAGTTTCTTTAGAGCACAGCCTTCCGCATGACGACAATCTCATTTGGAATAGTTTGGACAAAGGAAAGAGAAGAATTACCTACTTATAACTGAACATTCTGATTACAGGCACTAATTTGTACAGCACAAAATGTGACAACTGTTTGGGTGAGTGTTCTGTGCATGGGTTTTACCTGGAACAGGACACCCAGGCGTTTTGGTGAAAACTCTTATGAGACAACAAAGGAGTCTGGGCCACTCCAATATTTCATTGTGATACCACACAGACTACTTTTTGCCAGGAGCACAGCAAATACAAGGAACTGCAGATTGCTACTGGACTACAAGGGTTACTTGGCAGCATCTTCCATGGTTTTCAGAAAGACAATACCCAGCTATTGCTTTAAAAGTTCACAGGTTAAATCACTGTTCTCCAACAAAGTAGTTATGTTAGCTCAAGGGTTTCCATTTATGTAAGGCAACTTGTCCACTTCCCACACACCCTCTGGAGGGTTGGGGAAAGCTGCAGAACAGATTCAGGGAGCGTGCATATATTAGTGAAAATAACACACCAAAATGCACTATATTTGGGGAAATTGCTTTGCAAAAATGTGTGTTAGGCAAAACATACACATCCCAATCGGTGAATACTTGGAGAAATCCACACTAAAATGCTGGACTTTCATGAGGGCTTTGTAGAGAAAATCACCAACTGATGTGGGAATGTGGAGAACTGAACTTAAGACCGCAAAAGCCATCTCAGACCCTATGATCTGCAGGTAAGGCGTGGTTACCAAGGACAACCCAGCAGCCAGTGACCTATGACTGGGCCTTTTCAGTGATGGTTTTCCATTTGTAGAATGACCTCCCTATGAGGTGCATCTGTCTCTATCACTGTCAGCTTTCAGGATGAGAAACACTGCATTAAATTACCAGGAATATTCATAAACCAGAAAATAATCCTATTGAGGTCAATGATTAATCAGCTCAGTAATGGTACTGGCAATCCACAGCTCTCCACTCCTGCTCATGTTCACCACTGCTTAAGATGCTGCTTAAAACTCAGGGCAAACTTAACAGGCTGAGATTCAACACTGTTTGTGTAGACAAGCTTTGTGTAACAATTGCAAGTTGAGTTCAGAATCTACCTCAAGGACTTGGATGGCTCCAAACCAGGAGCTGCGCATGTCCTGTGGGGGTTTAGACTCTGAACATTACAAACGCCAAAATTTCCTTTGTTTTCAGAAGCCGTGTGGAAGGCAATGACTTACTGCTTGAGAAAAGGCACCGCAATGATATGCTGCATGCACATAACCACTTGTGCAATTGTTTTGATCCAGGTCTGGAAACCCTGTCCCTTAGACATTGCCAGCAGGAGCCTCATCAAACCTATAGCCTTTTCTCTCGTCTTTTCCTTGATTGTACTATGTGCAGTTTCCAGGTTCGTTCTCAACAGGCCTCCTGATGAGAAATACCATTCAAAAGCAGCTGGGGCAATCACTACCTGTAACTGTCTCAACCTTATGAAATGCAATTCTGAATACCTTGAAACAGCTGAGATGCACAGGCAGAGTCTTCTAAGTGACAGAATGCTGTGACCACATTTACGGCTTGTTTACAGCATATTATTCATTCAGTGATATGCCACTTGTATGCCAGTATGGTACATACTGTATCAGAACACTTCAGCGCCTCTCACAATCTAAAGCAGAATCTATGAAATAAAATCCTTTAACTTCATATTATTATTTTTTTAAAAGACACACAAGCTGGCAAGTTGCAGTCTAAATCACAGCTCAAAAGTATGGATACTTTTTCCCATAGTAAAAAGGTCGCCTTAATTTAGTTCAAAAACAAACAAACCCACCCATCCAGCTTTCAAACAGAGATTCCTTCTAGAGAAAATTGCCCCGTTGTCAAAGGACAACTCCAGCAATGGAATCCCATTTTTGGTCCAGTAGGTCACTACACTCATCTTACACTACAAAGTAGGGTAAAAGGTAAAGGTAAAGGAGCCCTGGATGGTTAAGTCCAGTCAAAAGCGACTATGGGGTTGTGGCACTCATCTCGCTTTCAGGCCGAGGGAGCCAGTGTTTGTCCACAGACAGTTTTCCGGGTCATGCGGCCAGAATGACTAAACCACCACTGGTGCACGGAGGACCGTGACGAGTGTCAGAGCGCCTGGAAACGCCGTTTACCCTCCTGACACAACAGTACCTATTTATCTACTTGCACTGGCGTGCTTTCAAACTGCTAGGTTGGCAGGAGCTGGGACAATGGGAGCTCACCCCGTTGCGGGGATTCAAACCGCCGACCTTCCAATCAGCAACCCCGAGGCTCAGTGGTTTAGACCACAGTGCCACCCGCGGTCCCAGCACTACAAAGTAATTCATTACCTTCACTATGAAGATACTGTGTTTCCACCAGTTTAAATGCACTGGAGGAGAACTGTGGTTATGCAGGGACTCCACATTTATGATTTGTTGCACAATGAAGTCACCCCATGAAAGGTGAGCTCTGAGAATTATCCAAGGATATTTTGGCTTTGGTCATGTACATCCTTAGCTAGTAACTAGAACAGTCGAAAGGATCACTTCCAACTGGAAGGGGAAGCTAAACTCCAGGGTTGCGTGGCACAACAGGATGCAGTGAGCTCCCCAGATCCCCCTGGGGATTTTTGCCTCATAAATCCTGGCTTTCCCCTGCCTGAACCTCCTTGCTGTCGACAGAGGGCAGCAAGGAGCAACCACCATTGACTTGTGAAGTGTCTGGAAACCTCCTCCATCCATTCCTGCTCTCCGCCTTCTTTCTGGACAGAGGAGGACTGAAGGACGTAAGGTAGGAATTGTTGGGTGAGCTTTAGGGGCTTGTACTTGACAGAGGGTTCTCACTATGGCTTATGTGGCACATGTACGAAAGCAGAACCAAGAAAGGCTTTCAGCTTGGAGGAGAAAGTTTTGCAGTGTGTCCTCTTCCTCGCCATGCATCACAATGTCATCACCCAATGACATCTACGCTGACAGTCAAGGCAAGCAGCTAGAAAGAGTTTGCAGAGGACATATTTATCACTGACAAGGCAAGGAAGTGTCACCATAATAAGGCTAGACGTGTTAATATTTGCGCTTTGTAGCCAGCTTGTTCTTCAGTGTGCCAAGTGATTCAGTAGTTCTCATAGCAGCTTCTTCCAATGCACTGCAAGTCACAACCAAATTTTGCACTGAGCAAGGATGCTGCTCATGTTTTGAGCTTCTTTGTCTGCCCATTTGATTCATGCTGTGGGTCCTTTCTCTTACTCTTCCGCTGCTGAAGTCTCTCTTCTTTCTTTTGGAGGTAAACAGCCATGTTATCAAAAGAAGCCTTGTAGAGATTTTGGTAGCAACTTTCTTTGCCAATGGAGCCTGTAGAAGAGAGAATTGGAACAGGCTCATAGGCATGTGTTTTCCACGCACTGAGGGTCTGTTTTCTGTGCATGTCAAGAAAGGAGACTTAAAACCTTAAAATCTGAATTTGTACAACCAATAATAAGCCAGTGTGAGTACTAAAGGGGCACTGGGTGCTTTGGGAAGGAGAAAATAGGCAACTACAAATACTAAGAAAGTAAAAATTGCTTTGTTAGATTAGGCCATGGTCTTGGCTTTCTGTCTTGAACTGTGACCATGATTTTGGTTTTTTTTAATGACATTAATTAGTACGCTGCCCCGTTACCCCACAGAAGTCACATGTGTTATAACAGAAGCTGATCTGGCTCAGTAGAGAAGAGAATAAAAAATAATAATTTACATATCTATTAGCCTTTCCACTTGACTGGACAACATTAAGGCTTTGCTAGATTTTCTTTTCAGCAACAATTCATTCAAGGTTTAAATATTCCTCTCCCATCTCGTAACAGAAGAGAAACTGTGATCGTCTGCTGAAGAACTATCAAAGCTGGAGGGGGGCAGACAGCTATTAACAATTTGACAATAAAAAGATAACTACCTTTTCTATAGGGGTAAAGACACTAATTAAGCATCTGGAACAGGACTCAACTATCAAGCTCCCTTGTGCTAATTAGCTGCAATAATCACTGTAATCGTAATAGCCCCTTTCCCCCAGCTGCTGATACACTTAGGATCTATGCATGGAACTATAATTTGAGATCTAGGAAAACTATTTTGCTGTGTTCTCACATTATTCAATGGTTCTTTTGTGGGTACTATCGATTAGCTGGATTTTTTAGATCTCACCTGACCTCAACAGCTCAAGGCAGCATGTAACAAAAACCAAAAAAGAGCTAGCTACCGAAGTATATTACTTTCTACCTTCAGGGAAATCTTTTCCGCAATGCTGAGGAACCTTAGCATCTTTGCCACATGACCCCACCCTGTTGCAAAGGATTCTGGGAATGTACACTCAGTCCAAGTGCTTAGGCCTATTGGACCAAGACAAAGGTGTACCCATCACAGTCTTGTGGCTATAAATTGCAAAGTTGTGTAGTGGATAACAGTGGGGGATGATTGCTCATGCTCATCATTACAGATTTTCTCAACATGGGAATTCCGGATTAGCTTTCAAATTATGTTAAATGTAACATCAATTAGCCTTTGGCCAATTAAACAATCTATGGCCATTTAAACTGTGGGAGGGGTTATTGTTTTTGTTCTTTACTGTTATATGTATTTTTGTATTTCTATATTGTAAACCACCTTGTGAACCTCAGATGAAGGGTGGCATAGAATAATAATAATAATAATAATAATAATAATAATAATAATAATACCCTGGCTTTATAATACCTTTTCCACTCCCTTTCTCCCTCACATAATTACTCCGAAGGCTTGCCCAACATACCAAATCTCAGCTGACAGCAGGGATGGGTGAACTTCCATGCACTTCCACTCTCAGAACCAAGCCTCCTCAAAGCAACAAGGCTCTTATCTAAATCTAAAAAGTTACTTTTTATGAATGCTGTGAGATGCACTCTCCTCAAATCCTACCTTGACACCCACTTTAAACGGTGTCTCAACCGCCTTACCTTCAAACGCTGTCCAGTTGTCACGGATGCACTTTGACATTTTAATCAACCCTCTCTCTTCAGTAGAAGACTGAAAAAAGGAAAGAAGGACAACTCTTGAAATCCCCATACCAAGCACATCGATTCTCATACAGGGAACCATGTGCTGGGCACAGCCCTCCCAAAATCTTCCATGATTTGCCCCAAACCGTGTGTGTGTGTGTTTCAATCTTTTCACAAAGAGAAACTGACAACAAAAGAAGGAACAGGCATTCCACTCGTATTTTCAGATAAAGAAACCAAAGTAGCCCTATGTCACTGTTGTCTTGATCACCAAGCTGAGCTCTGGCACTGTGCCTTAGGCTGCTGTATATTGACCAGCATGAAAAATAAAAATGAAACATAATATTTACATGCTATTTGATTGGGCAACCATAGCTACACCATGTTCTTCTCAAGCTTGAGAGTGTTTATTGAAAACTGGTAACACTGTCAAAGGATGTTGCCAAATGGATCCAGCCAGTGCTACCTAGCCTTATGTGCAGATATTAAATAACTGACTCCCAAGCCAGCTCCAGTTCAATGCCCTTTTCCTGTATGAGTATCCCAAAGTTCTTTGCCTGACACCATAGCAGGGGAAGCCCAGCTGTAACCAGAAAGCTCCTCTCACCTGCCATTGTCCATTCACAGGCTGATAGAACAGAAGAGGTGTCTGCATGTCCTCCTGCAGAATCCAGAGCCCCCCTGTTTTCTCAAATGCAATGGCCCAGCCTTTGCAGATCAAGGGGATGTTCTGTTTGTGAATGAGTTTCTGAGCCTCGGGGTCAAGCTGGAAGATGGAAACTGTGGGAAGACTTTTCAGAAATCACCAGTAATGATTAGCGCTATCATTTTTACAGAGCACATTTCGCACGCCAAGATTGCCTAGCGGGTTAAAACTATAACACGTCAATCAAAACTCTTAGAGACCTTGTGTAAAATGATTGTTGATTTGCCCTGAATTTCACATAAGGCTTAAATGTACAGATTCCTTCTGGTCTTGGCCAATGCTTGCAATATGATCACCTCGTAGAGCAGGGATGGGGAACCTGAGGGGCTCCAGAAGTTGCTGGACTACAGTTCCCATCATCTCTGATCTAGGGCTGGGGCTGATGGGAGTTGGAGTCCAACAACATCTGGAGAGCCAAAGATTTCCCATCCCTGTTGTAGAGGTTGCTGTAAGTCAGGGATGTCCAACCGGTCGATTGCGAAAGCTCAACAACTTTGCTGACGCCTCCCCAGAAGAAGCTCAACAACTGTGGGTGTTCCTCCCCCGAAAAAGCTCAACAACTTTGGGTCTCACTCCCTGTGAGTGATTGTTTATAAGGTCCCCTTATGGTTCTCCCTGACCAACAAGAATGTTCAGTTCATGGCAACACACATCTCAGATATATGCCGGGGAACTGCCCATGTTCTAAGAAGAGATTTCCAAACATGCCGTGGATACAACAAAGCGAATATAGCGATGTGAGCATCAACCAAAATCAACTTAATTATATTATATTAACTCAGACAGGCTTAATATTATTGAAGCAAAATATCATTATCATGAACAAAGAAATATCCACATTCTAGGTGGCCATGACTACGCTGCTTCCACAGTAATTTTAAAGCAATAGATATCTGACATGCCTAATAATGAAATTATGTAATTTGGCTGTTGCTTCCACAGTAATTTTAGATATTCTTTTCCTCTTACCAGTCATATAAAACGGCAATGTAATTTCCTTCACAACAATATGCTGTCCTGGAGACTGCATATTTCTGAGGAGGGAAAAGGAGATGCGATTAGAAACTTCTCAGGCAAGAGAGTTTGTAGGGGATGAAGAGAAGGTAACAAAGAGAAAGCCTTCATGTCAAATTCAAAAGCCCTCTTCAGGTGTTCAAAGGTCCATACTCAAACTGGATAGGGAGTTTGAGTATCTTAGCCCTCTCCTCTCCTTTCCAAGTTGAGCATGAAGATCTGGAGGGGGGATTCTAACTGGATTTAGTTGAACATGATTAGAATCCTTCCCACAACTAGGAACTATGTACAGTTGCTGTAGCACAACGGTTGGGAGAGGAGGAGATGAGGCCAGCACTCAAGCTCCCCACCCCGGTTTGAGTCCCCAAAAATTATTCTGAATGCCTGAGGACTAAAGTCTTAATCTAAAGCAGAAGAGTCACACATCACAGCCAAACTGCACAGCCCCCTTCCACATTCTTGTCCTGAATCAAAGGCAGGCAGGTGAAAGGGAAGAGTAAATGGGCAAGACTGAAGGTGCCCATGACCATATTTAAATGGTGGATCCCAAGTATGCAAAAGTGTGTGCGGGGACGATGACAAAAAGTTGTCTCCAACACCCAGCACCAGTGAAACCAATAAGGGAAGCCTATAGCCAAAATAATTACCTTCCTTAGCTAGACTGGAAGCTCTCATGGTGGTATTCAGGGTTGGCCCGGCTTTCTTAGATATTATGCTGGGATAATCTAACCTTATACTTGTGTGAGGTTAACAAAAAGAAAACAGAAATATTCTCAAAATTAGTTTTCAGTTTATTTTTGCCCGTGATTTTTGTTTGCATGTTTGGTTCTCTTATTTGCTTGGACACTTAATGCGGATGATGACCCAGAGGAAGCCACAGTTTGATCTAATGGGTTGGGTGCCTGCCTTCTTCTCACATTATAACTCAACTTCTGGATGCAATTGCTGCACTTACAACACCAGCCCATATGCCCCTTAGGAAGAGAGGTATGCAATTTTAGCATGTCAGATTGCAATGTGTATGCACGTAGACAAAAAACTGCCCACTTCATATCACCAATTCAAGTATTAAAAAAAAGGTTGACAATTAAATGAAGGATGAAATAGATTCTGAAGCATTTTTAAAAAAATAAATACATCTGCAAACACCCGAAGCTATTTCACTCCAGACTAACAGCTTTTCAGAGCAGCGCAATGGTTTTATTCTCAATGTTATCTTGGGGAGAAAGGCAGCCAAAAGGTTTGTGGTGCTTTGCACATCATGTTGCAGATCTACAAAAAGCCCTCCTTGTCATTCTGGGATTAGATTTTCTGTAGTTTAAAATTTACTCTCACCTCACCTACACATACCATTCTGAAAGCAAGTTTGCCTGGAAAGATGCAGAGACACACAGAGAGAGATATTCACATGTTCACAGAAAAATGCATTACCTTCTCATTTGGGGGAGCCTCAGATGTACTCAAACTACTCAGATGACAGCAGTGCACTTCCTTCCCACTTTTGTATTCCCAGAGCCTCAATGTGCAGTCCTGGGGAAGGGGGTACAGTTCAAAAGAGAGAGGCTGATTAACACCGCTTCTGTCAAGAAGAAGACAGCCATACATGTATGCACACACTCTCAACAGAATCAGATACCTGAGGCCCCTCAAATGTTGTTGGGCCACAGCTCTGTCAGCACGGCCAATGGTCAGGGATGATCAAAGAGCCAAGCTTTAAATCCCCACACAGCCATGAAGCTCACTGACTGAGAGACAATGACTGGTCCAAGGTCGATGCCACAGGATTGTTGGAAAGATAAAAGTGGGAAGAGAACCATTTATGCCACTTTGAGCTCCTTAGAGGAGAATATGGGACAGAAATGGAATAGTGATAATAAAATTAAAATAAAAGAATGGGAGTTGTAGTCGAGCAACATGTGACAGATCACAGGTTCCTCAGTCCTACTCTATGAAGTGAAAAAGGCCTATTCTTAAATGCATTCAACTTTAAATGGCAAAACCACCCAAGACAAAAATACAGCAGTGTTCTGTGAACATTCATTGTAGTTATGTTTTACATTTCCTTATTATGGTAATCAGGATTAGATGATCCTAAGAAAGCACTTAGAAAAGTTGGCAGCTTCGTCCTCACCTCCCTAAAGGATGCTCCTGTTCCAGAAAAGTGTTTAGAGAAGGAACATAAAGCAACTACAGTATTTTACCCTCAGCAAGGGAGGAAAATGTGTAAGCAACCTACTAAAATTCCAGATGTAAAATGCCTCAGACAACATACATACCCCAGAAGCTGATAAGAGAAGTTCTGGATAGTTTGGTATTACAAATATTTTGCTGACAAATCTAGGAGGAAAAAAAAGGTCAATGTTTGTGGTGTACATTCCTAATGCAAGCAAAAAGTAATAAAGTGTGAGGTGAAACATCACCATAGCAACAGAAGGCTCTATACTGGATTAGATCACTATGTTATCTTTTAGGTCAGGAAAAATGCACACGAACCAATTAACTACCAGTATCACTGTTTAGAAAATAGATTAGAAAGAGCAAAACCCAAACGATGAAAAAGTGCCAGAGCATTTTAAAGAGTTTTCTGGGACAGGGGAAGATTGTAGTGCAGTATCCAAATGTACTCAATAATGAAAGCCACCTGATATGAATTTTGATTAATAGAGAGTTGGAAAGGCTCCACTGTGTGAGTTTGTGTAAGTGGGAGCTCAACTCCTAATGTTGTCCTTACCTGACAGAACCAAGAGCTACAAGGGAGGCAGCATCTCATCCAGACCAGCTCTTTGGGCTTAGCAATTGCTGAAGAGTCTGGACAGGTCCAACCTCTTCTTGAAACTCTCTAGTGTGGGTTGGGGGAATCCACAATCTCCTCAGACAGCTTAAGCGTAGGCATCGTGGTGCCTTCTCAGTGTTGCTGGACTCCAGCTCCAGCCAGTTCCATGAACCTCGGCACACATGGTCAATAGACAGGGATTGTGGGGGTGACAGTCCATCAACATTGGCAGGGCACCCCACTGGCTAGCTTGCTGTGTAGCACTGATCTTAAAATATGTCTTCCTACCTCCCCTCTCCCCGCTCCCCTAATAAACAGGGTGCTCTTCCCTTCTCTTCATGTTGCAGACTTTCTACAACTGCACTTACTCTCTGTGTCCCAGGCAGAAGGACACAATGTTATGTGGCGCTCTAGTCAAACTAACTCGTATCTTCTCATCACGGTCAGCGGTCAGGATATACTGGTCATCGGGACTCAGCGCCTAATGACACAACACAGGTCACCATGAAACAGCCCAGGAGGCTTTGCGGCATGCAGACACATATGGGAAATAAGTACACATCTACCAGTTTGGTTTCAGATCTCTTTGGTTTCAGATTGACAAGACTTGGAAAAAAAGTCTACAAAAGCTACTAGTCTTGAACATTTTGCTGGCCTGTTTAGTCACACTTGTCTGTGCTTATTTGTAACACACTGTGACACACAGAAACAACTACATTTTCTTCCAAATTACAAGTTCTCCTCAAGTGCGTAAGAGTCCCCTGGAGATGACCCTTACTCACTGCAGGCAGCAAAACTAGGGGTTCTTGACAATCCTGCCACACAAAACATAAAAAGGTTGGTTAAATTTATGATGCAAGCAAAAGCTGGGTAAGTTTTTAATAAGCGATAACCAAAGATAATAATAATCTGGCTATCTATCTGGTTTTGCTCAAGAACAGACACATTGAAAATAATGAACACGACTAACTTAGGTCCCTTAATTTTAATGGCATTACTCTGAGTAAAACATAGTTGACTATCAGCCATTGTTTTCAAATGAGGTAGCTGAAACTTCATATTTAACAATAGGTTTACAACCCAAACTTATTTTAGATATCTTAAACATTTTTATACTATTCAAACCCATTCAAACCAAGTCTTCTGGATTGTTCACAAAACAATATAAAGGAATAGTCAAACACAGAACACATGTTTATGTTGAAAATAGTTTTGTTGAGTTCACTGAGCTTTTTCCATTGTAACTGTGCAGACCCAATGAATTCAGGGGAAATTAATTTAAAATGAACATGCTTAGGACTGGGCTGTATATTTATGCTTGGGACTCTTTAAATAAACAAAGATGGTATTGAACCAGAAATTGCATACATACCACATCCAACAGAAGAGACAAGTGACCAAGTTCAATTGTTCCTGCATTTTCAGGCTCTGTTGTTGAGTACGAATAGACATCACCTGATTTGTCAGCAACTAGTATCTTATCTTCTGCCGCTGTTATAATCAGGGAAGTACATCTTCTAATGACAGACCTGGAATGAAGAACTGACACTAATTAGGGTCCAAAACTTCCTCTTTGGAAGATTAGACTTTAGAAGAAGAAGAAGAAGAAGAAGAAGAAGAAGAAGAAGAAGAGTTTGGATTTGATATCCCGCCTTTCACTCCCTTTAAGGAGTCTCAAAGCGGCTATATTATAACTATATTATGTTTGCATATCACATTCTGCTTGCTAAATTTGGGGGCAGGAAGGCATTTTCCCAGAGAATGGCCACATAATTTGCATGAAGATCTGCAGAAACTGAAAGAAATTAACAATGTGTTTTGATCATGTCACAAACTTTATAGCAGACCAAACCTATATGAATTAACTCCTTACTAATAATTACTTGAAAAGGGTTATTGGTAGCCAGGGGAAATAAGGCACTGCAGCTACAGAATTTTAGAAAGCCTGCCCTTTGGTCTTTCTGGAAGTGGTAACAGAAGATCTCAAAAGAGAAGGGCATAATAATCCCAGTGAGAATCCAGCACCAAAAGAGTTTAAAGGGTATGCATGCAGCACAGTTCTAAATCCTAGGAATAAAATTCATTCATTCATTTATGACCACTCTTAACCTGACCTTAATCTTAACCCCAATTTAATCCTACTCTTATTCCCACCACCACACACTGGACTAGCAAAAAAAGGACTCCTTTGCTTTGTCCCTATTTTTTCCTAACTTTTAAATGAATATAATTTGACACATTCGCCCACAATGTAGTCTCTTTTTAGAGCTGAAAGGAAGTATAGAAAGATTTTTTAAAAATAAATAAACTTCTGACACCAAAATAAATTTCTGTTCTTCATACTGGGTTGGGAGGTGGGGGGCCCTTTTATCTGAATTACAGAATGGATAGAATGTATCAAGTCACAATACAGAGAGTTCATGATCAGGTACCTGTGAAATCTTGCACATTTTTAGTGAGGATTATCATGACTAAGAACAAAGTGATTGTGAAAGCATCTGAGTTTCAAAAACAACTTGCAGTGTAGTGCAACAAAGTTAATAAATTATGTTACGGAGCTGCTCTTCAGCTGTAATTTTCAGAGCAGCTTACAAAAAACAAATAAAATAAAATAATACAACCAAGCAAACAAATAGCAGGCAGCTAAAACCAGCATAAAGATAAAGCACAGAAGGCTAAAACCAGATTTTATTTAATCTCTTAAAAACATCCCAAAATTTAATCACCAATTTAGCTTAAGCCTTTTGTGAACGGAAAAAAGAACTAGGTGCAGTGTAAAGTTTTAGACTTGGGTGAGGGAGATCTGAGTGACTTTGACCAAACAACATAGGTTGCCCGTCCCTGCACTAGAGGAAGTGAAGGACACCAATAATGAGTAACATTTCTATCAGTAAAGTTAAATATACTGATCAGTTACAGAAAATGATCAAGAAATGTAAAGAAGTTTGTCTTAAAACAGCTCTTATTTATATGTGGGTACAAATATTTCTCCTGAAGTGCCTTCCTTTCCATACCTTACACTCAGACATTCCCAAGACGGTTTCGTACGAAAAAGGATCAGTCGTTTGTTGTCATCAGTCAGAGCAAAGTAGGTTCCTGATGAAGAAAACGTGCAGGCAAGGATATCGTTACTTGCTTCACCCGCTGACTTTCCGTCATCTCTAAAAACAATGAGAAAGAAAAAAAATATTCAAGACCTAGAGGTTTTGCACCCAGTTACCTCAGACTGCTAAGAACAGGAATTGCTATTTAGTAGGTTTGATCAATACAACATTCGTTTATTGACTAGAGTATCTGTACTACTAAGTAAATGGATACCTTATGGAATTATGTTTTCTATTATTTCAGAGGGTATCCTTCCTTCCACAAGTGTGCAGTAAGATCAGATTTTTAAAAAACTTTACACACCAAATCCTTTCTTATAAACAATGGTGAAGGCAGCGCTTATGGTCGAAACAGAGATATCTATAGCCCACCCCCCAATGGCAGATGATGGGGTAGCAGCAAAGAGGCCTTCCTTCTTATTTAAAAAAAACATTTTACGGCTAGGAGGCAGCCAGTCAGGAATATACATGTTTGCAGATATTCACTGTACTATTTTTACTTTAAAATAGCTGAACAGTACAGTGTGGTGTAGTGGTTAAGAGTGGTAGACTCGTAATCTGGTGAAACCAGGTTCGTGTCCCCGCTCCTCACATGCAATTGCTGGGTGACCTTGGGTCAGTCACACTTCTCTGAAGTCTCTCAGCCTCACTCACTTCACAGAGTGTTTGTTGTGGGAGAGGAGGGGAAAGGAGATTGCTTTGAGACTCCTTAGGGTAGTGATAAAGCTGAATTCAAACTCCTCTTCTTCAGTACTCATTCCCAAGTAAATGCACTGAGCATCAGGGCAGCAGAAGCAAGCACCATTTTATCTGTGTAGGTGCTATGATTTAAGCGAGTTTTAAAAATGACAAACTGCATATGCCCAGCACACTTTTTATTATTAGGGTAGTCAAATAGTTTTTTGCTTGGTATATTTCTCTAACTGATCAGGGATGTGGAAGCACTTGTAAAGTGTGGAATGGTGGTGGAAGGGAGAAATATTAAATTATGTAGTTCACAACTGAAGAAAAACACACGACCATTTAAAACCCCATCCCATACCGGACTATTGAGTCCAAGGTTTAGAATCACTTAGCTGCATCACTGCATATAAGTAGTTTGTATTCCTCAATTTGTTTTTGTATTTTATGTGACATTGGTGGTAGCGGCAACATTTATTCTCAGCTACAAACAACAACTCTAAGAGATGTAAATGTCATTCAACAGAGTTTCTGAATAAATGGGAATGCAGCGGATTTCCTACTGCAGATTATGGAAAAATTAAACAGTCTTACCCTTGATTCTGTTGAAGTTTCTCTGTTGCTGTGGAACAGTCATAAATGAAAATATCTTCATTCCTGGAAATTATATAATTACATCAGGTCAGTATTTTCCAATAAGCATAGTATCAGTTGTGTCTCATCTTACTTACCATGCCTTTTTAAACAGTAAAATTTCAAAATTAATGAGGTTTTCTGTTTCATTTTATTGCAGAGGAACATATAGACATGGAAAATACTAGGGCAGAAAACACAGAGAAGTTTTAGAATCTTTCATGAAAAGTATCTTTTACATGGTTCTTTTTTTTCAGACTTCTGCATTATTACCACAGATGTCTGTACCTCTATACAGTAAATGTAATTAAATGGTCCATTATTTATTGGCCAGAGACTGATACAGAGCTTCCTTATAGCACAGCTTTATACATGTCCACTCAGAAGTATATCCCATTGAGTTAAATGGGATTTACCCATTTCACAGTTCAATTACAGAATCCGTCTATTAAGAGGGATCAGGTAGTAACCATGGGAAGTTTGAAAACAATAGGAGTGGAGACCTATTGTCAGCACTAACAATACACTGTTTACCTAGAGTAGCTGACTCAAAATAAAGCAACTCATTATATAATATCTTGAAACCCAAGTGATCATATATTTTCAGAAGAGCAGTGGGTAATACATTCTCCAAAGCAGGAAATGTGCAGAAAATAAGAAGCAGAGAACGTGCGTACTCTGATTGCTTTTACTTCTGAAAGCATTATCTATTTTGGAACCTTTTTAGCAGGAAAAAACATGTAAATTCAATCATCCTAAACCTATAAGGATGGAGAAAGGCTGTCCACCCCCTTCATCCGACCAGCATTTCATTTGTCGGAAGAGCACTGCAGCCTATTTCCTCTAATTATATAGATCAGCGTTGTCCCACAACTTTTCTAAGCTGTTCAGCATTATGCACACTGACCAGCTGCCTGGATAAACTGTGTGCACACTGCCACCGGTTATTGATCCTGACCCACTGTGAGTATAAAAGGAGGGCAGCTTTGAAGTAACTGATCAGAATTAAAGGGTCACCCGGTTACCGCTTTACACACTCCGTTAAAGAAACACACAACCCTTCTCACACAGCGGCTGCCTTACAGCGGAATCTTAACCGTGCCTACTCAGAGTAAGTTCAATGATAAATGAGGTTAGGGCTGAAGTCTCAGCAGATATATAGACAAGACGACGGGAGAGCGAGGCTAGAAGAGGCTGAACAAGAGCTCCTCGGCCCGGTTTCACTCACCCAGGCTCTTTGTAAAGGGCCGCCAAGAGCTTGGCTCCACCGGTGACCACCATCAGGTCCCCGCAGACCGCCAGCTCCGGGGAAGAACCCGCAACCCCGGCGGGGTCAGCCGCCTCCATGCCCGACAACAGAGCCGCGTGCGGGAAGCCACACAGCCGTCGCCGGCAAATGACGTCACTGCGGGACTCCTTGGCAAGGGCCCCTCCTCCCCAGTTGAGGAACGGGAATCCCCACCTCTCCCTCGCCGTCACTCAGCAGCAAGAGAGCGCTGCTTATTGGATACTGCAGGGAATGTGGGTGGAGCAAGACCCCTGACAGAGGAGGGACCTTTTCCCCCTGGGCGGAGGTTGCAGCAGGGACGAGGTTGGGTGGGACGCTGAAATGGCGACGGCTCTGCTAATCTCCTGCGGCCGTACTGCCGTGCTCAAGGTAACCGAGGGTGAAGATCCGAGAGGCGCTTTCGGGCTGGCCGCTCCGTCGCCACAGTGCCGTTTATAATGTTTGTGCACACAGACCTTGTGTGCGTCAGGATTCGACCTGACGTTTCCGGGTTGTGCAGCTTGAGTCAGTGCATTATTCCTTGGCAGTAAGTTTTGCTGATTTCAGTGGGACTTAGAAGATGGCAGTAGGGCAGGCTTCCTCAGCCTCGGCCCTCCAGATGTTTTTGGCCTACAACTCCCATGATCCCTAGCAAGCAGGACCAGTGGTCAGGGATGGTGGGAATTGTAGTCTCAAAAACATCTGGAGGGATGAGGTTGAGGATGCCTGCAGTAGGGTTTTAACTGTAACTTCAAAGCCTGCAGAGCAATGGGCAAACTCTTAGCTGCGTCTTTGATTTTGGCTTCTCATGCTATCATTTATTTTTATTGATATTGAATGGAGGAGGCTGTCACTCAGAGGTAACGTCCAACATTTGCATCCAAAAGATCTCAAATTCAGTCTGGCATGTGTAGGTAAAGGAGCTCTGGTAGCAAAGCCAGGAAATAACTTTTCCGGAGGCCTTGGAGAACAGGAGAACCACTGTAAGTCAGACTAGACTAGAGCGTGCATGGCAGATTACATTTTCATTAATTTATGTTTTATGTGGGGCTGCCTTTGAAAATGTTCAGACCCCCAACTATGAATTCAACACTGTGACACACACACACACACACACCCGCCTCATGGAATTCCTTCCATCAGCTTAGGCTAGTGGCCTACTTGCAAACCTATCCAGTAGGGATAACTTGGCTACAGTAATCTATGCTCTGGTAACCTCAAGTCTGGATTGCTGCAATATGTTTTATGTGGGGCTGCCTTTGAAAATGTTCAGAGCTTGAGTTAGTTCAGAATGTGCCTGGCCGACTGGTGATGGATTTGAGGCAACATAAGACATGCCTGCTGGATCAAGCCAGTGGCCAGTGGCGCAGCTATAGTCCAGCATCCTGAGGGAAGCCTGCAAGTTGGACATGAACCCCACAGCATTCTGCCCATCTGTGATTCTCAGCAACTTTATTCAAAGGCATAATGCATCTGACAGTAGAGAGAGAACATAGCCATGAATTTGTCTATAAGAACAGATAATATAACACCTAGTCTGTTCCAACTTCGCTAGCTGCCTGCATGCTTCCAAGCCCAATTCAAAGTGATGGTTTTGACATACAAAGCTCTTTCCTGCTCAGGACTCCAGTATCTTCTGGAATGCCTCTCCCTATACGAGAGACCCATAGATCTTTGTTTGAGGCTCTTCTCCCTTCTGAGGGAGGCTAATGACAACGGAGAGGGCCTTTTCAGTTTTGGCTTTGTATCTGTGGAATTTGCTCCCCACCAAAGCCTTCGTTGACATCTTTTTGGCACCAGGCAAAGGCTTAGCTTTTGTCCCAGGCTTTTGACAGACTAAGACAATATTGCTTGTTATTAGTATGCTGCCAAAACTTCCTGTGGCTAGTATGGGGTTGTTGGTTGCTCTGTTTTATGGTATAAATAAATTTGAGATTTTAGCAGAATTGTAAGTCACTTGGAGACCTTCGAGTAACAAGCAGTCAACAAACCAAATAATAGAAGTAGTAGTGCGAGTACTGACATGGTTAGCTTGTGTTCATATTCCTGTTTAACAGGTGCTATAAACTATAGGTTGTTGTGGTGCAGGCTTTAAATCTTCTAGTTGTATAAGGCTATAAATTCTGCAGTGAGTATTTCTTTAGGTATGTTTAGTGCCACTTGCCACTTTTAGACTACCAGTAATTTCTTCACTGGTAAAATAATAAAGTTCCTTACAGCCCAGGTAAAAGGCATGGTGGTTTTATTAGATGTTAACCTACATTAATGTAATATTCTACAATGATGCAGAAGGTGTATGTTGTTGTTGTCTTCATTCTCTCCCACCCGCACCCCAAATTGTACATTACATTCACTTGTCAGTCAGTTCTGTATTTGGAGCAGGAGAAAGAAGCACACTTCAGTGTGCTAGCACCAAGTTTTAACATTCCTCTTAATTGCAAGGCATCCGTAACCATTTCCAGATATAAAAATAAAAAAGCATTTATATGCACTGTACCTGTTTCATCTGCACAGAGCTGTGTCAAAACCCTTACTTGAAAGTAAAATCCATTTACTTGTACCAAACGTATGCCCCTTTAAGTGAGGCTGGAAAAAACTAGGTATAGTTGTACAGGTGCATAAGCATTTGATATATATGCTTAGGACCTGAAGTAAGAATATTTGTTTGAGAGTAAGGGTGTCTTTTTATATTTCTAAAAGTTTGTGCATGTTCTATGTGAATACTTGTTGGTACAAATGGGTATACATGTAGCAACGTAGGCTTTTGTTAGTTAAGACAACATTTCAGATCTCATAGTTTTCTTAATTTGCACAGTTTATGCTCTGGAAGGAATTGCAGGGAGTGAGTGGTCTGTTTTATCACAACTGCTGTACATATATGCCTGATTTTTAGTCATATTTGTCTACATTGTGCTTTATACTTTTTGTAGCCTGAGTAATTATAAATGACATTATTAAATCAAGTGTCTTTCTAATTATTACAGATTTTCTACTTATTTCTAATTCTTTTACAGACTTTTAAGTTGCAAGCATGGGGGCTTCGAAGTGTACCTCCTGCTGTTTCTCTCTGCACCAAACCAGGGGGTGATAAGAAAGTCTCCAAAAGAAGTAAGGTACCTTTTCTTATTTGTTAATTATGCAAGTTATAAGATGGTTTGCATAACATTTTGTAACAATATTGATCAAAAGTTTGTTAGTTTTAATGGTCTGCAGAATGTTAAGATTCAGATTTTTAAAATTACATCTAGTGGTTATTACCATATTCTAGGTATTCTGTAGAGGACTTGTAAAGCAACTTTTAAAGATTGTATGCCACAGGTTGTTCACCTAAAATATCAAGGTTTATTTATAAAATAATTGGATTATTCTAACATCTTTTAAGAGATTAAAACATTCAAAGCAGCAATACTTGCAGCTGTCAACCTATTAAACTCCATTTAACAATTTCAGTGTAATAGACAGAAGGCAGATATTTTAGGAAAACGCTCTCTATAACTAGCCTTTAGAACAGGAATACTACAAGTCCCATCATCCCTTATCATTGACCATGCTAGCTGAGACTGATGGGAGTTGGGAGTCCAACAGCTCCAGGAGGGCCAGATTCATCTCTGTTGTAGAGTTTAATGATTTCTAACAAATGGATGACAGGAAAGCAGAGCACAAGGAAATTAGGCAACCCAATGAAGTTCACATTTCTCACTACATCAATAATGCCATTCCCAGCAGCTCATTGGGTTTTTCTTTATTTTTCTTTATTTGCAGTAAATTTATATCACATGCCTTGCCTGTATCTAAAATCATTTCAGGGGAATATTTAACAGCATTACCAGCTCCAATAAATGTAAGGTTATGGTCAAAATGTTGGGAGTCCTTCAGCAGTGTTTTTCTTAGGGAAGACAGAGACAATGTATGGGAATAATGATACATGGTTGTTTGTGAAATACATGAGTGGGCTTGTTTTATTAAACACGGTAAGATGTGAAACCTTTTCATGCAGCATCCAATCTCCATTAAAATAGGTTTCAGAATATATACATATAAAACTTACACATTTGGTTGGAAAATCCCTACTATTGGGTTCCTTGATTGATTGATAGCAGTTGCTGATAGAATTCTCCATGCATAGTGAACTCAACAGTAGCAAAATCACTTTCTATTCTGCAATTTGAGAAGGGTATTGGTACCACTCCTGTAGTCTCATCTGCCATTCTTAAATGTTACTTTAGGGAAATTCAATTTGATTCTCTTTGACACAGTATATTTAAGCTTTTTAATATATTTTCCTTGTTGTATGTTACTGTCCACTGAATTTAGACTGCTTCCATACAAACGGCAGGGTCCACACACTATCCAGGCTTATTTGTGTAATCTTTGGGGGGTTTTTAGTAGCTGTGCTTGGCTAAACTTTCTGTTCTCCCAGACTCTGTTATAACTATTAACTTGTAATTACTAGGGTATCTTAACATACAAAAGAGTATTTAGAGTTCGGAAAGTGCAACAAACCATTGACATGTATCTTTCTTCTTTTAACACTCTTAAAAATTTACTCTTGTCCTGTTAAATGTACATGTCTTTGGGCTGTAAACTCCCTGTCTTGCCTCCTTGAAAGGAATTATTATACCTTTTATTATTCCTGGTTTCTCAAATTTGTTAGAGTGACCTGTGAAAACTGAAACAGGAAATAAACACATCATGGTTTTTCCCTGGGGCTCCTCATGCTGTGGTGGAGTAGTCTGCATATTCTAGAGATTGATGAGTGTGCAGTATACCTGTTCTTTTGCACTGATGAAGGAAAGCAATTTCTTGTGAGTGTCATTCATGGAAAATAAAAATGGATTACGCAGATGTTGCTTTTCTGATGCTAATGGAATTGAAAATGCTAGTTTGATATCTAGTATTTTCCTCTGACAGGAGTGTAAGCACCTTTGTTATTCATACCATCCTTGTGCTTTGCATCCTTAAAAGCTCTGTAAAAACCGTTTTACAGTATATCAGTCTGGTTATCAATGACAATGATCATTCTTCAGTTGGAGCAAATTCAGTAGCATTTGAGGAGAATGTGTGGGTGCAAGAATTAAGTGTGGAGAACTGTGGTGCTCTCAATGTTGCTACTTAGAAAGTAGCTGCAATGTGGCCATTGACTTTTAAGTTACAAGTTCTGTTCAGTCCCTAATTAATTTTCTCAATGCTAACTTCACTTATCAATAATCTGAAAATGAATAATTCTGCTACCATGCTTTAAATACTGTCCTCTTCTTCCCAGTCTTTAATGATGGTCAGTTCTCATTTTCATGTTGATGATTTCATTCTTTCTTAGCTGTCTGAACTTCATAGCATGTATACTACTCTGGCTTAGTTTTATGCTGTCTTGCTTATTTAATGTCTTTTGGCACTCTCTGCTAAGGTTTCTGTTAAGTGCTCTTGGTGCAAGAACAACTTAGAATAGGATTAATTTTACTGTTCCTAAGATCCAAACATACTGATTCCCTGCATTACGATCACATACTTAATTGATTCACATACCGTATTTTTCGCCCCATAGGACGCACCGGCCCATAGGACGCACCTAGTTTTTTGGGGGGGAAATAAAGGGGGGGAAATTATTTCTCCCCCCACCAGGCGCTTGTGGGGCCGACAGCGGGGAGAAGAGCTCTTCTCCCCGCTGCCAGCTTTCAAACCAGGTCCGCGGACAGCGGGAAGGCGCGCTGCGCCTCCCCGCTGTCCCCCGAGCTTGCGGGGCTGGCAGCCGGGAGAAGCACGCGTCTCCCCGCCGTCAGCCTCCAAACCACATCGGGAGACAGCGGGATGGCGGCGTTCCGCCTCCCCGCTGTCCCCTGAGCTTGTGGGGCTGGCGCTGCGGCTCTCCTGAAGCCTGGAGAGCGAGAGGTGTCGGTGCGCACCGACCCCCTCGCTCTCCAGGCTTCAGCGAAAGCCTGCATTCGCCCCATAGGATGGACACACATTTCCCCTTCATTTTTGGAGGGGAAAAAGTGTGTCCTATAGGGCGAAAAATACGGTACTTGATTCCAAAATACAGCCTTCTGTGATTAATTGGTGCTTAGACAATTGGTAACAAATCAAGGAAATGCACCCAGCACATTACAGAGGAGTCAAAAGAAAATGTGGTCCTCTCCTTTTCTTCAAGGAATCTTGGGTGCACTTCCTAGATCATGAAGTCTGCAAAACATATGGGGGGAGTCTTGACCAGTAAATCTTCCTTCTGTCTCTTAAGATCTTGCATAAGTACTACATCTTTTTCATTGATGAATATTTCTAATAATGAACAAGAGGTCATATAATCAATGTATGCAATTCACTGCCACAAGAAATACTGATGGTGGCTTTTAACAAGAATAGATTAATTGCTGTAGGATAGGTTTATAAATGGTGGTTACACTTGTTGTGTATAGAGGAAGAATGCTTCTGAATGTTAAGTACAAGGGAAGGTCCTACTCCAGGAAGCACCACTGAAAGGCAAAATATGCATTCTGCATGATAAACAAATACTGGAAAAGGCAAATGTTTTCTTTTCCATGGAAAACCATAAAATAGGAGGATCGCACTCCCAACAGATTATATTGCTGCTGTTGAAAGTTTGTTTGAATAAATTTCTCACAAAATGTGTTGAATGTAGTTGAGGTACTTAGATACTGCAGTGCTAAATATACTCTTCACACTGCTAAGTGTGCTCTTCACAATGCACTCGAGGAGATAAGAGAGTGTTTTCATCCACATTTCACAGATTGGAACAGAGCGTTTCTGATGAAATGATGTTCACAGGCAGCGTGGCACAAAGAGGAGGAAATAACCTTCATGTTCCTGTGAGAGAATTCTGCAAGCAAAGGACACTTTTTGACATTTTTGTATGAAATGCAGCGTGTAAGGGAAACTGAGCTTCCAGACTGCTGTTTATACCAGATAACTTCACAACTATTAAGTACAATTCCATATTAATGGGTGTGTTTGAAGCGGTCTATTCCAAAATGATATTGTTCTTTGCCATTTTGTAGATGTAATTGGCACCAAAGGAGTGTGTGAAAACAACAGTTGAATGTCGTTTAAAAGCTGTCTCCTCTTTTCCACAATTTACAGATAAAGGTGAGATAATTAACACTAAACCTGATGCTGCTGTAAAATTAAAAGATGAAGATCTGAGGAAATACTTGGCTAAGAAAACTGTGGTAAAATTTCCTCAGAGAGCAAAGCTTCCTTCTCTTGAGGGACACTCTGTTGTTTCCTCAACAGCAGGCTTGGGGAAGAAGAAGGGAGATGAAGAGACATCCTCTTCCTCAAGCTCTGAGTCAGATTCTAGCTCAGATTCTGATGAGGAAGATTCCGCCTCCAAAGATACCATAAAAACCAAAGTATCATTTCCAAGTCGAGATCCCCCCTCTTCTGGTGATAGAACGAAGAAAGCAAAGATAACAAGCGAAAAACACTTTCCCCAAGAGCAGGTCAAAGGCAAAGCAGCTAAGAAGCTCCCGTATAGTCCTGGATTCACAGAAAGCCCTGTGAAACAAAAGGAGGTGCATCAGACAACAGCCGGTGACAAATTGTTATGGTCAGATTTGTCAAAGTCTGCCACAAACCGAAGACACGAAGAAGCTCGTTTAAAGAGCACCGACTTTGGAACAAAAGTTGCAGAGAGTCAGAGGCCAACAGACGTAGCTAAGCAGCTGGAGGCATCTCCCCCTGAAGCATCTCCCCTTGGAGCAACTTCAAGTATATTGTCTAGACCTCAGTCAGTCCCTCAACAAAATGCAGCTCAAAATCTGACTTTGCCAAGACAGGGGGGAAGTGTGGCAGTGGAGGCACAAAAGACTGACATGCAAGGAAGAACTGCTGCTGTGCCACAAGGAGAGGTTTTGGGTGGCAGAGTGCCAGCGGCAGAAATCACAGTGAAGGAGGAGATTGCCCTGGAAGCAGGAGTTCAGACTGAACAACAAAGCACTATACAGGGTATCACTTTATCTTGTTTGTTCTACACTGATGTGCTGTGGGGGCTGAGGGCTGTTTATGAGCAAATACCTTGTACTCTTGAGTACTGACATTACTGAAAACATTCTGGAATCTCTTCTGCTCTTTTCTAGAGCTTAATGCAGTTGTTTTTGCAGGCTTTTCTGCTTTGCTGATGAGTTCTTTGTCTAGTTCTTTGCGCTTCCAGTCTTCTTTTCTTTGATTCTCCTGCTTGGCTTTTAGACTGTTGGTGGGAGAAAGCAGTACGTGTTTTCACAGCATTCTTCTGTACCAGTGATTATAACCATCTGAAATACTGAAAGGTGACAAAAGGAAGGGAGGTCCTTCAAAGCCAAATTGAGCAGAGTTCAAATAGGCTGCCTTATCAAAATCGGAATTTTGCTCCACTTTTGCTAGAAGCACAATGAGGCCATTGAGCAATCTATTTTGCAGTCTCCTTCTCTTCCTGCACAGCACTTGCCCTCAGGCTTAACAGCTGATTTTCTGCTGGGACTGTCTGTTCCTCCAGTACTCTCGACTCTTGTCTTTCTCCTCCTTTCACAGTTCTCTTGTAGATGCATAAGCCGACTCTGCTGTGCTGATGCGATCACAAGGAACAAAGTTAGCTATGGCATCAGAGGAATGATGGGGACGCTCTGCCTTCAGGCTAGCAAAGATATCGCTTCGGAATCCAGCATTAGCAACAAGGGACATTCACAGCACATGCCTTTCTCATATGTTCTCCCCTAGTAATATATCTCTGATATTGGAACTCCCATACACATTTGGTCTTGTAATGTTTGTAGACTATGAGGGAGTCCTTTGGTCTCAAAACACACCAAAACCTCACAAGAAATCAATTCTTGTCTCTCTCTCCCCTCACCCATCCCAATATGTCAAAGACTGGATAAGTTCATCCATTCAAACCATGTTCTCCATTATGTCCTTCCTCTGTCTTGTATTCTGTAGTACACTCATCTTATTCTTTAAAAATCTTTTTTTTTTTACTAAAACATTTTCTCCCCAATAATTTGTCACTCTACAAGGCAGAGAAAATAATACTCAAGCCAGTTGAAAGGTGACTTCTACATGGCATGAAAAGTAAGGAAGCCTACTGGAAGAAACTATTTAATTGAGTGCTAATTTTACACACGCCATTATTGTGAAGCTTCCCAAATGTTTGGGCTTCTGTGTATCCAGCAGAGGGCAGTGGTGACTAGAAGAAGCATTGTTGAGACTATACACTGAGAATGCTTTGAGCCTTTTATTTCTACTTGGTTGTAGCCCAGGAAAAATTGAGATAACTGCAGTTAAGCGTGGAGGAAGGGGAGGTTGGTGAAACATGAAACCTTAAAGCAGACCATATTTAATTGTCAAGTTGTAATTCAGTGGAAGTTAGTGGAACCACTTGATGCTGATGTCAGTCTAACTAAAAGCCAAATATGTGTGGGTTTCTATACAGGGCATAAACATTTTAAAGTCCTATTGATTTCAGAGGAAGAGGCTGCAACATATGATGAGTTTTCCCATTGTTAATCAAGTGCTTGGCTATGCACAAAATCTTTTGCCTCTCTAACACTAGGTGCAAGCTTTTCTGCTGTTTCCATTTTCTATGTCCTTCACCTACCAACCAAGGCATAATACAGAGCATAGAGGGGACTCTGTATATCTTAAAATAAAAAAGAAAAATAATGATCTAAAAATATACATTGCTCATTGTTAAAGGCAGGTGAATGAGAATGCAATGTTGAGTAAAATATTGAGTCATATAAACTAGTTGTGGTCATAATAGTCTTCAATTTCTCAATTTGGGAGATGCTTCCTTAGGAATTTTTATATGTTACAGCCAAAGGAGCACCAGTCTTGTGTTTCATGGCAGTGACAGGGTTCTTATTGCACTGCACTGTTTTTGTAGAAGTTTATTGAAGGATGAACATCTTTTGGATTTTGTGAACTTAGTAGGGAGCTAAATACTCTGAGGGAGGTGAAATGCAAATATATATTTAATATAAATTTTATAAAGTTTTAATTAGATTTAGGTTCAACAGCAAACTCTCTTTGATTTTGAATACTCCATTGGAAGTAGAAAGCTGTAGAGTAGTTTCAAAATCTGCAAAAAATCAACCATTGAGCCCTTGATCCCAAAGCAGAACATGCATATGCAGCGGAGACCAGTGCTGTGAGCCCTGAGTGGCTGGGGAAACCCAGCCAGATGGGCGGGGTATTATTATTATTATTATTATTATTATTATTATTATTAGTCTGAGCTGTGCTTTCTTGTTTTTCACAGCAGCACTTCTGCTGCCAGGGAAAGACACTTTCTTGCCTCTAACATTGAGAATGGTTGAGATACAAATCAACAACAAAGCTTGAATTGCACGTGTGGGATAGTCTCACATGCACATGCTCCTGTTTTGAATCTTGGCATTAGTTTTCCTGACTGAGAATATTAAAAGAAACAAACTAACCTTCACAAAATCAGTTGCAGCTAGATGTGTACCTTTTATTTTATGTAACTTAAGGCACTGATTGCTATATGTTCAAATTCAAGTTATGTTTAATATAGTATATTTTTGATTTCTCATAAAATATCAGTGGTTAGCTGCTGTTTCCAGTGACAGAGAAATCTCCATGAAATCTGACTTGGCCAGAAATAACTTGGTGTTTATTTTATCTCTGAATTCACAAGTATATTTTCTCCTCATAGAGGCCGAGCCGCCAGTTGAAACTGCTCCAGAAACATTTGACATGTCTACCTACAAGAATCTGCAGCACCATGATTATACATCATACACCTTTGTGGATTATGACGTTCAGCTTGCAAAATTCAGGCTGCCTCAGCCATCCTCTGGGAGAGTATCTCCACGACATTGAATCAAATGCGGAAATGCACAAACAAATTAATTCTGACAATGAAGGAATATCCATGCTACAATTAAAGTGCTGCAAATGAGTTTGCTGGCTGTCAGTTTTTTAAACACATGGAACCCTTTGAGAAGTTACAAAATCAGGTTCTAGTTCTAACAATAATCTCCCACTGTGCATTCTCAGTGGCAGACTTGCATTGCTTAAATTATCGGGAAAATCCCTGCTAATGAAATCCATTCAGATCACCTTTCAATTGAGACTAAACTCAAATCAGTCATACCTCGGGTTAAAGTCGCTTCAGGTTGAGCATTTTCAGGTTACGCTCCGCGGCGACCCGGAAGTAACAGAACGTCTTACTTCCGGGTTTCGCCACTCGCGCATGTGCAGATGCTCAAAATGACGTCACGCGCATGTGCAGAAGCAGCAAATCGCAACCCGTGCACGCACAGACGCAGGTTGCGTTCTGCTCAGGATGAGAACGGGGCTCCGGAACAGATCCCGTTCGCATCCAGAGGTACCACTGTAGATAAGGCAAATAATACTGCATTTTCAATACAGGCAACTCCCGGTTTATGCAGGGAGTTGTGTTCTGAGGAATTGTGCATTTATGTGAAATGCATATATTTGAAACACTATCTAAAAAGCCTGCAAACACCCTCTAAACTTCTGGAAACCCTTGAAAAACCTCTTTTAAAACTCCACTTTCATTTTTTCTTAAAAAAAATTAATATAATGAAACTTCTTTTGCTTGTGTTTAGAAATATGTAGACGAAGATGAAGAAGAATATGAAGCTAGCTAGTTGACTCTGCTAGCCACATATAGCTTTAGGTAGCTATAACTCTGGCCTAGTGGGACTAATTTGAAGTGTTTCATTACTAGTTGAAAGCAAACAAGATGCCATATGTGAGCTGACTCCAGGCTTAGGCTGCAATCCTAACTAGGCATACTCTGATACACATCCCATAGAATTCAGTGGGGTTAGGACTGCAGCTTTATTCAAGCTTAGAGTAGACCTGTTGAAATTTGTGGGACAAGTTGATTGTGACTAACTGAAGTCCAATTGATTTTAGAGGGTCAATCAATCAATCAATCAATCTTTATTGCAGTCAAAGACCAGCGAGCATCGTTAACAGCAACAACATATACCACATCATAGCTGTCAACTTTTCCCTTTTTTAAAGGGAAATTCCCTTATTCTGAATAGGATTCCTTGCAAGAAAAGGGAAAAGTTGACAGCTATGTACCACATCTGCATGAAAAAGCAGGTCTACATTAAGCATGGCTAACTCTGGATCCAACTTGCATGCATGTGTCTACAACTATGTGTCAGCAAGTGAATAAGATACATTATGTGTTAGAGAGATGAACATGATTTTAGAGCTGTGTTCTTTTAGCATTCAAATTTTATATCTCTACTTTGCCTTTCTCCTGTCCCCCCCGCGCCATGCCTGAGGTAACTTAAACAATGGACATGTTTGTTTATGTCTCATTGTTCCATGTTGTACAAACTATTGTTAAAACTGGAATTAGCTTGCATGCTCCAATTCTGCACATTTGGGAGAAGGAGTTCAGAAGCTTCCAGTTTTGTCTGACACTGGTTTATTGCTTCATTTGGACCAATAAAATGTGGTTAACATTAATAATAGTTCTTTTCAAATCAGCCAACTTCAGACCATAGTTACTAAGTTGGTTTGTTTTAAATTTCCCATAGTTCAGATTAACTGCAGTACTTTGTCTGAATAATGTGGCAAGCTATGATTAATTAAAAGCAGAAATGAAAGGATCTGAAGTCCTCCCAGAAACACAGAAGAACAAAAAGGAAGTAGAGTCCAGACTGAAAGATCTGTGCAGCTCTTTAAGGCATGTTCGCAACACATTAAATTATGGTTTAGTGTGATGTGCAAGACATGCCAATTTTAAATATAATAAAAAAAACAAATTTTATTGCTGTGGGTTGTATCAGATGACACTAAGGCTTCTGTCACTGGAACTGGGTTGAAACAATTAAGAGACGACTTCTTCCCCTTGCAATCTCTCCCCAAATCTTCTCAAGAGGGTTGGGGGACTCTCCAGAGCAGATTTAGAAGGAGTGCAAGAGGGAATTGCCCAAAATACTGTGTCTGATGAAGCAACCACAAAACCTCCAACACAGCAGTGTCATTTTGGGCAAAAATAAGTCATTTATTAACATTTCTCCCCCTTTTTTGCCTAAAAAATCTCACTGTACCTTAAAGAGGTCAAGGACATATAGGGACAAGAGGAGCTTAATAACAAGGGGGATCTGTAACGGCCTTTGTTTCTCATATTAGAAGTTTTCCAAGAGCAAGGTTAAGCAAACTGAGGGCTGTATAGCTTCTTCCTTCCAAGGCTCAGGAATGTTCCTGGACCATTGGTCCTTAAGTCTTAAAAATCCTCTTGGTTTTTTGTTTTTTTAATTTACACTCTGTAAGCACCTGTTGGAGTTCTGGACTTATACTAAAAATAGATGCCATTTTAAATAGAAGTTTGGCTGGGTATCTTTGTGCCTTTTAAAACTATCTATAAAACAGGCACCCTTTTTGTTCCTCTCTCTGAAATTTGGCAGGTATTTTCCCTTGGAGGGCAGTAGAATGAATACCTTTAAAAGTTGTGTAGATTGGTATTTTCCATCCAAACTTGCCAGCAGCAAGAAAGTGTCTGGATCTTCCATCAAAATCAGTGGGAAATAAGTAGAATTGACCAAATGGGGAAAACTTGACATAAAATGAATGTTGTACTAATTAATTAAAAGTAAAACAACAGAATGTTATTAAAGAAGAAAATAGAGTGGGAAACATACACAGCCTCATTGCCACCTTCCTCCAACTGACATGCCTCACTATGTTCATGTATGTATGAAATTTAAAGTAATCTCTGGTGATTTTTAATCCTCCTGGGCCATACTTGCTTTCAGCCATCTTCATCTCTTGTACGTAAGAGCAGTTTACCAACATGAATTAATATTCATTTATATTAAACGTTTGTGTGTTTCAGCAAAACTACTGTCTGCTTTACTACTGCCTGAACAAGACACTACTATGTCTACAAAAGACACAAGTGCCAAAAATTCACTATGTTCCTTAACATGAACAGCTCAGTCGGCTAGAGCATGGTGCTGATAATGCCCAGGTTGCAGGTTCAATCCCCGTATGGGACAGCTGCATATTCCTGCATTGCAGGGGTTTGGATTAGATGATCCTCAGGGTCCCTTTCAACTCTACAATTCTATTATTCTTTGAAAGGCAATGTTGCTGCAATAAATTCAACTCCAAGGTAACAAACCAGCCAACAGATACTGAGGAAAATAATGGGATATGTCCAAATACCACATTGATTGATTGTCCCTTTCCAGATCTTTCTGAACAGCTGCACTGCTTGACAATCTTACCGCCAACATTACTACAGCTCTGTGACACCACTGCACGCCCAGGAATCTCCAAAGCATTAAATCTTCACACTTTGATGGCCCGGATTCTAATACCACCCGTGCAATGCTCCATATTAGATTTTTCAATTATGTCGCTTAATTTCTAAAGTGATGCATTGGTCCAAAGTCCTATTAGAGGACTTCCTTGCTGCTCGAGTAAGCCGTACATAACGTTAATATACTTTTCATTTTTATTACATACATTTTGAGACTTGTTTTAGGATTAGAAAAAAATATATATGTATGCTTTGGTTTTATATCACACCAAGGAAAATGAATTGCCAGTAAAAGCAAGCAATTTGGGCTCTATATGCACACAGGAAGCTTACTGAGTAGGAAAACAATTTCCTAGACTTACTTTCCAATTGCAAGCAGACTTTAATTGCCTTCTGTTCAAAGTAGACTTTAAAATGTTTGTAATCTTGCATAGGCAGCTGATGGATTCAGTCTGATGTTTTGAGTGATAGTGAGAGCATTATTGAAATGCAGTAATTAAGATAAAAACTACAAGCTTCCCTATTTTCATACTTAATTCAAAATTAATCAAAATTACAAAAGAAATTAGGAATGGTTTTGCAGCTGTTGAATTGACTGCCTGGGTTTCCACTCCTTTTTCTCTCCCCATCTGGTGTCTATTGCCATACCCACAAAATAGAAGCTATTTTGAGGTAGGAAACTTTTTCTTACATCTTTAGTCCCATTACAATAAATGTAATTGGGACTTTTAAAGATTAGTGTAATTATACAGAGAGAGAGATGTGCTTGCACCTCATGAGAATATTAAAACTAAAGTTTTTCTATAACGGATAGATTGCCAAAACATGGTACATGCTCAAGTAAAAACATGATTAGAAAAGTCTGAAAATGAGTTCTATCTACCCTTGTCTGCCCAAAGGTTGAAGCTACGTTATAAACTTAAGCCAGGGTTGGGGAACCTGTGGCCCTCCAGATGTTTGGGACACATTGCCATTATTCCTGACCATTTGCCATGGTGCCTGTGGCTGATGCGAGGCAGAGTCCAATGACATCTGCAGGGCCACAGCTTTCCTATTCCTGACCATGAGAACAATAGTTCTGGGAGCATGGTGGGGGCTTACAGATTGATCATTCAGAATTATACCAAGATGTAATTGCCAGGATTCTGTGCAAAAACGTGAGAGTCCCAGTGATGCAGAACTGTTAGATACTTGTGAGCAAAAGGTTGTCTCTTAATACCATGCAATGCTTCAGCAAGGAGCAGGTCAGTCAGTGCAAGCAGTGGAGGGTTGTGGAGCCCCCTTTCAGGCATGGGGCAGCTCTTTAGAGAGCAGCAGGAGAGTTTCCAGTGACACACAGCTGAAATTGGGTAAGGGCTGAATCAGACAGTACAGCATCATGACAATTTACAATCTGGGTTTTCTTGATTTCTTCTAGCAGGAAAAACAGCTGCAAAGGGAAAGTATGGGTGAGAGAGAACGGCTTGTCACCATCCCTTCCTCATTTTGGCTCGCAATGCCTTTTTTTAATGGCCTCTCAACTGCTTCATAGGAAGTGGCACTAAGTGCATTGTAGCATGTGGGTTTCTGGTTCATTCCTCAGGTTAGAAGAGAGAAACTGCATGCCAAACATTGGGGTTGTATGGGAGCTCACTCCCTTTGGTAGAAGTGAGCTGACAAGCAGGGAGCACTGGGATAATTCAATCTTAATAGTTCATGTTGGCTTTTGTGTAGCTAAACTGAAATCCGCGCACCCTTGATGAATTTCTTTGGGAATCAACTTGAATTTGACACAAGGAAGGACTAAATTAGAGAAGAGGCGAGGAGTTGACTTACTATTCTCGGTCAAAGAAGGGGATTGGCCCAAGAAAACCTGCAGGAAAACGTATATCCTTTGGTGACGCCTTTTATAGAATGCCCGGGGTTACATAATAAATTGTAAAGTTCTCAGAAGCTTGGGCAATACCCAAGGTCTGTAACTGGAACTATTAAGGATATATTGCCTATTGGAAGTATCAAATATTTATTCAACTGCATATAATTAAATTAGAAAAGTGGAGAAGCCCGCTCATATTGTCACTGAAAGACTGCTAGCGGTAATACACTAATATATAAGGTACAATTCCATGTAATGGATAGTTTCTATCCCATTTCCAAATGACTTGCAGATGTATGGCTGTTGCAGCTGTTGCAGGCCTTGTAATAGCATTAGGCTCTGACTCAGTCGGTTGGTGCCAATGAATTCTGGCAGTGTAACGTGTTTTGATATTCCCAAGAAGGGAACCACAGTCAATAACAGGCTAATGAGGAGAAACTAAACCAAGAAATGATAAGGCAGCTTTCATCCCACCAAATTTTTAAAGCTATATTTCCTCCTGGGAGAAGAGGCTTATTATTAACCCATATTTACTGAAATCTAACTTTGAAGGACACACTTGAATGTGTACATTGGCTCATGAAATATTTTTCACTCTTATTTCAAACTCTGTGAAAACATGAGGCACTTAAAACCATATTACACCATGCATAAGGTTAATAGGAATGGGTTTGTAATGTTAAAATTTGGCATATAGCATTATAAGAAAGGTATTCTGCAGCTTTATTGAACGGGGCTCAAGGTTATTTATCAAAGTATTGTTTTGAGCACCTGAGTACTTGTAGTCTCCAAAGTCACTACCAGGAATACTACTACTAGCACATTATTTTTTGGGGCGGGAATTGTGTTTAAAGAAAACCTTCCTACCAAAAAAGTCAGGAGGATTTTATCAGTAAGAATGATTTAATACTAAACACTACGCACTGTGAGTGGGCTTGTTTCAATCTTCTCATATATAAAATATATCAGGAAGCAGAAGCACATTTATTTTTATGAGCAGAGACATTCCAGTTACAAGGAGCAGCATAGCAGAAAGGGGGGTGGGAGAGTTCGACTGTTTTCACTTATATTGCTCATAAAGCAGGATTATGTGAAATAAACCCTAGAGACAGAAGCAGTATAATACAACTGAATTCTCTGCTGCGATTAGCACAAGACAGTGCATGCAGAATATGACTTTTATTACTACAACCCCAGATATTTTGGAATATTTATGGAACTTACTGGTTACAGTTGACAAAATAAACCAAGTTCACAGCTGCTCAGATAATTTGTGCTGTCTGTGCAACCATTAGAAAATCATATTAATAGATAAAGGCTTTCTGGCCATTTCCCCCCAAGTTGATTATTCTGACACTAGTACTTCATTCACATCTTTACTACATATTAAATGCCACCCAAGTAAGTTAACATATTACATTTTTATAAAAAGAATATATTGTATGCTGCGTACTTTATTCCAGCTTTATCAAATAAAAAACCCATTTGCAACCCTGTCCATTAGGAATTCTCAAGATTTTAAAAGATTTAACAACTTGCCAACCCCAGAACCAAAAGGACAAGTATAATACCCATTAATTATTTTAAATCAAGCTTTTTAATCACTTGCTTTGTATCATATGTGCTTTTGTTTGTTTTCTTAGAGCTCCAAAGCAGCTCACAACTTTCACTGAATGCATGGCTTGGTCTACTTCCTTTACTCTTCTGGTTGTTGTAGCCCAGTTTTTCTTACATGGCTGCTGTGGATAGAGAAAGTTCTTTCAAGATTTAGGGCGTAATAGTCTCCCCCACAAAAAACCCCCCACAAAAAACAGGCACTTTGATCTTTCAAATGCAAGCAAACTACTTCTGGTTCCACACTTATGGCCAACAGAGACCAGGAGGCAGATCATAGGAAGCTGACTGAAAGTAAGGCAGACCATTGATCCATCTAGCCACACCTTCCAGAAATGGATGAGCCTTTGCTCAGAGGTGCCAGGGTTGAATGAGTATCTTCCCCAATGCCACTTTGTGAATTCAGAGTTGAAATTTTAGCTTTCCCAGCTCACCTTACCAGGCACTGTAATGCATGAGAACTCTGGTCTTAAGATTCTGTTCTTCGTTTTTTCGAGAACATTTATCAAGACCAAACATAATTCCCAACATAATTAGGTTCCTGAACCTAATGGACAGTTTTACATAGATAACATAAAAATTAATTACATCACTTCCACACTAATGTAATAGAACATTAGTGACTATGTAAATAAAGTATTTGTCAAAAATAATTTACATACTACTGTTAAGCTTTTCCCATCAAAATGAATACAGGCATCCATCACACATTTCAATAGAGTCTCAAGCAGAAAAATATTTCTAGTGGGAAATGCTTTTAACTCCAATGCAAGGGTTTTCCTAAAGCATGAAGGAATTCAACAGCACATTGGAGCATTACTTGGTTGAGATGGAGTGTGTACTGTATATGGTATTTCCTGTGCAGCATAGCGAAAGAAGATTATGAGATGGGCTCAGGATGCATTATCTACAGTAACTGGTTTTGGTGCAGGTTTGTGGCAGGGGAAATTGTGTCTTCCAGGCATGAAGAAAGCAGCCACTGGCATTTCATGTACCAATGGTGTCAATATACCGTATTTTTCACTCTATAACACGCACCCGAACATAACACGCACGTAGTTTTAGAGGAGGAAAATCCGTAGGCATGCCACCCGTAGGCATTTCCTCCATAACACACACAGACATTTCCCCTTACTTTCTAGGAGGAAAAAAGTGAGTGTTATGGTGCAAAAAATACGGTAAATGATTCTCATAGGTTTAGAATAAGAGAGGGAAGGCCCTTGAAGCTCATCTAGCCCAGGCATAGGCCAACTCAACCCTCCAGATGTTTTGAGACTACAATTCCAATCATCCCTGACCACTGGTCCTGTTAGCTAGGGATGATGGGAGTTGTAGTCCCAAAACATCTGGAGGGTCAAGTTTGCCTATACCTGCCTGATCTAGCTCAACCCTCTATCACTGCAGGAAATCCCCCACTACTCCAGTATGCCATAAGTGGCCATCCCAGCTCTGCTTTAAAATGTTTAACAAAAAAGAGTCTACCATGCTCCAAGAGTCTGCTTCACTGACAAACAACTCATACTAACAGTTACTCTAAAAACACGTTTCTGGCAATTTGAAGCCTACCCTCTGAAGCAACAGGAAACCCTGTTTCCCATAATCTACTATGTGACAGCCCTTCAAATATTTGAGGATGACTTTATTTTTTATTTTTTCATTCACAAGTACTCTTGCACACCCTTCACCATATGGACGCATGGTATGTTGCAAAAGAATAATACAATTTATGCATTTTTGTTTAGGCAAACCTATCCATATATGCAAAATACTGACATGTGTTTTTACCTGTTTTCAACTTGTTTGTTTTAATAATTTTCTGAATGTTTTAAATAGTTTTAAACTATTTTTGCTGATAATGTCATTGTTTTATTCCTTTTGTAAACAGTTTTGAGGGTTTTTTACCTTCAATCAAGTGGTGCATAAATTAATGGATGAAATGAGTAAAATTATAGAAGACAAATTAAACAGTTCAAACCAAAACATTTCACCCACAAAAGAATTAAGCCAAAGGAAAGAGAATTGTTTGATGTCATACATGGGAACATGTATCCATTTTTATTTACAAACTTGTAAAAGCCCTTTTATTTCAGTTCCAGTTCAATTAAAATCATTATTATACTCATCCATTGACTTCTAAGGAAAAGCCAAGCATGTTCCCTATGCATATTTCTGTTACAGTGCACAGAATTGTAACAGCCAGAAAATATTAGTATTGACCTGACAAAGTGCTCTTTGTTTGAGTTACATTGTATCAGACCAGCAAGACAGTTAACTTACACGTCTTTCTTGTTATTTTAACAGCTTGACTGAGAAAGTGACTATAGAGGAAAACTTTGTGCAGCAGAGGCCCCTTTTAATTTGTTTTAAGCATTTGTGCCCTACGTTTCAGCCAAAAAGGCTTTCCTAGAGGGCTTACATACATTCAGTTAAAACAAGACAGTCCCTGCCCACAGGTTTACAATCTAAAACACACAACACCAAAAGGGGAAAGGGAAAGGGAAGGAAGGCCCTTTTTGTGATCAGAATTCCCACAGTTCCAATAAGTTTGTACAAAGGCCTGCCATAACCGTTATGTGACCATTAAATTGCCCACTCAACATGTTACAACTATTATCACGGGATCCACAGGGAAAGTACCGGTAAATAATTCTTGTCAGCTTCCTGGACGGGGTCTTGGGGTGGTTCCCCCCCCCATAGAATGAAATCAGTGGATATCCACAATAAGAATGATTATGGCTAAAAGGGAGTTATTGCAGTATATCTTTGCTCCCCTATTGTGTAGGAGCAAAGCCATTATGCTGCTAGTATGTTGCGGTGTATACGATGTATATCTAAAAATTTGGCCCAACTTTCCTAAAGCTGTGCCACAATGAGTTTCCCTCAATCCAGGAAGCAGCTTTCAAACTTTCCTAAATGTAACCTTAAGGAAACAAAGCCCACTGTTCATCTGGAAGTGCTCACTCTCCTCTTCAGCCCTGGAGAAGATCAAAGGAACAGGAAGAAAGGAAGTTCACATGGCGTAGGGAAAAGTTCCTTTGTAATCAAGAAGCCTGCAAAAAAGATTGCCCAAATGACCCTCAATTTAGACAATTTAAGGGCTAGATTAAGCACTTTGTAGCGCATACCAAGGCAACCATGCAGCAAACCTTTCTCTGGCTCTTTATGGGCCCTAGAAAAGCTGCTGTTCCTCTATCCATAGAATACCTTCTAGCAGAATTAAGCATAGCAATTCCATAGCCCAGGAGAGTGAAAGAATCATTAATATTTTAAGGATGTAAAGTGAGTATTTGAAATTGTAAAACAGAAATATATATAGAGAGAGAGAGAATATGAGGGAAAGAATCCGCCATAAAATGGTTTTCTTTTCATTACAGCATTTTTCAGTTATTTTTTTTAACGCAGCTGGTGAAGAGGCTTTGAGCTGGTGTTGAGCTAGGAGGAAACTGGAAGCAGAATAAAGCTCTTTATCTAGGAATGGGGAGCTTGTGACCCTCCAAGTTTGACCCTTTCACTCTCTTCAGCCCCAACTAGTATGACCAACAGTCAGGGGTGATGAGAGCTGTAGCCCAGCAATATCTGGGGAGGCACAGCTTCCCCATCTCTGATCTAGATCCAGCGTTTCAGTATATTTCTCTACTGCAAATGAAGTTTTGTTGTTGTTGTATGTCACAAGGACTTCCATTTAATTTGTACCCTAGGACTCCTACCAGCTTTAATCTGGCCCAATTTAAAATGTGGATCTTGCAGCCATTATGTTTATTGCATGGCAGGAAGGCGATTGTCACAGAGTCTTTTAATCCAATCAAAACTATGCTGGCTCAGAATGAGGCTGATCATTTATAATACACATCACTCACTTTGAAATGGGTTGTTTCAATTCTTCATCATGATTTTTTTGTTGTTAAATGGCAGTAAACTACATGCTATGTTCATCCTCGCCTCCCTGAAACAGCCTCCTTCCTGAGATTCAGACAGAATAAACGGCTAACAATTGTTTCCTTCTCTTTAAATCATTTACTCAGTCTAAATCTTTCTCCGCCTTGCTGCAAACATCCTTTCTCTTCCTTAGAAACTGAAGTTTGCTGATCAACTGTGTCTTAATCCTTCCTTTTCTTTCTCCCTTCCTTCATGGGAATCCTTCAGTAATTAACCAGTAAAAGACATGATTTCTAGTGAAACTCTGGCCCCATGTCCATTGCTCTCTTGAGTATCATGTCAGCATTCTGCTGTCATGACTACATAGTAACCCCATTATTCACACTTGGCTCTTTCGTGCTTTAGTTAAAAATGTGCTATTCTGACAGCTCTACCACACAAGACAGCAGCTTGTTCTCCAGAATAGAACCAGAATTGCAGTGGGAAACAGTTTCCCCTAGTACTTTCAGCTAAATCCTTAGTCATTTGTGTTATTACCAGAACACAGAGAAGTAGGCAGACATGCTTAGAGAAAAGAATCCCAAGCAGAAGAAGTATCATATAATGGACAGCCACTGAATATCTAAAGGAAAATTCTTTTATAGACTGTCCTTTCAACTATTCACTTGAGAAGTGCAGAGTTAAATACCTTCCAAACAAAGGGCAGTGATTGAAGACTTTAAAAAATGTATAAAAGACACAATGTACCATTCCATGCAATCCTGTTTTTAAACCTGAAATGCTTTGGGAAACCCTTTTTTACACTTGATTTTCTTACTCTTTCTTTTTAAAAAAGGAATGTATTGCAAAAATGTAAACCCAAAGGCTTAAAAGGTGCCCCATGCTATAATTTGTAGGGGAGTCAGAGGTTGAACAAGTGAGTTAAAGTGAACGTATCCCTAAGAAAATGTATTAACTAATTAGCAGTATGACTTAACAAAATACTTTTTTTTTGGTCGTGGTGGGGTCATGACACTGGATCAATTTCACAATGTTTTTGGTGAAACTATTTTCTCCCCAGCCCTCATCAAAAGACACGGTGGTTTCCTTCTGCATTTGGAAGAAGGTATTGCAAGTATTTACTATGCACATTATGTATGACCAAGGTGGCGTTGGTGAACAGCAGCTGTTAGCACCACCTGTTAAACATGACAGTGACCAATAGACTTGAAATAAAGAGGAAATGTGTGACTTACTATGGGTGACATCCAACTAAGTCTTACTCATAGCAGACCAATTGAGATCACTGTATCTACTCCCAGTAGATATTTGGTTGTATAGCACTTTATATTTATATCCCAAGAGTTCAGGAAGGCTCAAAAGCTTTAAAACAGAACTGCGAAAATTTGCAACCATTAGCTAAGTAGAAACTGCACTTAATTCTTTCACTTTTTTTTTTTTTACTTGATCATTCAGACCTACTAAGATGGCCTTTATTGCAATATCAGCTGTGCAAAACCTATGAAGGTCAAGGACACCTGGAGAGGCAATCACAGCAACTGCTTCTCCTCTCTTTTGGAGTTTCGCCAAAGCTCAAGCATTTTCCAAAAGCAATGCCAGCCCTTTTTCATTTGGACGGGCATTTGGTGGCTGGGAGTTAAGCCAACAGGGAGTTATTTTAAAAGTGGCTATGTTTTTATTTTATGTCCTTAATTTTTTCTGTCTCTGTTGTAGAAATGCTACCTGCTCTGATACTTTACAACACTGTGAGATACCTAGAAACATTACAAATAGAATTATTGTTCTATCCATAAGTTATCACAAAAATCAAAATAAGAATGTATTTTTGAATATTGACTCTAGTCCCAACATTTTCTCAAGGGCTGGTTGCTGACTGCCATACTGGTAATTTTCCTTGAATCTAAAGACGCAGCTGGTTTTGCCTGCCTTAGTCTAAAGATGGTTAGCTGAACAACTGTTACTCCCATGTACACATTTATAAATTTTCATTTACTGTATCACAAAGTTTGCAATATCGGCATACTTTTGGGGGGTAATGCCCTTGAACATATAAAACAGTAAATAAATACTCAACAATAATTTGTGGGAAAATACTATTGGTTGTTTCCAGTAGTGGCTTTGTGATAATAAAATGGTTCAACTGATGCAAGGAGAGGAACTCCATTTTCACTAATTCTCACTACCAATTGTAACCTTCTGTTTATGCCTTATTGCAGGGGTAGGCAACCTGAGGCCCGGGGGCCGGATGCAGCCCCGTTGCCTTCTCAATCCGGCCCCTGGAAGGTCCGGGAATCAGCGTGTTTTTACATGAGTAGAATGTGTGCTTTTATTTAAAATGCATCTCTGGGTTATTTGTGGGGCATAGGGATTCATTCATTTCCCCCCCAAAATATAGTCTGGCCCACCACATGGTCTGAGGGATGGTGGACCACAGCTGATAAAGGTTGCTGACCTCTGCCTTATCAAATCCCCTTCTGCTCCAGAGGGTCTCCCAACCACCAGGAGCAGATTTTGGGAGACCCAAAGGCTGCGCTGGGTAAAAATTGTGAGTAAATTCCAAGTGCCTCGCCTAACACAGGAAGCATATTTGCTAGCTGGAGGCTATCATTGGATGCAATTCTCTAATTCTGCCTGTTTAAAGATTTACCTGTTCCCTTAAATTTTGCTCATGTGCAAGCATGAGCACTGCTAGACTCATTGTAAGGTATCTGGCCTATTCCAAGCCAAGTGGTAAAATGTTTGGCACTAATTTTTCTATCTGATGAAAGAGTCTTATGGACAGCTTGTGGCGCAATAAGTTGTCTAGTCTTGAAGGTGCAGCAGTATTTTTTTCTTTTACAAATGTTTAGATTTCTTAATACATAACATACAAGTTTTGTTATCAATTTTATTTTGAAAAGATTGCCCGATTGCTAGCCCACAGCCTTTAACATCCAACACAGTTGCATTGTTTTTAATGGGAATAGACAGCTGGGCACAGCAGCTCAAGCCTAATAATATATACTCTCAAGTCCCAACATTTACGAAATTCCAGCCATTGTGGAAGGAAAATAAATGGATAATTTATTTATTAATCTACCCAATTTATGCCTGAAGGCTCAAGGTAAGCAACAGTCTATATAAACTAAATGTTTATATAAGTAGGTAGATCCCTATTCATGTCTACCAAATGTTTGTAGTTTACACAACTCTGCTAAGAACTAGTTGTGATTGAGCTGTTATGGGCAACAGCCTATTTTCTCCTATGAGCACAGATTCACTTCTGTAGGATTCAGTGGAAAGTAAAACAGCAACTAAAGAGGCCAGATATACAACATGTCAAGCGTGTGCATTTTCTTTTATCCCCACCTTCTTTCAAGCCAGAGAAGGCTGGAAGCGAAAGTGGCGAGGGGTTGGATTCCAGAGATGTTTCCCATGCTTTGCTTTCGCTCACTCTTATGTTTATAACCTTTCTCTAAGAAGTTTTTATAGGGGAAGGCCAAGATGCAAATACGTTAAAATATAAAAATCCCAATCAAAAGCAGAAACTAGTATGACTGTTCTCAGTTAAGCTCCTAAAATTTTATGTATAGCTCCCCAGCCCTTTAACTACCTCTTATCTAACTACTGTATGAAGGACAAGTAGCGTTTTCAGGAGAGATGGGCCGCAATCCTTCCACGCTTCTGCCGTTTTCAGTGGTCTTGCTTCCCAATGAGCAACACGATCCGAATACTGTCCGGTACTGCTGATCGCCACCCGAGGCTGCTTTCTTCCCAATAACTGAAGCCGAAAGTTAAAAATACTGGAAGGGGGGGGGTGTACGCCTGTTTTGCTTCTCCATTTTTACTAAAAAAATTACTGTTTTAGAGCTCATCCACCTCTTACGTAGGGTAAGTGAGGTAATAACACGAAGTAAGTCGCGGGTTCCTTGTGAAGAGTTCCTCACGGCACTGGTCAGCCAAGGGCTCCCCTCGCATCTCGGCCCACGGGGCTCGCCTCGGCCATCTCCCACTGAGGGAAAGGCAGCTGACGTCACGCGCGGCTTCGGCCTGTGGGCTAAATGGCTCCTGAGGGACGGAGCCTTTTGCCGACGACGCCCCACCCGCGACGCCGCCACCTCAGGCGCCCCTTCCACCTCCGAGCCCCTCCAGACCAAACTAAAGGAAGCGGGAAAGGGCGTCCGAAAAGAGGTGCGTGGCGCCCCCCGCCCACTTCATGAGTATTCATAAGCACGCTGCGGCCGCGCGCAGAGGCCCGAGAGGGCGGCACCTTTGCCACCGCCCCGCCCCTTCACCGAGGCGTGCGTCGCGGTGGGCGTATCTAAAAACACGACGTGCCCCGCTCCCTCGCTGAATATTGATGAGACGCCTGGTGCAGCGCGGTGGCGTCCGGCGCGGCGCGACAGGCGATTGGATAAGGCCGTGTGTGCGTGGTGACGCGCGTCGCGGCGGTGCGGGTCCCGATTGCTGCAGCCGCTTGTCAGTGTGACGAAGATTGGCACCCAGGTAAGCGCTGTCACTCAAACCTGCTCCTAGCCAGCCAGCCAGCCATCCATCACGGCGCGCCCGCCGCCGCTGTCGGCCGTCTTGGCTCCGCCGCGCAAACAGGCCCGGGGATGTGGGGCAGAGTGGGGGGAGGCGAGCCCGCCATACGGAATAGCGGGGCGGGGGCATCCGCACCGTAACCTACCCGGAGGGGGGGGGTTAGGGGCGTCGGCAGGCAGGCGCGAGGAAAGGGAGGGGAGGGGGGAGTGAGGAAATTTCTGGAACAGCCGCCGACTGGCCGTTGGCTCTTGTAGGAGGCGGCGCGTGCGCGCGCGCGCTCACTCCGTGGAAGGGGAAGGTGTCGCGCGCCTCAGGGGGTGGAGTAGGTATGGGGGGGAGGGAAAGGGCAACAGCTGTTTGTGGCGCGAGGCGGCGTGGAGGGCGGTATTTAAAAGGGGGCCATTTTCGGGGACATTCCTGCGCTGTGGACTCGGAAGCGGCGGGGAGAGCCGGGGGGTGGGTGGGTTGTGGCAGCTGCTTGGTAGTCGCCCCGCGCGTCCGTTTGCTTCCTCGAGTGCGGTTCGGGCTCCCTCCCCGTGAGGGAAGAGCCTTTCTTCGTCGTTTCAAACAACCCTCCTTTTCCTCACCTCACAAACCGGGGCGGAGGGGGGCGGACGGGCGGGTACGCAGCGTTGTTAAGTGTTGGGGAAATCCATGGGAATTGTCGTTATGTGTAACCCGGTTGTTGCTAATAAACGTGAGGCGTTTTGCCGCCTCCTGGTTTCTGAGCCTTCCTTTTCCCCCAGATGTTTGCTTAGTAACCTGCCTTCAGTCCTAACGAAAGCCAGGAATATGTATTTCACATAAAAAAATAGTGGTGGAGACGTAAATGCACCCATACACGATAGAAAGGACTAAAACAACAGATCATCCACCTGTCCCCTGAGTAAATGTTAGCAGTTTTTTACTTGGCTATATATGGGAAAAGATATCTTTGGAACTGGCATTGAAAGTGCAAGTGCCAACTTCTGACAGAACTGGGAAAGTATGACATTTTCCTTGATGCAAGTACCACTTAAAAAAAAAAGTGTGTGTGATCATGTTCTCCAGGCTCAGCTTGATTATGATGTTGGTAAACATCATGAGGTGCCAGTTCACTATTCTTGCACTAGGTCATTGCCTATAAACCTGTTCAGGTTCCAGTGTTCAAATGCATTAATCAAGAAACCAAGAAATAAAATGATTTAAATTTTAAATGGTAACGGCTGTCTTTTAAAAACACATTGAAGAAAAAATTGCTTCAGAGCTTCTCTTGGGCATCCCTTCAATTCAATTTTGAAAAACCAGGAGGAAGTGGTATATGTAACACAACAGTGCTGGGATTTAAGAAAAGCACCAAATTTTAAAGGATAAGTGCTGGTTTGCAGGCACTCAAATTCAGAGGCTAGGAGAAATTTCCTCACCAAGCTGATGATCTGCAACTGACTGTTGCCCTTGTCTACAATCTTACTAGTTTTGTGGTATAAGTGGAAGTATGCATGTTTTGTGCTAAACCAACATACAAGAGTTCTGTATATAAATAAATGTATATTCTGTGCCAAAAAAGGGCTGATCTCTTGACATGTATAAATCAAATGTAACAGATTTGCATGGATTTGTTAATTTTGCATAATTTTCTTGGTCACTTGTGGGAGAGCATGGTAGATACATTAAGAAATTCATTTGAAATGCACTCCAGCAATCTTGTTCAGCTGTTCCATCAATGTCAGCAAGAATTGTCTATATACTTTCAAGCCTATCTTTGCAAACCTAACAGAAATGTCATATTTTTAAGGGAAACTAAGATTCTCAGGATATTTACCGTATTTTTTGCTCTATAAGACTCACTTTTTCCCTCCTAAAAAGTAAGGGGAAATGTGTGTGCGTCTTATGGAGCGAATGCAGGCTGTGCAGCTATCCCAGAAGCCAGAACAGCAAGAGGGATCGCTGCTTTCACTGCGCAGCGATCCCTCTTGCTGTTCTGGCTTCTGAGATTCAGAATATATTTTTTCTTGTTTTCCTCCTCCAAAAACTAGGTGCGTCTTGTGGTCTGGTGCGTCTTATAGAGCAAAAAATACGGTAATTCTGGACTTGTGAGTCGCATTACAAAAATATGTACAGAGCCCTGACTATAAGTTTAATAAGTAAACATTGACATTTGGTCATGGCTCACATGAATAAAGAGAATAAAGTCATTCTCAAGGACACTAGATTCTGAAAGATTGGTATGCAAAACTAGCTCAGATTTGCATATAAATTGAGCCATGTGAAATACTTGCAAAAGATGCTCCTGTACTGGGGAATGAGACTGGTGTTGCTATTGCCAGTATGCACATAACCTTGGGTAGCTGGGAGTGCTCTTAATCAGTCGAGGCTGGTATAGAACTGTGACCTTATCTAGAGAGGTCAGAACTTGACTCACTGTCCATGTTCTTGTTACCACCCAGTACAGATTATGTTAATGAACTTTACATGAGGCAGCATTTGAAGATGATTTAGAAACTTCAGCAGTGCAAAATATGGCTACCCTGTTACTAGTTGGGACTAGGAGGTCAGAACAGTTTGCACCAAATTTGTACCAATTACCTTGGTCGCCAGTGTGTTATCTTGTAAAAAAGCTTTAAAAATGGGCTGGATGTGGTAACTGTTGAGTGAATTTGTAGCTGGTTGACGGAATCCAAAGAGTGCTCACTAACGATTCCTCTTCAGGAAAAAAAAGGGACAAGGGAGAGGCCACAGGGTTCTCCCTGGGTCCATTGTTCAACATCTTTATAAATGACTTGGATGAAGGTGTTGAGGGGATGCCCATCAAATTTGCAGATGACACCAAACTGGGAGGTGTAGCCAATACAGCTGAATATAGAATCTGGATTCATGATTACGTTAATAGATTGAAGAACTGGGCCCAAACTAAAAGAATGAATTTCATTAGGGACAAATGTAAGGTTCTACACTTAGGTAGATCTCAGATCAGATGTGGCAACACGCTGAATTTAAGCATATTGGAGGAAAATAAAATAAACGGGATTCCCTCCATAACGGTGAGTGAACACTTAGGTAGGAAGAACCAGCTGCACAAATATAAGATGGAGGCCACCTGGATTACCAGTAATATATGTGAAAAGGCTCTAGGTTTACCAGTAATATATGTGAAAAGGCTCAGTGGACCACAAACTTAACAAGAGTCAACAGTTTAATGTAGTAGCAAAGAAAGCAAATGCTGTTCTAGGCTGCATCAACAGAAGGATAGTGTCCAGATCAAGGGAAGTAATAGTTCTGACCACACCTGGAGTACTGTGTCAAGTTCTGGGCAGCACAATTTAAGAAAAATATTTACAAGATGGAATGTGTGCAGAGAAGGGTAACCAACATGATAAAGGGTCTGGAAACCAAGCCTTATGAGGAACAGTTGAGGGAATTGGATATGTTTAGCCTGGTAAAGAGAAGATTGAGAGGAATCACAGAATTGTAGACTTGGAGATATGATAGCCATCTTCAATAATAATAATAATTTTGTACCCCACCCATTCAACTGGGTTGCCCTAACTACTCTAGGTGGCTTCCAGCATAATATACAGAAAGGGCTATCACATGGAAGATGGAGCAAGCTTGTTTTCTCCTGCTCTGCAGGCTAGGACCTGAACTTAGGCATTCATGTTATAAGAAAGGATATTCCAACTAAACATCAGTTATAACTTTCTGACAAAGCTATTCGACAGTGGAATAGACTCTCACAAGAGGTGGTGGACTCTTCTTCCTTGGAGGTTTTCAAGCATCTTTCACGTGTGATCTAGTTGAGATTCCTGCATTGCAAGGAGTTGGATTAGATGGCCCTCGGAGTCCCTTCCAACTCTGTTATTCTTTGATTCTATGAACCATGCTAGCCTGCCCACACAAGGAAATCCAAATTAAAGGTCCTACTCAGATACTCACCGCTAAAAACCAACCAGGCTGATAAAAGTCTAAGAAGGCAGACTCTCCCTTATGTCATTTAAACAGGTCTTGAAGACATTTTTTCTGTGTCTTTTAATGACACAAAGTGGGTTATAAATGCAGTTTTAACACAGGTCTCACTGAGCTTTATTGTTTTATCACTGTTTGAGTTTTTTTTTTAGTATTTAAAATTTGCTATTTTAAATAGTGTATATGCTGTATTTCAAGTTTGTATTTTAAGATGTGAGCTCCTCTGTGGAGCGTTTTCAAAATGTGGATTATAAATCCTTTGAGTGAATAAATATGCTGTTGACTTTCCACTGTATTGGTCTATCCCAGGCCAGAAGTAGTGCCGTGTTGCTTCTTCCATCCTTAGGCTACTAGTGCAATAGCCCAGTGGAAATACTGCTTGTTTGCTTGCTGCATGGAAAACATTTCTTAATTTTAGTGTGCAACTGTGCATAATTGTACCTTTAAGTTCTGATGAATTCAGACTTGCAAGATTAGGTCTTAGAAAGAAGTAATTTTAATTTGGGTTGCTACTGTTTTGTTCAGCAAGCATATGTAGATGGCTAAGCTGAATGCCAATTATGATATCTGAAATGATTCAGCAATAATGTGTGCACAGCTTGGTTCCCATATCTAAATTTCTACACTCTGCTATTATTGATCTCTTCATTCAAGATTTGTGGTCAGATTGCAGGTGCCCAAGCCACTGTGTCACTCACAGGAGAGACGCGTGGCTCAGGTACGCTGCAGGCCCCATGGTAAGTGCTGCCCCCGCTGTGGCGCCCAGTACTCCCCTAGCTACGTGTCTGAATAGTGAAAGGAGAGTACATACACATCCAACATCACCAAAAAGCTCACATTTGGGGAGCAGTTCTAATAATTTGTGTTACTGTAAGGCTGTCATTGTGCAGGCCCATTTGGAGGATTAGTAGTACTGCATTACAATCCTGGATTTGCATGCAGAATGAGGTGGAGAGCAAAAAAAGAAGGAGGTTTGCACAATAGCAGTCACCATGACAGAAAGGGGTGAAGGTGAAAATGGAGGTGCAATGGGGGTTGTAAAAAAAAAGGAGGGAGTGAGAGGTATGGTAAAGCTGCTGAAGATTAAAGCAGGGGCATGAAAGGGTTTGCAGAATAGAAGGGGGTGGTAGCTTCATGATGGGATGCAAGGAGGTTACTATGGCGGTGGTTTGTGTGCAAGAGGGTGCACAAAGGCAGTGGGGAGATGAAGGTGAAAATGGATGCAAAAGGGAACCTCAGGAGTGAAGGGGAAAGTGGCTTCAGAAATGGGTTTGGGAAGGTGGAAAGTGATCATAGTAATTGCATGGGGTAGGAAGGGGATGCTCTAAGGGCAAGTGGACTGAGCAGGGGTGCAACCCCTAGTGAAATACAAAGTGGCAAAATGCTTAACAGTTTTTCTAAAGTGCATTTTGCAGGTCATATATGCTAGAGACAACCGCACTGAAAAGTCAAACCTATTATAAGATAAGTCTCCTAGGATAATGTTAAGGGGCAAAATGCTTAGTAGTAAGGAGTTGCTCAAGTTCCTAATTTAGTGTTTGAATACCTTAGTATTGTGTTGTTTTGTGCAATTAGCTTTTGACTGTGGAAATCATTTTGGTGTGAACATGTCTTTTTGCTATCAAGGTAAGAGACTCATCAGAAAAGAACTCCAAGTGAACAGAAAATTAGGAAAAAATATAATTATGGAACCAATATAATTATGTATCAGTTGAGACTTCAGTTGTAAATTGTAAATTGAGACTTCAGTTGAGACTTGTAGTAAATTGTGATTGAAGTACCATAACTCCTATAGAGTAAATATGAAATCAGTTACCCATTCCTTGCTGGCAAATTAAAAAACAGCTCATTAGCTGAGGAAATTCCTCACCCTAGAACCAGCCCAGGGGTTTTAATCTCTTATGGTCAGTGCTTTTTTTCCTAAAAAAATGTTTAGGGGTACTCTCATTTTCCTACTCATTGAAATACTGCCTCTCAATGAGGCCAAACTTAGATTCACAAAATGTTTAGGGGTATGTGTACCCCCGCGGCCCCCCATAAAAAAGCACTGCTTATGGTAGCCAGCAACTTTTTGTTTGTTTGTTTTTTAATAATATTTATTGATAATTTCAAGATTACAAGAAAAATAAAAAATAACAGACAACACTACAATATAAAACAGAAAAAAGAAAAAGAAGACAATGAAAAAGATAAAAGCACAAAAAGTAAAAAAGAGAAAAAAACACAAATCCCAAATTGTGTATCCATTATTTCCATTTGCTTGTTTCATTGACCTCCTTACACCTCCGTTTTTGTATTCTAATTTAATAATTTTTTCAGCAAATTCTTTCCATCTTTCTCAATTTTTGTTATAAAATTTATCTTAACAATTTAACCTAATAATTAACAAATCCTTACCATCTTTCCCCATATTCTATTATTCAGATTACCTTAATTTATTTAACCTTATCTTACCCCTAAGTGCCTTAAAATTTAAATCTTAAATTTCAAATATTCATAACTCCTAATATCATTTCTGCTAGAGTCGTATAGTTTCATTCCCACATTTTCCCTAATATTCATTAGCTAATTCTAAAATAAAAAAAGTTTCCATTATAAATTCTCTTCCAAGCATCATCCAGCGTCTCTTCTTCCTGGTCTCGGGTCATGTCAGTCCTTATTGTCCTTATTGTCCATTCCGTCTAGTCCATCAACCTGGAAGCCTTATGTCCGAGGCCCTTAAATCTCTTCCATGTCCCTTCTGCAATTCTTCTTCATCTTGTTTGTGCTTGCCCTTTTCCTTGTCTCTTATTGGTCTCTGTCTTAGTTTCTTTCCTTTCTCATTGAGGAGTAGGTCTCTGGGGTTTCCAGCCGAAAATTATCTCCATCGCCCTTCATCCAGCTCACCCATTCCCCACAGTCCCACTCCCCACAGTCCTCGATGTAATCCAAAATGAATTTAAAATCAAATTTCAGAGTCTCTCCAAAACTAGAAGTCTCCTCATCTCCAAACTCCCCTTGGCCCACTCCAGCTTCAATCTTCAATGACAGTGACTTATGCTCCTGTAGGACCTCGGGTCTCTCCATTTGTACTATTTGAGGTGCAGCCACATCCTCCTCCGTTGTCAACTGCGCTTGCCCAATCGGTACGGATTGATAGGTTGGTTCTTGAATATTTCTGTATCAATGTTATTAACCACAACAGTCAATTCCAATTTCTCATTCATCAAATCCATCTTTACATGCATCTGTTCCAGCAGAGTATTTGTCTTGCATAGAGCAAGCAGCCAGTCTTTCTCCCAGCTCATCTTTATTCAAGGTCGAAAAAAGTCTGTTCCCACAGTCTTAATCTCACAGATGTTGGGTCTCAAATATGCTGCAACAACAATTTAGCAAGCTCCCTCTAGAGGAGACAATCCACTTGTAGCCTTTTTCTTTTTTTTTAAAGACAAAGGAAAGTTACTTTCACTTTTCAGATATTTCAGACATTTTTCAGATATTTTGTTTCTTTAAGATGCAAAAGGCAACATTAGAATTAACTTGTTTCTCTTCACTGGCTATCTGTCAAAGTGTTGCGTTCACCGTCAATGAACCTCAGCAACAGTTTCTGTCTCTGACACCCCGTTCCCAGGTTAGAGATGATGGAAACTTATCCTTCTTCACTCCCTCTCCTGCTAGAGTTAAACAGAGTCCCCCCCCCTTTTCTCCTGCTTCCAAGGGGGGTTTCAGTGGTTCTAAATGAAGGAAATTTAGTCCTTTTTTTGACAGCTTCCCGGCTTTAGCTTGCAAAGTTTTTGCTTTAGTCTATATACAAAGAAACGGAAGGCGGACTTCCTGTTTACACCTTCCCGCTTCGTTACCAAATTAAAACAATTTCTTGATCCAATTTTCCGTTTCTACTCACGGGTACTTGTTTTAAGTCCAATTGTCCACAGGAAAAAGTCAGCGCTCTCTGGCAATGGCTGTGTGGCTTCACTCCGTGAAAATAGCAGTCAGTTCGTAGCACCGCGCTTCTCACCCCACTTCGCTCCGGAGCCCCCAAATGGGCTTCCCCGCGAGTAGGGGGGCGCTTCTGGTGCCCTGCCGAACCCCACGTTCCCAGGTTTCCTCCGCCTGGGATTTCTAGCGGGTCCCCACCTTCGCCGCGGCGGGAAGACCCAGTTTTCATGGAGCCCGTTCCTCCGGTCGGAGGAACTCCGCCATTCACCAATGGCGCTGACCCGGAAGTCCCAACTTTTTGAAATTACCATTTGAAACTGTACACTAAGGATTGCAAGATTTCTTCCAAAGTTGTCCCCAGGGTAGACTGCCAAAAATAGAGGAGCTACTAACAAAATAGATTGCAGTTCCTTTGGGAATCTCTTCTCTCATGATCTCATGATCTTACGTGTCTCCATTACATTCTCTAATCCAGTATGAGGTAGTAAATGAAAGGCTACTTCCTTAGAACTTAGGCATGTATATATATTTTTAAACAGAGCCCTATCTGTCCCAAAATTGATTTGTTTGAAGTACATTTCCACAACAAAACTTAAAACTGGGGCATTTGCTTCACGTATCTTTCTGGTTAATGAGCTAACAGCATGAATAAGATATGTGTAAAACCAGTAGACACAGTAGTTCTGATGGCTACTTTCTATCTCTAAAGTTTGAGAACTTTCAGGACCATGCTTAGTCAACAGGTTGAGAAACAAGCTCATGAGAGCCACAGATTATGTTTTGCACATTGATGGGTACAGATGAAAGCAGCCTGATAGCAATGGTGCTAGACAATGAAGCTTCCTGGTGTTTGAAAAGCTTGAGAGCCTCTGTTGCAAGAGCTGTTTGTTGTTGACAACCTGTATTTTATGTAGATTGTTTCCATATGACTTTCTTGTGGCTCTTTGTGGCTCCAAATTTGACAACATTCTGCTTGTTGCCCACTCCTATCCCCATTGAATGTGTGTGTGTAGGGTGGGGAGTGAGTTTTCAAAGGAATGATAAGTTTTTGCTTGCTTTCTATGCTATTTTGCTTGCCTAGGGAAGAAAAATGGAGGCTTCTCTGCTTGTTGCTGAAAATGCATATGAAAATAAGCAAAGGAAGATAAACCTGACCATCAGAAATTCTTCAGGTGAAACTTCTCCCAGCATAGTTGCAGTTAGAAATTTGGGAACAAATTATGCTCTTCTAATGTAAAAAATCTCCATGTTGCGTCTCCTGCATGTTTTCTGCAGTATCTGATGCATCATGTGAGTGATCTTTGCATTTTTAGTGCACAGATTATATATCTTAATGTATATCCTCAAGGGCTGTGTATGCCTGCATCTGTGTGCTGATTCACACATTTAAACTGGCTGCTTATTTCATCCATAGGGACTCTGTGAATCAGGTTGTACACCAAGCTTTACAACGTACACAGATATAATATGTAGCAGGAGAAAAAGTGTCCCTGTAGTAGGAGAAACGACTGATGCCAGGCTGTATTTTTGTGCAGCCCAGTTTACACAGGTTGTGCTGCATCAACTTTTCCAAACCTGTTCCTGCAATATGCTTTAGACCAGGCATCCCCAAACTTGGCCCTCCAGCTGTTTTGGGACTACAATTCCCATCATCCACGACCACTGGTCCTGTTGGCTAGGGATGATGGGAGTTGCAGTCCCAAAACAGCTGGAGGCCGAGTTTGGGGATGCCTGCTTTAGACTATAAGACCCATCCAACATCCCCTCACCACTGGTCATGATGGCTGGGACTCATAGCAGTTGTACTCCAAAACATTGTAGGGCATCACATTAGGGAAAATTGCTTGACATGGGTATGAAAGAAAAGAAGCAGCTCACTGTACCAAATTCCTAATGGGGCCTAGTAATATCATCCACAATGATGATGTGGAGGAGTCTGCCCCTTTTGGGATTTCTGGCTTGCTGGACTCAATGCTCCCTTTGGCATACAAAGAGACACCACCTCTGTGTAGCATATACACATGAGGAAAACTATATGTGTTCTATGTGAGAAATGCCAGGAGTTTTATAGTTGCTATTCCTTGTTGCAGCCACCGAAAAATATATGTGTCCTATGTGAGAGATTCCCTTTGTTTTTAAAATTATAATTGTTCCTTAGTGCTGCTACTAGATGATTTTCAACTTTCTTTATAACCTCCAAATGTAAAAAGAGATCTAACTTCAGGGTATGTGCCATCTGGTCTTGTGACTGAGACCAGTATCAAATATTCTTTAAGAGGGAATATTTTGAAAAACAAGAATTTTCACAGTGGGTTTGCATTGTTCATTGTCCTGCATTCTTTTGTCGTACATCCCTTTTGACATTTTTATTTTTGCTAGTGAAACCACTATATGATATTCATATATAAAAGTTTGATCATTTATTTTGTGCCACTAACGTGTGATTTTAGTTGCACATTTGTTGTGCAACTCTTCATTGCAATAAAGAGCAAGATCAAGTGGCTAACCATATTGCATTTATCACTTTTTCTGGCAAATATGATTTAATAGTTACATTGACTGCTTTTGTCAAAAAGGGTTTGAGAACATTCCTGAGATCTTCTAGGTTGGTGTAGCAAATACATGTGATTGCATTCTCAATCCCTTCTGCCCCTATTCTGCTGCTGAACATGCAGATGTCAGTTATGTAATTTGTATTCGATAACATCCAGTGAAAATACTAACCTTTTTGGATTTCCCCCCTAAGGTATGATGATTTGACTTTATAAGAACCCTAAGTAACCATGATGGCAACGCAGACATTAAGTATAGACAACTATCAAGATGGGCAACAAGTAAGAACATTTTTAAATAAAAAAATGAAAAATATGAACTGCACCATAGTAGGTAAAAATAATATGTTAAATAATTATGGTGTCCAAGACGTGAAACTACTTCCGTCCGATCTATATTACTTTTCCTCTGCTGTTATTTTGATATGGTACCTAAGTCACACCACTGGCTTGCCCTTTGCCCATTTTCTAGTGCTCTTAAGCTGCTTTCTAGAAAGGTAGGAAACAACGGAATTTCCAGAAGCAAAAATTATTTAGGATTGATTCCTTGATATTATTAGTTTTATTATGATTACATTTATCAGTCGCTTTATACGATAAAAATTCTCAAAGTGACTTGCCAAGGTAAAATACATGAAAGCAATTCAAAACCAGAAAAAATATAAAACTATGAACAATACAAAGCATACATAAATTGCTTATCTAGCATTATATTAATAAGGACAAGTCCTGCCTACCCCACTCAAAACCCCACTCAAAGCTAAGCATCACCATAGGAGGTAACATTAATTAACCAAAGACCTGGATAAAGAAAAAGGACTTAGCATGGTGCCTAAAGATTAACGAGAAGACTCTAGGCATCTGTTCCTGGGGAGAGCATACCACAGAGCGTGCCAGAATAGGCCCAGCACAGCCTATTATGACTGAGACAACTCTCCAGGGTGTCGGACAAAGATAGCTCCCATCACTTGTTACCTGATGCTTTTAACCGGCAGTGCTGGGATCTTCTGCATGCAGTGCATGTGTTCAGCCACTGAGCTTCTGCTCTAAACTTGCTGAACCAGGTTTTATTTTGTTTTGTCATTTAGCCCCTCTCTCTCGCACACATGTACACAAACAATTATTTTGTGAAATATTGCCTAAACGTTGCTATTGAACTTGTTTAGCTGCTTGGGTTGTCAACCATATAATGTTGTACTTATCTATGTGGTATTTTGACTGTTAGCAGTTATTTTGTTGAATAAGTAAGGGGTGGGGGTGGGGAGAAGCGTCTAGGCACCTGATGAGGTTATGTTGTCTTTTTTTACTTGCTTAGTTGTATCAGTTGACTTTAGGGAAAATATCACAGCATGTGGCCATAAACAAATTTCTAGGTGATCCTAGAGTGGCTTTTTTTCCGTATACAGTACTTCTGATTTTACAGCGGAACTGACTATTGTACTATCCCCTGAAATTTGTAAACTAATTACAATGCAATCATATATATTATATATGTTCAGTTGTAAGTCCTGTAGGAGTGCATAGAATTCCATCCTTAGTTTACTTTTGATTTTATTAATAATAATAATAATAATAATAATAGTAATAATTTATTATTTGTACCCCGCCCATCTGGCTGGGTTTCCCCAGTCACTCTGGGCGGCTTCCACAGAAACAAAAAATACACTAAAATCACACATTAAAAACTTCCCTGAACAGGACTGCCTTAAGATGTCTTCTGAATGTCAGGTAATTGTTGATCGCTTTGACATCTGATGGGAAGGGGTTCCACAGGGTGGGCGCCACTACCGAGAAGGCCCTCTGCCTGGTTCCCTGTAGCTTTGCTTCTCTCAGTGAGGGAACCGCCAGACGGCCCTCAGCGCTGGACCTCAGTGTACGGGCAGAACGATGGGGGTGGAGACGCTCCTTCAGGTATACCTGGGCTTCAGGTATATGCCTGGGTTTGTTCAGCAACTCCAGAAAAAGCACCCAAATTGCTCCTTCTTGCATTCGTTTGGCATTGCTCTTAATGGTTTCATGACTTACTTAGCTATCTCTTAATTTTTCAAATCATTCAGCTTGTTACAAGATGGGTAATAGCGTTTGAACGTAATGTTCACTTTGTGCAAATTGTGTAGCAGTAGTCCTTTAACCTATCCAGGTCTTCCACAGCAGTACGAGGGCATGGTGCAGAGCTGCAGGTAGGAGTTACTAGTATTTCCCCAGATTTCACGGACAGAAGAAAATATTGTGACCATAGTTCTACAGTTAGATTGTTTTATTGCCCTTACTGACTAGTCTAATTCATAATAAACTGCAACTTCCTATCAAAAAGTAGATATATTGGATCTTTCTCGTATTTTTTTCACAAACTCTTTAACGTATATACAAAAGTCCTTATTTATATTCAGTACAGAACAAACAGTGAAACATTTCATATTTAATATTGAAACACCTAAAAATCAAGCTATATGTTTTTCATAAAATAATTGTGAAATGGTCCCTCCTTTGCAATATCTCTGAAGAATTATATGCACTCCAGTGCCTAAAATAAAGCCTGAAATCTTAAACATTCTTAATTAGAAATGAGCTCTATTGAGTTTTCAAGTAAATGTGTAGCATACAGAATTATTTCTAATGATAATTTCTGTTTGCAAATGACATTTTGCCTATTGCGGATGTTTTCAAGGTCTGCTTTCTTAAAGTGATTTTTGTTGAAGCAGTGTATGTGTAGCTTTATCCAAAAATAGCTGGCTTATGAAACGCAGGATTCTGTAACAGACAATTGACTAAAAGAAACCTACTAATGGGAGTCAAACTTGTAGTGACCTTTCCACTATCTTCCTGCCTCCAAATGTTGCAAGGATTAAATGAGTTGTTTGTTAAATGCTTGTTCTTTTTGTGTGGTTGCCAAGTCATACCAACCTTCTGGCAACTTACTAGGCCTTTGGCTTTCTCTTTGCTTAGAAAATGAACCATTTAGTTGTGAATCTATGCTGTTGGTAATATAAAGCATCTTTCTTTTCCAGCAGATGCAAGTAGTAACAGAATTAAAAACTGAGCAGGATCCAAACTGCTTGGAAGCAGATGCAGGAGGATTGAGTCCTTCCCCGGTAGAGTCCCAGACTCCGATGGATGCAGATAAGCAGGCTATTTACAGGTAGCAGTATTCACAAGATGAGCTGTTTCTAGTAGTAAAATGTATCATTCTCTTTAGTAGGTCATGGGGTGGTTCTCAAATCATGGGGTGATGCTTGTGTGGGCAGGAGACATGGAACATGTGGAAGGGGACACACACTGTTCTAGACATGATAAGATCTTGAGGCTGATGCATCTTTCCCCCCTCACCAGCCAAGCCGTGGGTGGGATTAGAGTTCTCTAGAATATCCTCATTGGATTTGTAGGGGCAACTGCTCCCCCATTCATTGACTTGGGAAAAGGTGCTACTTTGTACTAATGCTGTTTTCCTATTTGTGGTTTTAGGAGGTGTCAAATATAACTTGTTCAGTTTTCCCTTCCTAATTCCAGCATTGAATTAGTGCCTAGACCAAAGTTTGTTGCACATATCAGTGCAGCTGGGGAGGTTGGTGATAGGTTGGGGTACTCAGAAAGTAGAATAAGTTTAGAAGAGGAGGCCTAAGCTTAAATCAGCCAACGTATTGTAACTTGTCAAGAAGTTCATACATTTGGGGTTTTCTAATTACTGTGAGATGGTTAATACATATTTTCATGCTTAAGACTGAAATCTATACATTTACAAGAGACTAAGCCCTACTGAAGACAGAAGGCTTGTGCAGTAAGTTCTACTACCTTCTGTTGGCGTTAAACATACTTAAGTGTTCAGGATTGTGAGCCGCGTCTCAGGGCAAAGCTTTTTATTGTCTTTGTATTTAGTTATATATATTTGTCTAAACTTGCTTTCTGTTAGAGCTACATCCTTACAATCTAAGAAAATAAAGTATGGCATCCCTACTAGATTATGTTTTTAAAAAAACATACAATTGTATTAAATTTCAGGCTTTTTAGGGTCTTTATTTGAACAAAGCTTAATAAAAACGTAAGTGAGACCCAATAGTTCAAGCTACCCATCAGTATCATTTACGTCAAACTGTGGGATGACATTGATATTTAAATGATTCCAAAGTTAGCAGTATTTGATCCATGCTAAAAAGAAGAGCAAATAAGGGAGATCACAGTATATTCAGTTCCGATCCTAGCATAGTAATTGCTAATGTAACTTTATTACATTAAATGTAATACTAATGTAATAATCTAAAATAATAGGATTGTATGTATGCAATGTCCAGATCGCTCAGAATTTTTTATCAAACTGACTTGCACATAGACATTTCAAGAGACCTACAATTTGCTTGTCTTTTTATTCCTAGACATCCACTGTTCCCCTTATTAGCACTATTATTTGAAAAATGTGAACAATCCACACAAGGCTCAGAAGGCACAACGTCTGCAAGTTTTGATGTAGATATTGAAAACTTTGTTAGGAAGCAGGAGAAGGAAGGAAAACCATTTTTTTGTGAAGATCCAGAAACAGATAATCTAGTAAGTAAAAACATTTTAGAGAAGATTTCAATTTATTTGTAAAATCTTTATATTTGAAAAAAGTAAATTGATAGTGAGAAAACTGAATTGTGAAATGTCAACTAAAAGAAGTTGAAATTTACAGCCCTTGGTAGCAGCAGACATTCCCTGTCAGTATTACTAACAAAAGCTCCTCCATCACATAGCGAATTATCAACTTGGCTAGCTTCTTTTTTTAGATAGTTGTTTGTTTGTAGTAAATCTGTCTGCTTCATGAGACTCTTTTGACATATCAACATGTTTTCCAGTGAGTCAGATGTTCTTATTTGTAGGGTTTTGGTTGTTTGCATTTAATTTGCTGTCTTCCTCCACTACTTCCTCAATTCCTTCCATTCCCCTCCTCTCTCCCCACCCACCCAGCTGGGATTTGTGGTTTACATCTCAACAAACCATTTGATTTAATATGGTTGCTTGAAAGAACCCTGATTGGCTCTTTACTGTGCATGTAGTTCCTTAAGTGGAAACTTCATGATATTTTGTGCCTGCTGATTCTGGCAATTGAGGTGCTGCCTGAATATTGAGCTTATATCCAGAGGCCCTTCTCCTGGTGCCACTGCCTTCTGATATGGGGCAGGTAGTGACCAGGTGAAGAACCCATTCAGAGATGCAGTCTGCTTATTGAACTCTCTCCTTTGTGTGAACATCCATTTGTGGAATATGGCTTCTACCAGGGGCGTAAGAAGTGGGGGTGCGAACCACCCTGGGTGTCATCCCTGAGGGGGTGATAAAATGGCACACCACAGGGGGGCGGCACTTACCGCGGGGCCTGGTCTGCAGCGCGCCCAGGCCACGCGTCTCTCCTGGGAGTGACGTGGTGGCTCGAGGCTGCACGCTGCCTAAAATGGCAGCGTGGGGCTTGCGCCCGCCAGGTGGACTCCGTGGGCAGCTCGCTGTGCCTCCCCCCGGGCAGATCGCCGCCCTGCCCCCTGGGTGGATCGCCCCGCTCCTGCTGCTCCGAGTGCCGGAGCAGCTAGCTACGCCCCTGGCTTCTAGTTTCCTCTATCCTTCCACACAGCCTCAAAATCTGCTCAAGATTCTTGGGGCACGTGGGCAGCTGCAGTGGATAAAGATGAGAAACCAGAAGTGCTGTTGTGCAAGTGGATTTTCATTGTGCTCTTTGTGATTCCTTTTTACTCAGAGCTTTTATGCCTTTTCTGCTTTTAATGTTGATTACTCCTGATTCTTTTCCACTTTTTTTCTGCCACTGATTGTAGATTGCATCATCTTGTAATTTTATGTTTTAATTATTGTATTTTTCTTCTGTAAGTGTAAGCCACTCTGAGGCTGCATTTTCTTAACAAGTATAATAAATTGAGTGGTTGGCTTTGTGCCAAATGCACATCTGATTGTACTTGAGTTGACACTTGAAGATAATGCATATTGCTATTTCTGATCAGCTCAACTACTTATCATAAGGAAGTTGGGTATGTGAAAATCTCTGCATGTTGTTCATTGGAAACTTGTATAAGAAGAAAAATGGAAAAGGTGGGCTAAATAGGAGGGCTGCATCATACATGATAATCTGCACAAATCAGATCTGTGTAGAAAAATGCATTTATATAGCCTATACATGCTGTGGGCAGTCCCCAGTTTTGTGCAAGCAGTTAACAGTGTACAGTACACAGTTTCCCACATTGAGACAATATATGGGTAGGAGAAAGCAACAATAATTATAAACAGCCCTGTTGAAAATAAGCAAAAAAGTAGCTCAAACATATATTGAACAACTTCGCACACTGTAAATGACATATGCAAATGTTTGTTTTCATTGGTTTTTTACTTGTCTCTGAATTCTTTCTCTTTTCCCTCTTTTAGATGGTAAAGGCAATTCAGGTTTTACGAATTCATCTACTTGAGCTAGAAAAAGTTAATGAGCTCTGTAAGGATTTCTGTAGTCGCTATATTGCCTGTCTGAAAACGAAAATGAACAGTGAAACTCTGCTAAGTGGAGAATCTGGGAGTCCTTATTCACCTGTACAACCCCAGGTACCTTTCATGCTAACTGAAATATATTTTCTTTATTTGATTTATAATCTACATTATCCCAAAGACTCAGGATAGGTAAGATTAGTTTTTAAAACAAACAAAGAAAGAGCAGATAAAATATAAATTACTATGTTAATATTGGTTGAATTTGTAAACCATGCAATTTACAAATAGATGATCTGTGACTGGCAAGCTAGCAGTTTTTAAGTTTTGTGATATTGTTAAGATTATAAGATCTCCCTTTTTCTTAGTAGTCACGTACATGGAAATGTAATTCTTAAAGAATGATCATAATCTATCAACTCTTTGTCTGCAGTCCAGCAACTTTAAACATGATAGAGATAGCTTGGATTTGCTGGAGCAGCTGTCTTCATGGAAAGAGTCACCAGAAAATGTGAGCAGTAGAGCAAAAATGACACGATTATCATTGCACCTCTTTGGCACTACCTCCTTAGCCTAATTTGGGGGTTGGCTTTGTTCATCTCATTGTAGATAATGGCCCCATCCCAGCAAGTGGTGATTTATATGTAGAAATAGGGTTCTGTGATTGCTCTCTCATCACATACACAAGGCTTCAGGACATAAAATAAAGCTCCTCACATCCCACAGCCTGCATTCCATGCACATAAGGGCCCAAAAGCTGTGTTATACAAATTCAGATCTCTTGGACTCAGAATTGTTTGCTCTGTTTGGCAAAGTCTGTTATAAGGCCTCAGGTACCTGATACTTTATATCCTTTTATAGAGATACCAGATTTTAAGCCTGGAACCATTTGGAAAATATTGCTCTACCACTGAGCTATGGGCCCACCTATACATAACACCTATAATGAAAAATGTGTCCATGCAGGCACTCTGTTTTGTTTAATTTATTGGAAAGTGTAAAAAACCAACTGCTACACTGAAGTATTACATTTTTGAAATTGAATTGCTAGTAACTGGAGGAACAGAAGTTGGTAGATAATTTCATATCTTGTTCATTCCCTCTCTTTGCCTTGAACATAAATCAAAATGCCATCAGAATTGCTATAATTTCAGAGCACACCTCTCAAAACTTTAGCATATGGCTACATTCACCATTCATACCATGAGAGCTCTCCTAGAAACCAGTCAGACAACATCTGCTCACAAGTTCCATGGCATAAATTTAGTTTATCACGATTAGTATTGAGATACTGGTGTATGTTTTTGAACTTCTTCATTGTGTTTCATTACATCCATCATGCCAGCCCCATGTCAATGTACTAATTGTAAATTGCATTGTCATCTAGACTTACCTGTAGATTTGGCTGATACCTCAATAAATCAGATAAATTTTAAGTTTGCAAAATATCCAAAAGGTTCAAATTTTAAGTGCTTGAAACTTTACATTTTCTGTGGAAAACAATGAACTATTGACCATGTTTAATTGTGAGGATTCGTGCATTTTTCTAGCAGTAACTTTAGAAGGGCTAGAATTTCATCCCCAACAATACAGTGTTATATATATTCTGACTGTACATGTGGTTGCCATATTTTTTTACTTATAACACAATTCTAAACAAGTCTATTCTGAAGTCCCAGTGAGTTCAGTAAGACGTACTTCCAGGTAATAGGGTTGCAGCCATAAGCATATTTGCATAACCTTTTCTTTTCTTTTTTAAGAAATGTTGGGATATTTTAAATTATTGTAGAATAACAATTCCTAAATATGTAGTGCATTGACTAAAATTTATCAATTGTCTCTTTTACAAGCACTTCGATTACAGTAGCATGTGACTAGGCTAATATTAAATGGGATAAGCACTGTCAGCTGGGTTATTTCTGATCCAGAATTTGCATATCTGTTCTATATTCTGATAGGTGGTTCAATGTGGAGAAGAAAACCCACATTTGGAAAGCCAAATATAAACGCAACATACTGTCAAACTGAAATATCTAGGTTATCTACCACCTCCTTTCATTGAATTTCCTTCTCATACTAGTTTCATCACTGTTTTTGATCATACTGGTTGGTAGTGATGACATCATCATTATCCTCATCGGGTTTATGTTTTGAACATCTCATATTTGGTACAGTACCATTTCAACTTAAAGTGATAGGAGCATCCTTTGTTATAAGTTCATGTAATTTTTGTTGTTTACTATTTCTAGCCAATTCAAAGTGCCATCACAGGTACGCTCAGTCCCCAGGGGATTATGGTACCTGCATCAGCCTTGCAGCAGGGAAATGTAACTATGGCAACCGTTGCAGGTAGGAAGCACTGAATAAAAATTCAAACCCTGCGCGCATCATAGATGTAGTTTGTGTCTGTTAAGTGACTAAGAAAAGGAATTCTTGAGATGATTTTTTGATTACTATGTTTATATGTCGCCTTTCTGCCTGTGCAGTCAAGGTCATTTAAATTTAAAATAATGGCATATAAGCAGGTAGGCATGGTATAAAAAATGGGGGGGGGGGAGAGGATGGGGAAGGATGAGGAAAACGAGAACATTCAGTACAAATGCATACAAAATAACTGATAAAATGACCAGGTTGACTGAAGCAGACAGTTATGGGAGGGAGGCAGCCAAGCCAATGAAATGGGCCATGTTTATGGCTCTCCTATTGAAGCAGCCATGTGGAATGTTTGTTTTATTAAGTTTTTTGTATCCTCATTTTTTATTTTTCTGTTGTGAGTAGCCCTGGGATCTTTGGATGAAGGGCAGTATGCAAATTTAATAAATAATAATAATAATGGCTGCTGATGAAAACATTATTATTTTATATTATTCAAATACAAATTATTATGCAACCAACTGGCCTAACATCTTCACAATAATGGCTATATGGAAAGGTGAATCAAATGCAATTGTCTATTCTTCTTTTTTAAAAAACAAACAAACAAACAAGCTTATGTAAAATTATAGTGAAGTTAAAATTGTAGCGAAGTTTTAAAGTAAGTTTTGTGTGTTGTGTAAATAGTTTATTGTTTTCTTTCTTTAATGACATCTATATGAAAATGTTATCATCATACTGTGCCTTTGCTGTAGTGTAATATTGCTATATTATATTCTTTTAAGGTGGTACGGTGTATCAGCCAGTGACTGTGGTCACGCCTCAAGGTCAAGTAGTGACACAAGCTTTGTCACCTGGAACCATCAGGATCCAGAATTCACAGGTTTGTTTTATATTATAAGCATTTTTTAGTGAAATATTTTTAAAAAAACATGGTAATATTATGGTGTGTTAGTAACTGCCTGCTACGTCTGAATCTCTGTGCAGCTCCAGTTACAATTAAACCAAGATTTAAGCATCTTGCATCAAGATGACGGGTCATCAAAAAATAAAAGAGGAGTTCTTCCAAAGCATGCTACAAATGTGATGAGGTCTTGGCTTTTTCAGCACATAGGGGTAAGGTTGATCACAGTGATTTGGGAATCACTACTGTTCTGATAATTTCTGCTGGTATCTGCATGAGAGGAAAATGTTTGGCAAAATCTGAAGCTTTTAACTACCTACTCAGAATATATTAACTTGGTATATTAGAGTTGAATCAGGCACAAATTCAGTGGATGTCTATTATATAACCTTGTGATCTTAAATTTTAGAGATATTTTTGGTTTTATTACATCATGCTGAGGATTTTTTTTAATCCTGTGCTCCCTTGAACAGTAGTCCTTTGAGGGATATATTTATATCTCTGTTAATCTGAACAGTTCCTAGGGGGCTAGAATGCAGTAGCATGTTTCTTTGTGCAGATTGCCTTACTAAATGCACTCCACACTCTCAAAAGGGGCCTTGTTAGCTTAGGGTCACACATGTTTCCTGTAATACCTACATGCATAGTAAGTTACATTATGATCTGAAAGGTCAGACAAAAGTTTTTACAGGTTTTCTTCTTAATTCACATGTTATATGTACTTTTGTAAAGAATTCAGTCCCTTTGGCTGTATGTTTTTGGAGGTAGGGGAGGAACGCTCAACAGGAATGCTCCACAGTCCATGTACTCGTGATCAAATTTATTATACTCAATCCCCTCAAATTGTACTGTTTAGGCAGCAGTATTTTCAGCTCTAGCAGATAGAGCAATATATGTAACAAGCTACCAGTGCTGGTGGCTTCATCCAAAGGTATTAAAATAACTTGAACTTTTTGCATGGCTAAATGTAATATGTGGTCCAGTATTCCCTTTTGAACTGTACTGCATAACATCTTATGATACTAAGGAGACAAAAATGGGTCTGTATTACCGTATTTTTTGCACCATAACACTCACTTTTTTCCTCCTAGAAAGTAAGGGGAAATGTCTGTGCGTGTTATGGAGCGAATGCCTGCGGGTGGCAGGGGGGATCTGCTGCAGTCGTGAGCAGAGGATCCATGGTTCCCCTTGCTTCCCTCCTCTGTGGTTACAAAGCATAGATCCACATGGATCCTCAGGATTTTTGCATTGGGCTACTCCAAACTCACTGTCAGATCACATGTCTGTGGCCACAGCATGAACCACAAAAATCATATATCCACTATTTCATTTAGAATATTTTTTTTCTTGTTTTCCTCCTCTAAAAACTATGTGCGTATTATGGTCTGGTGCGTGTTATAGAGCGAAAAATACGGTAATTCTTAACAGTTCCTGATAAATTACTGTATTTTTCGCCCTATAGGATGCATTTTTCCCCTCCAAAAATGAAGGGGAAATCTGTGTGCGTCCTATGGGGCGAATACAGGCTTTCGCTGAAGCTTGGAGAGCGAGAGGGGTTGGTGCGCACCGACCCCTCTTGCTCTCCAGGCTTCAGGAAGCTATCCGCAAGCCTGGGGAGCCCGTGGGAGTTCCCGCAGGGCTCTCTAGGCTGTGAATAGCAGCCTGTCGCCCGGCGCGCGGGGCGCCCTGAAGCGGAGCGCCCTGTGCGCCGGAGAGATATCGGCCAGCCCCACAAGCTCGGGGGACAGCGGGGAGGCACAGCGCCGCCATCCCGCTGTTCCTTGACCTGGTTTTGGGGGGGAAATAAAGGGGGGGAATTTTCCTTTATTTCCCCCCCCCCAAAAAAAACTAGGTGCGTCCTATGGGACGGAGTGTCCTATGGGACGAAAAATACGGTACTAGAATTACTATACTAAGTACATTATAGATAGTACTAGAAATAGCTATGTTTCTCTTGTAGATATTTAGCTGGTAATGCTTTTATTTAACTCCACACGGTATTTCATCCCTACCATATGACACAATGTGATAAATCCAGCTTTATCACATGCTGTGTTCCCCAAGGATCATGCCATCTAGCAAGGACAGCTGGGAGAATAATCCCCTCCCCCACATGGACATTTAAGGATAAAGTTATACTGTTAATTCTTTTTAAAAAATCATGTAGTGGTCAACCTGGTTATCATTTGAAGGTTGATGTTGAAGTCCTTTCTGGCTTTCTTTTAGGTTTCATGCCTTCACTGGATATTAGATTTGCACAGAGCTAGGTTAAAGTTGTTCTGAAGCTAGCACTTCCTGGGAGGGAATGTTTTTTATTGCACCCATTTAAATAATAAATGCTTGACAGTTTACTATCTACTTCTTCTGTTACTGTGCTAAGCATTTTAATAATCTCAGTTTATATTGCACCCAGTTACTAATTGTCTTATCAGTTATGCCTAAACTGGGCCAGTAACTGTCAATGGATCAGGGATATCAGCAAAGATTGGTCTGCCAGCTAATATGCTGAAAAGATAGAGAATTAAAATTTTCTGTGAGAATTCGGGGGGGGGGGATACATTCATTACATCTGGGGGAAACTGGCTAGTTAATTTTATGATTTCATAAAAGTTAATATAGCAACAAAAAAATGAGACTAAAGGGTTTTTCAAAAAGTACAGAGGAAAAAGAGTATGGAGATTCCCGCAGGTGACAGAATCCTTGAAGTTATTGTAGATTTCCTTTCCCTTGCAGTCATTTTCAATTCCTTACCTGTGAATAATTTTTTTCTGGGAACTAGCACCAGAGACTATAGAAATTGGAGTACTAGGGATGAGAAAGCGTTGGTTTTTGTAATAGCAGTGAGTATTTTAAGTTCACAGAAGTAGGAGTCTAAATAATAATGTTCCTTTCATTATTAGAGTAATAAATTATTATCTGTAATCGGTGTCATAAAATCAACATATTACATAAAACAATGAAAATTTCAATCTACACATATGAAATCATTGTGATGTGTGTTGTCAAAAATTAGTTTATCTGGTCAGAAATTATCTAATTAGCATAGAATTAATCCCACACTAAATTGTATTCATTTTGCTTTATGGTTGCAGATTTTTGTATTGTGCTTATTGCATATCTTTAAAGAGCAAAGTTCTTATAACTTTTCCAACCCCCTTCCTGTCTGTAGCATCCATATCCAACAGAGGATGAGAAAAAACAGATAGCAGCACAAACCAATCTGACATTACTTCAGGTTAACAACTGGTAAGATACAACGAATATGCCACTTTTTTGTGTTACAAAATTCACCTATATTGAAAAGTCACATAGAAATATGCAGCATTTTCCTTTGGGCTGCTATGTAAAGCTAAAACTGGACGGGATTGATGTAGGGCAGAGGTGGTCATGGGCCAGATCCTTCCTGGAATCATCCTTGACAAGTGAGTATGCCACATGATTGACAGGTGTGTTGTCCTGCCCAGCTGTGAGAATCCCTTGTGCAGGATTTGCATTTTGGTACCACTTCATCAGGCCCATGTTCTGTGCTTTGGGAAGATCCGAACAAAGGACTGGCAAAGTGATTGTTTCCCCACTCCTATCCTTTGACAGGACAGGAGAAACAAGGAGCACCTGGACCAAGCAGAATCACCCTCCCTTCACATTGACTAATGTTGTGTGGAGGCAGGCAATCCTGCTAAGCACTGAATTTCAGTATGCCATAAAGCTCCCTGCAGGGAACTCTCTACCACACCAAAGGCAGCAGAATCATACTCCCTTTGTATCAGCCAAGTGTGTGTGTGTGTGTGTTCCTGCTTAGCACTGGGCTTGGGTATAGAGAGTCTGATTTTACGGATGTGTTCATAAGATTCATTTTTGGTCATTTTAGGTTTATCAATGCTAGAAGACGAATTCTTCAGCCAATGTTGGACTCCAGCTGTTCTGAAACTCCAAAAACAAAGAAGAAAACAGCTCAAAACCGACCAGTTCAAAGGTTCTGGCCAGACTCCATTGCATCAGGAGTAGCTCAGCATCAATCAAATGAACTTACAATGTCAGATGGTAAGCAGATTCCTCAGCTACTTTATTTACTCTTTGCAAACTGGATGCAAAGAGTATCCTGAGCCTGTCAGACAATTTCGCAAACAGTTTGTATGAATGAAAGGGGTGCAATCTCTCTAGTAAAAATAAACCCTTGAAGTAAATGGATTTCAGAGCAATTCTAACCCCCAACTTGAAGCACTGCTGCTCACACTGTCGAAGGCAAACCAGTTGGGGGCCAGTTTCCTCTTCTGCCGTGCCAGCTCCAGGCTGGTGCAGCAGGGGGTGGGTCTGAATTGGGCCTCTTTTCTGGCATTCGGCCTGCTGAGGATCCATCAGATTCATCCCCAGCCCTGCTTCAGCACTGTAGCACCCTGCTTTGGGGGTCTACACTAGTTACCACCAATGGGAATACTGCTGGAGGTAGCTGCCCAATCAGCTGTGCTTTCAGCATGGGCATCTGCAGCCAGTGGAGCCCACTGGAGCCAAGTAGAGGGACACCTCTACCCAGCTGTAGCTCCCTCCATCAGCACTGATCAGGCAGTTAGGAACATGCCCTTAGCATAGCAGCAGTTCTTCATGGATCACATGATCCATGTGCCAAATTGGATTATTTTGCCCTCCTATGTATCAGCACCATTCATATAAACAGAGGTCTGTAATGGCTCAATGTGGTTAAACATACCTGTGTCTGATACACACTTTCAGCCTCACACATGTTTATTCAGAAGCAAGTTCCACTTTGTTCACTGGGGCTTGTCCTCAAGTAATTGTATATAGAATTGTAGCCTTAAAAGTTAACAGCTTTGGGATTGCTTTTCATTGGCTGCCCAATTTTAAAAGTACAAACCCACTGTTTATTAAGATAAATGAGAAACGTGTTCCAAGATGTTCAAAACTCAGAAATCTCAATAGACTAAAACTGACATCTCTGTTTTCGAAATTACTTGTATGGAGAAAGATAATTCAAATAGCTTGTTCAACTTTCATTCACTTTTAATTTTTAGATCTTTGGCTTTCATTAACAGGGTTTTCAGAGTAAGAACTGTGGATTTTGTAAAAGAATTGAATTGTTGTTCCAACTGGACCCTTGTTTTTCCTCCCCATTCTCAGGAGCCGTTGTAACAATTACAGCCCCAGTCAACATGAATGTAGACAGTCTGCAATCTCTTTCGTCTGATGGTACTACTTTGGCTGTTCAACAAGTCATGATGGCAGGGCAAAGTGAGGATGAATCTGTGGACAGCACTGAAGATGACGGAGCAGACCTCTCAACCACAAACATCAGTGGGCTGGTCTTGGATAACAGTGATTCTCTGCAATAGGAAGCAAGAGAATCTGGCCTAAATATATAGGAAAAACAATAGACTGACTGACTTTTTATAGTTTGCACAGCAAACATTTTACACAAGTTTTATTTCTAATATGTTTTATATGTAGATATAGAAGAGTGCACTTTTTGTATTTCATAGTCGGCTTAAAGAGTGTCTTTACAGGTGCAGCAACTTCTTTCAAATGTGTTGTTTTTGGTTTTGGTTTTGAAATTCTAGTAATTTAAGAGAGAGAGAAAAAAAACATAATCACCCCATTATTTTCTCAGGGTAATTTTTTCACTCACAAAATTGATCCCAGATTCCCCTAATAAGGGAATGGGGGGGGTCATGGGACTGCAGTCCTGGGGGAAAGATGATGGATGCCTCGCGGGTGAGTTAATTTTACATTAGCATGGGTTTAAATATATACCCATCACACAATCATCATCTTACTCAATGGTTGCTGTTGTCTATCATCATCTCTGCTGCAGTTTTGTGACATATGAAATTGCCCTGGTGGGAGAATTTGAAAGTACTTCAGTCTCCTGGAGAGTTATGCAATTAGTCCTGTCATTTTAAGATTACTCTAGGTGGTTTAACAATGTAAATGTAAAGCATGTCAGATTAGTGTTTGGGATTTGTTTATGAAGTTAGCCATGTAGATTTGAAAGATGCTTCTGCACCTTAAAAAAAACCTGCCAGTCTGAAATGGGCAACAAAACACATAAAAGAAAGTGGAAACGTGTGAGTCAGTAACGAATGTATGGCATTTAAAATGAACTTAATTTCTCATTTAGTTGTTTGGTGGAAACCCTAGATTCCCCCTGTACCTTTTGATTTTGTCACTGACACAGCTGCTACTTGTTGTTTTATCCACCTGCCCTGTGGCATGCTGGAATCCTACTTGCAATATGTGGGGTTGCGATGGCAGGGAGGGCAACAAAGGAAGTGGAATGGGCAAAAGAAGCAGTGAGTGTCCCAATTCAGTGGTAGATTTAATGGTACAAGGGGAATTTCTGGATTGCAACTTAGCAGCTCTACTCATAGTTAGTGAGTCTGTTCATAATTTGCTATAAAACACTTATTTTTACCTTATCAGGTTATTGGAGTAAAATATTTTTATAAATTCTCTAAGAATTGGGATGATGACTGTATTGAGCATGAGAAAAATGTTTAGTACTCCTATTTGGAAGGTTATGAAAACAGTCCAAATTGAATAAACATGCCTATGTCATATTCTATGGATCTCTGCTATCCCATAGTGATACAGCCCATTGTGGCATAAAGTGGTGATGTGAGAAGGACCCAGTCCTTAATGGGATCTTGGTTATTGTTAAGCATTGATTTGTGTTCCGTATAAACTAATGTTACATTTCAGTCTATATCGAAACCTGTTTCTCAAGCGATTTGATAAATCGGTATACATAGGGAGTAAAAACCCACAATCTTGCCTTATAATCAAGATAAAATCTATAGCAGTACACACTTCGCATCTGTTGACAGAACATGGATATTAGCCTCTGAACTGCAATACATCTTTTCCCCACACTATTGCCACTTCTCAATTGTTGTTTTTATAGCCAAAGTATGTGATAAGGTTAAGATAAAAATGAATTTCTCAAGCACAACCTTACTTGCACAATCTCAACAATGCTTCAACATACTAACTATATCATTCAGCACTCAAAAATAGTGATGATAAATTAGCCTTCACCATAAATGTCATTAGCTCCCCATCCCATACCTCTTGAGTTTGTTTATAGTCTTGTGTGTACTGCCGCTGACACTACTGGGAGTTGGTATTTTCCCATTGCTTGCTTTAGATAATAGGCCCTGGGGGCTTGGTTAGCTATTTGGAGGAATTGGGTGACGTTATCTGCACCAACAAAATCCAGATTTATCTCCAGCTGAATGTGATAAATTGACTTGGTTGGAAGTCCTGATTCTACGAAGCCTTCAAAGAATTTGTTTCCCTGGGGTTTTTGGGTGGGCTTTAAAAAGAGTTGGCGCCCTATTTTCCTGTATAGGTAAGTCTGAAGTTGGGAAGAACAAATTACATTTTTATTCTGTTACCTCTAGGCTATATCAGACCCAATCCAAATGTTATGGTGACAGCATGGCTCTATCTACTTGATAGTGGTTCTTTTACGATCCATAATCAATTTACCACAAACATGGCCTGGCTGAGTGATGTCTCTACACCATCATTATTTGCCTGTCCAGGTGACTTAGCACTGGTATAGATAGCACAAGATCTGAGATGTTATGGTAACCAGCCCCTACTATACAGAAATGTTTTTTTCATTGATAACCACACTACTACAATTAATGCTCAATTAGACCCACTTTACAGAGTATATGTCTTATTTTTATCTCGTATTCCATAGGTACTCTCCTGATCACCAGATAAGCAAGGCAGCAGACAGAGGTTGACAAGAGTGCTGTGATCTCCATAGCCTCACAAGGGGAGGAAAAATACAGCCTTAGAAAGCTACGAATGCAAAGCAAGGAGACAGCCGAGAGATGACAACCTTAGATCTGTACTGAAACGCTTCGCATAAAGCCTAGATAGACACCACCCTCACTTTTACAGTTGTGTGAAAGTTGGGCTAACCCATAATTTCTCTTTCATGCTTTTTGAAATTTTCTGAACAGTGTTAAGATGTGAAAAAATGTTTACAAGAGGTTTGTTTGGGGAAACGTTAGTATAATGTAGCAAGTTTATATAGGAATAATACCAGGCCTCATTAAAACCACAACATTTAAACACCACCACTGAAAGAGCTAATGAAATGCAACGAACATTTGTGCATCTGAACGTACCATAGCTCAGTGGTAGTCTGTTCATTGTGTTTTATTGGCTTTAAAATAGTTACCTAGGATAGCACCCTTTCTTGACTTTTTTCAGTAGCACTTCATACCCCTTTTTTTCTTATACAAAAACGTTTCCCTGTTTTAGCCTCATATTTCCACTCTCTCTTCCAGATATTAGAAAGTGTTAGCAAGAAAAAGACCCAAAGCAACATTTTCTTTTCATTTGTAAAGCGCCTAGACTCGAAATGCTTGTAATGTAATTCAGAGCAAAAGCAGGCTTTCTGAAAGTGTAAAGGGGATTTGGGGCAAAGGCATGTAGAATGGAGTACCCAAGACATACTTGCAGGTGGTAGATTGTGGCCATTTTAAGTACAAGACAGAGGGCAGTTGCAGCTCACACTTGGATCTGCTCTCACCCTTTTGTGGTTTTTTCCCCCAGTTTGGGCTATAGGGATTAAAACCACTGTGATGGGCTACCTGCATGCAAACAGTTTACTGCGCAAAGTATTTTCCACATGACATGAGTTTATATTGGCCGCTGTATGCCCTTTTAAAATACAAATCAGCCAAATGCTGTTGAATTTCAAAGAGAGGCCTCCCCTGTATGCAGGCTTATTTAACAAAAGGAAACCAAACCATTCTTCATTTATTTCATAGTCTCTGAAGTATATATTTTAATGTTAAATTCATTTGCACATGTCTGTTCTCACAGCCATGCTTAACAGATCTAGAAATGTCAAAATTGGAGCATGCCAGCCTGTAACTAATATGCTGTGACTTCTGTGAAGACAAAACAATCCCACATTAAGCAAATCATCAGTATCTTTGGGATGGATATCAGTTTGATGGTTCTGGGTTTGAACTCCAACTTTATGCTGAGTTCTGGACATGGGTCTTCTACCCTTCAGCACAAGCAAATTCTTGATATACCTGAAACTGGGAGGTGGCAAATGCTCTGCCTTTCCTTCCTGAGTTGTGTTTTTGTTTAGTTTCATTGCAGTTGGTTGGAACAGTTATAACATCACTGAGCTAGAAATTGCAGCTCTGCCCAGATACCTTGAAACTTTCTCTTATCCACAGAAATGTTTGGAAAAGCATTGCTGGACTTAAGAAGAATTTAAACTCTTCAAAACTTGATATCCAAATACATGCGAGCTAAGTAATCATTTTCAATCATCGCATTAGATGAATGAGTGTAGTTTATTTTGATGTGTCTTATAATGGTGCTATTATTTATGACTGGTGTATGTATTGGCATCCTTCTCCTGAGATGGTAAACTGATCCACCAAAACAGAATGGTATTCTAGTTTTACTCAAAGTCGAACTTTATGAAATGAATGGACCTACCTTAGTCATCATGTCCTAACCTTCAACAGGTCTCCTTTGAGTAAAACTCAGTTGAATGCCACGCACGGTTAAGAAAAATAAACTCTGCGGTAGGTGTCCAGAACTAGCTGTATGCTTGCTATGCCATTAATGTGCAAAAAACAGGGCAGAAGACTTGAGCTGTGTTTTTGGGATAGCACTGTAGCCTGGCCATGTATGGTCAAAAGGACATGTTTTAAAAGTTCTTGTAGTACAAGAGAAAGGTACAAAAGATGTTTTGGGATTTCCAGTTCAACTGTAGGAAAGTTAGTATCACTTTAACGAGGTAGTATCTCTACAAAGGAACCCAGAAGTGGACCACTAATCCAGGATTCATGATGAGATTCAGGCTGCATCAGCCAATCATGGTGTGTTCAATTACATATATCACATTTGGTAGAAATGTGCTAAGCATCCATTTCTCAATACTTAATGTGCTTTACTTTCTCTTTGAAACATATTGGATGTTACTGATGATTGGAATGCCATTACAAGTGGAAGTAGATTGTGTTTACCAAACCCAAATTACATTTTCTTAAACTTGTTTAACATTTTGAGGAGACTTTTGCTTCAGTGACAACTAGAAAAGGCTTTTGACTGTGTGTGTGGTTCCAATTCATTCATATGCCCACTCCTTTGGATTGTGGCTATTATATAGGTCAATGACAGCTGCTTTTACAAGTGCTTGTCTGCCTGTGATAACAGCATTATACAAAGTAGACTCTATAGCATATTTAAATATTGGTTTGTTGATGCAGGAAATACAAAGGAAAGCACGCTAGACTTTGAGGTCCATAACCTACCTAGGATGAATGATTATGGGTTTTGTCTGCAAAATAAGTCATTGGAGCCCCATTTCTAAAAAAAGTTATACTATCTAATCCTTATGTTTTGGGTACTTGCCATTTGTTAGAGTCTGTGTATTTTGGCAGAGAGAAAAAACATGTCTTCAGTTGTATCAGGAAATATTTTATCTTCATAATTGACAATCTTTAAAATCTAAACTCTGATAAACTTAGTTGTTCAGTTTGTTTTGTCATTTAATGAAATATTTGAACCAGCATGGCAAAATAATTATGATTCATCAATGTGTTTTACATGAAACCTCTGAACTCAAAGCATGATTTCTTCACTTTGTGTTTTAAAAGTAAAGTTTCACATTGCTTTAATTAAGGTCAATTGTCACATTACTGTGTTCCTGTTTCAATATTCTATAATGCAGATATCAATTTTGTTTTTATTTTGTATATCAGTTTTGTTTGGAAATCCTTACCCAGGTCTTTAAGTTGGAAAATATTTTGCATCTTTCTTTACACAAGTCATTATTTGGATTATAGGAGCAAAAATGCAACATTCTTACTGATCTGGGAATGTTGTGTTTTTAATTGTAGACAAGCTTAACGAAAAGCTATGCAATGAATTATTTCAAAATATTTTCACTCTTTGTTGTTCTGAAATAAAAGTGAAAGGGATATCAAACTTTTAAGTCCTTTAAAAAGACCATTTAGAAGGTCCTATCCCATCCCAAGCTAGTTTTTTTAAAATTTCTAGTTAGGATCATAATAGGACAATCTTATGCTTAACTCAGAAGTTAAGCCCCAGTGAGTTTAATGACACCACCTGGTAATTGTGTATGATTTCAGGCACAATATTTGTAGAATACTGACTCCCAAGAGAAATGGTAGTAGCTATGTGGATAAAATATTGAAACAAAATACTCTTATGGGGCCTGTTACTAAGATACTTGAGAGTCACTGCTTACTGAACGTTCGTGCAGATGCAGCACTGAGAATCAAGTGCCCTTGCTTTTAAAATTTTATTTCTTTGTCATAGATAGCTTGTTTAATATTGTAATACTATATTTGCACTAGTCCATCACTGTGCTGACCCAACTGGGGGATCTGTAGCATCCTGGATTTTCATGAAGGCAGGGCAGGGGCATAAAAGTGAAGGCAGGTTACACAACAGCCGTGTTTGTGGCATGGGAGCATGAACGGACTGACACTGAGAGGCAACAGGAAACAACAGGAAATATCTGAATAGATTGGGAAGGGAGAAACCCTGAGGCATTTGTCTGTTGGTTGTTTTAAAAAAAATTTACCAAGGCGAAATAATAGAGATGGTTATGATACAGAAGCCAGCGTCAGAAAGCCAGCACAGCAAAGTCATTCTCAACTTGCTTCTTGCTGTACTCAAACCTTGTTTTAGACAACCGTTTCTTTCCTCTCAGAATCTCACTCAGCTTGCTCTCCTCAGACATTTGCCATTGTTTGAAAACCCCTTTCCCCTTCAGCGCTGTTGCATCCCTGTTTTACTCAGTCCTTCCCTTCTTCCACTCAGCTGCCTCCTAGTGAGAGGTAAGAGTCCTCAAATTTCATTTCTGGTACCATGTGTTGTCTACTACACAAAAGGCTCATCCACACTTCTGCTTCTGCTGTGCCTAGAAAGCACAGGTCCAAGCAGTTTCCCCCTTGCCCTACTTCTTCCTAAGGGAAAACCCACTCCTTAGCAATAGATCAGAACAAATAGCAACCCAGGGAAAACCCAAATTGCTGTTTGTGCTGATTGAGCACTAAAGAGCGGTTTTCTCCAGGACAAGAGGAAGTGTGGATAAGCCCAAACTTCCAAATTCAATGCAGTAATCTAGGACAGGCATTTTATTATCAAGCAAACACCTATATCAAGCAACATCCATCACTTAACCTTCTGCAACTGAACAAACGAACAGCCTTGCTCTATTCATCTTAAACATACAGTAACATATATTTGCAGAAGTGTGATATAGGAGGGAAGAGGCATGAAAACGGGGGTTGTCTCTATGCAAAGAGTTGGTAAGGGGGGTGGTGAAAATTGCGTGTCTGTGCAAAGGGAGCTGCAGGATAGGAGGTTGGTATGGAAATGGGGGTGCTCTGTGTGGAAGGGGTAGTTGGAGAGAGGGCGGGAAAAGAGTGAAGGTGAAAATGGGAGAGTGTAAAGGAGGGTTGCTAAAAGCGGGCAGGAGGCATGGGCATGGGGTGAAGATGAAGGAGCAGGGGTGGCTTCATAATTGGGTAGAACGGGAAAAGGGTGCTTAGTACTTGCAATGTGTGGGAGGATGGCGATGCGGGAGATGACCCTGGAGTTGGTCTGTAAACAAGGTGGAGGTTGCGGAAAAGGAAAGGGGAGAAGGCGGCATGGACTTGGGGGTGAGGTTGAAAACACGTGCAGACCAGACTTCAGAACAGAAGGGAGACGCTGGGATGATTTCATGATTCAGCAAGCAAGTGTCTTGTGGAGGGATTGTCGGGGAGAGGAGTATATAAGTGCAGTATATATAAGAGCATAAGAGTATATAAGAGCAGGGTGGCAGAGTCCCCCTTGTATTGTAATAAAAACAATCCAGTTAGCCAAGAGCAGCCCATATTGGAAACCAATGGGGGGGGGGATTGTAGTCTTTCTCATGTTGCTATGAACCCATTTTGTTAACTCAGAAGCAGGATGCATAAGCAGCAGCTTTAAGATGCGTGCATGCATTCAATATGTGAAGCTGCTTTTTTGCAGTTCTATACTTGGGTATCTTGCCCACAAGCATTTGGGGGTTCTCTTCCTGGCGTTTTCTCATTGTATGGCATGCATGGATGATGATGTGCTGTCCCCCTTTGTCAGTGATTTCATACTTGCTTACTGTCTCTAGGTGCCACTATAGTGCTGATTGCTTCGCTGTTCACTTTAGCATATGTGAAATGCAACAAAGTCTAGTGTGTCCTGGCCACTAGGACTTCTGTAGCATCTGCGGGGCCACAGGTGCCCCATCCCTAATGTAAGGACCACATTTAGCATTATTCAAAACAGTTGTTGATAGATAAGTCTTCCATGAATTTGTTTAATCCACTTCTAATGCCCTTTAAGCTAATGATAATCACTACAAAGTTTAGGAATGAATTGCATAAATGAATTCTGTGTTGTGTGGAGACATATTTTTGCTGCTTCAGAATCCCCAGACAATGAAATTTCATTTGATGCCAAGTTCTAGTATTTTTGACAGAGGGAGAAGAACTTCCCTTTATTCATTATACCCAAGCAATTTATACACTGTACTTTTGTAGATAATGTGAAGAGTGAGAATACATACTAGTTATGACTCCCCTCACTGGGTTGGGGCATAACAACAATTGCAAAAAACAAAACAAAACACCAAAATATCCCAAACCATAAAACCTTGTCATGTTTGCTTTTACAGAAAGCCAATTAATGGCGCCACTTAGCAATTGCATCCCATTTGGGTATGCCAAGGTTTCCTCATTTATGCATATAATATGTTATTAACCATTATTATCACAGTTATTTTTCCAAATTCCAAGCATTTCCCATATTTGCCTCAACCAAATAATGATTTAAGTAAGGATCCAAACATATTTCAACTCCAATCTTTATTATTATTTTTATTAAAATCATACCATAGATTATGTAACTGTTTAATTCTTAGGAAAAGTTCGTTGACATTCATAAGAGCTGATGTAGCTTTATGATACTGGCACTGAACTAGAGGACCCTCAAGATCCCTCTCAAAGCTAAAATTCTAGTACTGTATTCCCTAAAAGACCAGGATGCTTATTTAGTAATGCTATGGAACTACCACCACCCAGCTCCCACGATACAGGGCACTTTTTACCCTAGCGAGCATTTAGAGGTTAAGGTGCACTGAAGCTGCCCCCCATTTGGGGGACACTTACAAATTTTACATTCTCTTTCAATGACTTCACCAGCAGGTACAAAATTTTCATCATCAGTGGGACAAGCGCATATTCCACAGCCATCCTGGGGTCTTCCTATATACTTGCAAGCTGGAGAAATCTTGGGGCAAGTGGAAGCGCAGACAATGTTATGATCTTCTCCACAGGTACACTTTCGGGTCCCAAAGTCAATAATCACAGACTGTCCCAGGAGAAGGATGCCATCTTCATAGCCTTCCTGGATACAAGCTTCCTTCAGAAACGCAGGGCACTTGCACTGAGGGATGCAGCGCGGACAGCACTGGTCCTTACGGGTCACGGCTTTGTGATTGTCAGGACAAGCTAGGCAGAGAACAGCAGTACAGTCTGGCCTGTGATGCTTGCAGTCACCATTTTGTAGGAAGCAGCAGCTCAGCAGCAGGCAGAGGAAGTGCTTAGGCTTCATTACTCTGAATCAAATGCAAAGAGGTCCTTTTAGCAGCATAGCAATTTTTGCTCATTCATTGCTTTCTATTATCTCTCCCAACTTTGCCTTTTTAAATACTGAGCTAATGCCCTCTCTCAGTAGAACACCAATTTGCATAGCATTTTCTCACACCAGGGGCACAAACACTGATTACATAGCACATTGCGGATTGGCTCACTGAATCAGCCACACTGGAGCTCAGGGTACACTTCCCAATGGATTGCCTTCAAAGCAACATGCTGCTCCTGATAGTTGCCTTCTCCAGTCTCCGATGATACTCGGACCACTTGCACAAGGAAGTGCCACCTACAACCCCTTTGGGCCCCGTTCCTGCTGTTGTGTGTATGTGTATATATATGTGTGTGTGTGTGTAATTATATATATATATATATATATATATATATATATATTATTACTGCAGTTTTAAAATGTATTAAATTTCCAAGCCTTAGCTTCATAAAATTTGAGGAGTGCTAAAAATTGGTAACATTCTGTTAAAAACCTATTACAGTGGTACCTCGGGTTACATACGCTTCAGGTTACATACGCTTCAGGTTACAGACTCCACTAACCCAGAAATAGTACCTCGGGTTAAGAACTTTTCTTCAGGATGAGAACAGAAATCGTGCTCCGGTGGTGTGGCGGCAGCAGGAGGCCCCATTAGCTAAAGTGGTGCTTCAGGTTAAGAACAGTTTCAGGTTAAGAACAGACCTCCGGAACAAATTAAGTACTTAACCTGAGGTACCACTGTACTGCAGAAGGAAAGAAGGACCTTGTGCAGCTCTTTCTATTTCTTAAAAACAGCAAACTGTCCTTCACATGCACTAAGCATTTCTAACTTTATTCCATGATAATAAAGGGGAATGCATTGGGTCAAATGCTTAGCTGATCTATGAAAAGGGGAAATAGCTTTAGCTTACCTGGATAGGCTTCAGGTGTGGGTGTTGCAAGTGGTTTGGTCCCCAGGTAGTGATATTTCCTCAGTAGCTGTTCAGCTGGAAGGTATGCTATTTATAATGTCACAACAGAGGGAAAACCCATAAGCCTGAACAGCTGGGAGGAGCTAAGAGCCCTTTCTAATTTATTACCAGTGGGTCTTTTATTATAGTATTATTTATTGTCAAAAGAGTTTTTATATTCCATATTATGTAAGCAGAAAGAATATACAATTTGCATTCTAACAGCTGGGATGCTCTCTATTTATCTATATAAGAAAGTGCCTTAAATTTAATGTAAGTACATCCTGTAACTATATACAGGACTATAGTTAATTGTCCCTTGTTTACTATTCCATAGTTCCTTAAACCCTTGCCAAGCAGGTCCAAATTTGCTTTATCTTGTCTCCATTTTTTACCCATATAATCTATATAATCGCCTTGATTAAGAAGTAGGTTTTACTACCCTCATTTTATCAGGGGCGGGGGATGGAAGTGGCTCAATGGGTGCATGGAGCTGCTATGGTTGGTTCCTGGCAGCTGGGTCACTGTTGCTTACTGAGCAGCAAGGGATGAGGCAAGATGCAGGTTGGCACATTACAAATGCACTGGCATTTATCTTCTTCAGAATAGCCTGCCATTCCGCAACAACATTTTAACATTTTGTACACGTGGAATTACATGTCAGTCCACAGTTTAGAATGGGCAATAATTGCCAGACGACAAGGCAGCAGTGACTTTTTCATTTTTTACCTCACAGGAAAAATGTAGGCTAACCTGCTTAAAATCTGCTTCTACCTGCTAAGCATGTTCCTATTTTAACTGCAAACCTCACACCATTCCCGTCCCTCGAGTTATCTAGTTAACATTTGCCCCTTTCCTGTGACTGGGTTGAATCACAAAAGATTGCCTTGTTGAGGGAGAAATGAGCTTGTCTCATGACCTTGGGTCAAGCAAGACGTGGTGTTTGTCGTGTAGTTGGCCCTGCACAGTGGAGCAGGCGAGGCTGTCCAGGACGGGGCATGAAGGAAGGAGCCTCTAAACTTTTGGCCCCACCATGCTCCCAGTTGTAATCACTCCCCAATGCCTTCTATTCAAAATGGAGGGAAGCTCCAATTGATCCCATTGCAAATAGCAGACATTGAGGAAGCGTGCAGCAATTCTGATAATAATCATGGTGATTCTGATCCGGCCAAACTACATGACCACGGGTAGGCAAAGTAAGGTCCGGGGGTCGAATCTGGCGCAATTGCCTTCTAAATCTGGCCCGTGGACAGTCTGGGAATCAGCGTGTTTTTACATGAGTAGAATGTGTCCCTTTATTTAAAATACATCTCAGGGTTATTTGTGGGGCATAGGAATTGGTTCTTTCCCCCAAAAAAAATATAGTCCGGCCCCCCACAAGGTCTGAGGGACAGTGGACCGGCCTCCTGCTGAAAAAGTTTGCTGACCCCTGTACATGACAAACCCACCATCTATACTTTCATCCCACGTTCCTTATGTGATTCCTCTTATACTGTCTGGTTTAGCCCATAAAGAAACTCTCTGAGCCTAGACAAGTCTACATGATACATTTAAGCTGTACGGTCCCATTTTAAACAGTCATGGCTTTCCCCAAAGAATCTTGGGAACAGAAGTTTGTTAAGGGTGCTGAGAGTTCTTCAAAGACCACTATTACCCTCATAGAGCTGCAATTCTCTCTTCCCAGAGAACTCTGGGACCTGTAGTTCTGTGAGAGGAATGTGTTGCTGAGTGTTGAACTGTTAATACATTGGAATAAAAAATTAACAGGATATCTGGTGAAAATAAGAGCCAGGATTTTTAAAAACACAAAAGGGAATATCTGTTCACATATTGCACAATGAATGAACACGTGTAATTATCTTTAGTTTGTGTACAGCCAGCAATACAAAAGGCTTTTCTAATTAACCTGGCTATTGTGGTGTCGCTACCATTGTAAGGAACACTCTGTCAGTGATTTTCATGTGCGTACTTAGAGACGTAGTTAAAGCTCCCATTAAAACGATTGCATAAATTCCTGCCACGTCTGTGAATCACATTCATAAGCATGCCAACTTCTGAGAAGTCTTGATTGTCTAGCCAGGCAAAAATATGTAGTGCCATTTTGCTGTAAACAGCATCCACATGAGCAGCATTAAGTGACCCTCATTTTAAAATATCTGAATTTTCGTGCATGGGAAATGTTCACATTGGAACAGTCCATTGGTGGGCTCAGTCCAGAGATGCATGCGTGCAAATGGATGTTTTATACAACTACTTTCACATGGAGTAAAACCCATGCGGTGGCATTCAAGATGCAGATAAGCATTTCTGCCCATACTGAGAGATGGAGGGGAGAGTGTACCCATATCTACTCTGTGATAGGTTCCCTTGTCAGCATCATATAGGTATGTGCATATAGTGTTGACAACTGGCCTCCTTACTTGTATGGGCCAGTCATTCCCCATCCCCAACCAATCTACAGTGGAATCCAGTTATAAACCTCACATGTGGTTGAATGTTTCGTGGGTGAACCTTTTCTCCTTGCAGTGGGATCTAATGCTGGCTGACACATGCACAGCAGCTTGTTCAGAGCATCTTAAACCTACATCTTTGTTCACAAGGTAAGTGCTTGGTTAGGAGAAACTACATACCAAAAAAGGAAAAAGGTACAGACAAATTGCAGGTGAAAAGGTGCACAATCAATGGCCAGTATAGCTGTTGAATTCAGCATTCTTTCTGCTAAAGGAAGTTCCTCAACTTCACAAAAAGGTGGACTGAGCAACAGGAAGTAGATCACGGCCCCCGTTTGTCCAGTCTACTCAAAGACAGAAAGCTACATTGGAGACTGTCATTATATAGCTAAGTAGTTCTGACGCTATGCACTTAAGAGTGCAAGTCTACTGTTTACTGCTCTGCTTTATGAACTTCTGCAGAATTAAAATCATCTGTTCTGTTTTCTACTATATTGGGGGGGGGGGAGTTACCATTATGAACCGAATATAACACCTTGGGTTGCAAGAAAGGTCAATTAAATGTAATTATAAAGCTGCTTTCAAATTTCCATTTGATGTGAAGGCAGATAGAAATTACTCTCAATGGGACTTAATTGCAACTAATTTTGGGGGTCTAGATTGAAGTAATCTAGTCGCTATTGTGCTTCATAGGTAGTTCTTTTACGGTAGGTATGAAGAACCTGAGACCAGGGGGGCAAATGTGGTCCTCTAAGTATCTGTATCTGGCCCTTGGGACTCACCTATCGAGACTATGTGTATTTCCCCAAACTGCTATTCATAGGTGGGCTACAGAAGTCATCAACATGTAGCTGTGTTTATCTGTACCAGAATCAGATCTCCTTAAGGCCCCCCCCCCCGCTATGGCAGTTCTATGACTGTCAGATTCTTAGAGGTAGTAACCATTGGCATGCACGTGGTCTCCTATGCCCAGGAACCTTTCATGGTCAAAAATGTTCCAAGACGTTGATGCAGCAGTGAGTTGTAGCAGCATACACCTCCAGCAGTCAACCATAACAGCAGGAAGGCTTTCTCTGGGGGAAAGGGGGCTTATGAACATTCATCCATCTGTACAGTCCCAGTTCACACTTCCCTTGTACAGGCAAAGAGTATTATTGTCAGTTCTACAATCAAGTCAGGCAGCCTTTGCATCTGTAGTATTTCTTTATTGCTCTGCCAGCAGATTTTGAAATGCATTTACCAGTCAATGTTAATGCAAACAACAAAATGTCAGATAAAAATCAAGGCAACAAGGCAACCTCACAGGAGAATCCATTTAGTCTACTGCTTCCTCCCAAGAATCTTATTTTTTTTAACATGCTATCACAGAATAGCTACTTATTTTAATTGTATGTGATCTTGTCCAATCATCCTGATCCCAAATTATTTCCCTTGGTGGCATTTAGGATGAGCATAGCTATGAACATAGCAGACCAAGAACAGCTAGGCAAATTAAAATAGAAATACTAGATACTAGTATAATACTATCCTAAATACAATGCTAATTCTAAAATAGAAAGCCATACTCGAAAACAAAACCAGACCCTTATACTTAAAGGTCTTCTGCTATTTCTCCACAGATTCTGCCATGGAGAAAATTCTTTCAGAAGAATTTGATTCCAGTGTCGCATCTCTTCGTTCCTGGGTCTTGGTTTTGGGGGTGACAAAGCTGAGAAGATCAACAGCTGTGACCACACCAAATACCATCTGTTTCATGAAGGAGCTGCCATCTGCATTGTCTGGAAGAGGACATAAATGAAGGAAGATTACATACTGTTGACGCTTCCAGAGTACCATTCAAGGAAACCCACAAGCAGTGCTATTTTTCCAGAAAAAGAGGCGCTGGATCTCACCATGAACACCTCCCTCGTTCTCTTAGAATGGCAATGGCACCCACCTGAGAGGTGCCAGAACTGAGTTCCTGTGAGTTCTCCCTGGGAAAAAAGGTCTGCCCACAAGGAAATGTTATCTTTATTTGTGGCATCTGGGAACTTTTTCCTTCATACCACTGTCCAATTATGCACATTGAGAAGATGGACAGATAGAAGTTTTTCTCCTTCTCTCACCCTGCCATGAAATGAAGCTGAATGCTGGAAGATTCAGGACATGCAAAAGGAAGTACTTATTCACACAGTTCACAGTTAAAGTATGGAAGGATTGATGGCCACCAGCGAGGATGCCTTTAAAAGAGGCTTAGACAAATTCTCAGAAGAAAAGGCTACTAGCCACAATGGCTATGTTCAGGGCTTTTTTCCCAGAGGTGCCACATGACCCCAAATGTCATGCAGGGGGATGGCACTGCAACACTACGGAACTGCCGCAACACACCAATGAGGTGCCAGAATGTGACAAGGAGGTGCTGGAACTCGGTTCCAGATGAAAAAAAAAGCCCTGGAAGTAGCTGGGAAACACAGAGGATGCTATTGCCGCTGGGTCCTGTTTGTGGGCTTCTGATAGGCATCTGACTGTCCACTGAGAAAATAGGATGCTGGCCAGGGTGCCTTTGGGCTGATGCAGCAGGGCTCTCTTTATGCTGTTAACAATCCCACCCCAACCAGCTTGGGACCTACATACCTGAAAGGTCACTCCCACCCTGTGCAGTTGATCCTAAGCTTAAGAACTCCTTCATTAGATGGTCATTGAAACTTGAACTGTGGGCATCTCTCAAATACAATGGATGGAGGCTTGTTGGAATTTAGACAAACGCAAAGTCGCCTTTGCCCATAAAATAGAGCTGTGGAGCTGGCGGTGCCCCCACCCCCACGAGTCACATGGCACCACCTCCAGTGTCCACATATTAGGCATGGATGTCTGTAAAGGAAAGCCAGACATATAGGCTTTCCTTTGCAGATGTCTACAATGCTACCTTGAGCTCCTTGGAAAAAAGCTGGGCTATAAATGCAATAAATTAACAAATAATAAACTAATATACTAATATATACAAGTGATGCCTTTCATGTATATCTATTTCATGGTTCGAAGGGCATATTAGGTCATCTCTAGGTGTGTGTGTGTATGTATATATGCACACAATTAGTAGTATGACATTTTTATTTTTACTAGAAAAGCTACTTACATTGCTCCAGCTCATGCACAACAATAGCAAAATGATCATTTTCCAGGATGTGTGAAAGCTTTCCAAGGGTATCATCCAGGCTAATCTGTAATAAAGTCCCAAACATAAAGTGAATCAAATTGTTACTAGACATCTAGGACCCAGTTTACATAAAGTCTGACATAAAGTAGTGACATACTGCTGGAACCACCACATGGAAGACGTAAGGTATGAGCTGGACACTCCATGTCAAGTACACCTTGTTCCCTCTGAGGTTGTGCTTAGATGGGCGAACTTCCGGGTTAGCGCCTCCGGCAATGGCGGAATTCCTCTGATCGGGAGGAATCCGCTCCGTGGAAATCAGGGTCTGGCCGCCACGGCGAAGGCGGAGACCCACTAAAAACCACAGGCGGGAGAAGCCTGTGGACGTGGGATTCGGCTGGCACCTTTTGCGCCTCCCCTACTCGCGGGGAAACCCGGTTTCGGGGATTCCGGAGCGACGTGGGATGAGCGGCGCGGTGCTTCGAATCGACTGCTTCCTTCACGGAGTGAAGCCGCATTGCCGTTGCCGGAGAGCACTGACTTTTTCCTGTGGACAATTGGACTTTAAACAACTACCCGTGAGTAGAACGGAAAATTGGATCTTTAAACATCTTAATTTGGCACTGAAACGGGAAGGTTTCAAACAGGAAGTCTGCCTTCCTCTTTTGTAAATAGATTGAGCAAAGACGCTGCAAGCTAAAGTCTTGGAGAGCCTTTTGTAAAGGACTAAATTTCCATCGGATAAAATTATCAAACCCCCCTTGGAAGCAGGAGAAGAGGGGGGAAGTTTTAGATTGCTTAAGCCTGCAGGAGAGAGAGTGAAGAAAGACAAATTACCACCGTTTTGAACCTGGGAACAGGCTGTCACTAAGATTGACGTTTTGGGAAAGTTCATTGACTGTGAACAAAATGTACGTTGACAGATAGTCAAATAAGAGAAACATATTGTTTCCATTGTTTCCTTTTTCACTCAAAAAGGAGCAAAAGTAATTGAAAGATTGAAACTAACTTTGCTGCTGGATCTGCGTTTAAAAGGACGGATACAAATAGAAATTGTTTCCTCTAGAGGAAGCTTTTGAAACTGTTGCAGGAGTGGAGCTGGGGAATTTTCCAGCTGCAGAGATAAAAGACCGTGAGAATCAGAGATTGACCTTGGACAAGAATGTCGACAAAAGAAGCCTTAGTGATTGCATTTTGCAAGATAAGTGTTTTATTGGAACAGTTTCATGAGAAGATGGACGTGATGAATACTAAAATTGACAATTTGGGACAAAAAATGACTGATTTGGGACAAGAAGTGAATATCTATACAGAAACTACTCAGGAATCGATTCAGGAATCTACTTTGACATGGCAAGTTGTGGAGAAGACGAGGGAGAAAGTTGTCGTAGAACCTCAAGTAATACAAGTGCAGAGAGCCCCCGTCTTACAGAGACAATTTGATGAATATAAGCTGTTGCCTTCTACGATTGAATTTAGAGAAAGCCAGTTGAAACACGTCCTGAAATATCTTTTGGACTTTAGTTTTGACTATGGAGAATGGGCTGACCTGACGAGAAGGAATAAAGACATTGTTAGGTTGGAGCTTCCCCGAGATCTACTCCTCAGTGTCAAAGGAAGGAAATTAAGAATAAGATCAGCAGAAGATAAAGTAAAGTGCATGTACAAATATGAAGAAGATCTGCAGAAGGGACATGGAAAAGAGTTAAGAGCCTCGGACAGAAGATCACCAGGTTGATGGACCATATGGAATTGATAGAAAGGACTGGCAGAATCCGAGACCAGGGAGAAGAGACGGTGGAAGAAGATTGGGGAAAAAAGTTTAAAATTTATTTATAGAAACATTGTTAAAATTAATGAGTGTTAGAAAAATGTTGGAATGAAATTACACTGCTTTAGTAGAAATGTTATAAGGAGTTATGTACAAATAAGTTTCAGGGTATTAATGGTAAGATAAGGTTAAAATAAACTATGACAATTATATGACAGAAAATAGTGAAAGATGGAAAGGATTTGCTGAAATAATTAATAATTAGAACACAAAAAAGGGAGGTGGGAGGAGGTCGATGAAACAAGTTAATGAAAGACAAAGATATGGAAATATTGGATGTGTTTTTAATTGTTTTTGCTTTTGCTTTTGTTTTGATGTATTGTGTTTTTTGTTTTTTTTATGTATAGCAATGTATTGATTTGTATTGTTTTTATTTTTTCTCTTTTTCTTTTCTTTTTCTGTAATTTTTAAACTTTTAATAAATATCATTTTTTTTAAAAAAAGAGGTTGTGCTTAGATGACCTCCACCCCACCTCAGTTTTCTTGGGGGAGAAAAGATGTTCCAGCAGTGTCTTGGCATGAAGGATCCTGTTTCTGTGTTACTTCCTCTATGGAAGGCTGGGGAGCCTGTGGTTCTCCAGATGTGGATGGACTCCAACTCCTACCAGCCCCAGCCAGCATGGCCAATCATCAGGGATGATTGTTGTAGTCTAGAAACATCCAATGGGCCACCAGATCCCCATCCCTGTCCTATAGTGCTTCAGCAACAGAACCATCTGAAATGAGGCAAGATCTCAAGACAACAACCTACTTGAACCTACCCAGAATACTCATATCCTGGGTTCATTCTCTGGCATCTCCAGTGTTTTGAAATCAGCCTCCTTAGCTTAGTTGGTAGAGCATGAGACTCTTAATCTCAGGGTCATGGGTTCAAGCCCCATGTTGGGCAAAAGATTCCTGTATTGCAGGGAATTGTCTAGAGCAGGGGTAGGCAACCTAAGGCCCGTGGGCCAGATGTGGCCCAATCGCCTTCTCAATCCGGCCAGTGGACGGTCCAGGAATCAGTGTGTTTTTACATGAGTAGAATTTGTCCTTTTATTTAAAATGCATCTCTGGGTTATTTGTGGGGCATAGGAATTCGTTCATTTCCCCCCCTTCAAAATATAGTCCAGCCCCCCCACATGGTCTGAGGGATGGTGGACCAGCCCACGGCTGAAAAGGGTTGCTGACCCCTGGTCTAGAGGATCCTTGGGGTCCTTTCTACCTCAGCTTTCACTCTTATTTCCTGAATCTCCCATCCTCACCCTTTGCCCTAGGCAGCAACTCCAAAACAGGTACTGGGCACACATTACCTTGGAAAACTGCTGATACATGACCTTCATCACTGGGTCTGAGAACTGGGCAGTTCCTGCCAGGACAGAGGAGAGGATGTTGCTCAGAGTTACCATCCCCAAGATGAGCCTTCAAGAAAACACACAGTTGTTTGGTTTTTAAAAAAAGCAAAATGAATGCAGTTGAATTTTCACAACACGGAGATGAGAGCTCCAGCAGTTCATGCATATACAGAGAGACACAAGACAAGATGGGTGGGGTGGGGAGTTCACTTTCTGCAACATCTGCTGTGGCTCAGTGGCATGCAAGGCTGCCACTTTTAGAATTAGACCAGTACCAATGCCCCTTCTATTCAGCCTGACTGGTGGCAGGCCAATACTTAACGTAACTGGGCTCTTTGAAAATGCTCCAAAAGTCACAAACTCTCAAAGGAAGCTTTTCAATAACACACCACCAATAAGAGTTCTAGGTCCTTTGACTATTAAGAACCAAAGTGGATGTGACAGCTCTTGGTTGGGATTCCCTATGCCAGCTGTGTGGGGAGGATGGCACAGAGGGAGGAGGAGTTTGATGCTTTGTCTCCTTGCCAAAGTACAAAGCAGCAATGCCTGCTGCTAAGCTTACAGGAATCCTTCATGCGTAGGCACTGTCCTTGCAATAGATTGGCTAAGGCCCATATTACGCCAAGTATTTCTTTAAAGATTTCACTAAGTATGTCAATAATAGGCTGTTTCTCATTAGTGCTTTATACAGTGAGAATTGTGGAATTCTCCTGAAGACTGTTAGAATGAGGCTTCAGCGAATAAGAGACTTACCCTGATTCTGCAACAACCGGTGCCTGGTCGTACGCCTTCTCACGAAGGATTTCAATGGCCTTTTGACAGTTCACATCTGGGAGGAGAGTCAGAGGGGCTAAGAGGCTTAGCTTCTGCACCTTGATAGTCCACCACCTATCACAAGGGGGGCGGGGAGCAGGAAGGACAGCAAGTGGTGTTAAACCCCAGCAGTCTGCTCTGTGTCTTATACACACACACATAAATTTTGAAAGGACTTAAGGAAATGGTTTGCAGCTCAGCAAACTATTTAGGACTGATTCCTACATTATATTTTCCAGGCCCAGCACCTGGCATAGTGGGGCATTTGCCAGGACTCACTGGGACTGATGCCTAGCTTTTACCCACCACCCCAGTCTCCCTCCTCCTGCTTACATACACACTAACTCACTTAGTACAGGTGCTGCAATGGGCAAGAAATCTCTTGGCTCCTAGCCCATTACAGCATCACCCTTGATGCTCAGAAGTGGACTCACTCACTTGGGCAGCAGCTCTGCTCCCAGCTTATTACAGTGCTACCACCATGGAAGCCCCACAAATGAACACAAGGGAAAGGCTGGCAGGTACCACAATGCCTGTGGGGGCTCACATGGCAGGCACTAGGGTGCTGGAGAGGAATACTGTGTCCAGCGCCTCCAAAATCTGGAGCCGGACCTGATGTTTTCCATCATGGTCCCATCTACAAGGATGCAACACTGGGACAAAAATATTTGCCAGCCCGACTATCCTTATGCTTCATAATACACCTGTCCTTGTGCATGCTGCATGGCAAAGCACAGAAGAGAATTAGACAGAGCGTGTCATGCAAATCATGATGGATCAAAAAGGATTAGTTGCAGTCTGTGATCCCACCACTCACACACACCTGCTTCAACCAGAAGATCAGCCTGGATGCACTCCTCCTGAGCGCATCTGGATTTCATCAACAAAAAGCTATTTCGGACTCCATTTTTTAAAAGTGAAAGCATTAAGGCATCTTTTTATCACTGGTACAAACAAACAGTCTTTGCCTTCTCCTGCCCCGCCATTCAGATTACTTTTGCTTTATGTCAGGCAAAATTAACAAGTGTAGCGACTCTGACCCATACCAAGGATGATGCTCTTCCACATCTTCTTTTAGAAATCCATTCTTGACCATCCATTTGTCATTCAAAAATTTAGACCTAGAGATAATTAAGAAAGACTGAGACCTTGTGTCAGACTTTGGTGTTTCATCCAAGCTTCCATTACAGGACTAGCCTAACCTTCAGGTACTCATAGAATGTCTTTAAGTAGCCCTGAGTTGAACATTAAGGGACTTTCCGCACTTGCCATTAATAGTGACATAGTTGCTGTTTGATCTGCCATTTTTAAGAGTGAATTTGTAGGCATTTGCCTGCAGCTTTGGTCACATGTCGCTGTTATTATAGAGTGAGTGTGGGTTTTCCTTCCCACATGAATGGCAGGTTGTGCCCCAATGGAGAAATGTTCTGTGGCCTTAGTCACACCCGTTATGGTCCTCCAGCCAATAAACGTCAGAGTTATGAGCCTCTGCATGAGGGTATTCCTTTTGCAGCTTTTTCTGTGTGTACAAAGTGCCTAGCATTCCAGAATTCTAATCTTGTGGGATTATAGGATATTAAAAGAGGAACTGCATGCCTGCCAGAGCTATGGCAGACCTGGATATTGTGATGAAGTTTTGTCTGCATCTTATAATGCATGCTGTCATTGGCAGTACTTTGACTCAGTACCATAGCCTCTAGCTGCCTATATCTTTCCTCTGAACTGAGTTTTCAAACTGATATCTTCCACAGGTCAGAGGAAAGTGGTACAAAATAGATGTCCCCCAAACCATACCCACCAACTCACAATCCCTCCACACAGAAACGGACTATGCTTGTACAAACAACACACCAATGAAAATACTGAGTATCTATTCTGAATCTTTCACAAATGTCATGGTTTTTGTGGTAGAAGGAAAAGCGGGTTTTTGGAGTTCATTATGCTGGAATACAAGTTGAATGATGCCAGCGTCATGTGGCAGCATGCCAAAAACAATCCGCACACATACACAACTAGACCACAAGAAATGATAAGTGTGCAAAGGTCCCAAGAGTCATTCTAGAAAAACTTGGGCTGGGTGTGAACCATATACTAAAATCCGTAACAGGTGATATGACTTGCAAGACTTCTGTTTCTTCCGCTGAGAGCTATAAAACTTTCATAACACTATCCATGCGATAATGCAACAATAACAGGAGTTGTCTTTTTTCATTCCCCTCCACATCACTGAACTGAAAGTAATTTTATGTCTAGCGATTTACAAGTATCTGGTATCAACAGAATTAGTCCCTCATAAAACTTGCTTCCTGCTTCTTTGTTGACAGTTTCCGCACTGCTGTTAATGTGGTACGAGAGCAACAAGCTCACATTCTTTTGCTATCCTCACAGATCCTTCCTCTCACATATGTCTGAGTGTTTTCAACCCAGGGGCTTCTGTAGACAGGAGAGCAGAAATGAAAGAAGGCATTGTCTCTTACATGTAGTTCCTTACAGAGTCAGGCAGGAGGACAACACAGCGCTGGCCCTCTTTCAGATGCTTTGCAGCTTTCACAGCCACAGACATGGCACTGCCTGCGCTGCCCCCTACCACAGGAAAAAAGAGATTACTACTCAATGAGCAACAATTAAACAATGATTTAGATACAGCCATCTCCCACTTGGGCCCTCCTGAGCCAACGGTGGGGCATTGATGCAAGAACGCAGCCTTGCTAGTGTTCAGTGTTGTTGTTGCATTAAAAAAAAAAAAAATCAAGGATAAATGTCTTTCTTAGACAGTAGAGTTCTAAGCTGTGTATAGCTACTTCTACAGAGGTATAAATGAGAGGTGAGCAGATACCAAACTTGCAGAATCGACTCTGTTTTTTTTTTTTTATTTGAACCCCAAGATTCACCAACTGGAGTTGGGGGGGGATAGGTGGGGGAGGCAGAGGTGGAGATCATACACCAAGAATTAAGGAACTGGGTCCCCTTCTGTTTTCGGCACCAGAGATGAGTTCAATACTGTCACACAAAATCCACTTCACCCCATTCCGTGCCCAAAAAGTACACCTTCGTCCAGCGGCACCGCAGCCCATAGATTGCAAAATGCTGGGCAAGGGTGTGTGTTGAGAGAGCCCTGTCATTGTTGTTCCTATTGTTGAACAAATGCACGTCTGAAGGCATTGCAGCAGATCCTGATCTACCTTCTGCTCACCCCTAATCTAGCTTAGCTTTTAAAATGGCAACAACAAAAATAACAGAAAATAAAGCAGAGCATTTTAAACTACCACAAAAATTGCATGGTGTGGGGGAGGTGCGTGGCAACTCAGCAGTAAAGATGCCCCATGTACTATTCAACAGAGACCTTTGACCTTCCATTCAACCAGATTCCATGCTGTGCTCAGAAGGCATAGCAACAGATATGTGCAGTGCTTTTTTCTGGGGGGGACGCAGGGGTATGAATACCCCTAAATATTTTGTGAATCTTTGTACTTTTGTCCATTTACTGTATTTATTTTTCCTGATTTGAACTATAAAATGGTGATTTTCTTGAGTAAAAATGAGAGTACCCCTAAACATTTTTAAAGAAAAAAAGCACTGGACATGTGTGTTGGAGAGACAGACAGAGGGTGGTTATGTTGCTTTTGCACACAGAGTTCTGAGTGCTCAAAATGCAATATCTGCACAACACTACTTCAAGGAAAGACGTGGATTCTACACAACAAGTAAATGATTATCAACTGTATACTTACGGCATGAAAATAAGGATTGTGTGAAAGGGCCCTTAAATCAGACTATTAATTGGTTCCTTGGGTAACCTTTATGCTCAGACTCTGAACAATGCTTTCCAAGAAGTCATTTGCCATTTGCGAAGGGTATGATTTAAACAATGGATCTTCAGCAATGCTTACCACAGAGCAAGCCCTCCTCTCTAATCAGTCTTCGTGCCATAAGAAATGATTCCTTGTCATTGCTCTTGCACCACTGATCTACCACCTAGAAAAGAAACAAAATATGGAGTTTTAAGGTTTCAGGGGCCTTTGGGTCTTGCACCTCTGCTACACGTAATGGGATGGGCAGAGATCCAACAGATTCTTCAGAGTTGAGGGCAGTTTCAAAGAGGATCATTTTTCCCCCTTTCAGTAAGCTTAGCTATATCTGTTTTTAACTTTCCTAAACTTTTCAAAGATAAGGTGGGATATACAAATACAGTCTCACTTGCAGCCCTGGAAAATGTTTGTTATCAGTGGGACAAAAATATTTTGAGAAGTACGCCTCTCTCAAAGCATTTTCAGCTAGGCTGCAATCTAATGCACATACTTGAGATTAAGTCCCATCAAAGCCAGTGAAATTTACTTCTGAGTCAACGTGGACAGCATCAGGCAGCTTTTAAAAAGCACCGCAATGTTGCCTATCATCACCCTCTGGTTGCAATGTTAGTACACTGCTGTTTTAATCAATTTCAGGCCATTTCCCTTCAATTTATGATTAAAGGTTATATGAGATGCTGCAGCAGAGTCTCTCCTATGGCTTTTGCTGGATGATAATGAGTACTGGGGCCGTGGACATTGCTACCATTCAACTCTGGTTCCAGTGCGCTCCCAGTGCTGGTATTGGAAGCCATTTGCACATGAAATTAGCCAGAATCCATATCTATCCTGTAGTTTCTTGAGAAATACTGCACTTTGATGTGCTTTTCCTCGAATCAACTTCAGTTTAATTTGAAAACGTAAGCCACATTCACTTCACAGTTAAGCTGAGATGTGTACATTTTAGACAGCTGTTGCTCATATACAGATGGCAGCCCATGCGTGGATGACAACTTCATGCATAGAGGGTGGGGGCTTGGGGAAGATTCTAGTGCAGGTATAGGCAAACTCCGGCCCTCCAGATGTTTTGGAACTACAATTCCCATCATCCCTAGCTAACAGGACCAGTGGTCAGGGATGATGGGAACTGTAGTCTCAAAACATCTGGAGGGCCGGAATTTGCCTATGCCTGCTCTAGTGTGAACAGCAATGTGCAAATGTGACTTGAAATGCAGCCGTGGGAAATGGCCTTGTCTTAAGCAGCTGCCATGTACATAGTCAAAGATTCAACCACCCTCAGCAACTTTTAATGCACTTCATGTGATTCTGAAAGCTTTCATTCAGAGTCAAATGACATCTCTCTATCTCCTGATCTTTGTCACACTGCCACTTACAGATCTGTCAAGGACAGTTGGGATAAAGTCGTGTCCAATCCCTTCCACCTCCATTGTTGTATCCTCTGCTGATATTGTGTTCAGTGAGCTGGGCAGGGCCACAATGGAGCCATCAGGATCCACTCCAACAATCTGTGAAGGAAAATTAACAAATTAATTAAAAAAAATTAAAGGAGCAACCAACAACTTCACACAAAAATGAGTATCCCGGCCTTGGAACCCTCAAGCAAAGAGGAAACTGCACTTGCCTGGTCAGGACGAGGCTTAGGTTTCAGGGGCACATGTAAATGCTACTGTGTGAGAGCATGGTGACTGCGCATAAGAATTTAGCTCTATGCATCTGGTATTCGCAACTCCTTCAGGAGCAGAAAGAGTCTGGCACACTTGGGGAATCAAATGGATGTCCATACAATCTCCTTGCTGAAGCAAAAAGTTGATGTGTGTTGGACCTCCTCGCCAGGCCCTGATGGTCCCTGATGGCATGAATGACGTTCCCATGGGCCTGGATGTCTGAGCCAATCCAAACAAGCCTTCTCACTTACTTTGCATTCAGGACATTTCTCTTTCAACTTTCTGGCAATTCCAGAGATGCTGCCTCCTGTTCCAGCTCCAGCCACAAACATATCAATTTTGCCTGCAGTGGGAGAATCAATCAATCAATCAATCAATCAATCAATCAATCAATCAGACAGCATACCTTTCCCCAAGCTCCAAAATGCATAGCCCTACTCCTATGCAACCTTAATTAATGGTCCACTGACAATAAGAACAGTATCCATGGCAAAATAAAACACAAGCATTTAGGATTAAGCTTTAATTAAGATAAACTGTTGTTCATTGGCTACAACTTCCTGGTGTGTTTTTGCAGTGCAGGCTTGAGGAAATGGAGCTGCCCTTTGTACTTTACGTTTTTACTGTGTGATACACTAGAGTAAGCCAACAGCTGCATGAAATTGTGGTAGCTCTTAACTAGGAACTTTTAGGAACTGTTTCCTTTTACATTTGTGCAATTACCGCTGCATGTTGGGATGGCAACACTTACATGACTTTCCGGTGAGTGAGTCACTGCTGCTACTGCTTACCAGGAGGGAAAGAGGAGAGGCAGTGGGGAAGCTGGCACCATGTAAATGCATCATTAGAAGAATGGGTTGTCCCTGCTGGTAAATTTGCAACACATCCACCTCCTTCTTCCTTGTTTTGCTTCTCTACCTCCAAATAAGCAGTGGTGATTCAACTGCCAGCAAGTCAGGTCAGTGCCAATGCCCCACCATGCTGCCCACTACTGGTACTTACTGAATTACTTATGGACATAGGAGCTAACACCTAGAGGCCGAGGTCCCTTCAACCCCCCCCTAAAATACTTGAAGGGGTCGGCTCCCCCCCCCCAAAGTTGATGGACATTGCCATTCAAAGGGTGTGTGTGCCGTGTCTTGTGGTCAATTATGCGGGCGGGGACTTACCTGCCTCCCCCCATATTTTATTCAAGTTGTCACCCCTGCTTGTGGAATTGTGGAATTAATAAACTATCAAGGTTAGATAACTGTAAGCAAATCCATTGAGTCTTAAGCATATATTTGATTGCGGCTCCAATACATTTCAATGTAAAAGGCAATAACCACAAGCTAGTAATCTGCACCTCAACTAATTTTGCACACAGAGTAGTCTCATTGAAACTAATGGGGCTCTCTTAGTCATGTTCATTCCTTTCAATGGGTGTGCTCTGTATAAAACTTCATCGAATTTCACCCATGGTTTTCATTCTCCTATAAATCAGGAGAGGCGCAATTCAATAGTGAGAACAGTCAACAGTGGTTATATCCACAACCATTTCTAAAGACATCTTTGTAAAACAACGTAAGCTGAGCAGCATGATTATCCCTAAAATAATTATTAATTATACCGTCACATTGCTCCAGAATCTCCTCAGCTGTGGTGTCATAGTGCGCCAGCGGGTTGCTTGGATTTCTGTACTATTGTCGTAAAGGGAACAGAAAAAAAGGGAAAGTTACTGTCAAATGGATGGGGTCAAATGCAGCACTGTAGAGAAAGCAGGCAGATAATAACCATGAAGTCTCTCGGAAAGAAATGTCTTGCTAGATCAGAACAAAATGGTCTGCAAGATGCCTCTGGGAAGTTCACAAGCAGCGCATGAGATCATTTTGGCTGCAACACAGAGAGAGACAGAGAGTGGCAGCGGGGCCCTTATCAGATCAGCTGAGAGACCAGCTGCTCTGCAGCTCTTCCTCATCCTGAACTCTCTCCATTCAAGTTGAGCAATAACAACCTTAACACTGGAAACAGAAGGAATGATGCCTAGAATGAACAGTTTAGTTCCCACTCCCCGCCAAGCATAGCAAGATCAGAGTTAGAGAGCAAACATGGATGAGTGTATCAATAGGTTGTGAACTTCTTTGTTTTATTCCTACAGCCAAATGCCTGAACTATGTTTACTAAGAAGCTGTGATTTTTTTTTAAAAAAGGTATGCATTAGAAATCACATATTTTTCAATCACAGGCTAGGATCAACAAATTAGATGGGTAGAAGTTGTTGTTTTTTAAATCAAGTAATTCAGTCAAAGCACTTCAATAAGGAATATATTACCTGATCCAAAATATGTGAGTTTGGAATTTCATTCTTCAGTTTCCAAGCAACACGGACATTTGATTCTGGGGCGTCGTATCTTGTGCAGGGAGTTCTTACGATCTCAGCCCCGAGGGCTCTCAGGATATCTACCTGGAGGGGCGAAAGGTAAACTCCAGATTTCCAGCCTCCAAGTCTTTCACAAGAAAAAAGAAATGCACAACATATACAATGCATATTTAAGGGTTTTTAATTTAAATTTCGGTCCATCTCAAAGGTCAGGCAAGCAAGTTAAAAAAAAGTTAATTAAAAGCAGCAACATATTACTCCCCCATACCAATGCTGGTTTAACTGTAGCCACCACAAGGCAGAGTAAGAACATTTATGCTGGTTCACAGTGACAATGCAGTTCCTACACTTATGCATGTAGAAGTACAATGTATGCACCATCTTCCGTGGTGCATACATTGATTTTCAGAAAATGTGAATGGGACTGCAGCATGAGTTTCCCTGAAGATAACTACTCAGATCCAAGCTCCCAAATGCATCCCAACATGCTCACAAAGCTCTTCTGTGTGGAGGCTGTTCCATTCATTTCAAACAAGGAGTTCAATTCTGCACATGCAAAGGAACGGCCACACAGTTCTGCTACAACATCATTGAAATTACACTTAGAAATTCAGCATAATCTACACCTTAAGAAATCATGGGGCCTCATCTCCCAGCTCCACGAGGGCACCACTTGCTTTCCCACTGACTTCCACGTTGTGTGTGCATCATGGAGATGTGCAACACATGGAGCTACTGCCCAGCATGAAAATAAACTCTGAACCATCTGTTTGCCCTGGAGCTCAAGGAAACCCATGACTGTGTTTCCTCCTGCACTTTGGCATAACTGGTATTTGGATTACAACCTTTGACATAGTACATGGCAGCTTTTTACATCTAATAATTTCAAGTTATCTGTAATGGTGATACTCTACTCCGGAAGAGGCTTCACTATGTTCTGTGAGGCGCTAAGGATCAACAGATAACCCCCTTGCAAAGCCCCTCAAATGCACAGGGTTGGCTAGTTTTCCTTTTATGAAGCGTTATGATGGGAGAAACCATGACAGCTCAAATCAAAACAGACTTTGACCATGCTGGGGCTACTTATGTTAAATCAGTCAGGAGGACTCTCTCTCTCTCTCACCTTCTCCATGCTCATTTTCTCTGGCATTACAATGATGCAGCGATAGCCCTTCACTGCAGCTGCCAGGGCAATTCCAATCCCTGGTGGATACGTATGAAGGAAACAAAAACAAGACAAATAGAGGAGTTATTCAACAGCAGCAAGATAAGCAGATGTTTCCAACTGTCCCTCTTTCCCACTCCTAAATTGAGCAACTTTCAACTCTTCACTTTTTGAAGAAAAGAAACCAGGGAACAGCTCTTGAAGTATCCCATTGAGGATCTTTGATATTTGTAGCCAGAGAACATTAAGACAGGATGAAGCAAGCTGGCATGTGCACCAGGATAGCATCAGTATGAAGCGACACTGGATCTAGAGTCCCACACCATACACTGAAAGCACATTCCATGTGCAGTTGTAGCAAAAAGAAACCTGGGGATTGTAGTTTAAGAGCACTAGGTATTGTACTCTGTGAGGGATAAACTGTACTTCCAAGGATTCTTTTGGGGAAGCCATGTGCTTTAAATGCTTGGTGTGGGTGTGGAAGTAAACCTGAGCAGAGTGGATCATGCAGGAGGAAGGTGCAGTAAGTTCTGCAGCAAATCAGAACACAAGAAGCTCAGTTGCCCTTTCTCCCATCTGCCCTGCTGACTGCTTAGTTAAAGCCACCCCACTAGTTTCCCTTGAAATACATTATTATTATTATTATTATTATTATTATTATTTACCATCATTATCATTATTATCATCAGCTTTATTACCTGCTCTTCACCAGCAGGTCCCAAGTCAAGTTACGAGAATTAAAACAGATTACAAAATAGGTTAGGTTCTGAAAGCACACATCTCAAGTGTCAAAGGTCAGGGTAAAGAAGTAGGTCTTCAGCATTCACTGAAAGAGGTACAGTCGTACCTTGGTTCTCAAACAGAATGCGTTCCGGGAGTCCGTTTGACTCCCAGAACCATTCAAAAAAGCAAGGCGCGGCTGCAGAAGCTGCTCCAGACCTTCGGCTTCTGAAAATGGTTCGAAAACCAGAACACTCACTTCCAATTTTTGATTGTTCAGGAGCCAAAGCGTACGAGTTCCAAGGCATTCAGCAACCAAGGTATGACTGTATAGTAAAAAGCCACAAACACCTCTGTGGGGAGGGAATTCCACAACTAAGTGGCTGCCACAGAGAATGCTCTTTCCCAGGCCACCACTTCATGGACTTCTGAGGGAGGTGGAACAGGTGGAACTAACAAATGAGTCCCCTCTGTTGACCTTAACACCCGGAGGGGTCTGTAGGAAAGGAGGCAGTTTTTCAGACATCATGCCCCCTCTGCCTCCTGTCTTCCCTATGAGAGAAGATCATAATGGCAGAGGGGAACCAGAGCAGTGCCCAAGTCTTAGGCAAGATCTTGGTCCATTCCAAGCCCTGACTTTTAGATAGATAGGATGTGGCGCAGCAATAAAACTGCTAGCACATTCGCAAAGCTAAGCAGGGTCTGGTATGGTTTCTAATATCAGAAAATTGTTGGCTGGAGCCATGGGGGGGTTGCTCAATTACACTTTCCAAGATGGCCACCGGTTCACCCTACGACTGCGCAGAGACTTCTGTAGCTCTTTGATCCGAATAAATTGGAACGCTGAGAAGCATAAAAGAACGGTTTATGTTTTTCAAGACTCGGTGGAGTAAGGTTGATGAGATCATAAAGCCTTGCAGCATGCTTACAGGGGAAAAAAGATTGGAGTAGTCTCTTTCTAACAAGTGAAGCAGAAACAAAGGGGATAATTGTGTTTCCTATAGTATAGGGCATGAAAGCAAATTGCACCTAATCCGTGTGTGTGCAGAACAAAAACAGCACAGATGTTAAGCCCTTCCCATGACTAGCTTGCAGTGTGCTTCTGCTGTGCACTCAGGTTTCATTGGGAATGAATGGCCGAGGCAGCTGTCGCTCATTGAGATGAGGAGGCCGACTGGGGCTTTAGCATTAGGTGTCAGTGCAAGAGGAGAAGCAAAGCGGATTCAGAAATGAACCACAGATTTCTCTGCTATGGGGAATAATGGGTGGATTTGCCCACCACCCGGAGTTTCCATATCCTGTCGTCAATGGAGTTTTATAGAAATGGCTGCTATATTTGACCAAGATCAAACAAACGCTCAGGAATACAACGCAGAGCAGAGACCTGCTGAAGTGCAGAGAGATCGCAAGGGCTCCATCTTGTGCCGCCTCCTCCTCCTCCTCCTCACAGTGATCTCATTCAGCATGCCAGGGCAGAACAAAACGAATAGGATTGAGGACATAATCCCTTTGGGAAGCACGAGGAGACACACTGACCTGCCAATGGGATCTTCTCACACTTTAGACTGAGGAACTGGAGAATAGATCCTTTGGGTGCATTTACCCAGAATGCAATATTCATATAATTATGTATGCATGCATGTATATATTATGTGTGCATATTTAAAAATCACTTTTGGGTGAACTTAAGAAAAAAGTACTTTTATTATTTTTGGTTTAATTCTTTGCTACATAAAGCCTTGCTTCCTAAATGAACCTGCTGCCTGTATATGCAGCGGTGACAACTCACAGACATCTTCATAAGGCTCTTAAAGCATTGCAGCCCTTGTCCCATGGAGAAATCTTCATTTGTGAACCTTTCCTATTTTTAAATTTGTGGTTGTTTTAAAATGTCCTTTAAAACTTATAGAACTGTGTGCACCACTTCACCAGCTCCAAAGCACACATATTTCTTCAATGATGATGATGATGATGATGATGATGATGATGATGATGATGATGTGTGGAGAGAATGATCAAAGACAAGCAGGGCATTGGTGTCAAGGGGATCCATGTGGCAGAGCTGTCCCCCCATCCCACCTCTGCATCCATTCTATGGAGGTGGATGATCATATCACAGTACTCGCACAAATGTAATGTTAAAGATAAAACAAAGGGTGTCTTTTATCGTGTGGAAAGGCCGTTTTAAAAATCACAAAAGCTATTTGCTTCTCCTCACCTGTGTTTCCTGAAGTAGGCTCAATGAGTGTGTCTCCTGGCTTCAGAGTACCAGCTCTTTCTGCATCTTCTATCATCCTCAAGGACATTCGGTCTTTGACACTTCCTCCAGCATTGAAATACTCACACTTGGCCACTGGAATTTCACATCAAGCTCACACATTAGAACATGGACTTAAGATCCTTTATTGCTGTTGTTATCATGTTTTCTAAGAAGTAATTTTGTTTGTTTTTTAAAGACACTGGTCCCCTCTGCCTTATACACAGAGCAGTATCATACCACTAAGAACCCCCTAAGCACCCTGGGAAACGCAGTTTATTAAGGGTGCTGAGAAGTTTCAGGAGACCCCTAACAATTCCCAAAGTAGCTAATAGCCCTTATTGTGTCTAAAAATAAACTATTTGTAATAAGGCTTTGGTTCCCTTCTCTAGATTCATTTACCTCTGATCTCAGTTAGCACTGCAAAATATTGCTATGTGTAAATAGCAGGGACCCTCCAGCTTGTATGCCAGTCTTGAACCTCCAGGCTTCCTCATTTGGTCCATGAGGCTTTTGGGGGTAAGCCACGCCCACTCACCCTTCGCTTGATGTCATACAAGTAAGGGCAGGTCTTAACTGAAAGGGCTCAAAGCCCACTTTCAGCAGCTCCCAAAGCACCCATTTACCTCCGTTTTCCAGGATTCTGCACAAATCATTCCTTAGTAGGGTCTGTATGCTTAAATGACCCTTTTTCCCCATCACTGATACTTTGAACTCCTGTAACACAGCATACAGGAAAAAATCTGACAAGTGGAATGAAAGCAAAAGGACACTCACAGAGCTCACACTTCAGCCCATGGGCTTTTGAAATCTTGTTGACACGGACCAGAGGGGTGTGTCCAATTTTCTCCAAAATAGATGACAGAATCTTTGGTTCTTTTGGACTGCATTAGGAGAAAGAACAAAATGGAATAATTTATGGAACAAAAAAAGTTTTTTGTGGAGTTTCAAAATAAACATTTTTATATATTAACGACTAAGAGCCACACAGCAACATTTGAGGAACTTGTTTGTTTGTTTGTTTGTTTGTTTCAGCATTTCTATAACATTTAATATTTAAAATATCTCTGTTCACCATAAGGTCTCAGGGCAGATTACATCTAGAATGAGATAATACTATATTGATCAACATTCACAATGATTTTAGATTCTTCAAAATACATTTGTGTGTGTGTGTTATGAGTACAGTATGTATGGTGGATAGGGATGGGAGAATCTGTTAGTTTTAGTTTCTCTCAATTTCCCTCCCCCCCCCCAATCTTCCATTTCCCACATTTCCATAACAATTGTGATTTTTTATTTAAAAAAAACCCTCATGAAAATTCACCAGTGTATTTGTGAAAAAATATCCTAATGTACACATTTTGGCATGTAGTTTTTGCTTAACATACACATTTAAAAAAAGCAATTTCCCTTAGTATAATACACTTTTGTACACATTCCTTGGCTGTAGTGTGGAACTGAAAAATTCGGATAAGTGCGAATTTTGAAGGATGGCTGTTTTTCAAGTTGTGCACTGTTTCAGAAACTGTGTGTGTGAGGTAGGTTCCACTTTAAATGTGAACCAAATTGAATTTCCTCCCCATCCCTAAGTGTGTGTGAGAGAGAAAGTATTAGCCACTTTGGTCACGCCCACTGCTGGCTGAAAAGGGTTAAACAGTGCTTATTTTTTTCTTTAAAAATGTTTAGGGGTACTCTCATTTTCCTACTCTTATTGAAATACTGTCCCTCAATGAGGCCAAACTTAGATTCACAAAATGTTTAGGGGTATACAAACCCCTGCGTCCCGCCAGGAAAAAAGCACTGGAGTTAAGCAGCCCTAGGTAAAGACACCTATACAGCTCTTCTAGATGAAAGGGGATCCTGGCCCAATCAGGATCCTTCTGCTGAACAGAGGAGCTCAAAGCATGTACACCTGTCTGCATGCAGGGTAGCAATGTGTGCCTATTGAGCACCTGATCAATGGGTTATGTGGCAGGCGCATGTGGGCAGCTCAGAATGGGGCTGGCCTCTGTAGAGAATGCACAGTCTACTAGGCTGGGCTTCGGGATAGGGATAGGGGACTATGATTATTTCAATTCCATGTCACATTTGCATGTTTTTACTCATAGCTTTTCCAGTTCTAGTTCTAGCTTTTCCAGTTCTATGAATCTTTGTGGGGGTTTTTAACGCTCTCAAAATATGTATTGCAGAGGGTTGGCGTAGATGACCCTTCGGTTCCCTTCCAACTTTACAATTCTGTGATTCTGTGTACTTAAATACTTAACTGCTATAAGAACACCGGAAGCTGGTCTGCATAGTATCGTCTGCCCAGTATGCAAATGTAATTTAATAATAATAATAATAATAATAATAATAATAATAAAGCTAATGCTCTACTGCTCAGCTACAACCCTTTCATGGGTGTTTAGATAAGTACTTTCCTCTCAAAATACGGGTTGAAAACGACCATTTATATCTGTGTAAGCTCTGGTTGAACATCTGGAGAAATGCAAGATTGGGTGGACAGCAAATTAATCCAAGAGGTGTGGATCAGACCTTTTTTGTATAAGAAATCACAGAGTTTTCCAATCCCATAAATTTGGCACGGCACAGCTTCTTAGAGAATATGTAAAAGAGCTCCCTCTAGGGGCTTTTCTTTGAATTAAATGTTTTGGATTATTCTTAGGGGACTGGAATTTATCCTGCGTGTGCTTTGAAACTGACTGCCTCAGCTACTTGCAGTTTTCATTTCATGTATGAGAAAGGAGCAACATTCAGCGGTGACAAGTTTGCCAGACAGAGAAGAACGCAAAGTGAACTCTTGGAGAAAACAGTTTTCTAATTAGCAAAATTATCAAGAAAAATGAACAATGTTTTAAACTGATATTAATCGTACCTGAGATGTTCCCCTAACTAAGTGCTTATGATTCTCATGCAACTCCCACATCCCACAAACTGCTTCAGATCACAGTATCCCTTCATCATGGTAAAATAATTCCACTTTCCCCAGCGACGATACATTGCTTAGCAGTGAAAAGCGATCCTAAAAAGAAGTCCTTCCTTGAGAAAATTGCGCCCCCTCCCCACCTGAGCTAGGTAGGTATGTCTGGAGATTTATGGTGCTTTAACATTTAGGACATATTGTACTTAGAAGAGATAGAGCTAACATTTTAAACAAACAAGTCACCAGGATATCCCAAATGACTTCTAAATCCTCCTGCTTATCATTAACTCATTTTACTACAGGAAGCATTCGGTTACAGATCTACGTTATCTTGCACAGGTTTGAGCAGAAAACTCTGTTTTACTTTGTGAAGTGTAGAGCTCTTGCACACCCTACACGTTTAATAAAGAAGAACAGGGTTTCTTTCTTCCACCTTCCTCTCTTATAGTTTAATGATTTTTTTAAAAAATCCTTACAATGGACAGCTAGGAAATACTTTAGTGTTGCTAAATTTGATGGTGGTTTGTAGATCTTGGCAGAAGCAAGAGAATTTCATACCCCCCCCCCGCAACAATTTGCTTTGGTTTTGTTTTGTTTTGAGTCGTGAGATGCAAATAAGTTACTGCTCTTTAGCGTACTGGGCAGTTGCAAGAAGGTGCACCAGTTATATTGTAAAAAGAACACATTGCAACAACCAATGCTACCTTATCTGATGACATGGAAGGAATGTCTTCTTTTATTTATAAAGCCTCTTCATAATTGTTCCAAAATTAATTCATTTGTGTCAGATTGAGAGGATAAATCAGCCCTTTTGCCCAAAATGCTGTTTTCTCCAATTCCCTTTGTTATGAAACGAACAGGACCCCCAGAAGTGCTTCTGGTTTTTGAGAACTACAGTGGTACCTCGGGTTACATACGCTTCAGGTTACAGACTCCGCTAACCCAGAAATAGTACCTCAGGTTAAGAACTTTACCTCAGGATGAGAACAGAAATCGCGCGGCGGCAGTGCAGCACCAGCAGGAGGCCCCATTAGCTAAAGTGGTGCTTCAGGTTAAGAACAGTTTCAGGTTAAGTACGGACCTCCGGAACGAATTAAGTACTTAATCCGAGGTACCACTGTATTTCTAACAGCCTTTTTCATACGTGGAAAAGCTGAACTAAGCACTACTTCCAAACTGCTGGTGTAGGTGGGTCCTGTGATAGGGAAAGCCGCAGCTCTGCTCTCAGACAGATTACCTCCCTGAGCAATTTCTAAACAGATTTACTGCTCTTTCGCTTATGCAGTGAATAGCTATTATCATTTCACACAAACCAGCTACCATGAAAGACAGATGAGAGGGAAGCCTTAAGGCTGCCACTCATTACTGTTTACATTTTGAAACGCAGATGAGAATGAGTCTGTGCCACACTGCAGCTGCTCCTCTCAATCTCTTTTAAATGTAGGACTTGTCCACATTACCGCCTTAGAGCACAGTGCAGTTGTTTCACTTGTGTGTTTCACAGCACTCTCTCCCCCCCCCCAGCTGTTCATGTTAGTGTGGCTTCATTGACGTTCGCTGCCGGGAAGGAGATGTATTTACTTTATGCAAAGGTATTTGCACCTTGGCTGGAGATGAATTAGGAACTGCTTAAGGGACTCCAAAGGATGTAAAGCTGGTTTGAGATGCAATGCTTCGAACAGCAGTATTTCACAACGAAGTGCAGGACAGATATGCATTCTGAAGAATTGTGTGAACATGGAATAAAAACCCCAGCAATGGAAATGCAGTGAATGCACAGTAAATTGGAGCACAAACACAACCATAGAAGTTCCGGTTCCAGTGATTTGGATGGTCATTTCCAAGTCTCCCAGTCTAGAGACGTAGGGTGTTCTTTCCCTGCTTTCCCCATCATAATAAATGTGTTTCACAGGGGGTCACCATCAACACCTCCCATTCTTGAGTAACTTCTGGGTTCCAGCACCGTGGCAGATCACACTGCAGATGTCTGCCCCTCAATTTTGGGGTGGGGGGTGGGGAGGGGAAGAGGAGGGACCAGCACTCCAAGCAGCACCAGGCTGTGGGATCTCATCACCTTTTTAATTCCCCACCATGTCCTTGACCAAGCATCACCTTGGAGCACAGTGAGGAATTAAAAGGCCCAGTCATGCAGGAATACTTGGGAAACTGCCACCACTGACAGTTAAGCCTACCTGGGCTCACTGACAGAGGAGTAGGCCCACCCAAAGATACTCTGGCCAGGGCCCCTCAAATCTGAAGAAAGCCTTGGAGGACCAACGTGCAATGGAAATATGTATGTTCATCATGGTTCCTGGGACACTTCGCAATGTCTTCTTTTTGTAATTCAAAAGCTGGGAACCAACAAAGAATAAGAAGCCACCGTGTGGACAAATTAGGCTCATCCAAATTAGGCTCTGAAGGAAATGACCAGAACTTTAGTATAGTACCAACCTGGTGCCATCCAATTGTTTTTAAACTGTGATGCAAATGATAGTCCAAAACTTCTGGAAAGTACCATTTTGCCAAAGGCTTATATAGGTGTTTATGCATTTGGTTTACTCAGATGTTTAACCAGATGTACATGTACATACGTATACAAATAGATGTACAGGTATAGAATATATGTGTGCAGCTTAAGTACTGTATAGCATGCTGAACAATTGAATATCAGTGATGAAAATATTGTAGCTAAAAAAAGAGAGGGGGGTTGGAGGGAGGGAATCTAGGAGTGGGGAGTGGGAATAAGGGACTCTACTGTTCGCTAGTAATAGTGCGAAAATCCTAATAAACTAGATTGGGGGGGAAAGCATGAAAACCACATGCTGAATCTCTGATCTGAAACTATACTGGAATATGCTCACAATACCACTTATGAACATCTACTTTGTGATTCATACAATATATATTTAGGAGGAACCTCTCAAGGTGGGAGTGGACATTGAGAGGAAATTTTTAAAATTCTAAATGCTACTTACATAGGCACACAGCTGTGAGGTGATTCTGAGATGGGTTTTCCTGGTTTCCATGTACATCTGCTGGGCAAATTAGGACGAATCCATGTGTTGCTGTTGTTAGTTTTGGTCTCTGGCTTTTCGATATCTCCATTGAGGAAAGGGCAAACCCTGATGGTTTTGTTGGATGTGAACACAGAAGCCATCATCACCTACAGAAAGAGAGGAAATTGGTGGAAGCATATGGATAAACAAGTTCAGTTCTTCAACTCTAATGGGGTCGGTTTAAAGTGTCAGATATGTGCTTATTAATGTATTTGTTACAATTTCTGGCATGCTGTCTTTGAAAAAGGAAGTAGTAAATTATTATTTTTTCTAAAATAGCTGAACATTAATTAATGTGACCGGGCCCATCAAGCTCACAAGCCAGCAATTGAAGCCTAGACTCTGGCAAATCTCTATGGAACTCAATTGCATGGCAGCCACAGAGAATTGCCATCCTGTCAAATCACTTCAGATCTTCACGTTTGCTATGAGATTCCTCTCTACAATACAGAGCCCTGTGGCATCTTAAAGACAAACAAATTTATTGTGTATAAGCTTCTGTAGACTACAATTGACTTCATCAAATTCATTAAGTGATATCCCAGAAGCACAAACTCGGGGGGGGGGGGGGGTAGAGATTGTAAACACTAACAGTGAGGCCAAAGAGAAGTGAAATGCAAAAAGTAACAGGATGGTCATAATTACATAATTAACACTAATTATTCACAAAACAGTTGTTGATAATCTAGACATCCTAGCATTAGTAAGCAAATTAACTTATGTAGCATGATTTTTTTGAAAACTAGCTAACTAAATAACTAACAAATCAACAAACCCCACAACTGTCCCTCTTGATGAATTGCAATCTCACACATTCACATTGCAACTTTCCACAGAACTTCCTTCATTCTAGTTTTGCCACTTTCAGCTACAGTTAAAAAGTTCTCCTGCTGGTTTTTTAATATTGCAGTTCCTGGTGTAATAGCATTGCCTCTGCAATTTCTGTGTTTCCTTTCCTTGTGACTTCAAACTGATCTTGCCCCCATCTCAAAAACAAAACAAAACCAAACCAAACCAACTATGTATGTTTACTCAGCAAAACAATTTATGCATCAGATCTAGTGGACTCTAATCCACACAAAGTTTATGCCGTAGTAAGTGTGTTCATCTTTAAACTGCCACAGGACTGTTTCTTGCTTTGTGCTGCAACAGACTAATACAGCTGCCCTTCTGGAAATAATCTCTACCAAGAATGCCATTCTCAGCTGCAGACACTTGTGAATTCAACTGGGTTCCATGGTCCTGAGTGACAGGCTAGATAGAGAGCTCCAATGCTCTGAGAGACGTCTTCAAGATTATCTTGTGTTTTCCACAATTCACTTCATCCTGAGTTCAAAGGTATGATTAAGAAATATCTAAAAGGGTCAGACTACGTTTAAATCTGAAGTAATTGCAGGTTATTGACTTCAACAGGGCCAAGGTACAACCAACGGCATCTTTACAGGGTATCAACAACCTTAATTGCTTAAAAGTTATAAAATTTGAAGCTGCTGTGAAAGCTTGAAAGTAAAGGATAGTTCACCCTTTCGTGAAGGTTTTGACATGCCAAGGAGCAGTTCTTTCAATAAAGCAATTCCATTCCATTCTTCACATCTGTTACCTTTAGAAAGAAGGCTGCCAAGGCCTGAAATCTAAGAATGCAGCTTCCATTTTGGATACTTACCCTGACTTTTGGCTGGTCATTTTAATTCAGGGAACAAGCAAACCTGTGTACAACCAAGCTTGGGTTTGCTTGAGCAATTTCCTAAGAGTCTCTTGCTATTTTTTTAAATGTTATTATTTGTAATTTTGGAAAAAGATTACCCTACCTTTCCACTTTTGGAAAAAGTGTCCTACTTTACTTAGTTCAATATTTTAACTGTGTCTATCAAAGAAAAAAAGCCTTTGGGTCCAGTAAACTATGGGCCAAAGACTTTAGTGTATTTTAGGATTTAATATGCAGCTTTTCCATCCAAAGACCATTTGTGTGGGAACTAATAATTGATGGGAACTTTGGCAGGTGTTGAAGGGGAGTTTAACCCTTTCTTCTCTTGTCATGGTCCTTAGTCCTGAGGCACCCCTCCTTTGAAGCTAGTATTTGCTTCCGGGGGAGTTGGATGGGAAATCCCATTGACACCACGTTTTCGCAATGGCGTCATCCTTCATTTCCCCATACTTCCGCCTAGCAGTGCTACTGAGGCTTTTAGTGAAACTTTGCATCACATAAAGGCGCAGAGTCCAGGCAGAAGCCCATGTGAGAAACAGAAGACAGATTATACCTCATATTCCTTTAATGAACTCAGGTGTGAAGTCATTGCCCTTTTTTTGAATCCCAACTTGGGATCACAGGCGTAAAACGCCGCCGAAACTCTGCCAAGTGATAATTGCTCGGCAGTTTGCCAGGTGGCACAACTGCCACAATGTGTATGGGACTCAGTCAGTTTTGATTATCACAAGTCTGTGATCATGAAGGCGATTGTGAGTGATGTCATTTGAGGAACGCTATAGGAACACGGAAGTATATTAGTATGGGGGTTGTCTGGCTATACAAAGCCTATCTTCCCTTTGCTGCTTGCTTCTGTGATTCATGCCTTGGCAATCTCCCTGGCCTACTTGCTATTTTACATAAGTCTGCCTTTGAAGAGTCTTCGGAAATTTCAGTTGGTTCTAAGTGTGGCCGCACACTACCTGGTGGAAATGAGCCAATGGGAGCAACATAGCAACTGTGTTGAAAGAATTACAATGGCTTTCCCTTTGTTTCTCAGAATAAAATTATTATTATTATTATTATTATTATTATTAATACCCTGCCTATCTGGCTGGGTTTCCCCAGCCACTCTGGGTAGCTCCTAACAGAATTAAAGGCACAATAGAACATCAAACATTAAAAACTTCCTTCTAAAAGTTAGATAGTTGTTTATTGCCTTGATGGGAGGGCGTTCCACAGGGCAGGCGCCACTACTGAGAAGGCCCTCTGCCTCAAGGTGCTGGTTTTAACATTTAAAGACATATGTGGTCATGGCCCAGATTACAGTGGTACCTTGCAAGACGAATGCCTCGCAAGACAAAAAACTCGCTAGACGAAAGGGTTTTTTGTTTTTTGAGCTGCTTCGCAAGACGATTTTCCCTATGGGCTTGCTTCGCAAGACGGAAACGTCTTGCAAGTTTGTTTCCTTTTTCTTAACACCGTTAATACAGTTGCGACTTGACTTCGAGGAGCAACTCCTAGAACGCGGTGCGGTAGCCTTTTTTGAGGTTTTTAAAGACTTTGGTGATTTTTGAAGCTTTTCCAAAACTTTCCCGACACCGTGCTTCGCAAGACGAAAAAAACCGCAAGACGACAAAACTCGCGGAACGAATTAATTTCGTCTTGCGAGGCACCACTGTACTTTAGGGAACAAAGTGAGTATTCATATACCAAGGTTATCTGAGGGAGCCTTGCTCCAAATCAGGGGTCGGATTGGAGACAACGATGAGTAGGGCCATCTGCTGTGGTGGCACCATCACTAAAGGAATCGTCTCCAAAGAACCCAGTTCAGTATTGAGGATAGTTCTAAAAAATAATTTACTATATATTTTAGAAAGTTGTTTCTGTTTATTTGCTATGCAGCTGGACACCTCCAAAGATGTCATAACAAAATTTTTCACAATGGTTCCTGAGATCAAGGAATTGGTTTTCGTCTCTGTTTGGATGCAGCTAGATGCCATTTTTAGTCAAGACGGCAGACTGAACCTTGCTAAACTTCTGATATGTTTGTTTAGGAGAGTTGCCAAACAATGTCAGGTATCTTTCAATTTATTTTAACCACTGGTTTATCCAGACAATAAGGATAGGTGAAGCCTGGCTGGGATTGCAGCTCGATTGGTGTACATTTATCTGGGAATAACTCCTTTTGAAGTGGAACTTGTTTCTGAGTAAACATGCACAGGATAGCACCAAAAGGAAAGGCGTTTACTGTTCTATATCCAAAATACGCCACATCTTTGCAAGAAGAAATTAAATTAAATAACTGCAGCAAATCAAGGCATCAGATGAACATTAACTGTGCATTGGGTAAAACCAGTCTGTGTGTTTAAATGTTGTATCAATTGTGTATTTGCCACATATCGAAAGCATGATCAGGGCATGGGAGTCACACTGCACAATGGCACAGTAAGTATGCTGTTGTTTATGACATTTGGCACTGTTCCCTGGTTTTCAAAGTGCAGTACACTCCGGAACACGCACATTCTCTCTCTCAGATCCTGACCTCTCAGAACTACTGGAGTGAAAGGTGCAGCAGATACAACCCTTTGCTCTGCAGAGCAAGTCACAGGTGCACCAGCCATCAGCCTACTTTGCAATTCTCTTTGCAGATAGCATGTTATCACCAAGTACATGTTCCACCTTCCAGTTGCCTCTATTTTGGAGATTGCTCCAGTGTGCTTGGGCAATTCCTTCCTCATTCTACATAGCTGTCAGGACCAATTATGACCAGCATAGGTTGTGAAGTCTGAGCTAGCCCTCATTTAAAATTACATATCTCTCCAAGTAAAAGATACAGGTTTTTTAATCTTTCATATGTGATACAAACCAGATTCTGAGCATGTTGTTGTCAGCAAGCCCTTGGTTTAAAAGAGACAGAGCTAAAAATATCTACCCAAGACTGACTTCTTCCAATACTAGGTCTGATAACTAATGTTGACATTATATTAGTCACATTTTTTAAAGGTGTAGCAGCCAGAAACAGCTCAAGCAACCAGGAAATGGCTGAAGAGACACACCTCTCTGCAATGTGCAATGGTCAAAGGTGAGGATTACATCCAACCATTGCAAGACGTCTGGTAATTTTCCAGAGTTCTGCTATCTTATGCATGTCTACTCAAAGGTAAGCTTCCCTTAGTTGAATACTGCGTCTTCAAGGTGCCCCTTCCCTCGCCCCAGTCATAACAAAGCAGTACAAGCTCAAGAGGCAATCCTAGATTTGCACTTTGAAGGGTGCTTTTAAAATAGTTTGGAAATGGCTGTTCTCGTTTTGGATCCATCAGCTTTCTTGGTGGAAACTGGTGACTGCCTAATGTAGAAAATTAATCCTGGGGAGCTGTGAGCAAAGTCACTTATGCACAAAGCAGAGATAAACTTAAGTATTATCAGTAGCTGGCTTTCTTAACCAGAAAACTAACCACACGGGACACAAAGCAGAATGTTTGCAAACGAAGTTGTGCTGGGAGGGTTGAGAAGGCCAGAATCATTGACCTTTATGGGGGGGGGTGAGTGAAGTATTGGGGATGGCATGATGGGGGGGGGAAGGCTTTGCAGCAGCATATATTGCTGATATATGCTCTCCACTTCCTTGAACGGTTTTGTTTCCTCTGAATGAGAGTGTTATTAATGGTGTCTGTGTGATAACCATTTTATTTACAAATATACATGCAGACCATGTTGGATGCAAAGTGACACACCTATAGGAGGCAACAAGGTTGCCAAACCTGCACCTGATGCTCAGGAAAGATCCTGCACCCTTGGGTGCATCATCTTCAACCAGCTCACAGTTCTGTGCCTGCAGTCTCTTGGCTCCTACAAATGCAAACAACAAAACTGGTTCCAAAATTATTTCTTCCCTCCCTTAAGTTTTGAAGACTGCAATCCACGTGCATGGCAGTAAATCTCACCAATTTGGTGAGGATTTATTCTGAGTTTACTTGTATATGATTGCACCGGAAGCGTGTGTCACCTCCTCAAATTTTGATGCTTATTTTAAAGGCAAAAGAAATTCCCAGCTATCAGGGAAATAAGTCTGGTCATTAAACATTAAACTTCTTTTGTTAGATTACATTTATTTGTTTAGTCTGGGTTTATTAGAAACTGTTAACATGCAAATGATAAAACACATACACTATAGAAACACACACACACCCAGTAAGGTCTTTTCTATTTGGTCACAACAGCTCCCACAAACTAGGGAAAAGATGGACACAAATAGTAAAAAAAAACCCCAAAATTTAAATTGTGTCTTATGTAGGTAGAAGTTAAGGGTGAGTTGTGGGTCTGAAATATTTGAATATTATTGGTCTATTACCCAATCCAGGACATGTGATTTCATATAATTTGAGCCAAACTTTAAGGCATGTGCTAAATACTTTTTTAAAAACAAAAAGAACTCTGAATCAATATAAATCCTTTTTTTAAAAAAACTACCAAGAAAAATTTCTTACATTGTTCACATTGTTGCCCTTTCCCCCTTATGGGGTATCCAAGAGCCCATATAGAGTCCTTACATAGGTTCCCTATTGGTAGGAGAAAATAACAGAGGCCAACCAGAGAATATTGAGAAGCAAGCAGCTAGTAAGCCCTCAAAATTCCTATCACAACATTGAGGGTACACTTATATAAAGAACCCTAAGCAGATGCACAACTGCTATGGTATGCTTAAGGACAAACATAGTTTGGAAGGTGAGTCAATTAATTTGTGCAAGTTTGTAATTGTTCACATTGCAATTGGTAACTAAGTACACAACTAAGTACATGGGATGCCGCAGTTTCATCGCATGCAGAAGTCTGGCAACCTATTGAACAAACTAGCCACCTATTCCCATCCAACCTGCAGTGGGTAGCCACTAGGAAAGTCTTTCACAGTCTTGCCTCTGGCAGATAGGTATGGGCAAATCTGTCCATTTCTGATTCCCGCCGTTTCTCACTATTTCTCATTTTAAGTTCAATTCTCCACATTTCCACATCAGCTTGTAATTCTTTTTGTAATACAAAAACTCCTTATAAAAATTTATCAGGCTTGTAGTGTGAATTTATCCTAACATACACAAGTTTGTATGCCATTTCCCCTAATACGCTCATTTTTGCAAAACAATTTTTCCTAATATAATGAATTATTGCATGCTTTCGTCACTAATATGTGCATTTTTATGAACATTTTGCTTCAGTATGTGCATTTTTGTACACCTTATAAAAATGTAAAACTCACCCCTCCCCCCAAAAAAGCTATTTGGAACAAGTGAAAAATATGGTAAATGTGAGGTCCTTCTCCCTTAAGGTTTTAGAAGCTGTTTCTTGTAGTGAAACAAGGCAGTGTATTAAAAAGACAAACCAAAGGGTCTTGGGACAGCTACGCGCTACGTACACCACACAGTTTTCTCAGTTTTACCACTATCTTAAGATAAGTTTTGGCCTCCCTGATTATTTCTCTGAGTTATCTGTCTGGGAGACACTGCTACCTTCTACTTTCAAAGAATGCCTTCCCCATACTTACCAGAGAAGATCCACTTAATTTCCTTGTAGCACAAATTTGCTCCCAGGAAGAATTGGACAGTTTTGTACACTATATATTGTTTGTTGCTCTTTGTATACTTCCTCAATGGAAATGTTTTTGAAGTAAAATTAAATAACACTTCCTTTTTAAAATAATACATTGATACTTGATATCTGATGGCTGCCATGTTTTGGCTGAGCTACCTAAATAATTTGATAAATTTGCTTGTGGCATCTTGCAATGGCAACTATTTACAACAAACAGCCTGTCTCCCTCCAACAACTGGTTTTGTTAGCTGGTTTCTGTGCAGCATGCATCCTTGTCCCATGTTTGCAATGGTTTGGTGGTTTTAAGCAACTCTTGTGTTTTCCAAAATTTGTCTATCGTCTCCTACGTTTAGATATTTAAGCTACAGAAAAGATCCATGTGCAAATAAACAATGCAATTTCTTCATAGCAAAGAATGAAATGATAAGAACTCACAAGGTGGAGGTGGTGGGAAGAGGGCTACATTATATTAACAGATATGGAAGACACTTGGAAGGCATTAGTTTAAAGATTCAAATAGTTTCACAGGAGGCCTTTGTTAATGTTTAAATAGCTTTAAAGGTAATAAACTGATTATTTAGATTATAGGGATATGTGACAACAACTCGGAGGGGCAATAATATTTCTTAATTTTCTGCAGAAATCCCCCAAGTTGTATCAAATAAAGTAATAAAGAAGGGTTTAGCATAATAAAGAAGATTTGCCAAACTTTTCTAGTTTCCTCATCTAGTAGTCCTAATATGAAAATCCTGATTATTTTTCAGTAACTTGCATAAAAATGCTCATTTTGCAATCTCACCCACCTCTTTAAATGTCAGATAATCAGTAAACATCAATCAATCAAGCAAGAAAAGAAAAAAAAGCCACAGACATAAGTGAATCAACACAAAGGATACTAAATCCATTAAAAGGGTGAACCTAAGCACTGAGCTATCAGAAAGGACGACTCACCTGTCAGCTTGCTTGCTGTGAGTGCCTCTTAATGCTTTTGACTGCTCAGTTATATCTGTGTCTATGATCCAGGAAGCTGATAAGCCTCCTTAGAACACTGCTCAAAGCACAATGATTGGCTCCCCTTGACCCACATCTGTTTATTCGTATTCAAAGTACAATTACACTCCAGGTAGCACTGAGCTGCAAGTGGGATATGAATATTTTTCCAGCATTCGCTCTCATACCTAAGTTCAGTCAATCTTGATTGCAAGAGAACACAAAAGTTCTAGAAGAGAAAGAACCCTATCCTTGTTTGCTTGTTTCGCTCCCTTACATTGTAGAACCAGTGTTATACAGTGGTACCTCGGGTTACAGACGCTTCAGGTTACAGACTCCGCTAACCCAGAAATAGTACCTCGGGTTAAGAACTTTGCTTCAGGATGAGAACAGAAATCACGCAGTGGCGGCAGCGGGAGGCCCCATTAGCTAAAGTGGTACCTCAGGTTAAGAACAGTTTCAGGTTAAGAACGGACCTCCAGAATGAATTAAGTTCTTAGCCCGAGGTACCACTGTATTTCTAGAAAAAGAAGTACTGGAGCTCACCATGAACACCGCTCTTGTTCTCTTATAATGGCAATAGTGCCCACCTGAGAGGTGACAGAACTGAGTTCCAGATGAAAAAAAGCCTTCTGTAGACTCATCTCTGTTCAAGTGAATGTGCTTCAGATAATATGAGAAACAACCAAGACTAGCCAGTTTCTGTTAACTTTTAAAAGGTAGCTCCTTGATAGTGGTTTCTTCCACGTAGCCTGTTTACTGCACATTCATCCTGAAGGGTTAACTCCCAAAATTGTGTAGAGGCTATACAGCATCATGGATTCAAATTGCAGGAAAGGAGATTCCAATTAAACATTGGGAAGAACTTTCTGACATTGAGAACGGACTACTATGGAAGATGGTTGACTCTCAGTCAGTGGAGATTTTTAAAACAGATTCTGTCACAGATTCGTTAGCTGTGATACCTGCATTGTGGGGTTGGGCTAGATGACCCTTGGGATTCCTTCCAACTTTGCAGCTCTATGAGTTTATGTATAGTGGCTTGTCTCCCATGTAGTCTTTGGGTTCTGGTCCCACCAGCTGCTGCCATGTAGCCCCTCCCTTCCACCAGAATAACTGGAACCTGCAGCATACTGCGAAGATGATAAAAGTGTTATTGTACTTCTTCACACAGCACACCGTTAAACTGTGGAACTCACTTCCACAGGAGGCAGTGATTTGCACTGACCAAGGTGACTTTAAAAGAGAGGGCTGTTGATTGCTACTATCCATTCCACTTTATGTCAGTGGAAATATGTCTAAAGAAAGTATCTAGGGTGTGGAGTTCATAGACACCTTCCACAAGGTATTTTTATGCATAACAGTAAAAAATGTGTTGTAAGGTTATATAACCCTTATCTTTCTTTTACGCAACAAACAAGCTGTAAAATGCAAACAGCCCAGAATTGATGGGCAAGGGAGAAGCAAGATTATGCGGATATAACTACCATGTCATTTAACATTTGCAATCTCCTTGTGGTTGGGTGTGTTCCGAACTTCCACTGGCATCAAAGCTGCCAGAAAGAAAACTAACTGTTTCGTGCATTGGAGCACTCCTCCCCAACTTTAAGTCCCTCAACATTTAAGTCCCATCATCTTTGACTATTGGCCATGCTGGCTAGAGCTGATGGCGACTGTAATCCTGCAACATCTGGGTACCCAAGTCTCAGGAAGGCTGCATTATGAACAGGATGGTCGCCTCTTTCTGGCAAGCTTCTGAGGCCTTTAACAGGCAGGCAGAAACTCCTAATAGGGAATTGCTGGGGTGGCAAAGCTTCACCCATTGCATTTTGGCCTATTTTTCAAGGCACAGAGCCTCTGCCAGGAGACATGGGGACAACCTGAATTTTAAAAGTTTGGTAAGGATCACCTCTCAAGAACAGAGAAGACAGAATGTAAGGCTACTTTAAGGATGTCTGCATTAGGCCATCTAGAGCTCGTTCCTTGAAGTTTCCTTGAAAACACACACAGCCAGTTCTAACCCATTATGGGACACTGATCTTGTTTTCGTCATTGTGTGTACTGGCTTGCCTCCCAAGTAGCCTAATGAAAATTATAACCATTTTCCTTGCACAGAGAGCACTTCTCAATGTAGTCTGTTCCTCCGCCAAATAGCCTTTTTTCTAATGTCAACCTGCACTTCACTTTCTTGCAGTTCCCACCCCTGGGCTTTAGTCCTGCCCTGTGAAGCAACAAATCTTCTGCATCTTTAACAACCCTTCAGATATCAGAGAACCGCTGTCATAGTCCCCTTTGATCTTCTCTTCTCCACACTAAACATAACCAGCTCTTTCAACTGTTCCACATGGGACTTGATTTCCAGACCATTTTAGTCATCCACTTCTGGACACCTTAGTTTGTCAAAATCCTTCACAAAATACAGCACTTAGAAGTGAGAACAGTGCTTTGCATGTGGCCTGAGCCATTCAATAGAGAGTGATGCTGATAATTTAACCTAAGATAGAATAAGAAATACCACTTACCACAATTGGCATATCACCCAGAGTGTGGGAACAGTGGGCGGAAACAGACAATATACAGTAAAACTGTAGGCTGTTAGAAGGCTGCTACTCAAACACATGCAAGCTAGGGCAAGAAGATGAACAAGAAGGGCAACTTTTCATATTTGTTGTGACAATAATGCCGCCTATTTCTTTTAACAAGAATGGGAACTTTGGATACTGCCTGGAAGTTCTGTTTAGTCTCATGGCTAACAATGATCACATTTTATTCCTGTGAATTTTTACTACCCCTTTTGCTGTCTTATTCTAGATTAGATCCAAAGAGGACGGGCTCCAAGTGGACTTTTTGCACATGCCCCAAGTAATTGGATCTTTCCTTTTGATTCTTCAAGGCTCTTAGACCATAAGCCATAAAACTACAGTTAAGGTACAGATTAGAGTCCAAGGGCACACACACAGATGCACACACACTGCTATACTCTGTGCACTTAACCACCTTGATAAGCTTTGAAGCCTATAATAATAATAATAATATTTTTTTATTTATACCCCGCCCTTCCCGGTTCAGAAAACTGGGCCCAGGGCGGCTAACAACAAATTTAAAACACATAATTGTAAAAGCAGCATAAAATACAGTACAAAAATGTGAATAACAATAAAATTCAAAGTTCAGAAATCAATTTGGGGAAAATCCATCTAATAAGCATTAGTCACCTGGGCTAGCTGGCTGAATTAGTCCTACTTGGGCCAGTGAGGAGGCCAGGGGAGAATTAGCTGTGGGGTCTCAGAGCGGGTAATCTTCATAAAAGGGGAGGGGGAGGGAAGAGAAGGGAAATAAAAGATCAGGCTGAATTCAAATTAAAGGCCAGGTGGAATAGCTCTGTCTTACAGGCCCAATGGAAGGAGGTTAAATCCTGAAGGGCCCTAGTCTCATGGGACAAAGCATTCCACCAGGTCGGAGCCATCAATGAAAAGGCCCTGGGCCCTGGTGGAGGATAGTCTGACTTCCTTAGGGGCTGGGACCTCTAAACTATGGTTATTCATGGACCTTACGGTCCTCTGTGGGGCATACAAGGAGAGGTGGTCCCGTAAATATGAGGGCCCTAAGCCACAAAGGGCTTTAAAGGTCAAAACCAGCACCTTGAATCTAACCCTTTACTCCACTGGGAGCCAGTGCAACTGGTAAAGCACTGGGTGAATATGCTCCCATGGCAGGGACCCCGTGAGGAGCCTCGCTGCAGCATTCTGCACCCACTGGAGTTTGTGGAACAGTTTCAAGGGCAGCCCTGCGTAGAGCGAATTACAGTAGTCAAGCTTGGAGGTGACCGTCGCATGGATCACTGTGGCCAGGTCGGGGCAGGAAAGGTAAGGGATCAACTGCTTAATGTGGCAAAGATGGAAAAATGTCACCTTAGCAAATTAATTTTGGAACTAAATGACAAGAGATCTGTTTTTATTGAACAAATAAATGTCACCGACTGGTAGGCTGATATATAGTGTTCTGAATTTGTGGGTGCCTGATTTCTCCAATCTGTGGATTTAGCAAATGTTAGAATTTAATCGAGGTTTGGGGTGTTAATACGGGCGCCAGACCCCTCTAATCCCTGGATCCAGCAAGTGTTAAAATCTAATCAAGCCAAGGTGGCTTCCAGTGAGGTGATACCCTGGGTAGTATACCATTAAGGGGGTTAAAAGTGTAATTGTGTTTCATTATCTGTTTATGATTGTGTGTGTTCTAATGCCTTTTCTAACTTGTCTGTTAGGTAATATTCTGCAAGGAAACTTTATTTTGCTGTTTGTACATCCGGGGCGAGATGTCTTGGTTGTTAGGAGTTTGTGGGTGCCAGGCCCCTCCAATCCCTGGATCCAGAAAACGTTAAAATCCAATCAAGCCAAGCTAACTTCCTCTGAGGTGATAATGTGCCATTAAGGGGAATTAAGTGTCTCTGTAGGAGATGGCAAATGGGTGGGGCTCCTCCCTCAACTCCCAGATAGTGAGGACAAAAACCAGAGTTGAGGAGTGATGTGACCTAGAAGCAACGCGGCAGGCAGAGAGAGATCTCTTGGTTTGCTAATGCTGTGAACTCCTCCGTCATAGGCTCAGGTTGTATATATGCATAAATAAATTATATGTCCTAAAGACATCATAGTCTCCACTGTGCCTCACTTCTAAAAGTAAACATGAACCCTGGGTAATATTCCCACAGCATGGGGAGCTCCTTGAAGGCATCAGCTGATTTGCTAGGTGGTATGGTGGCAGAAGGAGGAGAATCCTCTCACAGGCTCTTGGGGAAATCTGGGGGGGGGGCAGAATTGTGCTTCACTTTTAAAAGAATCGCGCACTTCCTCTTTTCCTCATGTAGATGAAACTTTCCCAGCAACTGTGCCACAAATATAGGTAGGTGGTTGTTGTTTTGAAAAAGCTTGCCATATTAATCATTGTGGCATTCAGTTACAAAATTTAAATATATTTTCCTCCATTAATTGCACCTCTATTGAAAGGACTCCTGGTGATTTTGGGAAAGACTTGTAATCTTTTTAAACTTTGTCTCCTCAGACAACCCAGTAATTGAGAGGTAAAGACACAGAAGTATTTTTCTAAGGGGATATTTATTACTTATGAAAGTAATGCTGTGGACTGAAGTCCTCTATTTATCTACAGAACAAGTACAGCACAGAACACACTGTGCTCAACTTAACCCTATTGTTTCACCTACACGTAAATAGGGTGAATGAGGGCAGCCTCATTTTTAATCAGTCAGCTGCTGCACTGACTGATTTAAAAAAGGCACCATCTGGCCCCATCTCCATCCAACTAGACCCCATTTTCCTAAAAAGGAAAGAATAAACCAGCCATTTTAACATCTCAGTGCACCTGAGATAGGGAGGGGGCAGAATGTAGATCAGGGTCTGCTGGTCGATACCTGGTGAATTTTCAGCAAACAGCAAAGTGTTACTGAGTCAGCTGTGTTAACAAAAGAAATAATCTAGGCTGCTCACCTAAACTAGGCTGCTGCAAAAGTTAATCAAGAGTGGATTTACATGTGGAAGGACCTTAAGTCCAGTACTGAAAACTAATTTCTAGGTTCAGAATGAACTCCAATGCATTATCCTATTTCATTCTGACTGCATATTTCTTAGTTATGGCTCAGGTTGGCCAATCTTCGGGTTCTAGTTTTTAAAAAAGAAGTAAAGTAGCCCTAAACAATCCTGAAGTCTGCCCACTCCTCCTGACCCACAAAACCGATTTGTGGCTGCAAGCAGTTCCAACATCCTCTACCACATTTGTGGAGATGTTCAAGAAACAGAAGGAAATGCTGCATGAAGAAATTCAGCGAGAGTGCAGAGATGCTGCAATACAACAGTTTATAAAGCCGGCCTCCTCTCTGGTTTTGTAAACATGAAGATCAAGGTCACTTCGGGAACAATTCATGGTCTGGTGTACATCCTCCTCCAAGGATGCACCATTTAACACCCACCCAAGCTGAGTGATCTGCATTAGTGCAAATACATTAGGCGCATCTGCCAAAGACAGAGGCAATACTGTATGTACCTCTGTCAATCCCATCAGATTAAGGGCTCCAGGATAAATTTCTAAAGACTTGGACTAATTAAAAAAACAAAAAGAAACCCCCTCCACAGTAATGTACTCCCAACTTGGCAGACCAGACATTGCTACAACCAGTATTATAACCGCACAAGCAAGAATTAGCTTCCATTTCAGATTTCATGTACAGTATATGGGCATATGGATATTGTTTTCTGGATACCCAACCCTGCTTGTTGTTAAAGACTCCAGCACAAACCAGACGCAGGGCCTGGCTGAAGTTTGTGCCAGACTGAAAGCTGCCTCCAAAAATATGATTGGTGCCACGATCTCTTACACTGCTGCTGATCAGTTGGAGAATAGGGAGGGGATACTGGATCAATGCATCCCTGCCCCCCAACAAAGGATCACTGTGATTCACCCCCTCTGGACCCTTATGTCTGCAGTCAGAAGTACTTCAAAGACAAGAAAATTAATGATGATAACGATAATAACAAACTATGCAGTCTAGTTAGATTGTCAGAAATGAAATAATTTTTATTTAGCTTTTTTGGAACAAAACTTTTAGAAACATATGGATTTGCCTTTTTCATAATGCTAAAATGCTAATGCTTGGTGATGACAATACTGAACAAAGTATTGGACAACGGGTATTTCATCTGCTATGAACTGGACCAAACTGAATTTACACTAAGAAAGCACCTAGAGGTAAGTTTTATATATAAATCTGAGTTTTCTACATGAAACCAATGTTCTTATGCACACTTCACCGAATGTTTGATTGTAGCAAGAGGGTTTTCTGACATAAAACACAAGTATAGATAGAACGGCAAAAAATAAAACAAAACAAATCACAGTATCGGTATCATGCTTCTTAAAAATTTCCAGTGAAAATTAGAGGAAGTCGCAGAAGGAAAACGACATCAAGGCAATTAAACAAATTCACCTGAGTAAATGAAGAGCCAAATGTGTTTCCCGTATCCCTCATAAAGACTAAGGGGTGTGGCACTAAACACCCCCAAGCCAACCTTAACACAACATTAGCTTACTCATGTGCAAAGTAGAACGAAAGCTGGCGTAAAGCAACACAATATAACAAATGTAGACATACTTCTAGCTAAGAATCATTATTAAGACTTTCCATGAAAGATTAGGGCATTTGTTAAACTTTATTTGGCCTACACAGGGTGGCTATTATAGAATAATTTTGGTGTTCAATAGTCTATAAGCCAAACTGTCCAAGGTTAGGTTAATGGAAATAAAAACTCTCCATATTACACCTGGCTGAGTCAATGACCTAAAGCAATGGAGAATTTAGTGTTCTTTGATGTTGCTGCTGTACATCTGTTTACCTTATGAGCGACGTGCAGACAATAATCCAGACTGTAAATTGGCAACACAAAGAGATAATTTGCAGTGTGGCTGAAAAAAACACTGTATCCACTTACAAGTGAAAAAGCAGTGTGGAATTATTTCCTTGCCCTGCCCCATCTCCACGATTTCCCCAGAGTGCGGAAGAGGATATCAAACATCTAGTAAGGGATAACTGATGGCCTGGATGTTATTTTGTGTGTTTTCAGTACAGAAGACAGGAGCCTTGACACCTAGCAGGTTGTAATGTGAATAAGATGCCTAAGGTTGCAGCTAGGCCTCCCAAGCCTGCAACACTAGTGAGGAAGGGTTTGAAGGCACATTGCACTCATGAAAGCAGGAACGGTGTGCTTTGGGGAGAACCCCATGTGGCCACTATCAGAGACATTAACGGTTTGGTCACCCCAGCCATAATTGCTAGTTCCTCAGTTCTGGGTTCTGCAACTCAGCTGTATCATAGCAAAAGAGAACCAATCTTTGTGGAGGAGACAACCTCTCACTGAACAGCAGCGATCCTGATGACTACCATAAATTCAGTTTGGGTTACTTTTTCAGCGTGCTCCTTAACATACTGGAAGTTATGACTGCAGAACCTTGCTTACAACCCATGTGGTTCCACTAATGATGCTTGGTTTATTTGGTTAGATTTAAAAATAAAATCAAATTGAGATTGTCTCAACAAAAATGGGAAGGGGGAAAAAAAAAGATACTTAAAACCCTAAAAGCTACTGAAGCAGCTGCCACCAATGTGCTTCTTGAAATTAGGTTGCCTTTCTTCGTCGTTCCTGGGCAGTCACAAAGTTGAGTAAGTCGATTGCTGTGACAACACCAAAGACCATTTGCTTTTTGCTGGATTGGCCATTGCTGTGATCTATAGAGGGGAGAAGAACACGACAAGGCATGAGTTGAGGAACCAAACCCTAGCATACACAATTTTCAAACTACTACTTGTGTCTCAAGGCGTGAGTATCTTCTCTTGCACTGTATATGTTTTGGTTATTGAAAATATATGTACTTTTCCTCTATAAAACTAATTTAAAAATACAAGACCAAAAAAAGCAACTGAAATTAAAGTATAGTAGGCAGACCCTAGCTTGCCATTGATATGAGGCATTCTCAAGATCAGTACAAGGGGAGATGATGGCTTATTTAATCTGCTCCTGGTAACTGGTCCTGCCTATGCTGTTGGCACTGCAGTGTTAGCACTCAGTTAAAGTCAATATGGTATCAGTGCACCAAACAGGCATTTTTGAGGAAGCGAAAGAAGAATATGGGATTGCTACCATCTCCTAAGGGCAATTTGCCTGACTCAATCATCTTAACCCCAACCCAATGTTCTACACAAAGAGCACTAGGCAAGGAGCATTTCATAGGTAAATGGAGCAAGGCACTGTAGCTTTTGCCTTGCATGAAGTGTATTATTTAGTTGTTGAGGCACCAGCCTTTCTGCTTGTTCCACATCATATTTTTAAAGCTTTTATGTTGATAGAGGCATAGATATCCATGTCTAACCATCCTGTTTGCTCATGTTCACTCAGAAGTAAATCCTACTAAATTCAACAGGGTAAGTAGGGTTAGGCCTCAAAGCCTGTCATCTTCTAACTAAGACCTTCAGAGCACAAACAGCAGAGGCGTCTCTAGATAGAGCCACTGTGCTCTGCCTAGTCCTAGTTCAAATGCAGGAGTTTCATAGTTGAAGTCCTCTGTCTTCTGCCTTGCACCTCAGTTAAAATAAAAATTGTGAAGGACAAAGCAGTGGAAAGCAGCAGAAGCACCACAACAGAATGTGGTAGGACCAGAATGTCTGGACCACTTTCCCCTGCTACATTCACCAACTAAGGCATCAACAGACCACGGGCTCTGTTGGAGAAAGGCAATCCAAACTGCAAGAGGACGACTCCGGCAGGTGAGAAATTGTTGATTTTCAACTCAGGGAAGATTGCAACTAAGTTAGCAATGCAACAGCATATGAGGCTGGATTCTGCAAACACTTACTCATATCATGAGACATTGTACTCTTGGAGACACACCAAAGAAATGGGAGGTCAGGGTATGTATGCATTGGGTACTTCCCCTGTCTAACCCAGAACTGGCATAGTGAGAATCTTAGCCTCCACTAGCATAGCTTATTTCTTACCCTCATATGTGTGGAGAATATCCTGTGGCTCCTTCATGTGCCCTATATAAGACACAGAAGATTCTCACTGCCATTAACTGCTATTATATGTTATATAGCCAACGGGGAGTGTGGCAGAGACAGTAGGATTCTTGCCAGGTCTTCTACTTACACTGAATCTGTTCGTGCACCACCAGAGCAAAATGATCAATTTCCAAAATATGGGAGAGCTTCCCCAAGTTGTCCTGCAGACGAATCTGCAAATAGAAACAGACTTTAAAACCAACTGCATATAGCCTTACAAGTTTGATAGATAAGCACCCCAATCCCAGTGCTTTTCCAACAAGCTTTTGAAAGTAGTATTTGTGTCGTGATATGGCAGTTATCATATGAATCTTTATTTTTCAGTGTGTGTGTTCATGTTAAATGTTGGTGTTTTAAAGAGAAGTGGAATAAAAGAAAAAAAATGTCTGTAGAACATGGTAATGTAAAAACCCAATGAGAGCCATGTGTTCTCTCTGCTTAAAGCACAGCAACTGCAAGTTCAGAAACACACACCTTTACTAGTGGTTTATTTTCCAATTCTGGCAATAAGAGCTGGAAGGAGGCGATTTGGGACAAAATAAGAGGTCTGAGGAAAAACTATAAAAGCCATTCAGTAGAAACAAAGTACAAGTCCATATTCCAGAACTGAATTTCCCCACAGGGATATTGCTTTTCATTCCTAGCAATATAGGCCAGCAAAACAATGAATACCCAGGCCACTTAAGTAAAGTCTAGATGGCCAAGTATTACAGGCGCTGCAGTAGCAGATATCTCACTTTGACAGGGAGTTGGACTTCAGGAGTTGTGATATAAATGCATTGCTATTGACGTGAGCTGTGGGAAAACAGAAAATACTATGGCTCAATCAATCAAAAGAAACTTGCAGAATGAAAAAGGCACTATCTAAGCTGCCTGTATTTTGTGGCCAGGATCCAAAAGGGCCCTTCCACAAGCCAGAGGAACCTTCAGCATATGAAAGCATTGCTTTACACCAGAGATGGGGAACCTGTGGCTGACAACTCCCATCATCCTTGACCATAATGGTGGCAGCAGGTGAGAGCTGCCATCCAAAACATCTGGAGGGCCACAGTCTCCCCATCCCAGGTTTTCGCCAAGCTTTAAGCTTAGAGCACCATGTGAGAAAAGTGAACACGTTGTTCCACTTGAACAAGAGCTTGTGCAATCTCTTGTGCCACAAAACCTATCACAGAAGCACACAAACTCCTGTGCAAGCTTTACTGGAAGGTCACTAGTAGGCATTTCCCTTCCACTTACAATTCTTTGGAGCCAACTCATTATAACTGTGAACCTGTGAAACACAACGGAGATCAGCTCAGCCCTCAAAATAAGGCTGCACAGGTACAACAGAAGAGGACAGGAGGCTGCGGTATCCTTCGGCCTTTCTTCAGTCTCACATAATAGAAAGTAGGGACTTATTGCTGTAGTCTATAAAGCTGGCAATTTTATCCACACCAACTTGGCTTGAAACAATGTCCTCCAAAACACTCAAGCACACAAAATCTACATTTTCTGCCCATCATCATTATTATCCTAGATTCTAGGCTTGTGAGCCAAGAATGCCAGTACTTGTCAATTCAGTAGGAAATAAGATTTTTGAAGTCTAAGAGAGGGAAGCAGACAGAGCAAGTACAGAGGCACTAAGCACAACAGCGCTGTGTTTTAATTCAGTTGCTTTCAATTTATACTTACAGGAGCCTTCCTGCACTTTTTAATCACCAATACCATTATGGCAATCAATCATGATCTATGCTCACAAAGACCCATCAGGATTTCGTAACTTTAAATGTAATACAATACTATAAATTTAGGAGCGATTGTATCTTAACATAAAGGAAAGAACCTTTTCTTGGTTTACTGGAACAACTCAGTCTCCCAGTCAAACTGACTGAATCAACTGTAAGCATACCCAATAATTTTCTTCTATAATAATAGGGCTGTTCAAGATTTTCTCTTTCAGCGACAAAACATCTAAAGTAGATTGACAGAGTCTATGGTTCAAAATTTTAAAAAGTGCCATTTTATCACATTTCTTTGTAGTACGTTAGCAATCTTTTAAAAAGGAATGAAATTATTAGTGGTAATGTTGGTTACAGAGTAAAGGAGTTGTATGAGGGAGGGACACTCCAGGCAACAGTGTTTGAGCTCACAGAAAAAAGGAAGAGTCAGTCCCCAGAAATGTCACTAAAGAACCAGGAACTACAGCCAGGGCTGGGTATACTCTACTTTCTAAAAAGTAACAGTACAGATTAAAATTCTGTGCCAGGATAATCAACATTCTATGCTAAGGCAAAAATTCTGCAACCTGAATAAATTATGCAAATTATGTAACATCTGCTTATTTTGCCAAGTTTGTATGGCACAAGGGCAGAAGGTCCACAGCCCTGGCTTTAGCCATAAAAAGGAATAAACAATACAGGGTTTGAATTTTTTATCCAGAGGCAAACAGCATACATCTTTAAACCCAGTTGCATCCTTCTCCCCCAATCCTGCAACCTGGGGATGAACATTTGACTGCAGAAGCAGCTGGCCTCTAGTCCAAAAGGGCTATTTTTCCCCCAGTGTCAGAAGCTCTTTTTTTTAGTGTGGTAGTTGCCTGCAGACTGCAGCTTATGTAACCTTGCTATTTGCCACTAGGCAACATGGGCCCCTCCACCGTAAGAACACCAGTTACACTTAAGAGAGGAGAGAAGCTATGTTGCTTAATTACGCACCAGATTATACATTTTGCACGATGATTCAATTGATAGCTAGGGAAGAAATTAAATTCATTTAATGTGATCCCGAAGCATTAGTAGAAAACATGAAGTGATTAGGTGCAGTGTTACATTTTAGCCTCAGAATTTTAACAATTAGAAAATATATTTGCTAAAGCATTAGTTGGATGTGAAGTGGAAGTGTCGCTTTTAAGGTACACCTTGGTTTGCATGTAAGTTCCCTTAGGCTTCAAGTAAGTCTCAAGGAACTCAGTGGAGACCAGCTTCTGAGCAGATTTGCTTAGGATTGTGACAAGCTGTAAAGTGCTGCTCTTCCAGTTATGTGCATCTGCAGGATATTTTTCAGGGTGAGGCAAAGTAAAAAACTGAGATTCAAGAGCAGTTTCTCACAAAATATTTTGAGAATTGTGCCGGCACAATTTGCCTCTCATCTCAGCTGCTGCAAATGCTTTTCACAAAAATAAAAGATCAGAATCTGAGGGTTACAGTTCATCCGGGGGGAGGGCTGCCCCCCATGAATGTCCATGCTTCCTATTTAGAGAATTTAATAGGCAGAATATTTCACTGACATTGACCAAAGTAAGCTACAATGATGTCACTTGTTTAATTGGATTTAACCCCTCCCCAAATAAACGTGCACAAGATTGCAGCTGCAGTTTCACAGAGTATGTAGCTGTCTATTTCAGTTATGCGCTGCAAACAAGCTTTTAATGGTAATTTTACCCCAAGTGTTGCATCTTGGTTTTACTTTGCCATAGTTTGCATTCCCCTCCAAACAAGGCTTTGTGGATCCAGCCATCCTAATACTGCTCATGAAACAGCTGCCCCAAAATCCTGCAGAAACTATTGTGCCTGCTAAAAAATTACAACACCAGATGCCAAGAGTCTCATTATCCACCGGGAAGACTCAAACTCTTGAGACCAAAATCAAAATGGGACTAACATACCTTCCAACTGTCCCTATTTATCAGTATTGTGTTAAAATATTACTAGCATTAATTGCTAGGCATGTTTGCCCTTCTTCAGAGTTCAGTCATTTTCCCCAGGTCTGTACAGTCGTACCTTGGAAGTCAAACGGAATCTGTTCTGGAAGTCCGTTCAACTTCCAAAATGTTCGGAAACTAAAGCGTGTCTTCTGAGTGGCTGCAGGAGGGTCCTGCAACCAATCGGAAGCCGCGGAAGCCCCGTAGGACGTCTGGATTCCAAAGAATGTTCGCAAACTGGAACAATCACTTCCGGGTTTGCGGTGTTCAGGAGCCAAGGTACGACTGTATAGGCTAAATTGTTTGACTTGGGGTGGGCTAACTGTAGTCCGACTCTAGTACACATAGACACACATCAGCTCTGTGCTAACATACTGCTCTGTGTCTTACGTTTTTATCAGATTTTTTTTTTAAATGTAGGGTTTTGTTTTTATCTTTTTACTCTGTTGTTAGGAGATCCCTAGTTCCCTCACAGAGCAACAATTCCCAGTCCCCTGGGAAAAGGGAATGACTGTTAAACCACTTGGGAACATTAGCTCTGTGAGGGGAATGGAAGTCTCCTAACTCCTCTCAACATCCTTAACAAACTACAGTTGTACCTTGGTTCTCAAACACCTTGGTACTCGTACGTTTTGGCTCCCAAACGCCGCAAACCCAGGAGTGTGTGTTCTGGTTTGCGAACGTTTTTTGGAAGTTGAATGTCCGACACGGCTTCCAACTGAGTGCAGGAAGCTCCTGCAGCCAATCGGAAGCTGCGCCTTGGTTTTTGAACATTTCTGGAAGTCAAACAGACTTCCGGAATGGATTACATTCGAGAAGCAAGGTACAGCTGTACAATTTCGAAATTGCTTTGGGGGAAGCTATGACTGTTTAAAGTGGTATGTATGGTGCTTTAACTGTATAGTACAGATGGAGTCTGTTAAGAACATAAAAAGAGCTCTTCAGGATCAGGCCAATGGCCCATCTACTCCAGCACCCGGTTCTCACAGTGGCCAAGCAGGTGCCTGTGGGAAGCCTGCAAGCAGAGCCTGGAGGCCACAACACTCCTCCCAGCTGTGATTTCCAGCAAATGGTATTCAGGGGCATACGAATTACCCCTGGGTTTTCACAAATAGGCATAATATTTTAAAAAACAAACATGTGTTTTCTCACAAAATAGGCATATCCAGATTTTGTAAGCGGTGTTCATACATACAATATCGTGTACACAGGAGTTGATCAGTATATGTAACCTTGTTCGCATGTGATGTTCAAAGAATACACAGCAGTTGAGCTGTGTTCACTTCTTCACACAAGCCCTTGCAAACGTGTAGAGACCGCCTGTGCCTGTGTGCTCAGTGTAACATGTGAACAACCCTACAGCAAAACAGTATCTAAAACTGTGTGTAACTCTGTATAATTTCCTTAATGTGCATCATACATTTTAGTCAAACGACCTCCCCCTTGTCAAAAACCTCTTTCCCCCCTCAGCAATGGTGCGGGTCAGGGAAAGGAACAAGAGACACCAGAAGACTTTGATACCTTTTTGAACTGCTTGTAGATTACTTTGCTGACTTGGTCTGATGGCTGCACTTTACCAGCAAGCAGTGAAGAAAGCATGTTGCCAAGGGTAACCATTCCCAAAATCCATCTGAAAAGAAGAAGGTATTAGACACAGTTTTCTACTGGGTGAGTTGTGGGTTCTTTCCTTTTTTTATCAGTTTAATGTTTTAGGCCAATATTTACAGAATCCCTCTCAATTTGAATTCAGGGGCGCACAGAATCCTTAGGGGTAAAACCACAGGTTCTATTTAATAGCATCCAAACACCATTTTCTTTATAAACCTCTGGAGGAAGGAGTTTAAGTGTGGAGAACTAGCATGGAAGGGATGAGGAACTTTCCCTGCTTACCGTTTTCCCTTTCCTAATTGCTCCCCTTCCAAAAAATGTGTGCTATAAACCCTGAAATGCCAAGGATTAAATATAGTAGTCAGTGGTGCCTGCGCTGCTTTTATTGCAAATGATGTGAGAGTCACAGAATAAACCTCGTTTAGCTTCCGTTGTTAACTGGGATGAACTTTTGGGAGTGAACATCCTGCCTGCATTGCAACTTGTCCCTGTCTGACCCACCTGCAATGCTGACCATCCCACTGGCCTATTTCATGCCTGGTGACTTCAGGACTGAGATGCAATTTAGGCTCAGTTAATTCTTTTATGGGTCATTTGAAGCAGATGACTCTGGCCCTAAAAAGATAATAAACCATACCATGATTTTAAGTGAAGATTTTAAAAAGCCACACCTGTGACGGAAGTGACAATCAAAAATCTTTGTTGATGTCCTATATAGCACAGGGACAGAAAAACAAAAAAGGTGGGAGGTTTCGCTCCAAATTAGTCTCTAATCAGGGGCCTGATCAACCAATTTCAGGAGACTTTCTGTACCAGGGGATTGATCTGGTGAGCAAAATGCAGGCGAAGGCTCATAGTTGAAAATTCAGAGAAGCAAACTAGATGGGATCATGAAACGAGGTGGATGAAACCAAATGGCAGGAATGACTATGTGTGTGCACCTAGATACTAAATATACATTTATAAACTGGGTATACTTGGAAGGGAGGAAAATCTACACATACCCAGATTCATCAACAACAGGTACTTGGTCAAATCCCTTTTCTCTGAGTATTTCAATGGTCTTTTCACAGGTAACACTTGGTAGTACTGTCAGGGGAGCAGAGAGACACAATTCCTGAACTTTCAAGTGCCACCACCTAGGAAAATAAACAAAACAAATATAAAATCACTCTCCACCCAGGAATTTACACAAGCAATTCAAGGACCGAGAAACATTTGCATCTTAGTAGTTTGTATCTTAACGTAAGCTTTTCCTGGAAACGCTCATGAAGCCAATTACTGTATTTAAGTGCCCTCTGTCCTACTAACAGAAAAGGTTGTTCAGGGTATTCCGGAGCACGTGCTTGTCTTTAGGATGGATTGATGTTTAGAGCATGCAACTTTCATCATTCCTGATGACTGGCCATGCTGGCTGGGGTAATCTTTCACCATATGGTGTATTTTGGCTCAAATGAGACTATATGGATGCTCAGAGCCAGGACAAATAGTAAAAAAAAAACCCTCCCTATTTGAAAAGAGTTAACCATCAACATTTTAAAGAGTCTTGTGCCACCTGAATGACTAAGAGTTTTTTTTTTTAAAGTACACAAGATCTTGTGATTGTAGTCTACCTGTATTAGACACACAAAGATCTGTCCTCAGTTAGCAATGTGTATATACATACATACATACATACATACATACACACACACAGAGAGAGAGAGGTACCTCCGGTTGCAAGGGATGCGGGTGGCGCTGTGGTCTAAACCACAGAGCCTAGGGCTTGCCGACTGGAAGGTCGGCAGTTTGAATCCCTGCGACGGGGTGAACTCCCATTGTTTGGTCTCTGTTCCTGCCCACCTAGCAATTTGAAAGCATGTCAAATGCAAGTAGATAAATAGGTACTGCTCTGGCGGGAAGGTAAACGGCATTTCCATGCACTGCTCTGGTTCGCCAGAAGCGGCTTAGTCATGCTGGCCACATGACCCGGAAGCTGTCTGCGGACAAACACTGGCTCCCTCGGCCTATAGAGCGAGATGAGTGAGCAACCCCAGAGTCATCCGCAACTGGACCTAACGGCCGGGGTACCCTTACCTTTACCTTTTTACCTCCGGTTGTGGATGGGATCCATTCCAGAGGTCCAGTCGGATACCGAGGTTTCCGCAACCTGAGGACCGCTTCTGTGCATGCGGCGAAACCCGGTAAAATGCTTCCAGGTTTGCCGTGCACGCATCCTGAAGTTTACATAACCAGAGGGTTACATAAACGGAGGTACCACTATGAATATACACAGGTGGACATAGGGAAAAAGAAAAATGGAAGTAGCAGCCATGGAATGCAAAAAGGACTGTGACTATCCTATGCAGTCTAAGCAAAGTGACCATAACTGACAATAACACAGCCATCGTACCACAATAATAAAATCTGGATAATTGGGTTATCATAAACTACTGCTGTTGTGAAGGGTCACTCTGTGTGTCTTAAGCCTGACTTAGAATTTCCACAGCCTGTACTTTTCACAGTTGCTGTGTGTACGTGCCTTTCTCTCTCGCACACCCCTGCCAACTGTGCTTAGCACTTCATGGATTTGATAAAGTGGGGCTGAGTCCATGAAAGCTTATGCCACTATAAACCCGTTGGCCTATATGGTGCCATAAGCATCAGATTAACATGGCCATTCCTCTGGAAATCAAAATCTAATGCCTAGTTTAGTATAGCTGGAATTGTATCTTCAACATGAACAAACACTTTTATATCTCCAGAGCCTAGAGTGGGTCAGTGTGGACAATATGAGTTGTAATGTTACTGCATCTTGGAGACCTAGGTTCAGACTTTGCCAAGTCATTGACTTTCTCTTCAGTTTCACATCCTCCATGCATAATCATCACAGCAAAAATAGAGGCAGGGGAAAAGAGAATTTAAGAAAAGAAGAAGAAGAGTTTGGATTTGATATCCCAGTTTATCACTACCCTAAGGAGTCTCAAAGCGGCTAACAATCTCATTTTCCTTCCTCCCCCACAACAAACACTCTGTGAGGTGAGTGGGGCTGAGAGACTTCAGAGAAGTGTGACTAGCCCAAGGTCACCCAGCAGCTGCATGTGGAGGAGCGGAGATGCGAACCGGGTTCCCCAGATTACGAGACTACTGCTCTTAACCACTATATCAGACTGGCAAGAAATGTACCCTTAATTTCCCCCCCACAATTTGTAAATGGATTATACCAGAACTAGTACTGAATAATGACTGCCCTATAAACTCCCTAGTTAAAGCTGAGTAATGCCAACAAGGCACTAGATGCCATTTTAATATTTATGACTGAGGTGGAGGTAGATGCAGGGAGAGGGGCAGATAACTTCAAACAGCAGCAATTACCGTACTTTTCGCACCATAACACTCAGTTTTCCCCCCCTAAAAGGTAAAGGGAAATGTGTCTGCGCGTTATGGAGCGAATGCAGGCAGGAGGAGCCACTCTTGCTGGCTGTTCGGCAGCCTCTCTTCCTCCGCTTGGCTGGCTGAGAAGCCGGCAACAGCTGAGCAACAGCTGAGTGTCGGGAGACAGCCTCTCTTCCTCCTGTCTGCCTGCTCTATGGCTTTTTGGCGAGGTGGGAGAAGGGAGGCAGCTCGGAAGCCGGCAAGAGCTGCGCGCAGCGTGTAAAAGCCAAGGTGGGGAAAGGGAGACAGCCTCTCTTTCTCAGTGTCTGCCTGCTCTATGGCTCTCCCTTACACAAATGTAAGCGGCTCTTACTCTGCTTTCTTTACAATGAGCTGGAAGGAGGGACAAAGAGGGCATCCCCTTCCGTCCCTCCCCCAGCACCTCACCGGTAAATTCAAACAAAGCGGCTTACAAGGCTGGTGTCCCTGAGTCTCCTCCTCCTCTTTTTGCTCCGGTTCGAGGCAAGGCAGCTGCACAAATGTGAGTTCCCCCTCTCTCTTCCTTCCCTCCCTCCCTCCCTCTTCCAACTTCAAAAAATATTGGGGGGACAGCCAGGTAAGCCCCACTCACATACCACAATGGGGGGTGGGGGATGACTCCCTCAAATATTTAATGGGGGTGGGGTGAAGGCACCTAGGCCTATAGGAGTTGGCTGCTTTGCCTAGGACAAGTGTGAGCTCCCCCCTCCTCTTCCTTCATCACTGTATTGGAGATACCATACATTACTGACAGTTCCTTCATTCACATGGTTACAAAGCATGGATCCACATGGATCCTCAGTGCACTGGGTCACCCCAAATTCACCATCAGATCACATAGCATGTCCATGGCTACAGCTTGCACCAAAAAAATCACGCACCCACTGTTGCCTGGGGCCGCAGTGGTGCAAAAACGTGGTTACAAAGCACAGATCCACATAGATCCTCAGGATTTTTGCATTGAGCTACCCCAAACTCACCGTCAGATCACATGTCTGTGGCCACAGCATGAACCACAAAAATCATACATCCACTGTTTCGTTTAGATTTTTTTTCTCTTGTTTTCCTCCTCTAAAAACTATGTGCGTGTTATGGTTGGGAGCGTGTTATAGAGCGAAAAATACGGTATCCAAAGCAACATTACTTCTGGACATATTTCTGAAGTTAGCTTGTGTAGACTTAACTATCCATATTAGAAAAAATATTTTGACTTAAGGGTGAGTTTTTGGTCGCAACTTATTTTACTAAGCCTTCACAGGCATGGTCACCTCACCAGGGCTTGTTAATAATGTCATCTTCTTCTTTCATGAAGCCTTTCTGAGTCATCCATTTGTCATTCAAAAACTTGGACCTGGAAGCAATCAAGAAACAAAACAAGTCACAAGTAGCAATTTAGGTTATACCTGCCTTAAAAGCAAATAAGCTGTAAAGGATGACACGGCATAACATTTCATAGCTTGCACGTAGAATAAACAGCTCTCTTTTAATACGCTTGGTTCTCAGTGAGACAGTTGTAAAAGTCTACATAAGGAGAATATAATCAGGCTGGCTCACCCACAGGTCAAACTGGGCCATGACACAGGCACCAGCCCTGCAAGGGAGAAGTCAACATGGCTAGGCTAGGGCATGAAAGTGGCAGTGGGAAGGATGGGTGGAAAAACTGGCAGAGGGGGGTCCATACCCAAGAAAATCACTGAACAGTGGTAGTCTCTCAGAGTGAGTGAGCTTGAGGTGGGAGGGCAGCACAGGGGCAATGGCAGTGAGTGTGAGAGGGTGGGCCTTATCTGAGATGCCATAACTTCAAGTGCCCGTCCTCTTGTATCTCCTGCCTGGACTACTGCAATGCACTCTACGTGGGACTACCTTTGAAGGTGACCTAGGAACTACAATTAATCCAGAATGCAGCAGCTAGACTGGGAGTGGCCACTGAGACCATATAGCACCGGTCCTGAAAGACCTACATTGGCTCCCAGTATGTTTCCGAGCACAATTCCAAGTGTTGGTGCTGACCTTTAAAGCCCTAAATGGCCTCGGCCCCGTATAGCGTCTTCACCCCCATCATTCTGCCCGGACACTGAGGTCCAGCGCCGGGGGCCTTCTGGCAGTTCCCTCACTGTGAGAACTGAAGCTACAGGGAAACAGGCAGAGGGCCTTCTTGGTAGCGGTGCCCGCCCTGTGGAACGCCCTCCCATCAGATGGCAAGGAAATAACTTCCTGACTTTTAGAAAACATCTGAAGGCAGCCCTGTTCAGGTAGTTTTTAATGTTTGATGTTTTTAACATTCTGTTGGGAGCTGCTAAGAGTGGCTGGGGAAACCCAGCCACCAGATGGGCGGGGTATAAAATAATTTTTATTTTTATTATTATTTTAGCTGCCTTTCATACACTACAGCAGCAGTGCTGGAGCCACTTAGCCATGCTGCTGCCACCATCACATTCAGAGGTGCAATGCCAAATGGGCAGTGTTAGTCGTGCAGGCAGGGTCCCCTACCTCACAGTCAGCATCAGAAACAGAGAAACAAGACACCTACTTACATGTAGTTCCTGACAGAATCTGGAAGGATGACGACACAGCGCTGGCCTTCTTTCAGCTCTTTGGCAGCCTTGACGGCAACAGACATAGCACTGCCTGAGCTGCCACCTGACAGAAGACAGAGGACACCATTAAAACGGCATGGAAGCCATTTTGAAAATGCAGATGTAAAAGGAGACAAAGAATAGTGGGAGAGCCTGCAGTCCTAGTAACTTGATCATTAACAAAGTATACGTTATCAATATCTCATCAATTTCCACAAAAAAGTTGTCTCAAAGTGACTTACAATTCATAAAAAACATACGGCACAACAAGTATTCAAACAACAACAGAAGTGCCTCAAAGTGCTCATCCATCAATAACTGTAAAAAGGACATATCCCTACTCACCCCAGGATAAGAAGGCATCATTAAATAGACCAGCCTGGTGCAAGCCACTATCTCACAACTTGTTCCCAGAAATGCACTGGAAATTCAATTTTGTTACATGGTGTAATGGAGTTATGGAAAAATGTTGGCAAAAAAACCCCCAGCACCTTGGAGCTGACTTTTCTAACTGAATCTTTTGCCTTACCTCTCAAGATTGCCTTTCTGCTACTGCCATATTATAACCAAGACTGGCATGTGTATCATACAGGCAACAGCGGTGTCGGAGGGAAGAAAACAACCCAAGCAATCATTTCCTCATTCTTTCTGTTCAGAAAAGCTAGGTGTTCTGCAAGAGCCAGCAAATAGCAGCAAAGACTCCTTCCTTTCATGGAAATGTTCAGTTGGAACCGCCAAAGCAATGGAGGTTATAATGCATCATTTTGTGTTTGTTAAGATTGTGATGATTTTAGCATAAATGCTTTGACAAAGCTCTGTGGAGTATTCAGAAATAATTCTCTGACTGTATGTAGTTATTTTAAATAAAAAAATTTAAATAAGGAAAGGCTCTATAATTAGAGCTGCCTTTATTGTGTGCTGAACCCGAGAAGCAACTACAGGTACAGTTGCAGGTGCTTAATTGGATATATATTCTAAAAGAAGTGACATTGTCTTCTAATGTCTGAACAACGGGTGCCTTCTGTGCCAACTTTTGAATGCCTGCGGAAAACTCTTCTATTCTGCCAGGCCTATGCAGGCAATTAAGAATACGCCCCTCACAACAATCTACTGCTGTTTTTATTTATTTTTTCAAAAGCTACCAAACGTGGTGCTTTACAGTACTCATATACCAGTGACCCACTAGTGTGACAAAAAGGAAAGGATGACTTGGTCTCGAGAGCAAAGAGGTTCATTCTCAACTGTTACTGTCACCTTGAGTACTCAATTCTCAACGAATACAAATATAGCTCTCAGAAAGCACTTACCACACAGCAATCCTTCATCTCTGATTAACATGCGCGCACAGGCAAAAGATTCTTCATCATTACACTTGTACCATTTGTCCACCAACTGGAAGAAAGGGCGAGGAAACAAAAAAAACATGAAGCCTTGAACCTGTCTCTGCACTTGGGCCCTTAAGTCGATACTAAGCAGGCCAAGAAATTCAGTGGACAGAAGACATGGATTCTAGTGGCAGACTCTTGGGTCCACTGCCGCAAATTTGGGAGAAATCTGGAAACTGTCTTCCTGCTGCCCACATATACAGACATCCCCTCGATCTCCTCAGTCTCCTGTTTCAACTGCTGAACTGTATTAATGGGGTTGTTTTATTGTGCATTTCAGTGGTGGATGTTTATATTTAATCCTTGGCATCTTCGGGTACAGCTGCTAAACACTCCTGCCCAAAAACCCTGGAGAGCAGCAGTGTAGACAATATTGAACTAGACCGACCAATGGTCTGAGTCAGCAGAAGGCAGTTGACTACATCCACAGATTTTCTACTGCTCAATGGGAAAATATTAGGCACATTTGCATATGCATTTCTGAGCTCCATTATTTGCTCTGCGTGCATTATTTTGGCAAGGAATGAGCCACATGTAGCCACAGGGAAATAAAGACAAAGTGAGGGGATCTATGAAAAAGGACACAGGAAAACTTGGAAAGCAAAGTGTCTATGCATTTCCTGAGGAAGTGTGACTAAGTTCACAGCAGGAAATCAGATGCAAAAAAGGCCTTTCCAAAGACCTAAGAATTATGGACACGCCAGCAAGATGTGTTCAGCAGTAAGGGGACTGTAAGCCATGCACATGAGGGGAGTCTGACTTACTGATCTGTCCAGAACAGTAGGGATGAAGTCGTATCCAATCCCTTCCACTTCATAAGTTGTGCTGTCTGTATTATTTAGTCCTTCAGGCTCTGCAAGAATGGATCCTTCGGGATCAACACCTATAATCTGCAAGAGAGGTTTTAGCATTGAGTCAGCGTTTGGCTATCAAGAACAGCATTGTTAAATCAGTCATAGTAAGTCAAAATTGTTGTGGCATTGCAAAGATGTTTTCCCTGTCATTAAAACTTGGAAAACACCAAACCTGATGTCAATCATTGCTTTTAAAGCACGTGAAAAAACTCACTTGCTCCTACACTGCTTTCGTTTGGCTTAGTAAAAGGGCAAATGTCAACAAGTGTGCTCTGGATCCATTCAGATGTTAGCTCTCATTACATATATATAACCCCAACAGGTGATACAGACGGAAACATGATATTATGTGCTCAGTGACATACATCTCTATATCACTCAAATAATTTTGTAAGGAATCACAGTACAGGATACAAGATGTCCAGCGTGTTTTATTACTCTTAAGATTCTACTAAGTATTCTGTTTCATGTGAGGATAAAATGCCTATGTTGGACACAATAAAATTATTAGATTCTTTGAAACATCTTTCTCAAAATTGGTAGTATTTACATTCTCCAAAGGGGTGACCTTGCTGGCAAATTTCACACAATTCTGCCCAAATTTTTAAAAGTATAGGAATTTCTGTCTAGTTCGGGGGGTTGATCTAGAGTTTGTGTTCCTGGCACTGGGGAATCAGAATAGACTAGGGATTCTGTTTGTTTACTGCCCACCTTGCTAGAGTCTCCCTGCCTGAACTGACAGAGCTGGTCTAAGAGCTGGTGTTGAGGAACCCCTGGACTGCTGGTTTTGGATGATTTCAACATCCATGCCAAGGCGACTGGCTCTGGGGTGTACTTGACCCTATCCTTGACAGCTGGTTTTCTGCTCAGAATCGTTCCCCAACTGCTTTTCCCTTGTGGGCTTCCAGGTGCATAGTTAAGGATAAGGAATAAGTGATGACCGGACTGCCGTATGCAAGGTGTGCAACAGTATAAAGGACACTCTTGCATCAAGAATGCTTAACATGAACATAATGAGCTGGTCTACATAGGAATGTTCTGCCTGTGCAAGTAGTCCCAACTTTCCTTAGACATACATACATGAGGATAAAAATGCAAATAGCAAGTGTACAGGCAGCAATCAATGATATAGCTGGTGGCAATCCATGTCATCATGGCAACAACAGTGCTTTTCCCAGGCACCATGACTGCTAATGAGCTCCATTTTGGGGGCAGATCTGTGTGCATGGTGAAGGCTGTCACCCTAGAAGCCATGGAACAGAATGGAAGCAAACTCTGGTCGAGAGAAGCCTGTCTCACAGGTCCCACTGCCTGCTTTAAGGGCAGAAATGCCTGTCTGCCTGGGCCCATCCTGGAACATGAGAACAGAAGGCTTGACAAACAGAGATAACGCAGTAGGGTGACGAAAACACAAGGCTCATGAGACTCCCTATACCCCAATAAGGCTCGGGATCACATAAATCCATAAACAATGGAAAATGATGAAGCAGTGGTTGAGAGGCCTGCCCTAGCCTGGGACTTACTTTGCATTCAGGGCATTTTTCCTTTAGTTTTCGGGCAATGCCAGTGATGGTGCCTCCTGTACCCGCTCCAGCTACAATCATGTCTACGTGACCTATCAGAGAGGCAGAAACATGTGTACAGTTGAAGTGGCCAAAAAGAATTAAAGACACAAATCTGAATGGATACAGTCTTTTAGCCAATTCTAGTATAAGGGTTTTTGCCTCAGTATGGCACAGGCAGAGGAAACACATTTCATCAGACAAAAATGCTATGTGGGAGCTCCCTCTACTGGCCTTAAGCTAGCAAATGCAAAAAATGCAATAGGTTATACAGTGGACCCTCCAGATACAAACTTAATTCATTCTGGGGGTCCGTTCGCACCCTGAAAATTATGTAAATAGAGGTGCGCTTCTGCACATGTGCGCACGGCGAAACCCGGAAGTAGACACTTCCGGGTTTGCCATGGCTGTAACCCGAAGATTCCATATCAAGAGGAATACGTAAGTAGAGGTAACGACTGTACTGTGAACATGACCTAGTCCAACCCCCTACAATGCAGGAATCGCAACTTAATCATAGAATTGTTCCCCAAAACATCAACTGGAGCCCAGATTAACTGCATAAACATAAGAGAGCATCCATAGATTATGTGAATCCTAGATTCACATTTCCACTCTATAGCAAATGCCAGCAAATGTATTTATTTACTAATCTGTCTGGCCTGCCAGGTCCTGAAAGCCTAGGGCATGTAATAATACATAAGCAAATGAAACAATAATCCTGTATCTATGGATCTATGAGATATTCATTTAGAGATATAGATATGGGCTTTCAAGATGGGAAACCAATATCTAAATCTTTGCTCTGGCACAAAGCTCCACCGATGGTTTTAGGTAAAGCACTGTCTCTAGCTACTGGTTCACATGTTGTGGATGTCGCAGGTCCACCCCACACTCATGCAATGCTCCATTTAGGGCGTACTTGATAATGTGTGAAGCGGACATTTACCCAGTGACACAAATACATGGTAGTACATCCACTTTGTTGCAACGTGTTAATTGGGACCGAGCCTAACCAGCCAGAGAGAGCTATTTTGAGAATAATTTGAGATAAGGATTGTAAAATACGTTATGCACCGGGATGTGCTGTGGAATTGCTAAGTTATAGCAATGTTGAAGCCTCATCTCGGTTCCATCCATTAGAACACCATGCCAATTAAAAGATGTCATAGCACTTCTCGGGAGGTTGTGGACTCTCCATCCTTGGACGTTTTTAAGCAAAGGTTGGATGGCCATCTGTCACGGATGCTTTAGTTGAGAGTCCTGCATTGCAGGGGGTTGGACTAGATGACCCATGGGGTCCCTTCCAACTCTATCATTCTCGGGCATGGCAAACTTGCAGGAGAAAAGTTGCTTGTGGGCTGTTGGACACCCACTGATACCATGTCTATGCATCCTGGCCCTATAGTAGCCTTGTAATTTACCAGAACCCCCCTTTTCTCAAAGCATCTAGGATGAGGGGCCCAAGAGTTACCTGCCGGCTGAACATACCATCACACTGCTGCAGGATCTCCTCAGCCGTGGAATCGTAATGGGCCAGGGGGTTGCTGGCGTTGCGGTACTATGTTGAAAAATGAAAGGAAAATGTAGAAAAACAACAGTCTGGCAAGTTTACAAAGAGGGCTGTTGCTGGAACACACATGGACTTAAATGTTTAATAAATCTATAAGCTGCTTTTTAAAGGAAGAATCCTCCACAAAGCAGTATACAATAGCAAAAAGCAGTACCATTAAAAGCAAGCCCATTTAATAATAATCTAAAAAGTAAACACAAGAACAACCCACCACACCAAATCCTCATGCTATCAGGAAGGGCCATAGCTCAATGACAGAGCACATGCAAAAGGAGCCAGGTTCAATTCCTGGTGTTTTGAGACAGGGCTGGGAAAAACTGCCTGAAACCAGTGGCGTAGCGTGGGGGGTGCAGGGGGGGCCGGGCGCACCGGGCGCAACATCTGGGGGGGGCGCTCGTACTCGCAGCTCTCTGCCCCTACCTGGCTCCACGGGTTAGGGGGCGCAAATTACTTGCCTTGCCCCGGGTGCTGACAACCCACGCTACGCCACTGCCTGAAACTCTGGAGAGCAGCTGCCAGTAGACAAAACTGAGCTAGATGACCAGTGGCCTGACTCAGTAGAAGAGAGTTTCCCATGTTTCAATTTAGGACATTATCTTGACAATCTAATTTACCTCATCCACAGAAAGTTACAGAGAGGGAGCGAAAGTCTTCAAAGCCCACTTGAAAGTCTCTACAAATAGCACCTGCCTGATCTTCCTCGGATCTGGTTTCTGGAATTTTGGGCCACTGCTGAGAAGGCCCTGTTCCTTGATATACCCCCAGAGTAGAACATGGGGTATTTCTTTGCCAAAGTACTACTATTTTATTTCATAAAATTTACATACTGCTTGATTTTGTAAAGTGGTTTACAAAAAAGATAAAATAAAATGCTCACTAAAATGCTCACAACCATAATTTAAAACATACCAAAAGTTTAACCCACAACAGAATAGGCTAAAACAAAGTAGAACTCATACACACTTTCTAAACACCTGGGAAGACTTGTCTAAATAAAAATGTCTTCAGCAGGCACCAAAAAGAATACAGTGAAGGCACTTATCAGATAGCAAAAGGAAGGGAGTTCCAATTATGGTCTCAGCACCACTTAACTTAATTTTATTTTTTTTAGAGGTGTTCAAGCTCCTTACGTACCACGAATGCTTGCTCCTCTTCAGTGGCTAACTAGCCCACAATAGAGCCCCACCCACAGGATGACAATTGTGTATGAGTTGGAGGACAAGTTAAGTGCAATTAACTTTAGTCCAATTGACTTAAGATTGATTATATAGGAAGCTGACTTATAATGAAACAAGCCATTGGTTCTATTAGCTCAGTATTGTCTACATCAGCCTTTCCCAACCTGTGCCACTCCAAATGTTTTAGACTACAGTTCCAATCATAACTGACCATTAGTCATGCCGACTGATGTTGATGGGATGAGTAGTCCAAAATACTTGGAAGGCACCAAGTCAGGGAAGACTGGTCTATATTGACCTGTGAAGGCTGTCCCGGGTTTCAGGCAGGGACTTTTCCATCCCTTTGCCTGAGAATTGGGAATTATAACTTATCAGCGTCAGTGAGATATTAGAACGATGAATGAAAAGGACTGTATTCCACTTAGGACCTAGCTATCTGAAGTACTTCTCTCCTTCTGCCTCTTTACCTGATCCAATATGTGGGAATTAGGGATTTCATTTTTCAGTCTCCATGCCACGCCGACATGAGATTCTGGAGAGTCAAATCTAGCAGTAGTTGGAGTCCTCACAATTTCTGCCCCAAGAGCACGCAAAACATCCACCTGATTTCAAAAAAACAAATTTGTGAAATGCACCACACAACACCCGAGCAATGGTGAAATTAAACTTTAAGCTATAAGACTTTGAGTGGCTTTCACTATGTATTAATTCAGATGTTAGCTATTTTACTCCCAGCGTAATGCCAGTCTAAACTTAAAATACGGAATGTCAGTCCAAATCCTGAACCTCTTTAAACATTTTGCTACCTCACTGAAACAGCAAGTTTGAGAACTACCGTATTAAACAGCATCTACCCCATATGCAGCTATCTGCGTTGCTGGCTAACGATGTCCCAGTTAACCAATTACACAACAAGTGACGATTTGTAAGCATCTGAAATGATAAGCAGCTCTGACCTTCTCCATACTCATTTTCTCTGGCATGACGATGATACAGCGGTAGCCTTTCACTGCAGCTGCCAAAGCCAGTCCGATCCCTGGAACCAAGGAAATGCATCACTGAAGGAAGCCACACATTTATATTTTAAAACTCTTTACTTGCAGGAGCAGAGGAACCAGCCTTATACAGAGTCCAACTAGTTGCCTATGTCGTATAGTACTGTCTATATCAGTCTTCCCCAAGCTAGTGCTCTGCAGATGTTTTTGACTAGAGTTATTAACAGTCCCAGCCACCATGGTCAATGGTCAAAGATAATGGGAGATGTGGTTCAAAACATCTGAGAGGGTACCAGTTTGGGGAAGGCAGGTCTACACCAACTGACGTGTCTCTCCAGGTACTCAGAAAGGAACCTTTTCCAGTCTTTTCTAGAGATGCCAGGGATTTGAACCTGAGACCTTCTGTAGGCAGAGCATATGTTCTACCACTGAGTTGTGACATCCCTGAAATGTATGCCCTGCCATTCTGGACCAACTGGGTACTCATACTGATAGAACAAACCATTTTTATATTAACAAGCAGACTGCCTGTTTAGCCAAGTTTCTGGCTGTAGTTAAAAAAGCTTTCAAGACACTTCTAGTTGTGTGGATGCTTCTCTCCCAACACACATGGCAGTTTAGGATTACATCCTGCTTCATCTTTTCCCCAGACATCAGGGGGCAATATCGCTAACCACTGGAAGGTACCATTTCAGAGATTGACGAGAAAGCATTCAATACATTCACTGTAAAAAACTAAGGCTGTTTCAACTACAAGGACAACTGCCTGCTGTGAAGTTTTGTGTCCACTTGTATGTAACACAATCATAACACTCTAAACTCGGCCTGTGCAGAACAGAACCACAACAGAGCGGTCTGTGTTTTCTGAGAGTGTAGGAGAGCAAGAGGTACAGCTTAGATCTTAAGAGATGCCAAAGATCACACTGTTCTTTTTAACAAAAGCAGTATTGATGTTCTAATATGTTTGCGGAATTATGCAGCACTGGAAGATTCCCAAGAGAAGAGTGAAAAGCTAATCCAATAAGACTGCTTACCATTTAGGTAGGAAACGCTATCTGTTCATATACATTGCTCAGTAATCCTTACAATGCCCCCATGTTACAGATTAGCTTAGGCCCTGTCATTACAACAGATCATGGTTCTGTTCCCCTTTTAAAGCTCCTCTGTGTTCACTGATTTCTTCAGCCTTTCAACCGCCCCCTCCATTTCTTCCTCTCTGCATGACCCTCATTTATTGATGCCAATCAGCTCTGATTTCACAGTGTCTCTCTGCAGCCAGAGGTGTCATGGCAGCTCTGGCTACCATTGGTTTACCTTCTCTGACTTGACTGCTGAGTGTTAAGCGGAGCATCAAGGAACTTAAGAATTCAAAGGCCCCTGAACAACTTCTGATCAATTAAACCACAACATCAGTCCTTGGCTTTCAAGCAACACTTTGATGTAACAGTTTCCAAGGCTGTTGGAATGAAAATGAAAAGGATCAGGCGACATTTGCTGTTTATATAACATCCTGATGATTTGGGGGGCGGGGGTCTGACAGAGACGCAGTAAAAGCTATCAAGTGAATTCAAGGCTGAATTAATGTGATTCACACAAGGGACCTTCCAGCTCATAGTTCATGTCCTTAACCATTATACTGTACCAGCGTATAAGGACAACTAAAGCTTTCTCCATACTTGTTTTCTCCTCTGGATGTGATATCACATTGTGTCTATACGAATGAGTAACGTTCCACAGCTCTGTTGAAAGCATAATCTAATAGAGGACTGGAAATTGTTAAAAGAAGGATGAGTTTCCTTAAAAAAAAAAATTGCAAGTGAACATAGATTCTAAAAGGTAAACTGTTGGGAAAACTAGCTCTGACAGTGTTTCTCATTCAGTTTGGTAAACACAAAGAGCTCCATGACTTTACACCAGAGATATTGCTTGATTATCTCACTGACTTTCATGGGAGAGCATTAAGTACATGCTTAATGTTCTCATATCCGGCATGATGCTTCCATTTTGGGGAGAAATAAAGCTCCCCAGATACCTGTTCAGCAATCCCTGTCCTATTATTCTCCTGTCTGCATTACTGCTATGCCCAACAACACAGCCCAGAGTCACACTGCAATTGATCTCACTCCAAAGCAACCGTACCTGTGTTTCCTGACGTTGGTTCGATAATGGTATCTCCAGGTTTCAGAATCCCATCCCTTTCAGCATCTTCTACCATCCTTAGGCTGATCCGGTCTTTCACACTCCCTCCAGCATTGAAAAACTCACATTTTGCCACTGGAAAGCACAAAGACTATGTTTCAACTAGGTTTCATTTTCCCCCCTGTTTATCAAAAAGAGGGGACACGTCAGCTTTTAATGTCTAGCCCTCTTTCAGGGGAAAAATGCACCTGGCCAATTTATAGCCTCGCTGGGTGCACAAACACACATGGTGCAGGAATAGCTCCCCACTTCCTTTGCACCTCGTTGCAGACAACACCCACTAACTATTCATTCGGTATCATTTTGGCACTACTAGTTTATTTATTTAGTTAGTTCTGTACTGTGATTAGTTATATTTTATTTTTCTGGGCTTCTTTTTATTGTTTCTGGTTTATGTCAATCCAGAGGACATTGTCAATTGGGCAGTCTACAAATGACAGAGGTAAAATTAAAGAAATATAATTTAACACAGAAGGTGACAAAACAAAAGGCTTTTGAGATATCAGCTCTGAATCAGCCCAATGCAGTATTTCTCTTTTGAACTGGCCAGTGGGCTTTACAGTCAAGCCGAGTTTACAGCAAACACTACCAAAATCCTGGCTGAACTGGTCCTTCTTGATCATTGCGACAGCACAAATGTTTGCATTTACAACTCCAGCTAACCAGAAGATACTTACAAAGTTCACATTTAAGTCCAAAGAGCTTCCCAATTTTGTTGATTCGCACCAAGGGAGTATCGCCGATCTTCTTGAGGATATCTGGCATAATTTTTGGAGTCTCGGATCTAAACCAGAAAGACACAGGAATATACAGCAGGGATGGGAAACAACTGTAAACCCCACAGCAATATCCACCAGCACCTGAACATGGCTTGCAAAGTATCAAACCAAACGAGCGCACTGGATTCTAACTACCAAAGCTAATCAGACTTCAGTTTGCGGTTCTATTGAATGGCAGCTTACCTTGCAACATGGCGATGGGGCGACTCAGAAGGAGATTTCCCAAGCTCCCAGGTACACTTGCTTGGAATGTCAGGCCTGATCCACTTCCTCTCCTTCTCTGGGGAGGTGCAAGGCTCCTTCTCCGGAATTCCATTGGGTGTGCAGCTGGCTGAGAAGTGAGAGCAAGCCAAGGTGTCCATCCCGGCTTCTGTGGGAAACGATGGCATTGTGACCTCAAGGGAAGAAAGGGACTAATGAAATTTTCACTCGCCATTAGGCAAAATACAGTAATTGTCAATAAATGCAAAAAATTAAGTTTTACCACCTAAAATGACATGCCCTTACTGTACGTGAGACAACTGATCCATCTAGCCCAGTACTAGTTACAGTCATTTTGGAAGTTGAACGGAATACGTTCTGGAAGTCCGTTCAACTTCCAAAACATTTGGAAACCAAAGCACGGCTTCTGATTGGCTGCAGGAAGCTCCTGTAGCCAATCAGAAGCTGCGCCGGACGTTCAGGTTCCAAAGAATGTTTGCAAACCGGAACACTCACTTCTGGGTTTGCGGCATTTAGGAGCCAAAACGTCCAAGTACCAAGGCATTCGGGATCCAAGGTACGACTGTACTCTCATAGGCAGTGGCTCTCAGGCAAATGCCTTTCCATCACCATCGAGCTGGTACCCAGTCGTTTTTTCAGCTGGGGAATCCAAGGTTAAACTCTGGAACCTTCTGCATGAAAAGCATATGCTCTAACACAGAGCTGTACCCTCTCCAATCCTGATAACGATTCTCTCTCACACACCAGGAACATCTCAGTAAATTAAGGGGGCAGGGGAACACCTTCCACGGTTTTACAAATTCTAGACTAGTTCATCTGGAATTCATTTCCCTACCTTGGTTCTGATCGCACAGTCCCAATATTGAACAGAACAAAAGAAGACCCTTGCTGGGTCAGGCCAATGGCCCATGTAGTCCAGCATCTTGTTCTCACAGTGGTTAACTAGATGCCAAAACTAGAAGCTCCAAAGCAGAACCTGGGCCCAAACAGAACTCTCCCCAGAGCCCCAGCGGTGGAGGTAGTGCACAGCCTTCATGACAAGGAGCCATTGATCACCGTAGGCCCCATGAATTTGTCTAAACCCCTTACTACATCTTGTGACAATGAGTTACATAGATAACTATGGACTGTGTGAAAAAGTATTTCTTTTTGTCTGTCCCCAAACCTCTGACCTTCAGCTTCATTGGATGATCCCAGGTCTAACAGTACGAGGGAGGAAAATGTCTCTCTATTCACTTTCTCCACACCAGGTAGAGTTTTATGTATCTCTACCACATCCCCCAGCCTCCTTAAAAGGTAAAGGTAAAGGCACCCCTGACCATTAGGTCCAGTCGTGGCCGACTCTGGGGTTGTGCGCTCATCTCGCTCTATAGGCTGAGGGAGCCGGCGTACAGCTTCCGGGTCATGTGGCCAGCATGACTTAGCCGCTTCTGGTGAACCAGAACAGCGCATGGAAACGCCGTTTACCTTCCTGCCAGAGCAGTACCTATTTATCTACTTGCACTTTGACGTGCTTTCGAACTGCTAGGTTGGCAGGAGCAGGGACCAAGCAACGGGAGCTCACCCCGTCGCAGGGATTCAAACAACTGACCTTCTGATCGGCAAGTCCTAGGCTCCGTGGTTTAACCCACAGCACCACCTGCGTCCCCTAGCCTCCTTACTTGCCCTAAAAACGGACAGATGTTGTAACCTTTCCTTTCAGCTCCCATGATCATCTCGCAAATTGTCCTATAATATGACTTATGTGACCTGAAAGAAAATGTTATTTCCCTTATTATACTACACCCAGCAGGCAATGTTTTTCTCCAAGATCTCAGGAAACAAGAGGTTAAAAGGCACAGTTATATCAATAAACAATGAACAGCAACATTAAAGCCTGAAAGACCGAAAAATCTAGAACTAGAAACTTCAAGTGTACCAGGAAATGCTGCCCCTGGACAAATAATAAAGTGCACAAAATACTCCCAAGCAAGACACTACTTGGAATCTTCTAGAACTGGTGTATTTCTAGAGACTGACTCCATAACTGTCAGCAGACATTGATAATTTGGCAGCATCCTCTTCTCACTACCTCTCAACACCCATTTGCGCTGATTCAGAAACAAGATCACAGTAGGCTAGTATCCTTCTGTCATAAAAGGGCCCCCTTAGAGTGACAAGGAACAGGATAGGTGAGCCTACAAATTCCTAAATTCCAGATCCACAAAAAAGCTTCCGCATTGCCCCACATAACAGTTTGCCAGACTAAACTGTGGGGTTTGTGAAGTGAAATGCTTTTACAAAGCGGCATTTCACTTTAAGTTTGAGACTTCTCTACTGTATTCTGAAGAACCTTCATATTCTCCCTAGTAGGTGACCAATCATGTAGCAAGTAGAGGATTAGCCCGCTGGGAGCCATCTTGAATCCACTTCCCACACTTGTCAGTCATTAATTATAACAATTATGCAAATGTAACCAGAAAAAAGGCTTTGCAAAGGAAGCAGGGGAAAGTTTATTTCTTATTTCCTTCTCATATAAAGCCACTAGCTTATCTCATAAGTGGCCTTCATGCTTTGCCCTATTTTCACTGGCCAAGTCTAAGAAGTGTGGGAGTAACTGGCCAATTTGAAGAAGCCTTACGTCAGGCATTTTCCCATGGCAACTCCCCTTCTTACCTTAAAATCCCCAGATGAACCTCAACATGAAACAACTTTTGGACAATAGATGGCAATAGATGCTAGCAGCATACAGTAAAGTAGTGCATAAGTGTATTGTACTTAGAATTAAGACAGCCTTTGATCATACACAGCACTGAGATCCTTGTGGAATTATCACTGGGGTGTTCTAGATAAGAGGGTTGCCAATTCCAAAACCAGAGCTCTAGATTAAAGCTGTTGTGAAAGACCTTGAGCTTGCTTTGTAGCAGGGTGATTACTGAAAAAACAAACTTTCATTTGCTTTGCCTGGCATATTGTGTCCCAGCTTGCTCTTTTGGATAAGAATAAAAAAGTCCACAACTCTTACAGAGTAAGGAGGGGAGGGAGGAGACCTTTTCTAACATGATGGTCACATTTCCTTCTGGGTAAATATCTGCGGGCCAGATTCTAGTGGCAGGGCAGGGTCAGATGAAACCGTAGGTGGAACAACCGATATAAATTTTCCCTCTGAACAACAGGCTAGTTTACACTCACCTCTGTATCTTCCATCCAGAGAAGCACAAGACATCACCCAAGTTCAAGGCTACACGCTAGCCAAGCAAAAACAGCAGGGTGCGAAAAGGATCCAGGGGTGTGTGGTCTGAGGAGTCTTCAGAGGGCCAGAGAGAAAGAGAGGCACATTCATGGCCCACACCTGATGCTCCACACCTTGGGTAACATTAACTTGCCAGTTGCCAAAAGAATACTGAGACAGTTTAAACTGGCACAAGACATTCTGTTGCCTGTGGCGAGACACACCTCACCCCATCATATTTTCTCTATACAGAAGCCCACTGGACTGGCAGTTGAATTGTACTTCAACATTTGTGAAAAGTCTTATTTTGCAATCACTGGATGTGATTATCAGTTAAACTTCTGGCTAGTTCAGATGGCAACCTAGGTTAAGAGCTCTGAGAACTTAAAGAAGCTAAGTCCCTTGACCCAGGGACCGTCCACATAAATATTGGCCTATTCCTATCTCTTTTTCTTAATGGTGACACGGACTATTAATAAAGTAGGACTATCCTTCCCAACTGTTGAGCAGGGCAGTGGGGTGGAGTAGGTGGAGACAAGCGACACCAATTAACTATCATGATGTTCTCTGTTCCTGCTGCACAGAAAAAGCATTTTGGTTCCTGAAATTCATTCCGATTATGCAGATAAAATGTAACTGATAGAATTATATGAGATGTCGTATGAGTGTGTGAAAACAGTCTAGATCCAAGGATCCCCAGGCAGGCACCTCCAGATGATGGAGCTGTCAGACACCATCCTGGCACCCAGGTATCTTCACTTGGTCGCAAGTGGCTGATAGGTGCAAACTGTGCCTGGCGCCTGGCTCATTTTGAATACAGAGCATCAGCCAAGGGTTTTTAAGGAGGAAATGGGGGTAGATATATCCCATTGCTCCAAATGGGCGAAGACAGGCACAGGACAGAAGTCATAGTTAGTGGGGAGTATTGCTGTAAATCACTTGCACATTAGGAGCTGATATAACCGGGTTCACTAATAAATAATTAAAACCCAGTTGTTTGCCCTCATTGGTCCAGGTCAGGACAATGTGCTTCCATATATACCTGTAGCTCTCCAGATTTTGTTGGATTCCAGCTCCCATCATCTCCAACCACTGGCTATGCTGGCTGGAGGTAATGGCAACTGGACTCCAGCAATACCTGGAGGGCACTGGGTTCCCCTTCCCTGATATAGACCCTTCTATATCCATCTTCTGTTTATGCCCTACGACTTCCACGGCACTTGCAAACGATACTAGGAGGATCTCAGTTGCTTCATAGTAATGCCTTCTGCGTGCCAAGATTATGCAATACCCACTTGAGTGGCATTCAGTGTATCAGTGTGCAGAAGCCGAAGTCATCACACTTTGCATGACATTTATAGCCTTAAGGGTGTGTAATCACAGCTCCGCTCATAGCATGGGTCTTGCCAAACAGATTTGGGATATCTCTTTCCTAAGGTTAATCAGTTATATTAAGGAGCCTGGGAGTCATTCCAAAATCTTGTTGGTATTTATGATATTATCCTGGCACTGCATGCAACGCTCTGTGGCAAGAAGTAGCAATGTGGAAGCAGGGGAGAGAAACAAACTGGGCTGGCGGGGAAGAAGAGAAATGAGAAATTAAAGCATTTCCCTTCCCTCCACTGTCCTGGGGTCCGATATATAGAAAAGCGTGAAACTGCACAGGAAAAAGGAAAAGAAACAGCCTGCAAAACTGTCACCTGACTGCTGGGCTCCCAGGACAGCTAACTCAGCATGAGACTCTTAATCTCAGGGTTGTGGATTTGAGCCCCACATTGGGCAAAATATCCCTGCATTGCAGGGGGTTGGACTAGATGACCCTGGTGGTCCCTACCAGCTCTATGATTAACATCAGATTGGAGGAGGAGGCGGGAGAAGTGTTGCAGAATCTACCTATTGCTGCAGCTAAGACTGCAGCAACTTTTAGTGCCTCCTCTCTTTGAACTGTTGCATCTCACTTCTTATTTATATGCTCTGTTAGAACAAACTGTAACTAAGAACTTGAAACTGTCAACTATTTCCTCCTCCCTCCCAATCCATGTTCACTTTGTTCTGTGTCTTTTAAGATTGTAATCCTGAGGGCAGCATCTATCTCTGTCTTTCTGTGTGAGAATCCTTAGCTGCTTTGGGAGTCTTTCTTGGCTAAAAGAGTGGGATTTTAAATACATGTAACTGAACTCCTTTAAAAATATGTGTCCGATGCAAAGGTCTGCACCGAGGTAATTAAATGATTTAGAAATAAGATACATAGGTATAGGATTGGGTATAGTGTCTTGACAGTCAGACATGTGAAAATGATCTCAGGATTGCAGCTGGTCAGTGCTGAACATGAGTCAGCAGCGTGACACAGCTGCAAAGCGGCTAATGCGACAGCAGGCTGGGTTAACAGATTGTTTCCAGGACACACAAAGTAATAGCTGCACTTTATTCTGCTCTAGTCAGACTTTGCCTGGAGAACTGTCTAGTTCTGAGTGATGCATTTTTAAAATGATGGGATGGGTTCAGACAAAGAGAACAAAGATGGTCAGGAGTACAGAAAACAAGTCTCTATCAGAAAGGAACTTTGTATGTCTAGCACAGAGAGGAGAATCATAGAAAGACAAGCAAATTGTAACAAGTAGCTGAGGGGCTTTACTAGGGAAGGGCAGAACAAAAGCCTCTATTGCTGATCACACTAGGGATCAGCCTGTGCTTTAGGTTTGTGTGGCAGCAAGTCAGCAAGATGGCCCAATTTTACTGGACCTTCAGTCTCTGCTAAATTCAGCACAAGGCCCATGTCAAAAATTAGTTGGTGGGTAGTTTAAAAGGCCTGTCCCTGCTTGTAGGAAAGTATTGCATCTGAGACAAAAGTGATAGGTAGGACTTGCTCTGATGTGCTAGTTTTATGTGCTGGAATTTTCAAAACTTCATTGTTGGGGACCGTCCCAAGATGTGATTTCCCATTCTGCATCTTAGAATGGTACAGCTTGAATTGAATTGTGAACAGCTTTCTGAACTGTGTGTTGCAAGACGTTAGTGTGTCGGCTGCAGTGTGTAGGTGTGTCACGTGAACACACCCCACGCTCCTCCAGGGGCTGGAAAGGGAATAGTTTAACCTCCAGTTTCCTAGTAAAACTGAACTACTGTGTCGCGAAATGACGCAAAACTGAATCACTGCATCGTGAAATGATGCATGTCTAAAAAGTGTGTCACCAACATGAGAAGATTGGAAAGCTCTGCTTTAAACCTTGGGGTGGAGCATGCTTTAGCAGAAATGCTTATGTACCAACCACTCCTCCTCGGAAATAGAATTCGCCTTGTGTGGCTGTATTTATTTAAGTGGTGTGTCACAAATTCAGTTCATTGTGGAAGAAAATCACCTGCTTTCCATTTCTAGAGAAAGTCTCAAGTCAAAGCTAGCCCACAGTTGACTCACAGATGTAACTCTGGTAGTTTGATAAGAGGACTTCTCAGACCTTGAAAACAATATTGGGCTCTGTTATGACTGGAGAGGGTGTGCCCAGAAGAAAAGCTTTACACACAAATCTCCTAAAGATAATAACACAAGATAGAACACTGCATTCTGGAATCATTTGCAGGTTGTTTACCTTAAATCTTCCTTGTTTTCACATGTTAAATACTTTTTATGCACAACTGCTCTCAATAATTATGTGTTCTTCATCTCCTAAAGCAGGGGCTGGCCAGATTGCTATCTCCCTGACCCTTTATGGGCCAACTTTGGCAGGTGGGTGAGGAACATTGGCAAGGGGGCTGCTTATGGTGGGTATCAGTATGCGGTGAGTTACGGCACCAGTTCCATCAACCAGAGTGGGGGGATCATTGAAAAACAGCTTAACAAACTTACAAAAGAAGCTCAACAACTGTTCTTGCAACTCCCCCCCCCAAAAAAAACCCCTCAATAACTTTCTTAATTGTTAAATTTCTTAATTTTGGGCTCCCAAAAATAAGGCTCGTCTTATACATTGGATTGTGTTATACACGGAAAAATACGGTAGAGCTGATACAAGCCTGAACTTTGCCCAGCCTTGGCCTATCTTTGTAAAATATTTTAGTTGGGGTTTTTTAATTCTTCTGTTACCCCTACAGGTTCACTTCCCTAATATAAGTAAAATGAGAAGAAAAGCTTTTAAGATAATTTTGTGGGGGGAAACCCCAGATCACACATCATGTAGCAGGGATGCTAATTGGGTGGGAAGCTGGGCTTCATTTGTCTTGAGGCAGGGCAAGGCAAGTTAGCACTAGTGGGCCATGGAGGCGTGAAGAGAACCACAAGCCTGCTGCCAGGAACATTTCAGGGTGGAGGATTCAATTATATGGTGCCAGAAGGATGGCATTTCATCACTCTTCCATGCAGAGGGTTGGGGCAGCCTGTGTGAGTTCATAACTTTATTCTCACAAGACTCCCGCCCCAGGCTTCAAGCAAGCTCTGCATGGGCCTGCTTCCATGTTACCTTTCCGTGTTCCTGGCCGTGTTCAGATATTTCACATTAATAAGGCCCTCAGATTAAGCCACACATTTCAAAACGGACTCCAAAATCCAGCAAATCCTTAATTTTTTAAATTAAAAATCTCAATAGTACTTTAACTTTCCTCAGATTCGAATGAGGTCAGTGATATGGACTCCATCACTGTCACTTTCCAGTTTAATTGGATGTTCCTTCCTTCCTAGGAGGTGAACAGAACTAGAAACCTGCTCTTAGCAAAGTTGTGTTTATCAACATTTTGGATAGAGGTTTCTCCATTGCAGTGCCAAAAACTACAATAATGTCTTTCGGTAGGCCACTGAACCCTCAGTGTCTGAAACCCCAACGCCTAGATTCTACTTCATCGGGGTTTTTAAAATTCGTATCATTCGGGCTTATTTTTCTGGCAGAGACACCTGAGAGGATGATATTTTAACAGGTCTTTTAATTGTCTTTGTTTGTATGCATTTGCATAAATGTTGATTTTCCCACTGCTACATGCCACCTTGAGCATGACTCGCGTGCTCCAAGTAACTGCCAATAAATCTCCAGGATACCAGAAGTGCTGCAAAGCATCCAATGTCAATATTTTTAAAATACAGAGCCAGGGTATGGTATATTGATATAACTGGAATTTGAAGAATCAATATATTAAGCAACATCCTGGCATTCTCAAACATCACAAGGCAATCCCTATCTTGATGACTTGTTTACTAGTTTGCTAAGCTATCAGGGAATTGAGAGGGAAACAGGATTTCTACAGAAAGTAATCAGATGGTTTCTATTTACACTTTGAACAACATTATTATTGTTTGCACTTCGTAGTTTTTTCTTTTTACAAAATGGAACTCAACGTGACATACAAAAGAAAAGTAGCATGTTAATTAAAACCAACAGAAAACTAAATCATGCTTAATAATAATTAGTTTAATAATGATGATAATTTTATACCCTGTCCATCTGACTGGATTGCACCAGCCACTCTCTGACCATCTTCTCAAATATGAACCAGCAATTTCAAGTGCAAAAAGCCTGTGTGCGTACTCTCACACTTTCACGCAGGTACACCACCTACAAAGCTTACCTCATTTTTTGGAGGGATCAACTCTGGGTGAGAAAAGGGGCAATAGACATGCTCTGATGGGTATTCAAAAAAGCTTACCTCCCTACTATACTGAACTGAATGAGGCAGCCCACCCACCTAAGGACTTTGATATATGTATGGATAGAGAGAAAAGTCAGAAGTTCAGTACAGCCCACTTTGGAACAGTTATTGAAAAGACAGGGCCAGAAGTGACTTTTACAGTATAATGCTGCAACAGTAGAAAGAACTCTGATCTTTTGGCACACAGAAACTACTACCAAAATAAAAAAAAACAGTTCACTCAATTTGTTGAAGTTGGCAGTTATATTACCTTTCACATATGAATGCTTATTGGCATAAAGACAGCAATTACACGCTCTTGCCAGAAAGTGAGTTGCCACAGAACAAAACCACAACACAAAAATCTTTGGACATGCACAACCTATTAATAAAGTATTTGAGCTAAGGTGTCTTGTCTATCGCTGCATCTACTGGTATAGGCAATTAAACCCACATCTAAGTATTTGGAAAGTTATGCCCAAGATAGAATTCCCTTAAACAGCTACAATAATCATACAAACATGTTCCATCAACTCATGAAATGATTTCACAGAATACCTATCATCCCTTCCACTCTGACTGGGATTTTCATTTTGTTTGAGAGGAATCAAAATATAGGTATCTATCATTACCACACAAACACACACATCTGGGCTCTCTTTCATCCCCACAAATACAGAAGAGATGTTAAAAGTGTGGAATATTCTGGGTACTGTGCTATTTGAAAATTTGAGAATTGAGAATTCGCAAGCATGTTCAAACTAATATTCCAGTCATTTCTATCCCATCTGTATTCATAATAATTTTTTATTATATTCCGCACCTATTTTGTCAATTGACTATCCCCAGAGTGTCCTCATTTTATATATACACATTCACTGAATGCACAAGAGGGACCAGGATTGTTTCTGCTTACCTTATCCCCAGCCTTGATACATTTACCCGCAGGTGAGAACAAGCTCTGTGTGAATGTAGGATCTGAATTGAAGATCTGGAGTTGCAACCAAGAATGAAGACCCTCCAGCTGCATGTACCCAGAGCACATTCTTACCTTCAGCACAGCCAGTGGCAAAGCCAGCAAGCATGATGATCCCACTTCCCCTCCACTTGTTCAACAAATGTGTGATTATGAAAGTGTGAACAAAGCTTCAGTTTCAGTCTTTAGGACATTTCCAATGATGCAGTTGAGGAGGGTGTGTCAAGAACGCTCATTTTGTCATTCCCTGAGGCACATGCTCACCAAACTGCATCTTCAAAGATCCATGTGAGAGTTATATACAATCTGCCTATATTACGTCAACAACTTAATAATTAGCAAGAGTAAACACTATCTCAGATAATGCCTCTTTTTAACAGAATAAGACTTCAGAAGAATAAACCAGGTATAGGAAAAGCACTGTTCACTGTTTTACTTCTAAAGCAGTGTGGAACTTTAAAAATGTTTCCCCTTCCACATAACTATTTGCTTACCCACACTTACTGTAACTGCATACAAATGATTTTTAAGGCACACTTATATGGGTACAACCCCTATAGAACATAGTGGGACTTACTGCCAAGTACAAATGCTCTGTAAATCAGTCACAGAATTTCAAGCCCCAGGGACATCTGTTGCTTTATCTTCATAGAATCATAGAATTGTATAGTTGGAAAGGACCCTGAGGAACAACTTGTACCTTTTCTTGTAAATTGCTTCTAAATATGCCTGCCCCTTTTCAATAAAAAGATCCTGGGAAGTACGTGCAGTATCTAAGATCACTGCTTCACCAGGGCAAAAAGGGTATACCTGCAACAAAAGGTAAAGCTTTCAGTCTCATAGCACGAATTTGCAGGCATAATGGAAAAAAAACACTGTAGGAACGGATCCCTTTAAGAAAAAGGAAACCACAGAAATTTCTGGAATTTTGCCAGACTGGAACCATATCCAGTATCTTTTGACCTCTGAACTCTTTCAGAAAAGCTCTCCAACCATCGTATCTGCAAAAGGCATTTGTAACTTGAGTTTGCACAAGATGCCCAACCAAGGCAGATCCTGTTTCTAATGTCCATGCATTTCGGCAAGATGTAGGCTCAAATGAGTCATACATTTTTGAGTTAAGTTCAGCTTTTCATTTCCTACATAGTGGCCAGAATGTAGAACTGAATTGAGAACTACACTCATTCTCTATCCAGCGTTAATGTTCTTCATCTAAATGATGCATTTCAGATTAATCACATTTTCACTTATAAGGCTGGAATTGGGTTTTGCTTAAGGAGGCCTGCAATATGAATGCTGCAACTGCATTTTAAAACTCATAACATCTGCACCTGGTAGGGAGTGCAAACGGCTCTAGCAACATTTTACGTTCACCTACCTGGGAGTAAGCCCAACAGAATTCAGTGCAGCTCATTTCAGAGCAAAATTACTTAGGGTCACACTGTCAGTACCACCCTAAGAAATCTATTTCTAGAATACATAAAAAGAGGCCTGCTGGAGCAGACGAAAGGCCCATCCCACACCATGATCAATCAAGCCCAGAAACTATAAGAGTCCTTGCCCAATTGCTTTGTGGTTTGCTTTTGCTTTAATAACTGAAACAGGTTGTGTACACATGGGCTTAGCCAAAAGGAGGCAGGGAGGGGCAACTCCCCCACTAACTAAATCAATAAAGATCAATAAAAATACATAGCTAACTGAGGTTCTGCCTCCCCTAACAAAATGCCTGCCCCTCCCCCAACAAAAACCCTTGCTATGCCCATGTGTGTACACACCATACATGAAATCTCCCCCCAAAAAAGAATATTGTAAACTGTAGCTCTTTGAAAGGAAAACTACAGTTCCCATGACTGTGCATGTGTGCATGGTTATGTACATAGCCTAGGTAAAGGATTTCATGAGAAGTATATGTTGGAAAAGATGGAGGGCACTAGGAGAAGGGGACAACAGAGGACGAGATGGACAGCGTTCTCGAAGCTACAAACATGAGTCTGACCAAACTGTGGGAGGCAGTGGAAGACAGAAGTGCCTGGCGTGCTCTGGTCCATGGGGTCACGAAGAGTCGGACACGACTAAACGACTAAACAACAACAACAAAAAACATAGATTATTGCCTCTGTCCTAGTAAGCATTTTCCCTCCATTGTCTACTGGGGTTTTGCTGTTTTTTGGAGAGACAGCAAGGTAAGGCTGGCCCCCAACCAAGAAAAATTAAAGAAATAAAGTTCATTCAGAAGCAACCTTCAGTAAAGCAAGCAAGAATAAATTAAAACCCATCATCTGCCGTTTGGCGCTGCTTCCAGTTCACCTGTCGAGAACTAGATGATGCAACCGGAAGGTGAATGAGAAGAAACAGGCGCTGCCCCAAGGCTCCGGGACGGGGCGGCGGGAGAAAAAGTGCCCAACGCAAACACACCCTTAACAAAGAAGTCCTCTAGCGATTGGGGCGGTCAGAATTGGCGCTGCCTGCATCTCGTCCTTACCTCGCCCACTTATTGCCCTAGATCAGATGCGCACCACTCCCTACTAATCGCGGGGAGAGGATAAAACCAAGACTCACCTGGGTGCCCGAAAGGAAAGGGCAGCGGGCTAGCTGCGTGGATGAGAAACGCTCCCCGCAAGCAGAGCAGAGAAGCAGCGCCCGATCCAGCCGCGCAGAGGATTGCTCGGCGTGTGCAAGCAGCCTTTCCCCGCCCACATTCGCTTTTGGAAAGAGCGCGGGCGGTGATTGGCTAGGACGGGGGCGTAGGGGGGACACACCCCGCCAATGAGAAGGCGGCGTGTCAGTCCAGCAGCCTGCGCAGATGGTTTCTCCGAGCTGCATGGCAAAGGGAAATATTACGACACAGGGAACTCAGCTAGGTTGTAGGGCGGCAGTTCTTTTGCTTGAAGACTCGCTTTCGGGTTAATTTTGATGCCTTGGCACATACACTCTCTCTCTCTCCTTAGACACAGCTGCTCATAATAAGATGCTATGTAAATATGGCTTGTGTTTTAAGCTGCTAATGTGAACCTTACCCTTTATCTGTTTAGGTGTTTTGTTTTTTGTTTTTTAAAATTAGCTCTGAATCTTATTTGCCATTGATTTTAGATATGTGCCTCAGGCATCTTCCAACTGGCAAAAGAACTGCCTTAAGGAGCTAATTCTGGGTATCATGAACAATCACCAACTTGTTATTTAATTTATTGTATTTTTATTGACAGGGAGAGGCACTTGTGAGATTTTTTTGCCTCAGCTACTGAAATAACCTGCCCAGCTTTGAGTACTAAGCACCTTGACTTGGACAGTTCACATATATTCATTGTTCCTCCTCAGGGACCCTACAGGTCATTAGTCCAATAGGAATCTCAACACGTGCCCCCCCCCATCCAGTTTAATACCATATCGAACCCTGCTTAGCTTTGCAAATGTGCTACCAGTTTTATTACTGCACCACCACACTGCTAACATTCAGCAGAGATGCTAACATGTGGCAGGATTATATGGTTTAAAAATTGGTATCTCCGATATACTAAGAGCAGCTATTACTTATTGCTGTTTATTTAGAGCATTTGTACCCCACTCTTCAGTCAAAAAAACTCTGAGGTGGCTTATACACAACCAAATTAGTTGGTCTGCAGGCCTATATAACCTGAAAGACACGACACAGAAGCAAAAGTGATGGTGAGGAAAGAGTGGGAAGCAAACTCAGACATTTGCTCTTAACGTTAAATACTGTAGTCTTTTTTTATGATGACCAACTGGCATGAAAAGAGTTCGTAGACAGGAAGAGTTTGGCAGAGCTGCTCCTTTAGCAGGGATGCAAAGGGCCCTGCTTCACATCTCTCCCACTGCTCCAGCCTGCTCTCTCACACTTTTGCACACACTAAAAGCAGCAGCAAAAAACGATCGCCTTGCCCTTGCCCTGCCCACCTCTCCTGTAAACAGTCTCAACTCTTGCTGGCGGCTGGCCTTCCCTTTCAAGCAATAGGCATATTGCGCAGCCGCCACTCGAAGCTGTCGAATCACACCGGAAGTGTGTGCTAGTCCGCGCTTCCTCCCTATATCTCGAGCTCAAGCCGGCGGCGCGGAGCGCAAGGTGCGCGGGTGCCGGGCTGCGTGACTCCAATCAGCGCCTGCTTTGGACTACGCTGCCGGGCGATGCGCTTTGTCTCCCGCGGGGAGGAGGATACGGAGCCACTGCGCCGCAGCTAAAAGCAAGCCTGAGTCAGCGCGCTCGATCCATCGCGAGCCTGCGTTGCCGAGGGAGCCACCAGCGCCGCTGCTGACTCATCATCGTAGGCTCGTTTCTTGCTGCGAGCCCCGTCCGTTGGCGTCGCCTTTTCCCATGAAACGTGCACTTGTAGGATCGAGGGACATTTCACACGTTGTGAAATGGATACCCTGATGAAGATTTTCATCTGCACCCAGCGTGAAGATGCATTTTCTTACTGAGTTGCAATAGTAATGCACTCAAGTCAATGGACAAACCACACTGAGCACCATGATTTGCTTTAAAGAAGGGTTTAAAAAGCAAGACAAAGTTTCAAGAGTACAGCATTCAAGCAATTGACTGGTTTATGTTGTGGGGTGTTAGTCTGGATAGCATCTGAGGAACATTTTGTTTTTTTGACCTGCAATCCAGGCATCCCCCCCTCTTATATATGTGCCCCACCCCTATCTTAGATTCCTTCATGCCTAAGTGTAGAACTTTACATTTTTCCCTATTGAAATTCAATCTGTTAAGGCCATCTTGAATCAGATTCTGTCTTCTGTTGCATTAGTTACCCCTCCCAGTTTGGTGTTATTTGCAAATTTGATGAGCATCCCCTCAAGATGTTGAGCAACAACAGACCCAGAACAGAACCCTATGGGCACCCCACGTCATTTTTTCAGGCTGATGAGGAACCATTAGTGAGCCCTCTGGGTTTGGCCAGCCAGCCAGCTACAAATCCACCTAACAGTTACCTCATCCACATCGACTTTGTCAGAACATCCACAGCATTCCCCTGATCCACCAAGCTTGTAACTCTTTCTAAAGAAAGGAGATTGGTCTGGCATGACTTGTTTTTCAGACATCTTTGCTTGGTCCTGGAACCATCATATTATAGTTCATGATCTTAGGAAGCAATTGACTGAGGGGAAGCATACAAATTAATTTAAGGGTAGTATGCAATTTCATAAAATAAATACAACTAAAGGGGGCATTTGTTTTAGGTGAACTGGCAACTCTCACTGACTTCTTCCAGAGGCTGGACAAAAAGCCTACTTTGCAAGTCACATTTGCCTCAGCACTTTTACAACCAAGCTGCAGATTAAAACTCATTGTGAGCTTGTTATAATAAAGAACCCCCAATTTCAGCTTTCATATGGCACTTTAACTAAAATAGGCTTCCATGTGCAAATAAACTCTGAATTTTGGCACAGCCTGGAGTTTCAACTACTCAGGAGTGCTTAGAGAATAGGCTTTAATTTTTAGTTCAAAAACTGGATTTATTGTAAATGCCACATTCACAGAGAACAGATTTCTTAGTAACAAAGAAACATACAGATTTATATAACTAAGCATCTTGTCCGAGTAAAGAAATGCTCCTTCACAGCTTTCATTTAGAGGTGCCTACGCTAACCTAAATAAGCAGAAAGCATAACAAAAGAGGGAAACTTAAATGAGTAACTGCTTATGCACAATTTAATGTATATAATATTTTGTATTATATACATGAACAATTTAATGCATATCCAAATGTAAAAACCAGCTCTTCTGCAGTACATAGCAATCCCCGCCCCACCCAAATCATTCATCAAGGTCAAAGAAATATTTTTTCCATAAGAAATCAGTTACGCAAAGAAAACTGTATCACTACAAATTTTTATTCAGAAGCCCATCTTTTAAAAAAAGTTTTCATTATGAACTTGTTTGGTCAATCAACTACAACACTTTCTAACAGATAAGGTAGAAATGGCATGGCTCAGAATCGTCCAGATCTTTCACGATCTCTTGACCGCCTTCTATCACGCTCTCGGCCACCACCGCCGCCGCCACCTCCACCACCACCGCCACCTCCGCGACCACGATCTCTGGATCTAGAGCGACGTTCACGGGACCTTGACCTGGATCTATGCCTGGTAGAAAAAAATGAGCACAGTAAAAAACTTTCTCACATTTGTCCTTGCATCAAGAACTATGTAAGCAACAACTGCTCAAATACAAACCTTAAAAAAACAAACTTGTTCAAGGTTTTTACACAAGAGTCTGCTTTTTTGAATACTAAAACTGTGCTGCCCATACTTTTTGTTAGTAACCTAGGAGACCTGAGCTTTGGTCCTGGTAAGTAATTGCCCTCTTCCAAATGGATGGAGGTGAAGGGTGTGGAGTCTCGTTTGCAGCCAAATATAGCTGCATTAGAATAGGGCAACAACAGAACACACACATTAGGCATTTATAAAAGGCAATTTTAACAGGTCAAAGAGTATTTCAATATTTAGTAAATGTCTTCACCCTCTGGGAAAACATGTAAATAAGCAAACTGCCCTCAGTCGCCCCCTTCTTGCCACTTCCTAATTCTTATTCTTTATTAGATTTCTTTTCTGCCTTTCAGCATTAGGCCCTAGGGCAGGTTACAAGTGCAATATCAAACATGATTGTTACTGCCCTGGCCCCCAGCATACACCAATTAATTGTAGGGCAAGCATAATTAAGATGGCTGTGCCAGCACAGACCTTGCTGGTTTCCATTCCTGGCTGCTACCTTCCGCCAGGCCCTGGCACCATGCAGCTGAGCTACATCAGAGGCAGCAGTGCTCAACCCAACAACATTTGTCCCAATATGCTGTGTGCTTGAATCGGATTCACATCTAAGAGCCTGTGCATATGCTATATATCAATACTACTGTGTATTTAGCAGCTTGTGGAAGTGGTCCACATAGAGGAGGGTAACCAGATGAAAGGAAAATACAGAATTTGTGTGCTGTGATATTCTGCAACATCCTTTTCTAACATTTCAAAACTTATGCAACTACATCCTAAATTCAATTATGAATTATCCTTTAGAGAGGAGCATTTTACCAAACACATGTAGCAGGTGACAAACAAGTAGTTCCCAATTATGTACTACTACCTTGCCCCATTCTGGTTTTAAACCAGCATGTTCTGGCATAATTATATAATAGATCCGACCCCCAAAAGTAGTATTTGTAGAGCTGTGGATACAGCTAAACTTGGGAAAAGCAGATAGAGCTTCCTCTTGCATTATGGGGAAGATGTGCAAACTCATTCCAGAGAAATCCCTGGAATTTCTTTGGGGGACTAACTTTTTGTTGACAAAATGGGTGATATCCAACATCAGTCAAACTCTGAGCAGACCCATAGACATCAATGGCTGATTTCCATTTGTGGAGTCACGCTTGTGCAACACTTCTGCTTGCACTAATGAGACTTGTTTTTCCTCCCGTCCCCCATGGGACCTGCAGCAGGAAGGGAGGACCAGGACCAGGACTCATGTTACATTTGCTGGTGTGACACTGGATGTTGCTCAATGGACTAAGTAACTTAGGCAGTATAGAAATTTAATATATAATAACAACAACTTAAGGCCATTGATTTCAGTGAGTCATACTTGGGTATCACTTATGATTGCTTTTTTGTTTTAAACAGCGCTAGGTGGCGATTAAAGAGATTAAAAAGTTCACTGTGATATTTTTTTCAGAATGAAGCACTGATTTCAAATGAAACTTAAATAATAAATAAATATTGAAAGATACTTTATGTATCACTTTTCTAGGCAAACTTCACAAAGCTGCTTACATAGAAATATTTAAACAATAAGCACCGATTAGAATTATGTAACAAACTGGTCAACACGTTACAACACTAGCTCAAGATGTTCCTTAGCCCTGTGGTCGTTTGAGGAGGGAAAAGGCCACCTCAGCTAGAATTATGAGAGCTAGCATTTGTAAGCTACAGATGCATACCATATTTACAACTCAAATAAGAGAAAACAACTTCATACCAGACTCCTGCAAATATATTTAGAAGTGTTAATGGGAGAACAGGAACACCCTAATTAAGTTGATGAATGAACTGCTTCAACCTGTGGTTAAAGTTGCATGAAGTTCTGATAAATCAACATTTTTACCAGTGTCTTATTTCAGTCTTGAACTCACACCTTTACAACCCAATGCAATCTTTTTACTAGTGCTGTATTGCAAAACCAATCACCTGTGCTCAATCCTGCTCCAGCTTTGCTAACCTGCACATCAGTATTAAATAAATATATTTGTATGGCTGTAATAGATTATATATATTTCTATCAATGTTTAATTGTTTTTAAAAATTATTTCCCCCTATGTTTTTAGCTGTTCTTATTTTTATCCGTAAGCCACCACTGAATCCCTGTCAGGGGGAAAAGGTGGGGTATAACAATAGCAATTCATGCTATCACCCATACACAGTAAGAGACACCTTATTGCAACATTTATGTACTCTACATGAAATAGGGCACTATTGCCCATCATTATCAGTCCTAAGGTACAATTCTTATGAAAAAGCACAGTATCAGCAATTTAACAAGTGCACATTTATTGCTCCAACATTTAATAGCTCAGCTTGTCAGCCACTGCATTCAGTTTTCAGTTTGCAAAAGTTACTTGCATTCAACTGAAATGCGAAGGGAAGCAACATGAAAACCATGAATTGCTAGTCTTCATCTTCATAAGCTGTGACAAATTTGGTTGTATTGCACCACCTAGCTTACCTACAAGTTCTCCCATTTTAGAAAAACACACATTTTTTAAAATTGAAGGTTTTTTTACATAAAAGAACAACAAGCACTTACTTCTTGCGGCGGCGGCCATACAGCTCACGTCGCAATTCTCGAGAAATGGGTTTCAAATGCATAAAGTTACAGAAACCTCCTCGTGTACACTCCCTTGAGGGGGGAAAAACAACAACGCAAGGTTTTTGATGATGATTAAGGAAATGCTATTGGCTTAGATTCTAACAAAGTTTCTGCTGGCGGGACTGTTCTATGAGTGGTGTTCCACTAACAGGATGCTCCTGCCAGAAGAGGGTAGCATTTCTTGCTGATCGCCTAATCCTCATGCATCCCCTTTAAAATCTGCTTTGTTGAGCTGGGGAACCTTGACAGCAATGGAGAGGCATTGCAGGGGGCTGGGGAATTTTTAAAAAATGCTCTTCCTGTCCTGTAGTACAGCAGGAGTCTGTACTGCAGGCTTCCTCAAACTCAGCCCTCCAGATGTTTTGAGACTACAATTCCCATCATCCCTGACCACTGGTCCTGCTAGCTAGGGATCATTGGAGTTGTAGGCCAATAAAAAAAATCTGGCAGGCAGTTTGAGGAAGCCTGTTCTACTGGATCCCAGGTCCCTCTGTGAATGTAGGGAATATGTCCATTCACAGAGGGCAAATCAGGATTCAAAACCATGGAGCAGTGTCCTGTCACTCATGATTTTTTAAAACAAAAAAGCATTTCATAATCACCTCAAAAATGGAGACAGCAGAAAACAGTTTACTCACCCCATTTCATACTGGCGGCAGCAAGCTTCTCTGAAATCTGTCACAGGGGAGAGCTCTGCATGTATCGGCTGCCCATTAAACCAGCGGTTGTTCAGGTCAATCACTGCCTTTTCTGCATCTTCTTCACGTCGAAACTGGAAAAAAAGGAGGTTATATTTACAAAAATGAACTCTCCCCTTTTACATATTATTAGGAACTGACATGATTCTCAGTGCCAACATGAAAATTAGGAAGGCACAAAAGCTTCATTTACGTAGCGTTAGCGAAATAGTAAGGAAGCATGTTTCAGGGGACGGGGACACAAGCAGCAGTCAATAGCATATCAACACATAAGGGCAGAATTCTTTCAGAACGTGATATACTTTTATTAGAATCAAAATTATATCCTTAATGTGTCCTTGAAAGGTATCACTATTCTTCATACACCATTCATTTTTTGTCATGTTTACATTTTTATTGATAATCCTTTTTAAAAAATCCTCTTTGTTAAATTTCTTAAAAGGAAAAAAAAGAACCAATATATGTTCATATGAAGGAAGCTGAATGTAGTCTGCCTATTATAGAAATGTACCAGTTGCTTGTAGTAAAGTTAGATACTGTATTCTATGTTGACCTTGGTTGACTGACAATAACAATACAGTTAAACAGTCTCACTGTACTGTATTCTGACAATAACAAAAGTATTTTGGACCCAAATGTATTGGTATGGGAAGGGAATATGGAAGCAAAAAATTTGGTTTCAGTAGCAGCATATTTATAAATAGAGGGGCACACATTTGTGTCTAGTTTTGCCTGTCCGAGGAAAGAATGAATTGAGAAATGTTTTCACCAGTGTCAATTGAAAAGATTTGAATAAGCCCTGCTTATTCAAGTGGATGTGGCAGCTACCGTTCCAAGATATACTCCAGCAACACTTAGGTCATTTTTAGCAGCATTAGTTCACTATCCAACTGCACTTCAGTGGCTATTTTTATTTTGCTTTTTCTAGTTTTTTTCCCCTAAGATGTTCCTTAGATTTGCCTAATAGTTTCCTATGTCATAATAATAATTTTAGTAAACTACATTTTCCTTGTTGGAAAATCCTAGACAGAATTACACAATTTAACAACCACTTTACGTAGCTATAGTGCTGACCAATGCCTGGTATACTTTTGAGAATAAAAAAAAGGAAATGCCCCAGGCTGGACCTGAATCAGGGATAGTTAAGATACAAGAACCAATTACTTTGTAATGTTAAAATGCAGGGAAGGGGAGAGTACATGTACAAAAGTTCCATATATGAATCCCAATCTGAAAAGTTGTTCTAAACATTTGTTGCTCTGTTGTAGCACTCTACAATTAAGATGATTAAGTGTCTACAGACATGGTGATTGTGATATTGGGGGGAAATAGAAACAATGCAGACAGTCAGATAAGGGGAGATAGCATTTTAGTTCATTCACCACATTTCTTTATTTACACTTCTTGCTGGGCTTAATAGGTTTCATTTGAAAGTATTCATTAATATTTATGCTATACATATAGCCTAACTATTCAAGACTGCTAGTTACTTTTCAAATATACAAAGCAAGACATTTAAAGATTTTGATCAGCAGTTGTGGACTTTTTATATCTTACCTTTACATATACATTTCCAACCAGATGATCTCCAAGATTATCACAGACATTCATCTCTTCTACTTCACCATATTTTTCTTCCATCTCTGTAAAGACCTCCTAAATGAAGAAAAAATGAGTGTTAATTTGATCTAAACTAGATGGATTAGCAAGCCTATACATCACCAACTTGGCATTTGATCTGTTTTTCTTGGCTACACAGGGTTTGGCAATGGCTCTATCCCTATTCCCCCCCACAGGGCCATCTACCACTAGCTGTCTTGTTGAGAAGGATTCCAGAAGAAAGCAAGACCTGAGAGTCCGTTTGACCTAACTGCTCTCTTTCCCATCTACCACCAACTGCCCTGTAGGGGAAATCGTAACAATTTTATATGCTGATATGTTTATATATTGATATTGTTTATGATGGCTTCAAAGACTGCATCTTGATGTTACTTGTAAGCCACTTTGGAAGCATTTGTATCCAGAAAGGCAGGACATAAATAGCTTTTAACAAATAAGAATTCAAAATTAAACTACACATCTGAAACTAAAATAACTGAAGATTGAAAAATAAAATAGGCAATATCCTGTGTCGTTAACACTCAGAGCAGATTCAATGAATTAAAATTAAGTAATTTAAGCCCATTTCTTTCAATGGGCCTACCCTGACTTTGTTCAGGGGTGGGGAACTCTGCTGCCGCCACTGCAGCCTCCCAAGGTAAGGTGCATGTTCACCTTTGGCCAGTCTCCGCTGAGCCATTAAGGCTGGGGGCATCCTCTGCCCAGGCCCCTGTGGGGCGACGTGAGGAAGCAACTCTCTTTGGGGTGGGGTGGGTGTTGCAGCTCAGAGAACAGGGGCAGGAGTTGAAGCCACCTGGACGACTCCCAAAGAAAAGAGAGAGGAGACTGAGGAAACACTCCAGAAGGGAGGGTGTTCGAAAAAGGGTGAGAGGCTGCTGGCTCTGCAAGCAAGGGGTGACATAACTGGGCTCCTGAGCCCCACAGGGGTGCCACAAAAAGAAGGAAGTTGCTCAAGGGACCCATGGACTCAAAAAGGTTGAAAACATCTGGTTTAAGTACTTTCCCAATTCTTCCTTTGCAACCACAGCTTGAACTTTTTGATGCCTGATGTCAAACAATCTTGGTGTGTGGTTTGTCCAAAGTGGTCTGGTGGGGCCTACAGGCTTGAGAAATGCCCTCAGGGACACTAGCTGGATATCACTCGTTACGTTTTCCCATAATCTATTGTTTGTTACAGGGAATTATTACTTAGGCCAGATAAACTTTACTAAGATGAATCTAAGGAACAAAGAATTTCAAATACTCCCCTCCTGCTGATGAAGAGTATCTGGCATAATTTTGTTCATCTTTTGCTCTAAGATAAACTTCAAAGCTTATAATGTTAACTGTGCTTGATGTTCTCATTTATATAAAGTTTTCAAAACAATACTCAGTGTAACATACCTCAAAGAATTCATCATAATGTTCCTGCATTTCAACATCGCTCACAGCACCTGCAAATACCAAGCCATATTAATTAGAATCTAATCTCAAACAAGGCAAAGGACTCTGAGCACATTAAAAATATTTTATGTAAGTTGAAAAGTAAGTAGAAGCCGTCTACTGGAGTAAAAAATACGCAATATGTAGCTAACCATTAGGAGTAGACCATAAACAGTTCTGCCAAGCCCCTAAAGAAAAAACAATCACAACAATCTCTTAATAGTTTTAATCAATAACCTGATAGATAACACACTTCCATAGAGAATGGTTTAAATCTAAGGAAACTGATCTGATATAGAATGCAACCGCCCCCAGCTCCAACTATCTTAATTTTAGTGCACCAGATTTTCATGAACAACCTTTGAAGAATGTACTAGGATTCAGATAAGGGGAGAAATAAAATACTGTATAAGGGAATTTAATTTAAAAATTATTCTAAAAGCAAACAGTGGAATCCAACAGGTGTTGCTCTACTGACAGCAGGCATCTCTGAACAGAACAGGGAAGAAGGAAATTTTCAGCAAATCCTTCTTTCTCAAGCAGGCTTCCCTCCCTCCAAATGTGCTTGAGGGTTCCCCAATCCTCTGGTGCAGGGGTTTTTTGGGAGTAGGGATTTTAGTGGGTAAAAGGAACTACTAAAAATGTCCCCCACTTCTGTTGCTGAATACCTTACGACAGCAGAGCAGTATCCCTTAGAGTGTGGCCACGTACACTATAATTAGTTTGCTAATTAAAACTGTTCACAAATCATATGCTTTACTGAACACAATATTAAGTTAACATGTTTCTACTTCCTTCAAATTAGCAAAACTAGGCTTACTGACGGGGGAAAGGAACCCAATTTTGCTCCAAAAGCTATTTCAGTCTTCACATTTTTCAGAATACTTAAAGTAAGTCATGCTATATTATTTCCATGCCCTTAAGTATGCATTTGCAGGCATCTAGACCACCTGTTCATAAACAGGGGAGGTTATAAATAAATAAATATATATAAATAAGAATTTCAAACCAGTATGTATGGCAAAAACTGACGGATATAGCATTTTAGCATACATTAAGCACAATTTAAAACTTTATATGTATAGCTATCTGACCCTGAGTGGTCTGTAGTTCTAGAAAGCATCTTACCCTCTCATATATAAATCTAAAATACTTAAGGATGGGAAAATTCTATGGTATTTTCAAAATTCAGTTTCCCACCACCTTTAATGAATAGAAAAAGTAGCTGAGATCCACTCTCGGATTTATTTTCAATTAAACTATGACCACACTTACAACTCTACATTAAGTTTAAAGGGACACTATTGAATTAGGAACTAAATGTTGACTGACAGACGTTGAATCCCATTTAAAATACACTATGAGCTTGATAAAAATGGATTAAACTGTCCCAAACCAAATTATCAAGATAGCTTAATAGCTAACTGTTTTCTCAGTTGTCAGCAGAAATAGAAATAGTCATTAACAAGATTTTTAAAAATCTACTTTGGTTTTTCAACACATATCAATTGTTGCCATATGTGATTTTTTTAAAACTTGGTAAAACCATTTCCCTGTATGACATAACACTAAAACAAACCAAATTAAGTGATGGTGTTTTACTAGGTTGAACAAGTACACCATCTACTAGACACAACTGATAATACTATATGACATATATGGAAAGCAGAATAGTTAAACAATGTAAATATTTGCTAGGTAACTATAACAAACCATGCAATTCCTAAAACAGCAAAAGGCTGTTGGTTTCTCAAGCAGCATTACTCAACTGAGACCAAATTTTAAACATTACATTTGAACTATCATTTTAAAGAGACGTGCTGCTATGTTTGTTCAGCCAGTAAATTCCGGACAATTAAAAAGAGCTCCACAGCAAACCATGCAGCTACAGCATGAATTACTTATACCAGATTGGTGGAAATTTTAGCACATGCCCAGATACGAACATAACACTGAATATCATTTAGCAGCGCTAGTAGAAATAGTGTGGTAAATACCAGACTGTGCTTAACGATAAGTCATTTAATTATTGCATTGTTTAACTGCTTCAAGAGCAAATTACAGATTAGCTGAATTATTTACCCATTTAAATCACTTACTTCTACTGATGTACAGTAGACAAATATTTTCACAGTTTATAACTACACAAGTGTTAAGAATTAGTTCAAGACAATCTCCACACTTTCCCATAAATGAATATCAGTTCATAATTTCAGATTTTAAAGCAAGGAAGGAATTTTAACCGTACCTATGCAGAGAGATCAAATTAAAGTGATTTTAACATCTGTAAACAGATGGATAAGTGCTTGAGTTAAGTTAATAAGCTGTTGACCTAGCCTTTGGATAACAGTAATATGTGACATTAAATATAAGCAAGGACACATTAAAATGATGGAGGCCAATGGCAAGGATGGAGTAGAGAGCGCCATTGCTCAAGAAAACTTTAAAATGTGTCCCTTTAAAAAATTCATAAAATAGGCAGGTAGCCAAAGTTTCAGAGGAAACAAGTTTTTTGGGGGGGTGGGTTGGGCATGGGATATGTGAAGGACCAAAAATTTCAGGCACATTTAATAAAATGTGATCAGTTTGCTCCATTAAACTAAAAATGGTAGACCAGCTTCAGTTGACACTGAGCTCTGACAATCAAGCCCAGGGAACCAGTGAAGGAACTTGTATGAACTTACAGCGCAAACCGTCAGCAGACTGGGAAGAGTTTTGAGGGTTACGGTAAATGTTCAAGAGGGCAATGGTCTGAAATACAAAACGCAACAACTTTATATTATGGAAAATAAGTTTTAACAAGAAACTGGTTTCCTTGTGGTGATCACTTTTAGTTGAGTCTCAGTGCTGAAAGAGAGAATGTTATTTTCTCCCGATGGAAATATGCGCCATTTGACTTGTGACCCTTCTGAACCACCCTAGTATTGAGGAAAAAAATAGAGATCTCACAACACTTATTATTGCATTTATTTAAAATGCATCTAATGGCATTTTATTATCATAAATCTTGAACCTGAAGCAATAAATAGCCTTAACATATGGAAAGGTTGAAAATTGTCAGGAACTAGATCCCACTGTAACACACAATAATAAGGCTGTTATGAAATCTCTATTGCCTAAGAATGTTAAGGTGAACCAAAAATCCCCAAGTATCACTTACCGTATATGGCAAAAAAGCCTATGTTTTCAGATTTTAAAATATCAAGTCATTTGATAAATGCCTAAGGTGTACTATAAACAATGAACATCTCTTAATGCTCATGTTCTTATACGGGAAGTTTTGAACCAAAAAATTCCAATCATTTTTAACCATTTTTTTTGCACATAACATAGGCATTTGACAAATGCTTGATCATTATGTAAGAGTTCCGTCACTTGTCCTGTTTGCAACAGCTTTATGTCAGCAGCTCAGAAGCCAACATGATTTTCTCATATTTAGGAATGGGCTCTTTTACACCATTCTTAAAAAAAATTTCTCCAACTGTGGGACTTACAGTGTGAGCCGTCAGCCGTCTGTGCACTGTTTTGGGGATTACGATAGATGTTTTGAATCAAGATGGTCTGCGGGGAAAAAAAAATAAAAAGGGGAATTCTACTGGCTGCTGTGCATATAATAGACAATTGCAAAGAGACAACTTTTTTGCGAACAGCTTAATATAAAATTATATTCAAATGGTACACTATTTTCTTTTTTATTTGCACCATGTTTTGAAATATCACTCAGTCATATTATGTAAACAAGTTTTAATTTCACCAAGAAGTTGCGCTATTGGCTTATCAAGGGAGGCATCCTCAGCCCAGCTCCCAGAAAGAGAATTAGCAATATGCTACTTTAGTAACTTACTAGCATGGGCCTAAATTTAGTCTAATTTTAATCCTATCAAATATGGAGGGCCATAAAAAATGCTACATGGTGCCCCAAATATGCAGTGCCTTTCTAACAAAAGGCCACTGCCACAAGGAACAGGATTCTTCACTTTCTCTAAACAAGCATTTCCTTGGTGGAACGTCTGTTTAAATAATATGAGTTTCTAAATGTTCAGTTTGCAGATCTTTAAAGAAAGAATATCCTTTCAGCCATTGTGCTTTCTACTTGAAGGATTTGCCCAGGCAGACTTGAAACCTTACATTTGTATCGTTCTTCTTAAAATCAAGTTGTCTGAAAAAACAAACCATGTTTAAGTTAGTAATCTAATATCTCAGAGTTTTAATGTCCATATTAGTGTAAGTAGCTCAGTGTTACTTAATAAAAATGTTAGTTTTCATGAGCTTTCATTCAAATTTAATATAACCAACTGTATTTAAAGAAAACATTGTTTTCAGAGCTTTTTTGTTTTTATAAAACCAGCCAGTGTTAACCTCTGGTCCCTAGCCACGGTAGAGACAAAATACATCTACATTTGTTGACTGTTTTTAGCCTATTTCGAATTGAGAGTACTTGCAACTTTCTCTCACCTGCAACTCTATTTTAGTGCAAGCTGGGCAGGAACTAGCATGGTAGTCTTTTAAACCACATTGAATTACTAAACAATTTCAGTAGTAGCAGTAGGAACACAATATATATTCACTGTTTGTTCAGTACCTAACACATTGTGACATTAATTTATTAAGCCAAATTATTTGGTTTAAGTAAGCAGGAAAGAAGACTCTTAAATTTAAGTCACAGATCAGATTAGCTGACCTAACTGCAAAATAGTATTTGAATGCACATATATAAATGGGGTGTGCATAATGGAGGGACAAAGATCAAAATTCTATTGAAAAAGCAACATACAGAAATTGTCCCTCCACATCTAGAAGATGCAAGTTAAAATCTTCCAAACAATCCTGGATTCCTAATAACGATATCTTAACTGTTCTATCAGTCATTACAACAGATGTAAATAACCCTGACTGAAGCTGAAATTCAACACTGTGCAAGTGCACAGCAACAGGGTCCCTGCTTCCTCTTCTTCCCCATAACCCCAGCTTCACTCCAGGTCTCCTCACCAACACTTTGGAGCAGATTATAGGGGCACAAGGAGGGCTGCACAGAAGGCAGGATGCTAAAATCATGTTGTTAAGTTGATTCCACTCACAGAAGCTACTGGAATTCACCCTAAACTACAATCCACAAAAGCTTGCCACATTTAATCATCTGCTTTGGCATTCTTATTACAAAGTTCAAATAAATGCAGATACCACAGCTCAGTTCAACTCCTGATTTACTACAATTAAATATTCAGGAGAGGACATGCAAATTCTTGGCATCAGCGGAGCATCCAACTATGATGTTAAATTGGTGGATCACAACAATATTATGGCATATATACTAGGTGGATCAAAGTATAAGACAAGCTATTGTTCCAAACTATTCCAGTCTGCTCGTCTACATGTACTCTCATAAAATTCTTACTACGTTCAACAGCGTTTATTCCCAAGTAAGAGTGCATAGGAGTTTAGCTTTAAGAGTTGCCCAAGCAGTCAGTCTGTGAACACATTCTCCCTTACTGCCTCTTTCTACTTTACTTCATGCTTAAGTATTGAAGTTGGTGAAGTTATTTGTTTTGTATTTTGACTATGTCAATCTTAACTATTTGAAAGTAGATGAGCAGGCTAAGATATAAGGGAGCTTGGATATTTTTAAAAATAAAATTAGAGTTCAAAAATAAATTAAACAAAATTGTAGCAACCAAACTGAATGTGATCATCCCAACCAGCTTTAATCTGTACAGGCTAACCCAGTGGTTACAAAGACCACATGAAAATGGCTTAGGGTCTTGGTGGACCACTTAACGTTTTCTCTGCCCACTGTAGCAATTATAACGCACTGTGCTAGATGCTGTATGATTTTTCATTGTATTTTTACGGGCACACCATGGACCACCTGAATGAAGCTTGTGGATCACTGATGGTTTGTGAACAACAGTTTGGGAACCCTTATGCTAGCCTATATTCTCAAACTACTTTAAAGGTTTTGAAACTGATTATGCTGCTCTCATACTGTTACACAGCCCCCACTCATTTTATAGGGATTGCTCTGAATTCCACACATGCTATACTTGGAAATATAAAGTAGTAGAGAAGACATCTGCAAATGCCACCATCTCTTATAATGTAAGGATAAGGGCATTTTTGCTATTTCACAGAATCGCTTTGTCAGGGCATTTTGGTTAAATTTGAAAACATGCACACTTACACCAGGGGCAATCAACATGGTGTCCTCCAAGTTGTTAGACTTCAACTCCCATTACTCCTGCCAAGGAAGTAGTGGCCAGTGCTCAGGGACTATGGCAGCTGCACTACAACACATGGATTACACCATTTTGGCTATCCCTGGTTTACAAGAGAGAATTTGGCCCATTTTTAAAATAAAAAACCAGCTATATAGTTGCTAAATATTACCCAGGAGGTTACCACTGGCTGACATCTAATATTGGAAAAATTATGGAAAAAAATTCTGCAACCATTAAAGTTTTTAAAAAATATTTCAAAGGGCGAGTAAAAGAAATGAATAGCAACTCAAGGACAAATCAACAAATATATACATGATACTTTTATAGTTTCTCAGATTTAACAATCACAGATTGGAGCTCTGAAAGTCATGGCTGCATTGGATGTAAGACTTCTACCAAAAAAATTTACACCAACCTGGCTAAATGTTGGTTTATTGTGCAACCGAGAACACCGGTCTCCATGACGGCATGCTCCGATTTTGAAGTAAAAAGAACAGTTGACTCTGAAACCAAAAGACACAAAAATTGTATCAATTGAAACCATTTCTATACAAACTAGTTATGGAGTTATAGCTAAGCTTATTAATCAAAAGAATACACTCTGGCCAGGCAAAAGCACTTGATTTGTGAAGCAGGGCCAGCCAAGGCATGGCCAGTGGAGTCCTGAGGTCTAGAAGAGGTGTTCTCTGTTCCTGTGCTAGTTCATATCTATTTTAGCAATGATTCAACTACAATTGATATTGGCTGTTTTAAAGTACAGTATCGCCTTCTCTAAAACTGAGAATGGTGAAAGCTGTAAGTTGGGGTCTGAGGGCAGATGTCAATTACTTGTCAATTACTAGAGTTCACCATTGTCTTCACTCAGTAGCTCTCCAGGGTTTCTGACAGGAGTCTTTTCCCAGCCCAAACTGGACATGCTAGGCTAGGGATTGAATCTGGGACCGTCTATAAAACAAGCAGATGCGCTGCCTCAACCTATGGTACTTTCTCCTCTCTCCATTTGTCCACTACTAGGGCATGTTGGATAGTAGATGGGGTGGGAACATTCATATCATAGGTGTGAACTGCAGACATTCGCTGCTTTATTTCCACACCATAGGAAAGTTGAAAAGCGTGGTTTTGGCAGGCATGTGACAACACTTGTATACATATGATGAGTCTTCTGCACCGTTGTCTGCAAGTTGGAGACATTCAGTTGCTCAGTGCTGCACTAACTTGTGTAGCATAGTAGTAAGCTGCCCCCAGAAATGGCTTTCAATGAAAGTAAAATAGAACATGCTGCATGGTCTGGTTTTTACTGTTTCTGCCCAGTTAGGAAATTCAAGTTTACTGCTTCCTCCCAGTATCAGTGCATGGACATGAAGTTTAGTAGTGCGCAATGGATCTTCTTTAGCTTAGATAGATTGAGACCTGCTTCCCTCCTCTCCCTGTGAACAGAAAAGTGGAGTGGAAGGCAGATGTCCCCAGCTCTAAGGGCCACAACCCTCCTCCTCTAAAATATTATGTACAGTTTTCTACCTCATGTACCTTTTAATAGATAGATAGATTTGAGTGTGATCATGAAAGCCAGCTTGAACACTTCTACTGAGGCTGTAGTTGCACTAACAGAACAAACTCTGCGCCCCTTCAAAACTCCTTAGGCGTGATGAGAAAGCGTTACGTCTCGGAGACACACAAGGGGATTTCCCCCACGAGATCTTCAGCGGCGATCCTGCTGCCAGACCGACCGTTTTAGCAGCGCCGGCCCTTCCCCTTCCTCATTCAACTCATGAGGAAAACCAAGAGGAGAGCAGAGAAAAAAAACCCAGATCTGGGGATTCCTCGCAGTCGTGAGCCCGCCATCAGCTCTTTTCCGGAAGGGCGCGCGCGCCCCCTGGGCTGTTGGCGGGCGGGCAGGCGCGCGAGCGCGCTCCCTCCCTCGGCTCGTGAGGGAAGGAAGTATCGCGCCCGCTAAGCTCCAATAGGGAGCGCCTCTCAGGCTTGCACGAGGCAGACACTTTGCAGCAGAAGCAACGGAACAAGGGCTGAAGGAGGTTTCGCGCGCTCGAGGCTTCTACGGCCAAGAACCGCGCACGCGCACGAGAGAACGAGGAAAAAAAGGGCTCCTCGTGGGGAACCATTGTTAGGAATGGCCCCCGCCAGGGCGCTGACACAGGCCCCGCCACCCCCCTCACCTACCCCGCAAGCGTAGGCCGGACCCCGCCCTTGGAGAGAGAGGGCAGGCCAGGGGGAGGAAGAACCCACTCACTTGTCTTTCTCGGTACCGAAGATGGAGGCCAGATACTCCGCCATCTCCTACAAGCTGCCCTGCCCGGCCGCCCGCCGGACACCTCGGCACCCCGCTTAAGACGTCACAACCCCGCGCCGGAAACGGCCTCGCCGCCCGCCAGCCGCTGCAACGATCAAGCGCCGGCGACCAATCAGCGCGTAAGGCAGGGGCTGCGGGGAAAGGCTTCGCGCACGCGCCTGGTGCAGCTGTCTCCTCCATGCGCCAGCGCGGGGTGACTTGGCTTCTCCCCCTCCCCCCCTTGGTTCTTCTTCCATCGCCATTCGGGATACGCCCACCCCGGAGATTTCTCCATAGGGGCAGTTGCTCCTAGCTGCCGTGTCTCGGTTTGTCACTCACTCTTCCATACTTGGTTCCATTATTAAATTAAAGTTTATTTGGGAAGGAATCAGATCAGATTCCGGTCCTTGCTGCAGCAACTGTACCCCGTTCCAAGAAAATGTCTGTATTTGCATTTAAAGCCGGGCAGGAAAAAGCCCTAGAATGTGTTGTGTGAAGGTGCCGATAGAGATACTTTAAGAGGAAAAAGGTAAAAGGCGGATCTACACGGATCCTCATGAATTCATATGATTTTTTCATTCAAATTAAATAAAACCACCATGATACTGTAGACCATGTCTTACTCTGTAGGCAGCATCAAAAAAATCACGCATCCACTGTTTCGGGGGCCGCAGGGCGCAAAAACATGGTTAAAAACACGGATCCTCATGGATCCTCATGATTTTGCGCTAGATCAGCCCAAAGTCACCATCAGATCAAACATCATCGCCATGGGCACAGAATCCACCACAAAAATCACGGATCCATGGCTTCGTGGGGAAACCCTGGCCCAAAAAAGTGGTTTTGAAGCACGGATCCTCATGGATCCTCATGCTTTTTGCATTGGGCCACCCCTAAATCACTGTCAAATCACACATCATAGCCAGGGC